CTATTGTGTTCGTGACGGATTTCGGGTAGGGGAATTGTGAGCGTTTACGCGTACCGGTCGTCACCAATAATCTATGGAAAAATGGAATACTGCTTGCTGGAACTGCCCGATGGTGTGGTGTTGGCATTGTGGCTGAGTGTTTGTGTGGTAATGGATTTCAGCTTCCCCATCCTTGATAGGAATGACCTTGATTAGGGAAATCAACTTCACTCGTTACCAAGGATCTGTGTTGGTGGTTGATTAGCTGTTAAATGCTGCTATGATGTGGAAGCGGAAATTGCTGGTTGGATGGCACTATCGAAAAACTAAACGGTAGCTCGGACAACGCGGCGCGAGATCCTTCGACCTGGTAGGTTGTTCACAACGGCCTACTACACCACCAAGAAATAAAAATGAAAACCTGATTTTTTCATGACTACAAATAAGTTATCAAGGAAGACGTTACTTACTGTAAATTAAACCCGGATAAAATATCAACAGATTTTGAAAATGCTTCAACTGGACTGACCAACAAACGATGCAACGGGAGTGGACGATATACAAAACAACGTGACCGTATTCGCTGTTAATACATAAACTGCGTCGCGCAAAACACTCCACTTTGCATTCCCAACTTCCAATACAGATGACCAGGAGTAACTCCCACAATACACGGAACAAACTCCCATAATGTCAAATTGAAGTAGCAAAATGCAGTTACTGGAAGTGACAAAAAGCGACTACGACTTCCAAAATCGAAGGTTCGTATACGTACAGTAACTAACCGTAAACGTGGGTACTCCACATTATAGCGCAAACGGAATAAACAAACTTAAAGCAGTAGTTAAAACGGATTAAAGTAGATTCACGAACTAAACGCTCCGATGAAAAAGGATAATGGTTTCACGATTTAACCTTGTATGTTTAAAGAAAGCTAGTTGTCTAATGATCAGGACGAAGAATAACGGTGATACCGGGAGTTATTCAGCAAAATCAAAATTATAAACCGGCCTTGCGATTCCATAACAAGATCCCATGACAATTACTGTTGATGCGCACGATCCCAAATTTTAAACAACCGCAAAATAATTGAGAAATGGTGGTTAAGAATGATAATATTTACCCAGTGGAAAAGAGATCCTTCGGTTAATGATGTTGTCTTAAACGTTTTTTTGTAGATATTCTTGCTGAACGATAATTCTATCCATTATCCATGAATCTTGCGTAAATTACTGTACTTGTAAATTATTTATTGGTAATGACTGGATATTCTGGACTTCCCGCTGACTATGGCTATGTCGAAAGGATCCTTAAATCACTGCAGATATGTATTCTTAACCAGACACTTCCGCCTAGGTAGGCACACGCAGCTTGACCTTTCGGTAGCTATTCCCCGTGGTATAAAGTAGGATGTTGAATGGTGTTCAAATTCTTTTGGTTTGGAAATTTTCAGTTGAAATTCATCATGGTACAAAGAACGTTATCTACAGCTCTACCCCGTCCATGAATCTTTTACTTTCGCCATTCCCATACTTCACACCGGACATTACGCTGAGTACCGTATAATGTAATCGGAAAACTTCGGTTTATTCGAGTTAGAACTGGAAGGACCAAGGCCGATTTTTCCATTCTGCCTGCCACACAACAAAAGTTTCGTAGCAACTAAGGAGTACATCCGGTTGGCTGCGTAGTAGCTGTCCCGTTCGTCTACAGGTGCGCTCTGCGTATTACCCAAAGCTCACTGCATCCGTAAGGCTGACTACTTTGCTAGCCCCTTCCGTATCACATCACACGCACACGGTCATCTTTCACAGGTAGTATGTACGGCAAAAAACATACTCGATAGTGGGTACAAATACAGGCATACTTCTATCCATTTACATCAAAGGTTAGTCGTCACGCACCAGAATCCTACTGCGAACTTCACAACTTCAGGTAACTATTAGGCACACACTCCACTACGGCATACAGCTGTACGAAAATCCAAATTCCTTAATCTTGAAAAGGCTTTCGAAAATGTTGCTCACGTACAGGAAAATTCTTTTGAAATCCGCTTACAAAGGAAAAGCGAAAATTTCCCGAAATTTTCTTTGTGTAGGTAGATTTCTAATCCAAAGTTCGGTTTACACGGACAAAAGCGGCTGCTACTCCTAGTCAGCTAATTGTATTCCTAATCCGACGGAACGCTTCAGTCCTAACGAAGGCTTAACGCGATGATACAGGCGAGATCTTTACATGGAAAACGCTGCTCTCCCTCGACTTAAGGAATCTCTGGTGTTACCGCTACTGCTGCTGTCATCGAATTACTGAACACACAAAAGGTCACTCGCTAGCTTGTAATCGCTTAGCTCGGAACGCATTTTGTGGATCGACGATTGGAGGAAGGGATCCCTGTCCTGCGACCTGACGCAATCCGCCCTGAAGTCGAAAGAGAAAGCTAGCAATGCGTTCGGACCTATAGAAACATTCTGGTACACTCACCACCCCACACGCTGCAGTACGAAGACCATTCGCCAGAAGTCCGGTTTCCCGGAAATTGGGTTGTTCCGGTCAAGAAACGGCTGTAGCTGCAAGAAGGAATTATAGGCAATCAGCTCAAATACATTAAATGTACTTTCATCGCCGGAAACCTTTTAATGCTCACCAATACACCGCGAACATTATTACCTAATATCTAGATGTGTAATACAGGTAAGAGTTCCAAAGTTTAGCATTAGTATAGCCGTACAGAATTATGAACGTTCACTAATACACCGCGAACATTATTACTCAATGTACAGGCAACAGTCCTAAAGTTTAACATTACCAGTGTTTGCCACAGCCGTACCAAATTATGAATGCCCACTAATACACCGCGAACATATCATACACGGTTCTACATTTTAAGTTTCACCATACAGAACACAAAAGGACTGTATTGAGCGCTCTTCATAAACCGAGAACGCAGTAACATCGGCATTCGTTAAACCGTAAACCGATTAAACATGGTCGTACAATAAACCGTTCGATCATGTAGCGCAGCCGAGAATTATTCGACAATCATTACGAGTACTGTACTTCGAAGTATAAAGTATAAACAGTTATCGATCAATTCAAAAATTAGCGTGTGTTTTCGACATGAAATGCCATAATTCAACATATAGATATCACACCAACATTGCTTTACGTCTTTAGTTTTTAGACTGCGCTGCTCAATAAACCGAGCTGCACATAAACAGAGCTGCAGAACAGAATTTTTCAAAATGGACATCATACATTCAAAAATTTTTATACGAAACAGTTCTATTTACCGCCATAATTAATCTCAGATTTTTGCTGATACACCCCATGAAATTCAAAACGTCGATATCGTCGCGCGCCGCAATGTTTGATTCATCATAAACCGAGAATCAAAATGCATATTAAAAACCAACAGTGCGAAGTACCTCTGAGTGAAAAGCCGAGGTCAGTCTTAACATCTTCTAATATACCGGAAAGATGTGGGATCTCAATAAACCGAGACCATAACATGACCATGGTGCAAATAAATTGACCTTATATTGTACGCTTGGCTTTGTGCATTACGATAGAATTGTAAAAGCTCGATGCACATTATTAGAACACTTTCTTCAACAAGTTAAGTAATTAATACACTAGTCATAAAATTATTGAAGTAGTAACCTACCAACAAAAAAAGCTTCAATTTAAGAACTGACTGTAGAACTAGCGGTAAGTATCTATGCGATAACACAACGCAGTGAACACAATGCTTCTACAAGTACTGATGTCATAGTTCGACTGACTCATTCAAAATCACTGGAGCAAGCCACATGCTACGATCGACCAGCGCCATCAGGCTTCTGAGCAAATTCAAATGGTTTAGAATGATGGCAGTGCGTATGTACAGTAGTAAGTACCACTCTGACAAACTACGCAGCTTATACGCTACTTCGAAATACTTCATGGAACCTTTCTGCGTACTAGAACTGGCGAGCTGCAGTACAACTTAAAAAGCGTAAACAACTCGTGATAAAATTTTTTCTTTCGTTATGTACACATTGAACAACAAAAGTAAAGGTCACCATCGTTACCAAGTAACTACAAGAAGTGAAAGAAAGCAACATTTCATACACTCAATATTTTTCATACTGTTTAAAAATCACTCCTGTATAGTGAACATATCAATAATTATGGAAATCCCACGAGGGCATACAAGGTTACGACTGGCTGATACTGAATAATAAAATTTAGCAGCATACTGTATAAAATTAATATCTGGTCATAATTATTTATTTCGGAAAATAAACATTATTACGGGTAACCTGACAATTTGTACGCAAAATATGTATAACACCAGCGAGCTACAATACAAAAAAACCTCGCAGTTTGAAAATTCACGTTTTCAGTATCGTCGTCGTGCACAAATTATCTGCCATTTACAGCAACTCTGCGCTAAATACCAGTCAGAAAGTGCTTAATTCAGTTAATAAAATCTACGTAAAGTAACTTAAAGGTCACTAAGGATATTAAACAATATTACGAACAAAGCAAAAATGCTGCCACTCACCCATCTCGTTTCCAGAGGCTTTCGTAATGGCCGACCCTAGCCAACTTCGCGATCGTTTCTTTTTCCGTCCATGGCAGGAAATACAGCTTGCCAAAGCATTTTCACGCTAGGCTGTTGCGTTGGACTGGCATGGTTGTTAAAACGGTCGCAGCTTTTATACCCTTTCATATGAAACTATATGAACGTTATCATTCCGAACTACCGGCTAGAGATACCGCCTTCACTTGAAACTGATGTAAACTGATTGGAGACTGCTGCGCTCTCATTCGAAAAGGGTGTTGCTAGAAGAAATACCCGTGTTGCTATTGGTGATTTGTTCAAAATGCTTTCGTGTTTAAAACAGTGAATCGCGAGATTTCGAACTTGTTCCAGATATGAATAACTATTACTGTGAGTCATCCGCTCTTGTATGCTATTGTTTTCTGTTGTACAGTACTTGAAGTCATAATATCATATTGTACACAATAATATTTAATAGTATCTGGCCAGCGTGAGCACAGTCATGACATCATTTTGTGGGGTTCAAACGCGGAGATGATGTCATTAATTTTTGAATTTTCCTAGAAAACGAGCAGCATTGTATTTGTATGCGAATTGTTTCTTGGTTTGAATTCGGCACTTTTTTAGATCGTTTTTTATACGAGTAAAATTGCGGTAAATTACTCATCTACGGTTAACAATCGACCGATAAACAATCGGAATAATAAGTAATTACCGTTCATCCTTAATCGTATTCATTGTTCTGGCTTTAAGCTCCAAAACTTCAAGTGGTCACATCACTCAAAAGTGTAAATCTGGATTTGTTGATTGGGTAGGTGCAACCGTGCAAACGATGTTATACGTAAATATCTATAGTTGTCCTGCTCTAGTCCTGTCATAATCCGCCAAATACAAGTATTCTTCTATGTAATCGCCCTGCAGTAGAAATATTTTAAAAAAAGCGGTAAAAATTTCCTGCTTAACAAAGTCAGATAGCAGTAACAAGTAGCGACGCCGGTCATGAAGGGATATTCCCAGAAACCAATCAAAGCTTTATAAAAACAATGTTCGCGATTTAATCTAAGCCATACAATATTTTTAGTTTTCCTTTATTGGAATATTCCCGAAGAGCGGATCAAACCAAAAGACATCCAACATTCTCAGTTCTTCAGCGTATTTGAGATTGAAGTCCCAAAACTGCTCCTCATGTGACAGCTCATAGCCGAACGCTTTGAACATGATGAAGGCCGGCGCCACCAAACGCCGACAGCTGTACGTGAAAGCCAAGCCCAGGATTTTCATACAATTGCCTTTACTAAGTCGCTTCATCAGACTCTTTTCGGCTTTTTCTTTCAGTCCCTTAACCTGATACATATCCGCAAGCTCCAGAACCTCTTCCGCATATTTTCCCATGGACGGACATTCACCCGTGTACGCAAAAATCAGAAACTCCATGACCACATCCAGGGAAAACTTCCGAATGACCGCTTGGTTCTCGTTGGTCTCGCGGCTGCTATGCTTAAGCATAGCGTCAAAGTAATCCGAGCACAGCGCCAGAATTTTCTTCTCACACCGCAACACCGTTCCGTCCTCCAGCAGCAAGGTGAAATTCCCAGAATCCGGGTCACGCACTAACTGCCGGTACTTCTCCATCAGCATCCGTAGTCCCGTGTGATTTTGCACATCAATTTTCTGATCGCGCATAATAATGCGGAGGATGTCGGCTTCCCGCAACGCCGGCATAACCACGATATCCAGACGCAGGGCCGTGTCGCCGCTGAATATCGGATGTGTGGTCCAGGCGTCCTGTGGCAGACAGATCAGTGTACTGCTCCGGCCGAAACTACTGGTGTTCATCGTGTAATACGAGTCCAGCATATCGGGGCCGGTGGAGACCAGCGGCATTTCCTCTCCCTCGAACTCCATCATCCACAGCCCGTCCAGGGTGGAGAGTTTAAATTTCTTCACACGGATATGACTGTCCACATGGGCTAGACTGCAGCGTAAATGGTAACGTGGCCGTTCTTCAATGTCGTTTTCAAACTGGCATCCAGCGCAGGGGATATCGTAGCTCGCTTAAAAATTGCTTCGTATCAGAATTCAGGTTTAAGAACGTCGAAAACAAAAGGATATATAGATATGCTATTTTACATTTTCTGTAACATAGAATTTTACCAAAATGATATTTTCCGAATCTAGCTAGCAACGGCAAATTGGACGTTATGCTTCTGTTAATTTTTCGACGTGCCAAAATTATTTCGAGTGCATTACTGACACTTTATTGCAGTACTCTAACAGTTAGAGTACTGCAGTAAGTTAGAGTCTAACTTATTTCGAGCTGTACATGCGGTAGATAAACGAAATGCGATTATTCATCACAAAAGTAAATCTCCACTGAATAATCTGCCTACTGCTGCAAAATTTATCGTAACTAATAAGAATTGTAATCGATTAAAATTAATCAAAATAATTATGAATTATACTGGACCGCAAGACAATTTTATCAAAAAAATACCGCTTCACTGTTCAGGTGTTCCGTACAAAAACCCAAACACCACAACAGTTTCATATGGCACAAAAGCTTAAGCAATATGTGGTAGCTTCCGCGAACGAATTTCGTAATAAATTTCGAATCCTGAACTAGTAAATGATTTTAAAAAATAACTGCAAAATACTTAAAATCTCAAGGTACGAGTATTCACAATCAATAAAATTGCTATAAGCTGTTGAAATGCATATAAACAAGGATAACACAATTAAGTAACTGAAACACATGAGTACATAATTTGTTTATGTACATTCTTGAATAATATGTGAATGACTGAATGCATTGTATTACTCTGAACTAAAAACTTATCTTACCAATAACATCAAGTTCCACATACCAACAAGTTCGATTGACCAGCGGACTGCCGCTGTTTAGACAGACCGGGCCATGACCTCGGTACGGTCGATCCGGTATCAGACGACTGTTGTAGCCCTCATCCGGGATAATGCTTAGAGAAACCATTTCCGGTCCTTGATGCATACCAGACCAGTTAGCACTGTAAGTATGAATCAGTTGCCGCCAAGGTTTCAGTTCCTCTTCCGAATAGTCTGGAAAGTACGAAAACAGCGTTGCAGCTTTCCGGACAGCGGCGTCACGCTGGTCGCCTGCGCAGGTATGTGGAAATGACAAAGCTGCAGACATGCGCGGTATTAAACTGCAATGAAAAACAATTTGAACTCGTAGCGTTTGTTCTAAGAGTGAAATTTGTGTTACTTTTTGCCGGTATGTTGATTCCGTAACTTTGCCGAAAACATAAAGTTCCCAAAGTCAAATCTCGCCATAGAAACGCTTAGCTTATACAGATATTGTCAGCACGGCCAAGAATTCCAAATATTCTACGTTTGCAGTTAACTTCAGAGCTTTAATTAATCAAAAATACAAAAACCATCTTAAAATTTATTCAACCTAAAAAATTAACAAGGTGAATTATAGGTGCCCTTTGAACGAATTAAGATTCTAGCTATAGAGCGCAGTGACGTATGCCGTTAACATTTATTCCTATAGAACGTAGTCGATGCTTATACCGCAAAAGATCAAAACTTTGGTGCATATAACTTAGTTTTTAATATACCAGCGGCAACACGGTAATGACTTTGACAACTTCAGAGATCAAACTTTAATTACACGTTTGCTCATAACCATAACCGTATAAGACAATCATCTACTCTAGTTGGCGTGCTTCAACGAAGAGCAAAATATTTCTACGGGCCATAATACGCGTTACGTTTAATTTACGTAATTTTATTGACCTAAATAAGCGAGTAATTATGTGCACAAGTGCAACCACCAATCGCACCGAGAATTTTTGAAAAAATCTGATCTAAATCTTGTATGTAAATTCAGCACAGGACTAATAACTGCTGTTGGATCGGATTGCTTGTGATATCGTATCTTCATTAGTGGTGGACAGCTGATTCGTACTTCTTCCGTGATCAACGGAAAACGCTAATATATTTCAATCAAGTCTTATACAGCAAGCGTAATGCAATAATCGTTGTCATATTCAACTGAATTGTAGACCATACTGGATGCAAGCTGCTCGAACGCCATTGTGAGCGTGCAAGCCACTCTGTTAGATTAACTGAAAAACTTCTACAAAGATCAGTGACCACAACGATCGAAATAATTGTTTCATAACAGGCAGCGTCGTACATTCTTGAACCTGACTGTGCCGTTCACCTCTACGAAAAATATCCATGTGCATCGCAAAGTCCGCTACCTTTTCACACTTTCAAAACCGTGAAAATGTTCAAAACTAAGATTCCAATTCGATTAAAAATCGTGTCAATAGGCTTCTTTACGAACACAATACAAAAATCACCGTCTTAACAGAAGGGTGAAAACGACATTTTACGTAATCATAACGGCAGTCGAATATCGTTGTCCTTGTACAAACAACCGTCACCTTTCGTAAAATTCGAACTTCATCGATAAATAAACATTTCTTATCGGCACGCACACTTCTTGCCACTTTTATTTCCGCTCGACTGGTGCAAGGACTACTTCAAAGTATTATCACGCGCACGCATACAAAATGGCCAGGAGAAAACACCTTATAATTTTATTATCGTTATCCTGTGTAATAACTGCTAATGCTTTATTCCTACCGGAAGCCCGCCAGTATGGCTCATCGTACGGTTCAGCACCAGTCCCCTCGCCTCCTGCCACCATGGCACCACCAGCTGTCACACCAGCGCCAAATGTACCGTCTCCAAGTTATGGAAGTTCACCAATGTCACCGCCTTCCAGCTACGGAAGCAACCCATCACCACAACCTCCGTCACCGTCTCCACCATCCAGTTATGGTAGTTCTCCTCCAGCGATGACTCCCCCCGCAATGACTCCTCCAGCGATGACTCCTCCAGCGATGACCCCGCCGGCCAGTTCTCCGCCAGCAATGACTCCACCGGCCAGCTACGGTGGATCCAGCTATTCCGCACCATCGCCACAACCTCCATCACCGTCTCCACCATCCAGTTATGGCAGCTCTCCTCCAGCGATGACTCCCCCCGCAATGACTCCTCCAGCAATGACTCCTCCAGCAATGACTCCGCCAGCAATGACTCCACCGGCCAGCTACGGTGGATCCAGCTATTCCGCACCATCGCCACAGCCGACCACGAGAGCGCCCACAGCGGTGACGATGGCGCCTAACCAACCATCGGGTTACGGAAGCTCTCCGATGTCGCCACCATCCTCTAGCTATGGAAGCAATCCTGCGCCTCAGCCACCGGCACCGTCTCCACCCAGCCCAAGCCCGCCATCATCGGGCTACGGCAGTTCTCCGCCAGCCATGACACCACCAGCCATGACGCCACCAGCCATGACGCCACCTGCCATGACCCCGCCTGCCAGTAGCTACGGTTCCCCTTCACCACCCGCCACGATGGCACCTACTCCGGTCCCCATGACGCCCAGTCCGTCTTCGTCGTACGGTAGCAATCCGAGCCCGCCCTCGAGCTACGGAAGCAATCCGGCACCGCAACCACCGGCACCGACTCCACCTAGCCCCAGTCCACCAACATCGAGCTATGGAAGCTCTCCTCCAGCCATGACTCCGCCTGCCGGCACTCCTCCAGCGATGACTCCACCGGCGGCTTACGGTGGTTCTTATTCACCATCCCCCAATCCCGCTCCGCAGCCTCCGGCGCCGGCTCCGCCGAGCCCCAGCCCGCCGTCATCGGGTTATGGAAGTGTTCCGTCACCCATGACGCCACCGGCCAGCTACGGTTCCCCGTCGCCGCCCGCCACAATGGCACCCAGTCCGCCTTCGTCGTATGGCAGCAATCCAAGTCCACCATCAAGTTACGGCAGTAACCCCGCGCCGCAGCCTAGCGCTCCCACTCCATCATCGTCGTATGGTAGCGCGCCCTCGCCGATGACGCCACCGGCTAGTTACGGTGGTTCCAGTTACTCGGCACCCTCACCTCCAGCGACTATGACACCCAGCCCGTCGAGCCCGGTACCAATGGCTCCGTCGTCGTACGGCAGCAATCCCAGCCCGCCATCGTCTTACGGAAGCAATCCCAGCCCGCCGTCATCCGGGTACGGGTCATCGCCGGCTTCCCCGCCCAGCATGACACCGTCCAGTCCATCTGGATACGGCGCATCCCCGATGCAGTCCAGTTACGGCTCGCCTTCCAGCCCGACTCCCAGCGCTCCCAGTCCAGCTTCTGCATACTATGGAAGCGTATACGGCCCTGTAACAGGCACAACGATGGTAGCGACAACAACCACGATGATGCCGGTAGTCACAACGACCACAATGGCGGCTACGACAACCACTGCTGCAGCCACCACCACGACTGCTGCTGCGACTACGACTACTATGGCCGCCACCACTACTACCGCGGCAGCGACCACGACGACCGCTGCAGCAACCACCACAACGATGCGACCAATGACCACCATGGGATACGGCGGATCGTACGGTAGTTCACCCGGCAGCTCTTACTCGTACGGCGGTTCGCCTTCGTCCTACGGCTCTTCTGGCTCCGGTTCATCTGGAACTGGTTCATCTGGATCTTCTTCAGGAAGCTCTAGTAGCAGCGTTGTGCTCATCCCACTCTCGTCCTTCACGTGGTTATCCAATCCGTTCACCGGCGTACCGACACTCGTGTAATAGTACCGACATTTCGCGAATGTTGACCAATGACCGCTTGTATACAACTGTATTTTTGCTGTAAATATATGCATGTCCGTTTCATTTACTGTGTGAAGCCGAACGCCTCAAGCACATTCACTGAGAGATACAATTACATATCGCCATATACGTACACGCGTTTCACCACAAAGGCAAAACACAAAATTATGGAAACTCCAAATTTTAAGTCCGAAGAAGGACAACGGTTAGTAGAAGTCAGTACTACTGTACTGCATTATTATTATTACGGCACAAGAGCAGACAACCCCGAAGGGACTTCAGGTCTGGTCCAACAAAACAGTTTTCTGTTAACAAAAACATTTAAGAGAGATTAACAGATCTGAGTATAAATTTAAAAGAATGTACAGAACTAGCTTTGAGAATTTTAGGATTAACAGCAAGAGTCTAAGTCTATTCTTTGTTTTACTATAAAGCATAAAGGCCGATAAAGCCTTACGCTATTTTACAAGAAAACTGGAAGAATCGACAAGAATTAGATTTTTACAGAGTAAAACAGAATAAACCATTGATATACAAGGATAATTCCTAAAAATCGTTTCTCTTTCAATTATTTTATAAGTTCATTTTACTTCTTACCCAAGAACAAAAACTGCCGCCAAAAAACTCATTTTAATTCAAAAACAACGGAAGCAATCTATAAACAATCATAACAGAAAGATTCCTAATCATGAGCAAATCGAGCAGGCCGATAGGCGCACTATCGCAGTGCAAAGCAAAATTAGATCAGTATTGATTAATTCACAACTTACCATTTTTTCGAAACCAACAGAAAATTATCACACAGTTCCAGAGATTTCCTCAAATTTTTTAACAAAAACAGATGCATTATCCTTTGGTCCATTTCTACAAGACACTTTTTAAACAATCCAAAACGCGCTGCGGAACCTCATTCGCATCCACTCCGTTCAAAATGGTCACAAAGTCCCGAACATGCGAAATCCAGTATGGATTAGCAGTCACAGTGTACTGAATATTGAGATGAGCAACTAACATGGGCATCGCATTGTCCAGTCCATCCTTCACGGCCTCCAAACGTCGAGAACATTCCAATCCAAACGTTTTACAAAATCCTTTTAAACCGGAATTCTTTTTCGTTAACTTCTTTCTTCCCATTAAATAAAAGGCACACACAATAAAGCCCTCCATAGTGCAGCTGTCGGGGATTATTCGCAGTCGTGACAGACTTTTCATCAGTGTATCCGCTTCATCGAAATGTTGTTCCGTTAAAGATTTTTTCAGATTTTGCACATCTGCTTCCAAATCACGATCCTGAAAAATCGGGGAAATTTCGGACAGACGATTGGCAGGGAATCCAAAACGTTTCTCCAGATACATAAGCGCGCCCAACAAATCCTTTTTCTTCACTTCACTAATAGCTGCCAGTCGATCAGCAGGCAAATCCAATCCCTGCTGGCGACAAACCCACAAGATACACGCAACACCCAATGCTGGCGCGATATGGCGCCGGTTACGCGCCCCCACAACACCGTGCGGTGCCCGGACCTCTTCGTATTTGTTCTGGATTTGCCTGATCAAGAGAGCATCTAAATTCAGTTTACTGGCTGTTGACTCAATGGAATCGCAGATCGTACGATACAGAATAGACTGCTTTTTCTCGATAGTTTTCCGATACTGCTGGCCACGTTGGCTGTCTTCTTGCTTGAGGACAGCAAGACAGTTCCATTTTGTGGAAGAGCACAGCCCCGACCAATCTGGATTCGGCTGGCGACTATACTGTTCCCCGCTTCCTGGAGAATCTGGATTGCAAATTGGGGAATCTTCAATTATGGCATCACACACTCCGCATAGTAACTGCGGCCCACTGGCAAAATACTGTTCCACTGACTCCGTTTCCTTCAAGCAAGATGGACAGTAGTTAAATGTCATTTTCATTACAATCAATCAACTATATTAGCCTTATGTTTTCTAGTTTAATTTACCCAAGGTCCAAGGAACTTCTAACAAACCTGAAAACACCATTCGGTTTTTACAAAGCCGACTTTTTGTCGCAATAATTTTTCTTCGCACTACGGTGTCAAAATTCTCATAAACGCCTTCCCAGGCGGGCGTCGCAAACTAACAAAACTCACGAGGAAATTGCCTAAAGTACTTACAATGATACAGATACTAGCACTTTTCCGTTTGGATGTTTTCTGTTTTCAGCGCATTTTTAATTTCTGTATTAGTTTCTCAGGGATTTTGGGTCTGGTTTATGTATCTGGGTATTCGCGTTATGCATCATAGTTCATTGTGTAGGTTGTGAAAGGATGACGGAAAGCGTTCCACCTTTGAAGAAACCTTTCACAGACTTCGTGCTATCTGTCGTCGATCCCACAGGCACCACCATCGTGCAGATTCTGCCGCTGGAAAGTTACACATCTCTGTCTGTGCAGTGTTTCTCCGTTTTGGATATTGTGCATCTTCTGGAGCAAACCAGATGGGATCTGGATTGCAAATGGCAATCTGCCGGGTATATTCACCGCGTAATCAGCGATCTTCATCATCGGCAGCTCTTTACGTTTTTGCATCTGGTATATCTCGCCAAGCTGCGATTACTGGTAATCCTCGGAAAAGAACCACCACTGTGGAGTTCTCCGTCCAAGCGACACCTGTCTCACTATGAAATGCCCGAGGAAAAGCGTGCTAAGCATGAAGCAGAGCCGGCGACAGAAACGCAATCTAGGGATGCAACAAAAGAACTTTTGAACAACACTCTGCGCTCAAGGAAATCTGTTTATGGTACACCTGTTGAGTCATCATCTCAGCACGCAGTACAAGAGAATTCTGTAGACGAAAGTATATCGGAGCGTGAAAAAACCACCATCGTCGCGGTCATTCCGGGAAATTCTCGGACGGCAGGAGTTAGCGGTTCCTTTCGTAAATCAGTGCGAGAAGAGTTAACCACGGTTAAAAACAGAATGGAAGCCATGGGTTTTCTTGTGGAAGACGGCTGGCTGCTGGCGATTACGGACGCGGAAGACGTGGCGTATTATGTCGAGAAATCCATCACGCTGAGCAATCTCATGGAAGCCACGCAGATAGACGGGACGCGGGATACGACATTTAGTGCGATTTTCGGGACACAGCGCGGCGTCAACGTGCGCACTGTTGCTCGGAAAGATGAACGAAAAACTATGAAGAAACAGTATTCGGAAAGGAAGCTATCGTCCGAAAGAACTGGATTGCAAGGTGCAGTAAACTATTTTATGAAGTATGTAGCTCCAAAAATTTACGTTACCGCAGGTACGTATGTGGATTTCTCTTTGCGTATTTTAATGTTCTTATATAGATATATATACACGATATATTTGCTCGGGTCACATTATGTATGTGAGTTCCGACTACTGCGAAACACAGTAACCCAATTGTTGTTCTGGTTGTCCAGATTAATTTTCTGTCTTTTAGTTGGTTGCGTGTGTATAAATTTTCATTCTTTTTTTGCCGATTTCATTTGCGTAATTTTAACGCAGTTGTATGCTCGCACCCATACCAGTATTTCGAGGTAGGAGCAAATGGTTTATGTACAGCATGCATTTATACGAGTATATATTATAGGAATTTACGGTTTATATAATTGCTGGCTTTAATAATCGTTTTCTATTTCCAGAAGCTGGATTTGATCCTTCGGTTCCAGAGAGGGCTACCGTTCATAAAGGAGAATCTGAGATGGATGTTGATGGCAAATACTGTGATATGCTGGACATGATAGAATAAACTGCATTGGTGAACTTGAGTCGCGCTTTGTCAGCCATGTAAGCGTTAATCTACCAGGGTCTTCCTGTCAGAAATTGTGATTAAGCTGAAAACGTGGGTTTGTTGCATTCAGTAATGTCACTAATGACCGTTATTAGTACATTCCCTCTTTAATAATTGCTAATTGTATTGCGGCACGATATTGGTGATGAACTTCGTGAGCTGCTCATCGGGGCTTGAGATTATTGGCCACAATACCTTTATATACTACTTGTATGAAAATCCGCTCGGTATGAAGATGTTGGGAAATTAATCTATTGTCTGGGATCTGTTTATTTTTCAAAGAGATTACAGATGTTGGTGCGGCAGGTGATTGCTGCGCATCACTGGGCATTATATACTCGCTATAGGCCTGAATTACCTTTAACTGGCCCAAGTGAAACCTCCCACCCAGCTTTTAGTAAGCTCTAGTAATTGCTCCGTTTTTATTTTGTGCGTTTTTGGCATTCATAACATCTGTAATTTGTTGTTGTTGTTTCGCGGCTTGAAGTAGTAATTTGCATTTAATTTATTTTTAGCAAAGTTACATTATGAAAAGTGTACATCGTCGCTTTGTAACAATAATACTCACCACCTGGTCAAAGGTGATATGCGTAAAGTTTAACTTCCGGTAACGTTTCTGTTTAATCATTGTGGACTTTGCGGTTAAAATTACGTTTTTTACCAGTCGTAGCCGTCATTCCTCGGCACAATGACACTGCGATCGCCGGCCGCTGTGTGCGCAATCCACTGCGAGTCAGTATCAAACCGCATTTCTGATAATTTATTGAACTTGATCTAATTGTTATGCTTGGGCAGTTATTGGTGTGCATCTCTGCTGCAAAAGGATATGGTCTGTATCGTATTGTTCTACTTTTAACTAGATTTTGTGTGAATTGTGACGTTTTATTCTCCAAATTAGCAAAAATGCGTAAACGGGATTTGTCTAGCGGGATAACTGGTTTCATCTACTTTCTGTTATCCTTTGTCACAATCTGGGTTTTCGTTCATGAATCCGCCTGCAACAATATTGTTTTGCCGGTCCACCAGTAGGGCACTGAAGCGAAACTTTAACGGCAGGCTACTCTGTATAATCAATTGACTGAATTCATATTTGCACTCGTGCTTTACATTGTGCTGGACCAACATAAGTGGCATTTCAGGTTTGGATTATATATCGGGATTACTATGACCTTTTGGTGGACCTGTGCTGAACTTTGTAAACGGTCCGGCTTCCGTAGCACTAAGGAATAATGCTGATTCGCAGCGCATTATTCCTGTTCAGTTGTATCCAGATCCGATTGATTGTTGCCAAATATAACAGATACTTTTATGATCCATTTAATGATTGGGATAAGGAATACTACGATTCGCCTTCGGATAACCTGAAGATAGGTGAGATACGAATGAGGCTAGGTGCTTAAGATGCACACAATGGTCAAATATATCGTGAAATTGTTTTTTACCGGCTGAATCAACATATGCTCTAGTAACTGTTTTTATTGCCACCAAGAATGCTGTCATCACTGCTGTTGTCGATACGTATGTTGGACTACTGAACAATTTTCAGAGGAAAGCAGTAATTTTTGCATGGCTTATCGGTTGTCGTGGGTTACTGTTTCTCGCAGTTTTGGATAATTTTATTCGATGACATAATTTTTATAATATTTAACGTGTTTGTTAATATCAGCTGCTCCTCCTCCTCCCCCCGTTCCTGACCCGCCGCAAATCCGTGCCGATTTCAGTTTCGAGATTCCCAAAATTCCACTGCCCTCCCTACCGGCTGTCGGCAATATTGGTGGCCCACCCTTCGCTGCCGTTCAGACGTTTTCCACTCTTCCTTATCCCGCCATAAACTCCATTCCCGATGGTGGCCTTCCGTTAGGCGGATATGGTGCTTTTAGCGGGAATAGCCAACCATACCACCACAACAACTTCGGTGGATATGGTATCGGTCTCCGCGGTGGTCCGGGTTTCGGTTTTAACGGGATCGGTGCTCCAATGGGCGTGTTCAACAATCTCCCGAATGTCGGAGGCTACAATGATTTTGGGGGACATAGCGCCTTTCCATCGGTGGGTGGTTACAACGGTTTCACCGGTTACAACAGCCGGGATGGGAGTATCGGCGGTTACGGATACGGTAACCAGTTTCAGACGCCGTTCAACAACTTCCAGAACAACTTCCAAAACAATCTGATGGCGCAACCGGCCAGTTTTGCTGCGTTACCCGAACCGTTGCCACCGTTACCGGCGATCTCATTCTCAAATTACGATAACAACGGTCTGCTGCCACAGTTTCCACCGGTGGATAACTTTAACCGAATCTCACCGGTGGCCAATCAAGGTCCCTTTGATCCGCTGCCGGTGACCTTTGAAAAGGATGCCGATGCGGCAGCGGTACCGCTGAAGCCGGTTGTTGAGAACTTTGATGCGGCAATAAAACGCGAACGTTTATGCAAGCCGACTGGTCGACCCGGTCTGACGGGGTTCTGTCGCAACAACTTTGATGTGATTAATAACCGAGTTTGTAATAAGATGGCCGTGGATAGCCGGAATACGGATTGTGCCGAGTCAGAGCTGTGCTGCTACTGGCGGCCGAAAACGGCATTACGGGCTCTGCCGCCTCGGATCTCGCGACCGACACTGGCACCGGGATATGCTTTTGTCGCACGGCGGGCGCCTGATCAGGAGACCACGGATTATTATCATTTTGCCTCGCGGAAGGAAGGGAATGGATTGTCGGCGGATGAAGTGCCGGGGAACGAAGATGAAGGAAATGTGACTATTGGAAACTCCAATAACCCCGTTGACCGGGGTTTGGATGCGGCATCCGGTATTGTCAACCGAGTGATGTCGGAAGGAGATGCGTTCAGCTGGGAGATGAAGGCCTGTGGGAAGCTGGGTGTCAAATCTGGGAATCGGAGGGTGTCGAGAATTTTGAACGGAGATAAGGCGCTTGATGGGGAATTCTGCTGGCAAGCGGCGATATTTCTCGGGAACGAATATTTGTGTGGTGGAGCGCTGATTGATGATATCCATGTTATAACATCGGCACATTGCATACAACGGTAACTCGTGTTTGTCGGTATCTAAATGTCATAATTTGACTTTATATAATATTTAATAAAATTTTACACAGTAATCATATAACATACTATCTGTAGTGTTTTTGGTATGTATGGTTTTTTGGTATGTTTTTGGTATATTTAATGTTTTTAATTGAATGTTATTGTAAATGTTAGCTATTCCACTAAGTCTACTCGTAGAGATTTTTAAATTTTTGTAATTTCACGCGAGCAGTTCAGATTATGTGATTCAGCTTTTATGCCTCTAGTTTCCAGAGAGACAAAACGGCTAATAATTTGAGAGTAATTTTTGGCGCGACGGATGTGAAGAACGTTCCGGTTGGCGGATGCGCGCAAGCATTTGGGATATCGTCCGTGAAACTCCATGATGCTTTTAATTCCAAGACTCTGTCCAACGATATTGCCGTATTACGGCTGTCAAATAGCGTGCCAGCAAATAACTGTTCATGTGCGCTTTGCCTGCCAGAATCATGGACTGGACCACTGAGAATTGATTCTACGTGCCTCGTTACTGGATACGGGTTGTCCAGCAGTAAGTTTTGCCACATATTACAGGAAACAAAAAAATTAAAGTGAAAATACAGTGCGGCCACTATATGACTGTGCAGGCAAAACCGGTTGTTTGTGAACTAATGTCTAGGTGTCGTTTTGTGAATTAATATGGTTTATCTTGCGGATGTGAAGGGTGGGATTAATTTTGACGCGATTGCTAATACGCTTCCGCTCAATACAATATGAAAAATATTAAATTCATGATGTTTTTTCGTTAATTTCAGCAACTAATCCATTAAGCTATGGACGTTTGCGCTCATCTCAAGTGCAAGTGATTAACAGCACTACCGGACCGGTTAACTGCCAAATGATTATGAATGATTATAGCGGAATGCCTATTGATTATAAGCTGGATCCGTCAATGTTTTGTACACTGAGCCGGGACCAAAATTACGCCAACGGATTGGGTGTGGGCGACACATGTATGCGCGACGGCGGTAGTCCGCTGATTTGCGCCCTGGACGCCGATGATCCACAGAGGTTCACATTGACCGGCATTGTAACATGGGGGTAAGCATCCTGGCGCCATAAGCCATATGTTCGGTACAAAGTACTTATGCATGATGCATCTACATTTTAAATCTGGTGTAAATAAATTTGCAGGTTGGGTTGTGGACGGACAACGGAATCCGTGAGAATGCCGTCAGTGTACACCAACGTCCGCAAACAAGTGCAGTGGATTAAACGAAATTTACAGTGATTCACGACGGCTGACAAGAAATGAAAGAAGTAGTATTAATATTGATTGTTATGTGGCTTCCTTGAAGTGGTCATTTGGTCCAGGTGAGGCTCATGGTTAAATAGTACTGCAGGATCCAGTCTAACTAGCTTGAAGCTTTTGTTATACTGGTATGTACATTTCGAGAAACACTTGAATTAAATTTACAGTGTAATAATCCAGACAAGGAGAACAAATTTTGAGTGTTGTTTGGCAGGGAAATACAAGAAAAACATCCTTGCTTCTAACATTCGTGACAGTGTACGACAACAGTCTAGTAATATACGAGAACAATGCAAGCCGTACCAAAAAACTTTACCTATATACATTAGTTTCTGTTCATGTGGGAGCGACAATCTGTTGAATAAAATCGGTTTGTTTGTAAAAATATCTGATAATCATCGATGGGTGGAGGGATTTTTGAAACCAGTAAAACGAGATCGGGATTCCTCGAAAACAATACTTTGAGTACCGTCTTTAATGACGGTAAACTCCGAAATGGCGTCTTGGTCATCATTGAAATACTCTTCTCCGGAACTGTCGTCATCCGATACGTAGATGGCCGCGCTTACCGGCTGATTTTGAAACGGTTGCTTGCTTGCAGCCTTTCGAATGGGTACCGGTAAAACCGTGGCCACGTTGTTAGACTATTAATAAAAAGGAACAGTTTCAACACAAACTGCTAACAACATAAGAACAACGACAAAATTTTGTCACTTAATAGATAAAAGTATAAAACGACAGTATACAATTTAGTTCTAACCTGTCCATTCCCGAAAAGTGTAGGTGCTTCCACATCTGCATTGACTAACTTGTTCCGCTTGACTAGTAGCAGCGCTTCGATCTTCGATGCTTTTTTCGGTTTAGCAAATTCATTTAGGGAATTTTCTGTCTTCACAGTATTTCCGATAGCAACGTCGTTAATTACGTTTTGCCTGACCTTCTTTTCTGATTTTACGGATTTCTTGGCGCATTTATAACTTCTTTTCCTTTGCTCAATCCTCTGTAGATCCTCCGCCGAGAGCTCCATAAAATGCGAATTTATGGTCGGCTGAGTTTTATTTTCTGATTCTGGTACGGTGGACGTCTGCGTGCAACTGATTTCTGGTGCCCCATCAAGCGCATCGTGATCCTTAGGATGACCAGGAGAGCTGCAGGTGGCGGAAACCACTTCTGTCAGCACAGGTTTATCTTCGACAAGTAGCAGACTGGCCGTTTCTTGTTGAATAAGTTTTTCAATCGAAAACGTTTCTGGTGCTGCCTTTCCGTCTTGGTGGGAAGCGGTAGCCACACTGGGCGATTCACATTTGACAGTGACCTTTTCTCGCTCAGATGCCTCACTCTGATCTCTCGAACCGGTACTGGTTTCCTTCTGGATTCTCTTAGTTTTTAGATACTTTGGCACGTCATCATAGTCCGGGTCGGGATCTCGCGCCTGTAGAAGGAAGTCATGCCCTTTTGGTTTCGGATGTTACGTCGAATTATGTATATAGATGACTATCGTACGTACTAACCATTACATATCGTTTCCGAGCACGCTCAGCTTTCTTTTTTATTTCCCGTTGCAGTCTGAAATAATATTGACGATACTTGTTTATCAAGTCAGTTGATTTTAACGTGTCGGCAGGCCACAGTGCCATAGTTCTGGACTTCCGCATCGATGCCGCTACTAGGTACTTTGCAGGTACAGATGACAGAGGTAGAAAAATAAGAAAACAGTTCACAATCCATTAGTAACACTATCGATTCTGTACGCGGGCCAGCATAATTTATGTTTTTAGGACTTCTTTCCTACGTCTGTGGGCGGTTATATAAGTAAATGTAAGAACTCAATTTTATTAGTAAATAATTATTAATTTAAAATTTATTACTCACTTTCTTTCGTACTGCCGAATAACAGAAGCACTGTTAAAACTCGACGGAGGCTCCCAGGTGTTGTATCTGCACAAAAATAAAACCTTTTACTAAAGTTTGCTGACGAGTCACATCACAATCTTATTATAAGTCATAATTTTAAACCAGTTCAGTTCTTACTTCTCAGAATAATTTTTCCACTTCACGAAATATAGCGGTTGTCCCTGCAAGAAAAGGATATTCGAACAGCTGCATTTGTTAGTAAACTTAATGAGGGTGTAAATCGTAAAATAGCAAGCGATCTTGCGTAGAACTGGCCCAATAAGAAATAAACGCTCCCATGTAAAAATTATGAGCAATCTTAAACACGATTCATATTTATTTATTAGTGACTGGCCAGTTAAGCAAATACATACTTACTGAAACAGATTAATAGCACAAGCTTGTAACAAAAGCATACGTACAATATTTAAGCATTTTATCTGCAGAGTATATAACTATATGACGGATTACGTTATTATACTTTGTAGCATGCATTAGTCACCAGTGGATTAGTGGACATACACAAGCGCTTTAAAATTGCAATTAATGACAAGTCAGTTCTAGTGGCACATTTTGAAGTACATTTCTGATATTTTTAAAATTTTAACAGTGCGGAAAGTTTAAAATTACGCATACTCGTATCTGAAATTTCGTCTTGATTTTAACCATGCAAAACGTACTTATATATGTGCCTATGAAAATAAGTCATAGCAAATGGATTTAATTTTACGTACACCGAAATTCCCTACCAGAATTGTAAAAATAAATTAATAGAGCAAAACTTCTTGACCAATTTAATTATTTGCGGTGGTGCCCTGACATTTCGACCACGTATGTTTTTCGGTAGTTCGGTTACCCAATAAAGTAAAAATTAGTGTTGAGATGTTAGAAAGTATTGCGTATTCTTGCGGTCTTACTGAGTATCATTAATGCGGCATCTTTTCTTTATTAATTAAACTACAAATTCAGGACATTACAGTTTTGGTTGTCTTTTTCTTGAGAATCTTTTCCACGTAGAATATTTCTTCGCCGTCTTCGCCATATTTCGGTTCAGATGGCGACCGCTCTTTCCGTTTTTTAATCGGCTGGTCATCAGATATTTGCGCGCATGATGTAGCTGGCTTCGTTGATACAGGATCACACTTTTCCCGTTCTGCATCATCAGTTGTCGGGTGATCATTTGGACCATGACCGATGTTGTCCTCATACGGCAAAGTGGTTGGAGGTGAAATAAGGACAGGATCTGCGTTGTTGGCGGTATCCTGTGATTCATTTGGAGATCTGGACTGATCGCTTTCCATGATTTCTTACCGCAACCAAATTAACGAACTGTCGCAATACTAACAAGTCACTTTTTCGAATACATTAATTAAATCACCAGCCCTTTACGTGAATACGAGAGTAGTGGCCTCGATGATATCTTGTGCAAAGGATATTACAATATCCACAAAGTACAATACAGCGCTATTAAGGGTTATCTGGAATTCTAACACTTCATATTTCGCCGTAAAGCATTCAATGCTTTACTCGGAAAACTGGATTATTTTCCAGTGCTGTGTAAACTGCAGCATTCGAAATGGCTTCGAACGGCATCAGAGGAGCACAGAAGTGTGGGTTTGCACCTCTTTTGCTATGACGAGCACGTAGTGAAAGCGAAGCAGATGTTGCTGGACGACTCTCTCTGGAACTGGTGCTAGCCAGATCTGTCCATTGGTCGAAACATAAACATATGCACGTGCTATAGCAACATTCTCCGAGACCGGTGCCGCGCTTCCAAAACGATTGCAGTTATTGTACTACCGTACCTATTTTACGTAGTATGCTATAGTGACTACAGAATGCTGTCGCCAATTTATGCATCTACGAGTATATATGCAGAATGCGGCACACTGGCGTTGCGTTTACGTGATGCAAAGTTAAAACTTTACTCGTATTGTTTTGTGTTTCCGATGGAAACTTATCAATAATTGTACTTTAATTTGAGAAATTCAAGAACGGCTTTGCAAAATAATTAACGCGGCAATCACTTATGTTACAAGTTTTGGAATAAATGACAGACTATTCTCATTGCGTACACCTACTTGAACCTTTTTAATTTTATTATTATTTCTTGGGGGATCAGGTAGTTCGTTTCCGTCTAGGGTGATATACAGGACTAGTATGGGATGAGCCTGGCCAACCATTAAATGTAAAGACAGTCAGAAAGACGAAGACGGTTTCTTTGAACTTTATACTGGTACTATTTTTGATGGCTGTTGCCTATTGCATATTAGAGTGTTATAGTATAGCAATATGAGTATAATAAATCAGATTAGAAACCATAATTAACGTAATGCTGAAAATGTCCACTTTTTTAAATCAGACAGCTTTAGCATTTAATTTGGTTTTCATTTCTATTTCGGTAGTTGCCGGTCACCTCGTTTACGTACCGTACACTGGCGTACAGTACAGTACCTTTAGTACCGTTTCCATTCCATCTTGCTGTTGTGCCAACCGCCTGAAGGGTCCAGTTCGTTGTTTGGTCTTACTACTGAATCACTTGCGCCCTGCGTATTAGTTGGCGGTGGGCTCGGTGCATAGCACTGCATACGGGATTCTTGATCTTCCTGTTTCGTATTCCCTTTTTCTGTTGGCAGTATGGTTGCTGATGCACCGTGATGCACCAAAATTTGATAATCTTTGTACGAGGCGGCGTATGGCGGCTGATGTGTTTGTTGGGGCCATTTCTTGTTAATTACCAATTTAGTGAATTTACAATATTTATAGCCGTATGCGCAGAAGTTTGTTTGTAATGATGGTAATTTTTTGACATCTTTGAATTTCGCAGAGATCAAAGTTGCAAGTTATACGGATACCCTGACCCATCCATGATCGGTGGTGATTTCGAATCCTGCGATCTGTGCTTTCGCTGTTGATTATTGCGGGTGGGGTTAATTAGATTGTAAGCAAAAGGATTTTTATTCTTGGACTTGCGTCGTATCTTAATCAACTAGAGAAGCTACTGTATCTGGAATAAATCATGGCATCGCGAAATCTCACTGACATCTTTCATTTAATGCGTAATAATGCTATCCAGCGACTACACATGTTCTCCGATCAGATGAACAATCGCAATGGCCAGGTGAGAAAAACCATATTTGTGATAAAATAGCGGACGGTGAAGAGGTTTTCTTCAGGAAGAAGACAAGGTTTCCCTTGTACCCCGCAGAGCCAGGAAAGGATTCGAAATCGACTTGGAAAAGGGGGAAATAGAGCTGGACGAAACTGTGACATATTCGCGCGCTGTTGCTCCTCCTGACTGGTGTGTAAAGATAATGATATCAGTTGTCAAAATTAATATCCCAGAACTGATATTTTGCCTGAATAATGCAATAACTATGGCCTTTAATTACATTAATATTTTGTTAGGGTTAATACGATTCCTGAGTTCCGGGAGCAAATTGATCTTCTGCGCCAAGAAAGTGAGTTGAAAAAAATGATTTCCGATACCTGGCAGCTAATATCATAACGTGAATGTCACGCTGTCGTAAATATTTTCATAGCGAATACATACATAATACATATACACTTATTATACAGTAGGGTAATCCAGCTGTTTTTATTTAGTTATTACTTATAACTAACTACTTATGTGATTTGTATCATTTATCATTTTTATGGCCAATAGTGTTTTTCTATACCACTGTACTAGTACAAATTAATAAATCGAAATGCATTTTCGAAGGTATACTATCATAGTAATTTTACTGTATCTGTAGTAATGCAATTAATCTCTTTTAAAAGAATTATTTGTCGCTTTTTCGCCGTAAATTGTTATTTGAGCGCATTGTAATAGCTTTTTTCGATTAAATGGTGCTCGGTGGCAGATGCCAGCGTAAGGGCTTGTCAACGCTAATTAATTCCTACTCGTTTTTCTGCATTAGTTAAGGAACTGAATCTTTGTCATGACAAACATCTGACACGGCCGGCTCTGTTGTTTGATGATAATGAGAAATCCCAAGAGGAGGAGCGTATAATTGAGCAGCTGTCCGAGGATCTGACACGGAAACTTCACCAGCTCCAGCGTCAAGCCGAAACATACCGCAAACGCTCGCAGTCCTTTTCCTCCAAACAGGAAGAGCGTTTACTGAAAAACATTATCCTGTCTATCGTATCCGAGCTGCAAGAAGTAACCACGGAATTCCGCCAAAGCCAATCCGCTTATTTGGCGCGTAAGTCCTTGAAGTAAACTGTGGCAGGCCGGGAAGAGTAATTAAGTTTAAAGGAAAATCGAGCAATTCAAGCCCGATAGTTGGGATGAGTGCTGTTTCACATGCTGTGACAACGTTTCGAGCGGTAATTAAATTTCGGTTTCTGGCTCACTTGTTTTCCCACTCCTTCCTGATGATGTTTCACTGTCTTTTGTGGTTCGCAATACGCATTTCCATAGTATCTTTATGACTTCATGACGTTATCGTTTATCCGACCACAATTCATGGACAGAGAAGCTGCGCATTCATTATCTGCGGTTTGATCTTTTGCACACTAAAAGTAAAATTTTATATACGTTGTATATTTTGTACTTGTACTTGTGCTTAGTGAAGCGAATTTTAACAGGTAAGGAAAAAGAAGAAAAATACCTTTTTTGTCAGCTAATTTTTCCGGCAAAAGCGGTATTTAATAGATAACGTGTGCGGTAAAATTTTAGTAAGTTTTTCTCGGATAAGCTTATGCTACGTATTTCCGTTAATTCACCGAAATACAAGGATATATTGCTTCAGTATTTGGACGGATTTGTTTCCGCTTTTTCACACTCTTTTTCACGTTCACGTAGGCTTTCGGAAAAGTTAGCAGCAGTAGTTGCGTAGCATGGTGTACACTTTATGACTTTTTCCAACGCTTTTTAGGCATGCGGCAACGGGAACAACAGTCAGAACAGTATTTCGGCAGTCGACTGACAAAATCTAGTCCAACGGGATTATTCTCAGATCGCTATGGAATAGAGGATCATGATGATGCGGAAGATGTGACTGTTTTTCAGCGTGTAGGATTCACATCTAATCGTTCGAGTCCATCGTTTGGGAAATGAATCAAATTGATTAATGGATCTGTGTATTTCAGGGGAATACGGGACTTACGAGCCAGCTACAAATTCATGAAGAAAATGTCGAGATGGCCCGTCATCGTGAACGACAAATTACCGAAGTAGTCAAGTCCATAACTGAACTCAACGAAATTTTTAATGATCTGTCCATGATGGTTGTAGAACAGGTAAAATCAGTATGCTTTTTCCGCTACATCGTTTACTAGATGTACGATTTATCATTTCGCGTCCTTAGATCAAATGCCGTTATAGAACATCTTTGCATCTTATTTTGCTGGTTCTTTAATTTCGCTATTATCCGGTTGTTTACCGGTTTCGTTACTTACCCGTTTGCACTGGTTTGCATATACTATACCAGTTTGCTTTGACCTGACTTGCTCCTTAGTATGATAATTCGCTTTACTCTTTTTACAGTAACAGCGAAGTGGTAGTAGCATTATTTCGAAAATTTCCAAAAGATTGTACGAGGGCGAGTCATGTGATGTGACTATAATATGAGCACTATAAATCTGCGGTTTGATCGGTATTCGGTAGTATTGATCGTCTGTATTATTGATTTTCTTCCCTAATGGTGTAATAATTTTTTTATTCTGTGGATACTGTTCTGTAGGGAACTGTTGTTGATCGGATCGATTATAACGTTGATCGTGCGGCTGGACAAACCGCAGTTGGCTTGCAGCAGCTGCAGAAAGCCGAAAATTACCAAAGAAAAAACCGCAAGTTCATTTGTATAGTATTTTTAGCTGTTGTAATTGTGTTTTTAATGATTATTTTGATTGTCGTTAAGTCTTGAATGCTGTGCGTGGTTACAGTGTCAGAAATGTGGGCTTTCGTTTTGTAATTTTATTATTGTTTGTTAAACACTTGCCAGAATCAACGGTTCCTTTAATTTGCCTGGTGAGATTGTCGAATGTCGATACTTTGTGCGGTTGAATGGAATCTCCGGATGTTGTTGTAGTTTAGTAACTTATTTAAAATTATAAAACTTCGCAAATTCGATTAAATTCAAATATTTATACTTTTTGCCGAAACGATTGCTTAATCGTCTTTGCGCGAATGCCGGTGCTTCCACCTGCAGTGAACTGCAAACTGTATAAACTTGATTTAACAAAATATTAAATAGCGTGGGGACAAACTTATCATTGCGGCGCGGCGGATGGCGACATTTTGTTACAAAATCTGCAAGTTCATTAACTTATTAATTAAGTAGTTAGTCCGAGGTTGGATTAAAGAAAAAGTTGGCATTTATTCCAGAATACGTATTGTTATGACTGAATTTATCTAGTTGCTCACGTCAGAAGGATGCAACTGAAAAAGCCAACCTACTGGTATAGATCGGGTAACCACACAGTAGTTTATCATTAGGGAATAAACCTTTAATTTTTTTTAAACGAAACGCATTCATTTTACATTGCATTAAATATGCCCACTTATATCAGCAATGCTTCATGGCGTAAATCTTATAAAAGTTATTCCTGACTATGTCAACAGTTAACAATTGTTATCACGGGTTATCCAAACAGCAAGAATAGCAAACGTAAATTACAAATAAAACCGCTAGCATTACTATACTCGTACGCCTGTACCGACAAAGCTTCCTGCATGGTTGGAAAAGTGAGATCAATACAAAAACAGCAGAGCCCCCGTTTTAAAGAATCCCCTCAAAGATTTGCAGCTGCCCACCAACCCGAAGATGACGCATTCAATCAAAGGGTCTTCAAGGTCAAAATATGTGCCGTCTAGCAGCCTTAACATGGTGTTGAGCGTGGCTGTTTCCGTGACACCGGCCTGTTAGACTGAACAGGCTCAGCCTCGCTGTCCACATGTACAGTACCCGCTGTACGCGGATTCCCAATCACAATACATCCCTCTTGTGTTCTCCATCGGGAATTCAAATATTTCCTCTCAACCGGGATCAATTGATCGGCCGGATATGTGGCCTGATACGTGCTCTTCCATGTCAGATCCATAGCGTCCTCCCGCTGTTTTGCCCATTTCTTCGTTAACTTCGCACCCAATCCGTACTGCATCTCCGGCACGCCCACCGCAGAAATGTGCACTTGGCTGCCGGTTATGCGGGGATTACGCAGTGTGTATGTCTGATGGTACAGGGTGTGCTTGGCTGCGCCCTGATCGTTGGCCGGGGTGCCGGGCTCCGGGTGGTGCACATCGTCCACGGATTCCGAATTAAAGTGGGTTTTATTTTTTAAAAATTCCTTACGACTGACACGGTATGCGTGGTCGATGGCGTCGTGCAGGCAGTCTTTGCGCGTAAGCGGGCAAGCAGAGGCCGGGCGCGGCTGGCGGCCATTTGTTGTCGCCGTCTCGGCGGTCGCCTTATCGCCCAGCATGTAGGCCTCTTCAAAAGGGACTTTGGGGAGAGATTCGGTAATACGACGCTCCTGCCAGGATCCCATGAGGACTTTGGAGCAGTAATTCTCTTCTTTATATGGCAGGAGACTTTTCGCATCGCCGGGTGTACTGCTGGCCGGTCGCCCATTGTGATGGTTATTAATGGGGATGGCCGCTGATGTCGGCATCGTGCGGGCCTGTTTGGCCTTCAGGTCGGGAAGACTCTTCGTGGTTTTTATTCGGGATTTTCTTGACGACATTCCCACAGCAACTGGTTTGTTACCCAGATCAAAACATCGTAGAAATCATAATGGAATAAAATAAAAACAGTAATGCGATAAGTACTTATTAAAAAGCTGATGAATGATGCGGGGCTGCCGGTTGCACAAATGGAATACAATCCGAAAATGTCCTAAAAAATATGCAAATTGTATCAAGGGGCATAATCAAATTTACAGCGATTAAAAAGTCATGACACGGATTTCTGTAAATACGACTGAACATATGTCGAAGAACTGGTGAAAGTACAGTACATAAACATGCGACTTTTACTGCTTACACGATCGATTGGAAACACACAGATGCCACACCAGATCGGTACAACAGCATCAATTCACAATCATGTCAAACGTCTGCTCCGGTCATTATGCATGATTAATTATGTGAATCCGGCTGCCTCAACAGACCACATACTTATGTATGGCTCACCATAATCCAGAAAATGCAACAAGCCGCGGAAAAATACCATGTGCAAGTGTATCAGCGGTGATGTGTCATTTTCTTCTCTAACTAACTTGTCAGCACTTTTATAACGTTATGCGGTAGCATGCATATATGCCGCGCTAAACAGAAAATAACCATAAAGCCGACCCAGTGCCGAATTAACACAATTGTGCTTATTATTGACGGGGCCGGAAGTATGGCTGCCAAATCAGTGCGGCTTCTATAATAAGCGCCACCAGCTGTATGTTGTATTCGGTGGCACGTCGGCAAATCTGCGTAGCGGTTTATATCGCGACAACCAATAATCAAGCAAGTACATATAGCAGTATCCTACATGTGAACCGCCGAGACTACAAAAGCTAAGCCGATCACACATTATACAAGCGTGACCTCCCGTCAACTGTGCACTTATTTGATACTGTACTCTTGCCGTAAAACGGCATGATGTGGCGCAATGGTTAGTCCTGCCAGATCAGGAAGATGTGTCTAAAGGGGTTTTGATCGATCGGGGAAGCACTTCCTATACTTGCGTCAGCATGGAGTATAGCGCAGTAGGGGAATTACAGCTGGTGCTCAGGAGCAAGTGTGCTCTCGTATTGTCCAGTTTTAGTAGTACTTGTAACAACTTCTAAACCGACATGGGACGCTTTGTTTCATGTATGTACTCGTACTTCTATTCCAGTTCTGATACAGCACACTTAAATTTCTGTCGCAATTTTACATAGTCGAAATAAATTATAATATAATACTGACCCCACTTTTGCAAACGTCCGAGTGATCGGAAATGACATACAGATAATATCATGACAATATATGAATACGAAGTATAATTGCTTAATAATCCGCAGTTCCAACTTCTGCTGTATTCGTATTTATAAAGCGTGATGTACCGGTGCGAAGTATTTATTTATTTATTATGTTGTGAGAGTATTTTATAATTTGTGAATGATCTCGTCCACAGAATATAAATATACTTAACAGTCTTGGAGAATAATTTAGAGCGAAAATAAAGCTGCCACAGATCTAGCTCGCTTGTCAAATTGTCTATAGTCTTGCGACGAGGTTGTTGTGAAACGCTAATATATAAGTAATAACATTAATACCGCGTGGTACTGGGATAAGTATGGGTACGTGGTGCTGCTCCAGTATTTTTTATAAATGGTAATTGGAGCTTTCAAGTAGAAGTATTAATTCATATAGAAGTGTGGGTCAGTGAAATTACTGTTTTCCACCTAGTAATAAACTGTCCAGCTGCATCAATTGTTGAATTATTAGCAGCAATATATCTATACAATGCTGCCATTACTTTTTTAAAAATATGGCGGAGGACTTTTATGGCTTGTGCACTTCGCACATAGCAAGGTAGTTCGTGACAATCAAATAAGATGCGCAGCAGAAAAATAATTACAGGATTGAACCGCAGTTCAATAAATCTACATTTCTTTTGTAACGCCAATATCCAGCTCCACCGTTGCACTGACCTTTAAAAGGGCTGTTTTTATACGGTATCCACATAACGTTATACATAGCTAGGCCGGATTTAAGTATGTCATCGACTTTCGGATTGATTAGGTTCAATTTCGTGAGACAAATTCTACCGTTTTTATGTAATACTGCTTACATTACTCAGATCGCCTTTATACAGATAACCGGAATATTACTACGTATTACCCTGATTTATAAATTCCAGCAGCAAACGCATACCACCGCATTAGAAATGTTGAAATACACTTTTTTGATTAGAAACAGTCTTTTCCGTCGCCGAAATACCCAAGGTAAACTGCATGACCTTTATCTCTAACTCCAATTATTCAGGAACCGCGTATAAATATTGGGGTCATCGAAATTACGGATGATATACGTACATTATTGACAACAGACTGCAATCTATCCATTTTGTATACAATGCAATGATCATTAGGAAGATAGTTAAATGCTCGCAGCTGCTTCACCCACTGCAACGTTATCGTTAGACACTAACAAGCGTTAAAGTCCAACAGCATCCATGAGTCCATGACGTCTGTGGCACTATGCACGGTCAGTTATAGAAAAAATATTTGGCCTTTATTAGTGTAAGCTCAAATCGCCACAATCTACGGCTCTCTGGCTCTTCTTTTTTGCTGGATTTCTGAAGCTCTGATTATCAAAAGTGTGGCTACAATGAGCGCATCCGGCGGCTTGAGCATTGTAATGACATATCACTTTCTGGTGTTTATATTTGCTGCGCCGGTATCACTGGCTACCAAAAATCACGCCCCGTCTTATAACTATGGATCTCACAGTGTCTTCCCGAAACGTCCAGTTTTGCAACTGTTGCTCAGGGATGTTGCTATTATGGAAAATCTCGGCCCTTTTCCTCATGCAAAACGAAAAGAGTTGGCCGTGTTAGCTGACAGTTTACGAATGGTACAGGAGCTATCGGAGTATTACAATCACAAAGGTCGACCACGGTAAGCAGTAAAATAACATACAACGTATTTACTAGCATAAAGCATTACATGTTTATCAAATTTTATTTAGTAAAAAATGCATCCGATGGTGTGCTGAACACTTGTGACTGTAACGCAATTATAAAATGTATAATGATGCAAAATGTCTATGCATTAGATAGTGCAAAAATTAATTAATGTTTTATGGCCTTTTTTATAACTTAAGAACGCAAGGTACATTCCAGTTGAAATATAGATATATACACCGCCACATATATTCAAATCATAAGTATGACGAAAGATGTATGTACTTACAAGTAAGTACAATACATATGTATCTACACCCTGTACCACTTTGTAAATAAAATTATGTTTCAGTAAATCCATTCTAATGCTTATATTCCAAAGTTGTTTTGGTTTAATCATACCTAACTCTGTGCTCGCGGTATCTGCAAGTGTATTGCAGAAGTGAGTTCAAGTTAACAGTTGTACGAACATGTTACAAAACCTTCACACTAACTTCCTTGCAATTAAGAAATACGTACATACACCGATTATTAGAAAGCCAGCTACTTTGAGCATTCTTTTCGCACTCCAGCAAAACTCAAATATCGCCAACATTGTGAACATCTTCCTGACGACCTTGTGAAAATCAGTGTATTACAAAGGCAGTTATGCAGAGCCAGTAGAGGCACTGTTCTCTGAATTTTGTTGGGTGAAAATCGAAGATCAGCCGACGTTGCTTGAGAATAGTAGCTCGTTAGGACACAATTTTATGTAAAGACTACTTAAAACGCATAAATGAACAATTGGAGAGTTTTTCTGCCTATTAAAAATTGACGTGCCCATACGCTACCGGCGTTCCATTAAGTCTCTTTGTTGAGGGACATCCCGCATTCTAAAGGTCTAGCTTTTTCCAATGAGTCTAAGTTTTTCTGTTAATTACCTTTGGTTGTCTCCTATCCCGACGCTGTACTCCAGTTTAAAGATTCCAATTTGCATGTCGTATGCGTGCTCTTTTATGTATGCGTACGTGCACGCTGATGTGGTTGTGACGTTAATGAATTCTATGGAAACTGGCCGCTTAGACTCGGCACGAATGTTATTTTGTTGGGCTTTTGGGGCAGCTTAAAATGCAAAGATGCGGGGATTACCTTTTTAGAATATCTCCCTGATGGTCTAGAGTAAACTTGACATTTCAATGCCATAATACTTCTATACTTGCATGTTGAATCTGAAGGCGCGTAAAATCGTTTACGAGTACTGTGTATGCACATCGAAATTGCATTTGCATTGCCGATGTTTAGCAAAGCTTGACAAATTATATCATTGTAATTACTGAAAAAGCATTATTCACCGTTTGTTAAACAATATATATTACGGGCTTTACAGCAAAATTTAATTATGCGTTCCGGTAAAGGAAACATGCTGATGTTGTGTTGTGTTTATGCATATCTCGCCATCTTCCTGTGTGTACCGGTAGTGTCGGCTTCAGAATTTCGTCAGTCGGGTTACAATCGGCGCAGTGCAGCAGCGCCGGCGCATATGTTTTTGGACGATATGCAGAAAGGCATGCCTAATCTGCAGCTAGAGCCAACTGATCCCAAATATGTGGAGTTGTTGAAAAGTTTACAAAAACTGCAGCAATTAAATCGTGTGTTGTCACATCGTGGACGATCTCGGTGAGCCAAATTTCGCAAACATTCACAGTTTAGATATATAAAAATAGCCAAGCAGATATTTATCAATTTTTATACTTTCAATGTTAGACCATTGCTTTATTTGTTGTATGATAACTTGCGATTCCATTATACCGTACAGAATACAGATATTTTCTGTATCATAACTTCTAAATTGAGGAATTTTTAAATTTGTATCTAAGTTGAGGAAGATACAAATTAAACGGGACTGATTTGGCCCAGTTGTTGCGTCAGGGAGTTTACCGACAGGCTTCAACGTTTTATTTTAATCCACTACGAATTACAAGCAATCCCGTTTGTAAAGCCATGATGCAAATGTAAAATATGGGTTGGCCTTTTGCTAGTTGCTGCTACGGTTTACGTGCACTTCTTCGATGCAGTTCGCGGTGATCAGTAACGGGGAAGATGCCAAATTCAGTTTATTTATCCCCATTCTGTAATAATACAGTGATCGTGCATGCTCCGTCGCAATCCTGTAATACTTTCGAAGTATAGTTGAAAGTGCACTTCAAATCTTCAAACCTTTCGCAAAGCTTTTTACGTACTTTACATTGCGGATATCAGAAAGCTCGTAATTTTATGAGATAACTACTGTAATATTGGGAGCTAGCCTTCCAAAATTAAACCACAGTACGTCATCACGGAGCACGGTGGTTTTCTAAATTTTAACCTAATGCCATCATATTGCAGGTATGGTCGCAGTATCCCTGATTTCATGAATAACATGACAGCAAAGTAACCACCTACGATATCTTGATGGAATCATGCTCCACATTGGTGCTACTACCACCAAAATGGTACCACGTTGCCCAGGGTTGCCGGAAATTCTCACAACACCTGCCGCCATTCAGAGCAAGTCATGCAAGAATGTAGTTCATGCATCCAGTTTATAACTGTATTTTCCAAGCATTAATTAACGAAAATTACTTGATATTCTATGCGAAAATAATTATAATGCTCTTTATGTGTACTTGTATACCAAGGATTTATCAATGATGCGCTTTTCTGCGAACGTGGTCAGCGATGCAGCTTTGTTGTGTCTTCAGTATTTGCTGCATGGCCTGAATCTCGTTTGTGTTGTTCTGTTGCATGCTTTGTTTGGGGTCTAATATAACTACATATATTGTTTTAATAATCATTCCTTAGTCATGACTTTGTAACTGCGAATTTTGTATCTCACCGCAAAAATATTTAAAGGTGCTCGGGGTCAAACAATAAATTTTTGCCGCGATTACGGGCCGGTACAAGCTCTTTAAGCTGTAATATCAAAACCATCGACGCATTATACTGTCAATAATTACCGCGTTATGCAGTACTCCTAAATCCCGATGAATGCACACCGTACACACTTCCTTTGTTTTATTTTACAGAAAGCCTTATTTTTTAACAGTGCCCTCCACCACAAACAATTAGAAGTAATAATAATGGCACAATAACATAGTAAAAAAAAGTGTAGATAGACATACAATTTAACCAACCCGAAGATAAAAAATATACTAGTGTCATTTTTTTTTAGAATAATTCGGATTAACCAATAGGCACACACTGATTCTGCAGCCACCGGTACGCTTCCGTTTTCCCTGCATCTTGCAGTGCACGGCCCACATGCTGCATACAGTATTCGTGGTACTTATTAATTCTCTCAATCTCCACCGGGGTTAACAAATCGGGCCTGAGCAGTTTTCTTTGCAACGGCACCATAGTGAGCACACGGAATCCCAAAAATGTTGCATTTCCGTACGTCATCGCTGCTTGTTCCACCACCAGTTGGTCTTCAATGCGGATACCAAATGCTCCTGCTTCGTAGTATCCAGGTTCATCAGTTACTACCATCGCTGCCACAAGGCCTGGATCGTTAGGATTGTGGCGGAAGCTAATAGACATTGGCCCTTCGTGAACATTCAGAAAAGAGCCCACGCCATGGCCCGTTCCGTGACCATAATCCAGTCCAACCTGCCATAAAGCATGCCGTGCTAGTGTGTCCAACCGGATTCCTGTCGTCTGTTTGAAAACAAAAGCATTCACTCGTGAATAACTAGTCCCGGTTCTCAGTAGTCAGTATACGAGCCGAAAGACTAGAAAGTAGAAATGCTGTTGGCTATGCTCAAAAATGCATCTGCAAAAACCCGGAAATGCAAATCACATATGCTAATTTACACACGGTTTATACTAAATGGTATTTTGTAAAAGCATGACTTATGATTTTTCTCGGAAAGCCTCGTACTTATTTGGACTAACCTTTTCGGGAAACTTTGTCATAGCAAGCGCCAAATTGCCCTTGAGCACTCTTGTATAACACTCCTTTTGATACTCGCTGGGTGTGCCAAAATGCATCGTCCGCGTCACATCCGTTGTACCATCCAAGTACTGCGATCCGGAATCCAACAAGAACATGTCGTTGACCGAAACCACGCGATTGGTTTCCGGTGTGGGTTTGTAGTGAATCACAGCGCCATTCGGTCCCGATGCGGCAATAGTGTCAAAGCTCAGACTAATGTAGTTCTCCTGAGCACTGCGGAACTCTTCAAGTTTTGCTGCGGCCGATAACTCCGAGACAGTGCCTTTGGGAACTTCTTTTTCCATCCAGGCAAAAAATTCAGCTAGTGCAATCCCATCCCGAATATGACAGCTAACCATTCCTTCCAGTTCCACACTATTCTTGATAGCCTTCATCAAGGTAATCGGGGAAGCAGTACGAATCAACTGTTTCGCGGGAATTTTACTGAATACTGCGTGGCTTGATTCCGGTGCCACCCAAACTTTCTTGGAAGCATTCTGATGCACAATTTTGTCCAGTTCAGAAAACATCTGGTCATAAGGCAAAATTACAAGTTCCCTAGCAAAAAGTATTGTATTAAACGAGGGACTAATTCTGAAATCAACAAAAAGTCAAGGATTACAAAACTTTACATACATATCTGTATCCATAGAATTTTTGTCTGAAAGGTGCTCCAAAACACCAAAACCCAAACCGGTTGTCGGTTGTTGAAATATCCGGTTGTCGTGCAAGTGCACTTGCCCATGCTCCATTTTTGTCTGAAAGTGCTCCAAAACACTCTGTGTCACTTTGAATTCCTGAACGAATAATCGAACAGCATCAAAGCCAACAATGACATAGGAAAAAAACACCGGGTTGTATGGAATGTCGGCACCTAAGAATACAATAAATGCGATCGAATTTGAAGTACAGCTTAGGACAAAAAAACGCATAATCCCACCCACTGCATTCCGAACGCATGCGGCGCAGTGCGCTGTACGACTCAGCTGAAATATCCGGTTGTCGTACAAGTGCACTTGCCCATGCGTACGGATATCTGGGTATGGGGCTATGCGTCTTTTTAGTCCTCAGCTGTACAGTACTACCTTTTACTACAAAACCAGTCTTTACCTCGCAGATTGAGCAGCCAAGCGATTTCATCCAGAGCGGTTACGACAAGAAAATCGGCTCGCTTTTCCGTCATTTTTTCCCGCACCTCGAGAACCTTCTGTCTCCAGTCTTTTCCAGCATACTTTAGTGGCAACACACAAGCAGTGTTGTTAGAAGGTCTGGGGCGATTCTCCCACACAAAATCAATTAGATTCATGGGAATAGGCACTAAACGTCGTTCCTGGCTCTCCAGCTCCTTGGCCACGGTATCCCATGTAGAATCCGACATCGTCGTGGGATCAGCCCCAACTGCACTCTGCACCGGAGTATGCTCGTTCAGCCATTTTCCCAGAGAAGGTGTGTCAGGTAAACGATCCTGAAAGCAGCATGGATATCCAATATTTTATAAGTGCGAATATTTTATAAGTGCGAATTTCAAACGCTGCACTGCGATAATAAAATCTTAAAGCAATTTTCTAAGTACATCGACGGTAAATCCTGGTACGGTTTATGTTAGTCCAAATTAATCGCTTTATGTCACACGATGCACCCATTACACTTTCAAATTCACGTTAATGCACATATGCAAAGTGCAAACATCAAAATTTCAATTTTTCCAATTTCCAGATGCCTGTGGGATACAACGTTCTACGCAGTAGGCACGATTAGAACGACAAAAGATCAAAAATGCAGAGAAACTAAATTCCGGGCAAGTAATTTTCTGAATACGGTATATCACAAAAACCGTAATTAGTTATTAAACCTATACGCATTTTTTCCTTATGGGCAAAAAACAGCTAAACTGGTCAAGGATTGTAGCAGTATTCCCACACTGACACTGACTTAAAACATAAAACAGTGTTCACATTTTATTCTGCCGTCAGTATCCAGACAGATTTAATTACCTTGACCAGCACCCAGTTTTCATCCAGCTGATCCGCCGCCTGCAGAAAATATCGTCCATCCGTCCACAATGCCGCTTTATGCTCCGTGACCACTGCAGTACCGGCCGATCCCGTGAAGCCCGAAATATAAGAGCGTCGCTGATCCGACGGCCCAATATACTCATTCTGGTGAGCGTCATCCGTCGGGATAATATAAGCCGCCAGGACTTCCGGCACCACCGTCACATTCTTCATCACCTGACGCAGCTGATACAGGCGATCGGTGGTATTGAGTTTCGGCATGGTGGAGTAGGCGCGACTGTTGCGAAGTAATGCACTGGATAGCGAGTTACGCGAGCAGTAAGAATCGGGTGAGGATTTACTGGATGGTCCGGGCAGGTACAGCGCAAAGAGCGGAATACTACAAACAATTACAATTACCACACCCGCGACAAGCTTTGGTGCAATGTTTTTGATGCGGGACACGAGAGCTGTATGTGATGATGCCATACCGAGCACAAGGAGAACGTCCGCAGGGTTGGTGGAAAAATGAGAACTGTCGTTTCAGGGAACGGGATAGGTGCGAGCCAACAGCTGCAAGCAAGGTAGTTGATAAACAGCAGGAAACTGTCGGATGCAATTTCACCTTGCTGATAAGCAAGCTGCAGGTGCAGGAGATAACTTACCTCGATAAATAAAACCAGATAAGAGCATGCAATGCGCTGATCGCATAAACAAGAACTAGCATATGACGCTCAGAACGTCAATTGTGAAAGAGGTGAAATACCTAATTGTAAGTACCCATACAAAATAATCTAATTATGGATAGGACGGACAGTTTTGGTGAAAGACACAGACACCGAAATACTGGAGAACCGCAGCTCACGTTTCGGAAATGAGCGATATTTTTGCTTTTCAGGGTACAGAGTTTCAGGCTGAAAATCAGCTCTGCAGGACAACAGAAACTTATAAACAAAAATACAAAAACCTAATAAAAATGATTAATAATTTTACTGTTTTCAGTTTTGCCTGTTTTTCAGTTTTTCTGCAACTTTGCCGTTTGCGTCCCGAAAGCTGTCGTACTCGTAAGTGCACGATTCGAGAGGTGCGCAGGTGCACGCACTCACTCTGCACATTTGTGAGCATAGAACTAGCAGCTGATAGAACCAGTCCGAGCGCATATGGCTTCATAATGTCGGGCACTGGGCAGTGGCACAACAAATTTTTCGAAGCCATTCAAAAGTTTTGTGTATCAATATACTTAAAGTTCTATCTGGGCTATCTACCTGAATGCGATTTCTGTTCTTCGTCAACAAGATCTTATTGATTTACAGAGCAAAATTGATGTCCAGCTGTGTTTTGAAATCACTTAAAAACATGGCTCAAAATGAAGAGCGGCGATCCCATCCTTTAATGTTGCCGTACCATCCCGATGAAATGAGCGACGAGGAATGTTGGCTGACGGAGCAACAGTTTGCCAAGGAGAGCAACGATCGGGAGAGCGCAGCAGATGATGATGCCGTCTCAGAAAAATCTTTCGGACAACACGGAAATTTTCTGCACATCTACAACGAGAAACTGAAAGAAGACCGTGGATGCCAATTGTTTTCGGGATTAGACCGCAGCCCGTCGTACACGGATGAGGAGTCGGTATCAGACAGCGTAAGTGACCTTACCGTTAGGTGAAACGTCACGGTTGAAAACTACTCGTAGAATGGAAATTTGCAACTCGTGTGGCTTATAGTGTGATCTTCAGTTTTACTGCGTTAATTACTGTACATTAAATCTGAGTGTATTTATATCCGAATTATGATAGAGCATAATTATTGCAGAAGGAATCGACCCGTGCGCAGGCGAGTGAAAATGCGGAGTCGAGTCTGGAGGAAAAAGCAGAAAAGAAGATGGGTGTTATGGGGAAATTGGGGAGCTTTCTCGTGAAAGTATTCTGGGATCCGTCAGTCAAAAAGGATGATAAGAAGATGGGATGATGCGCACAAATTACAGTACTTCCATGCAGTTGTGCAGCACACACCCTACCTATCACACGGGTGATTTCACAACGAGTACGATACTTTTATTCCAGATGAATATTATGGTAATTTAATTTAAGGTTTACCGATGATCTCCAGATTGCGTCTTGTGATAATTTCATTTTGGTTAGTTGCTTTATAAAGTTCAGTGTTTGTTAGGATTTTGGGTTAAATGTTTCGACTTATACAAAATCGAAGTTTTGTATCTACTTAAATTACGTAGTTGTTCGTTTTATTGATCTTATGTTATGAGCTTGGCAACGTTGGTTTCAGATTGTGCAGCAGCCCATGCGTTTTACAGTTTTGAATGGTTTAGCTGTTGTTTACTTTATGCGGTTATGCACGCTTTTGTTGCTGTTTGGTGTGTGTCGTTACCGTTGTGCGAGAATTTTTTATGATTTGAAGGTTTTGAATTTTTTGTAGTAACAAGATGACGGCAAAATGTCAGTTTGCCAGTAAAAGCGTAATCAAACCAGCTGATCGATTTATTATCACGCACAGTACGAAATCTGAGGAGAAATTTCACAAGCACTACAAAGATGCTCCGCGGAAGATTTTCATGCGGCCACCGTGCGAGCACGAAGCACCGCTCCCGAATCCTGCCATCGAAATCAACAAAGCCTGCAACTACGCGGTGTATACGCTGAAATGCCGCTATTACGACGAACTGACGGCACGTCAATTGGTTGCAGTAGAACGCGTCATCGAATTGCAAGGTTCCTGTGATATTCATGTGGAAACATTACACAGTTTCAGCACACTGCTGACCTCCATTTTAAGTAAAATAACCGAACACACGGATTTTGCCCTATACGAAGCGTGTTTAGTGGAATTGGTCAAAATTGTCAGTCGTCCGGTGAATATTTCCTCCTTAACCGCATCGTTTTTTGAATCCGATCATATTCGCGATTTGTACGATGCCATTGGATTATTTATCGCGAAATCGCCACCGAATTTACTGCATGTTTATATCCCGGCTGTACGGGAAATTGTCAACTATATTATTGCCGATGTGGTGCGGGAATCGGATGCAGAATTCGCCAGTTGTGCGCGGCAGAGTTTTGTGCGCAGTACAATTTTATCCAGTATAATAAACGCTTATGACAATATATGCCGCGATGGAACGTACTCTGTTTTTGTGCTGGGTATTTTCAACGATCTTCTAGAATTCTTACCGGACTCAGCGATTGTTCTGTTGGAAAACGAATTTGTTAGCCCATTGGTCGATTTGTTGGACTGTGTTTTATGCGATGTCGTGGAAATCATACTTTATCGTGAACCGGTTTTTGTCATTTCCGGTCTGCTGTTGCAGCTGTGCTCAGTAAATAGGGAAATCCATAGCAATTTAATTGTACAAAATTTCGCCCAAGAAAAAATTGTAGAGATTATTTACAAAACATTTCAGCGATATTTTCTCACTGTACATGATGTCGATCGAGAGATCCGTAATACTTTTGCGGTTATCATTTTTGTTCTGTTCGAGATTGGTGTTAAAAGCGACGCAATGGCAAATATTTTAAACGCTTATAATATTGTGGAATGGTTTGTGCAAGTAGCAACGCGACCAGAATTAACACACGAAAATTCTGATATTGGAAAGCTCCGTCTGCAGATGCACGCTAAAGATGCCGCACTCAAACGCATTTTACTGCAGACTACAATTCCTGCATTGCGTTTGTTGCCGGATATCGCTTCCGAATTAAGGATGAACATTATGAAAAGTTTGTTATTTTACATGCCGCCGTTTGCCTCTCATAAAAAAACATTCTGGAGTGCTGTTGATTACGAACACAATCGGATAATCGGTGTCCAAGTGTTGACCGTGACATATTCGTATTTGGCCGCGGAGTTTCGTGATCTGGAAGGCAGTCAAGCGGTGATTTCCCTGTTACGCGGCATGGACGGACTGGACGGCGAAGCGTACTTTGTTGGTAACCAAGAGCTGAAAGCGATATTCCACGCACACCCACATTTACTGCTACGGAAAGTTCTTATTCGATGTATACGAACAATTCTGCAGTCAGAGAAAACGGAAACCGAAACATTAACCGCATTCTGCATCGCCAGTGAAGGCATTTATGCACTGGTGCAGGTTTTAACCGCCACAATCCAAGAAAGGGCATCGCAAGATTTCGGGGATTCGGCACTGATTTGGTGTGATATTCTGGCTGTTTTTAACCATGTGAGCAAAAGGGACGAGGTCATTCGGGACTCGGTTCGACAACTGGGGATTCACGCGCTGTTGTCGCTAATGGAGATTCCCATAGAATCGACAAAGCCGGATGGCGCTGATGTGATACGCTGTATCTTTGCTGCCGCGGAGACGTGGGTGGTTGGCAGTGAGGCAGCGGAAATGCAGTTTATCATGGGAAATGGCGTGGACCGGCTGCTGAAACATTTTCAGGAAAGTCCGCCGGAAGTGGAGAAAGTTTTACTGTCGCCGCTAGAAAATATTTTATTGAAAAGCTTTAAAATTACGAAATATTTGGAGTTCCTGCCACATCGTCAGTTTTTGCGTAGCTTAAGCAAATTGTGGCAGTATACCGAAGTGAAGCCGGTAATTTATTCCATTCAAATTCTACTGTGTAGTAGTTGGGATAAAATATCGGATGAGGAGGCTAGGTTGCTACAACCTATTGGAAATTACATGACTGATTTCTTTCAAGAGAATATCAATTTTTTTCTTGAAAAGAACGATGCACTGAAACCATGGATAGCGGAAGAATTTAGAAAATTGATTTTATTATTGCGCAGTGGATCGAACACCGGTTACTCACCATCTGTGGAACGTATCATACAAAACATGGGGGAATGCTCCAAATGTTTACTATACGTCCTGGAAAGGACACACAAGGAACTTACCGCTAATGCGCCGTTTGATAGCAATCTTTTCAAGCAAGGTAAAGTTCTGCGCTTCTTGTTGGATAATAACCTTTTTTGCCTCTAAAATAAATGCAGCGAATGAAGTTGCCAATTTTACACCAACAAATATAGATTTACTAATCAATAATTTAATACTCAATAATTTTTTCATCAAGTACATAGTAAAAATTCATATGAAAATTCATATGAAGTTTGATGAATGGGAAAAACTTTTATGGCAGGTGTGGATCAGCTGGAGTCAACGGCGGGACCTCGTATACTATACGCCCGATCTAACAACTGCCTGTTCGCGGAGAGCACAGGCGAACTTAATAGAGCGATGTTGGATGCTTGACCTTTCCAATTTGCTGGCGATAAAGGGACAGCAGCAGCCCTCCGTATTTTACCACGAACGTATGAAGTATCATGCCGGCACCATCATGCCGGTACTTTCCAATAAGATCTCACGGATCTGTTGGAAAAATGGTTTTGACCACCAGCGCAGGTCCACTACACCGGTCATATCCAAATGGTAATGAACAGCAGTATGCTTTTCAGCGGTAAAGAGGGATTCAATTTAGTTCAAGTGACAGCTTATACGTTTGAAATCTGGAAGCTGAATAATTATATTTTTTAGCAGATCAAGATTGGAGCAATAATTACGGGATCGGAAACAACATAAGCCCCACCATAACAGATATCAAAAGACATGGTTTACCCACACTTCAGTAGTTGTTCGAAAGACATGGTTTACCCACATTTCAGTAGTTGTTGAAATTTTGCTCGAATCGAACGGGTTTATAACATATATTATTTTCATGCTAATTTGTATAGTGCAAAACTGTTTTTTGGTATGATTTTTGTAAAAACAAAACTGTACCATGCAAACGGAAAAGAATAGGTGAGGCACTGAGGATATAAAGTCGCGATCAAAGCGTATTTTGGTAACATTCACGGTTTTGCCAAGCCGGTAACTACATGATGATAGTCTCCAGTACAACATCATTAAAATTTCAAATATATGCTAAGCACTTCAACTTACACCGAATTAACTTACACAGATCAACAAACCAAAAACTTAATTTCACTAAGCTAAAGACATAAAACGTACAAATAAAACCTTTGGCTTTAACAATCCAATAAAACATGCAAAATAGCCGGCACCGGCTAATTAACACCGGAGACCATTCCTGCAACGCTGCAGGGTGGTCGTGTGCATGTCTGCGTGACAACGGGTTTCGCTAAACGGTCACAATGAGCATCTTCGAGAATACTCTCCACGGTCACATTCCCAATAGGAGCCGCTGTCCGGACACACTGGACTAGCCGCGTCTGTGTTCCATTCCCGCACTGAACGCTGCATTCCTTCCAGTTGCTGGCGCTCCACCTGAAATGGTCAAAACGAATTGTGTCACTCTAATTCGTGTTTCGGCATAATATGCCGAGAAAAATAAAGCATATATGCTTCATTTACGTACAAAGGACATGGCTCGGTATTGCACGCTTCTTCCAAAGCTACTACGGGACGCGTTTCCGAATCGCAGTTGCTTTCTTCAATTTTCTGACCGCCCTTTGAAGAACTGGCATTCTTTGTACAGTGCACGAAATTTTTCCTTGTGCCTACAACAAACACTGATATAGGATTTTAACTGAACTTTTCCGGACGCAATTTTTTTAGCGGTCACGACTCATATCATTCACATGCTATTAATTTTCTGCTGGAATTTGGAAATATAATTCATTTCACGTACCGCCATCACAGGATTTCGAACATGCAGACGACATAATAACCCATTGGAAATGGGATGAATCATTGTTGGCGCTTGGGATTGTTCCTGATTGCGGCTGCTCAATGGCAACAAGGGGCGATTTGTCAACGGTGTGATTCACTTTCCGTTTGTGGCCAGATGACTCATCAGCCAGAATTCCTTTCGTATCAGCGCACTTGGGCGCATCGTTTGGGTCTGCAGCTACACCGTCACAAGCGAAATCCGTACAAACACCCTAAATTTATCCAAACTAGTTAGAAAAAAAATTAAAAAAACATCTCTTTCGTATACCTTGTAATCTCGCGCTAATTTTTCCTTACCTTGTAACAATAGGCCCCGAAAGTGCTATCTGCATTACACCTTGTTCCATCAGGGAAGTACATGTCCGGCCATGACCGCAATGTGTTTTCCTTCTCGCACCACAATTTGCATGATTGTCGATTATCGGAAGACGAATGGGGAAGCTGCTTTCCCCGACCAGTTAGTCCATGGTCAAGAGTCTTCAGTGCGCTGCAGATTTTTGTAACGTATGCTTCCGCTAAACAATTATTCCACAATCGTGTTACTTTAGCGGTCTGATATCACACAGAAATTGCAAATGCACTCGCCGCAAAAAAGTGGATGCTGTTTAGTACACATACTCATTAAGTGGCTTTAGTATTGCTCTTACCAGAATAAGACACTTTTGGACATGTTGTGCTGCATTTTGCTATGGACGTATTCCTTCCAATACAAATGCCCGCGGGATCCACACATTTTCGGTTAAGTCGGCGAATTCCGGTACTGTTCTGAATGCAGCTGGCGATGCACGGGCCAACATTTTCCCACCCACCCCAGCTCTGGTCTACCATGGCGTAAAACGGATTCTGATCGGGAAACAGTAATGTTTTAGTGGGAAGAGTAACCGGCGTATTTGTATTGATCCCATTCGAGGTATCCTCCCCGTTCACAAGCACATACGTCGGCGTTGTTGAGACGGTAGTCGTCGTCGATGCGGTAGTGGTGAAAGACTGGCATGACGCCAGTGAGCTTTCGTCAAGTGTCCATCCATCGCATCCAAATGCCTGGCAATGGCCGTCGAGACAGAACGCTTTACCGTTTCCTCCGCTGCAATCAGTTCCATCGGGAAATTTCGCTCCCCAGGTTTTGTATCCTCCTTGAAGAGTATCACACCATACCACACAACCACCGGTTGGATCCTGAATTCTTTGTCGACCGGAACCGGCCAATGTGATATCATTCTGCGCAGTTTTTGTGGACGCACACTGACGATTTGAATATTCGCTTATAGTTGAGATATTCAGTTTATCACAAAGGGACGCCTGATCACAAGTACGGTAACGCTTCGATTTGCCCTGAAGAAAACACACAAAATTATAACTCCAATACACTGCAAACAAAAACACGAAAAACTCGGTAAAACATGGAAAAAGTATTTGTTTTTTACTTCAAAAAACACTTTACCTTAAACACGAGTTATAGCCTAATCGCAAAATTTTACATTATATACGCAACGATCAAGACTTTTTTGGAACCTCGACCTGAAAAACGGTGCCCGGTATTCATTCATTCGCTAGCGGGAATTATTGTAAGATTTGTGTGGAGAGAACGATTGACAGTCGTAAGGTTTGTGAACGGTGAGCGCTTTTTCATAATGCAGATTACACTAAATGCAATCGTCTCAGCGAACACCCACAACGACACTCGGTCGATGTGGATCACTAATAAACATTGAAAGGTTACGTAAACCAAGCTGTCTAAATTATGTAGTTACCAAGCCGAAAAATTAAAAAGTTTCCTAACCTCGCACGCTTTGCCTCCGTTGGATGGCATTGGATTCGTACAGCTCCGATCAAATATCCTCACCCCCGTACCGGGCAGAATACAGTTGGCACTGCACTCTGCTGAGGAAGGCCATGCCGACCAGCCTCCGTCAACCGGTATCGGGCCCATGACTCCCCACGGGACACACTCACCACCACTGCACCAATGTCCCGCGCCGCAATATGTACCAGGAAGTGCCGGGTGACCGGTGATGTAAACAGTGGAGTTGGCACAAATCAAAATTTCACAAACGTCCTAAAATAAGGCTATTATGTCAGGCCACAAGACATTATTCGCAGTGACTGAAGCAGTGATTGCGAAGAAATTAGGAAACAACAATTTTTCGGACAGCTAATGTTAACAAAAGGTTGCTTATGAAAGTACAATTATCTTTGCTCTTTACAATTAGATTTTAAACGTCAGATTCACGAAGAGCAACTTAAAAAATTTTAACAGTAGTAAATGTCTAAAGACCCTGCAACAACGTGAACACCCAAACAGAATCCAGCATTTTATTGCATGTACGAGTATTTACACAATTGTTATGCGCGAAACTTACGGCATCTGGTTGCATATTATACCGATGGAATTCAATTCCGTACAGTAACCGGCACTGGTCATCGGGTGGGTATAACTGGCCAGGAAGGTTACCCGAATAGAAATCGATGGCACTTTCACGGCCAGGCGGTACATCTTTTAAGCAGGTTGACTGCGAGGACATTAGGAAGGCGTCAAGATAATTGCGACTACAGGTCGACCAAGTGGTTTTTCCACGTCCCGTACTCGGCGACATTAAATAGCTGAAACAATAGCAGAGGTTAATGGGGGAGAATAATTTTCGGTAAGGAAACGATAACAAAAACCCCGCGCATTACCTCTGCGCATCGCATCCGTTACCCGATACACCCGCCTGTCCATCGTGTTGCATGGTCAAACTGAAATCCAATACGTCAGCGATTAAAGTGAGTAATATGGTAAATAATAAATCCGATATATCCACGTAATTTAACGCTCATGAGAATACCTTACCTATGACCCATCTCGTGCGCAATTACAAAAGCAGCACCAAAGTGGTTACCTATAATGCATAACAAAAAGTATGAATAAGGAAAAATGCCACAATTATGCGAGTATACATAATTGCAAATACAGAGAAACATTAATCAGGCTCGTTACCCTCGTTAATTGTGCAACTATACATGGGATTGCACATCCCACCGACCGGCGCGTATCCTGTCACAGAGCGCATGTTGCCACTGCGCAGATCAAATCCCGTGAGAATGATGGCGTGGTCCCAGTGCCCAGGGGTGGACAGATCTGTGCCCGGATTTAATCCACCTGATTTCGATAAGTTAGTCATCGTACCACGCAAAAGCAAAAAAGTTAAGCTGTTCCTTAACAAAGCAAAAAAGTTAAGCTGTTCCTTAACTTACTCTGCCACTTGCAAAAATCCCACAAGTATTTATCCACCTCTTCATTATAAAATGGCAAATGTTCATTCTGTAGTATTTCCAACCGCACCAGAACAATTTCTACCGTCCGCCCGAGGGACGGCTCGTTGTAGATAAGTTGTACCTGCAAATATGAAATGTAAATATTAAACCCAACCGCCTATGTTATTTTTAAAAATTTCTGAAGTATTGCGTTATTAGAAGGTATTGCAAGCGAAGCGCGTGCAGGTTAAAACTGATGAACGTTTTTGTTCTGCTTCTGATATTGAAAAATTCCCGTTGATAGCGCGTTGGATTTTACGGTAATTAACAACACACGTATACACAGTTTTTCCTGTGTTTAATTTTCTTTCGCGCATATACTAACTGCATCTAAAGTAAGTGATAACGAGCGAGGGAACAGGCGATCTGGTGGTCAGCAAGGATAATCTGGGTTTAACAATACCGTGTTGACAATGGCAAGGACATATTTCACGAACGCATCATGATCTGCCAACAGAGTCCTTCCCACGAGTGTCCGATACAGCATGTAATCAGCGAATACGGCCGTCTCGATGTACAGTTTGTCCACGACGGGATCCGAGCGTCGATTGCGGCTGCTCTGCAGAAGCACTGGTTCATGTGCATATGTTGTGCCGGCAACCAGCTTTTGCGGCTTATTCAACTCTGCCAGAATATCATAAAAGAAATATGAGAAGTTTTGCGTCAACATATTGAACACACTTCCGGCTTCGCACTGACCGTGGACACCGCAGAACGTTCCCGTCTCGTTTTTCGGCACCAATATGTGCATGTTGCCTTGCTCCGTCACGCTTTCTTGGAAACGTGCTGGAGCAGGCTGAATTTGGTAGCGTCCATCGGATGTTTCGATAAGGCCGGTCTAAACACCATACAAAAATATTTACCCATCCGCAAAAATGCAGAAATTTAAAATAGGGAACTGAGCTGAAGTACATAATCAGGATATATGCAAGCCTAGGCTGAAAAGATGCGCTTCAAAATTCAAAATTGGCAGATTACACGAAATAATTGTTCTAATAAGAAAAATTTTTTAAATTAATTTTTCGTAACTAAAAATAAAGTACATTAACATTTCGAAATAGAAGTAGAAGCTGGAAATGCTCTAGAAAAACTACTGCAAAAAAAGAAAAAAGTAAATGAACAAAGCAGAATCACAACTTACCAGCCCTTGTCCATCGCAGACCGACACAGCTGCTCGACCATGAGGTGACTGCAGGATACGTCCATGGTATAAACATTCTGTGGCAGCGGTGATGTTGACATTTAGCCCTTCCGGTTTCAGCTCAAAATGTGGAGAGATCAGTTGAGTGTTGGGATACAGATGCAGCGTCAAGTTCTCGCCGTTCAGATGTAACCGATAAAAAACATCATTGGGCACGACGCTTCTCTTGTTGACGGTATGGCTTCTGATAAACGCAATTTCATATTTGGGAACTGTAACAAAAATCCATCACTAGCATTGCAATTTGCAGTCAAATATGTAATCCTCAGTTAGTTCCAGTTGCGCACCATCGTTATGGGAAGTGGACCCGAAAATTCCCAGCAGTTCGCGTTTGGTCAGTTTGTGGTGCAGATCGCCAGCAACGTAAAACTGTTGCAAAACCGACACATGGTTAAAATTCAGTACACTGCTAATGCCATTGCAGGTAATCATCCGGCTGCGAAAAATCGATCGCAACTTACATTAATACTGCAAATTAGGATTAGACAAATTACTGATGCTGACCACGTGGACAAATCCATATTCTTATCCTCGGACACCTGGTTTGCGCAACACTCTTGATATCTGATCGAAAATATCCCAGTTTTCCCAATGTCAAACCGCCCTACACTGAACTGTCCAAAATACGCGCATTAGGTCTAACACGCGTACTTCGTAAGTGTGCGTAACCCCGAAGTGACCAATCGGCTGATCCAAGATAAAGATCGGACCGGAACCGAGTACTGGCACACAAACCAAAATGCCGGTTCAAGCAAGCAAACCTCAAAGCCTTTGCGGTTTTTTCAGATATTATCCAAGTTATGAGGATTATCATAATATACACCTCGATGATGATCCAGTTAGCCGCAGATTCTGTTAAGAGTAGTAATATTAAAAACTCCTGTCGTCGGCAAATCTAGGCGCAAAGGTCCATCAACTAGCACGAACTCGGTATATTTACTTGACATTTTTTATACGATGGTTGTAGTGAGGACATGCTTCCGCCGTTTATCCTCGGCACACTTTGCATCCTCGAGATCATCGTTAAACCAGATCTGGCAATATCGTTTTCAACCCACAATGATAAATACGCTGAAATATTTCTTGCAGGATTCTTGGTATACTGTACTACAATCATTTGAAATTAACTGTGATCACCGTATTATCTATGTCAGTTGGAAATTGTTGAAGATGTCCATGAAACTCGGTTTTTCGAGCTCTGCATCGCGTTTCCGTACATAGCCGGAAATCGAAGCCAGCAATACTTATAGTCACCTAAAAGTACATATGCTGATTACTGCACCTGCCCAATGGTGAGGCGCCATTGCACCGAATGACCAACCCTGTGTAGGCTGACGCGTCGGTGCGACTATGAAATGAATATTATAAAATACTACGAGTATGAATGATACTGCGAGAGTGCGAGTATAAAACACTACATATAATCATATATATACTTACAATTGTCCATTAGGGTAGAATATACATACCACATACAAATATCTATATATATTTATAAACCGCACTTTAAAAAAATACGTATGCAAACAAAACCTTCATGGATACGATCATGAAAATGTGCCATATTACGCTATGCCCGTAATTACACCCAAAGAACATAGTAAAATGTTATATTTTCCCGATAATTTACGATAAGATCGTGGGCTTTATAATGTTTAGTTTACGCTACAAGGAATCGAATGTGGTACTACCTAACCTGCAAAAAGGTATTTTAAAAATTACTTCCGTTGGCGGTGTTACATTTGTGTGCCGTCGCGCAGGTAAAAAATTAAAAACGCAGTTGATCGCAAATCACTGTGCTGGTTGTGCGCGTGTCACACATCTGAATATGCGCCCAGAAGACAAGTACTTACGTTTTCCTTTTTTCTACAATGCCTGCATGGTGACGATTTGAGTCTGGTTTAAAACAGTGCGGAAAAACCGAAAAACATACAACATAAATACAACATACTATACAACTTATAGTAATTAAGCAACAGAAGAGCCTGAAAAGGTATTTAGTGTAAGTATTTTACTGTTACGCCCCGCATGGCGACGCCAGTAGTATTGCCACTGCCATTAGCTAAAACATTCCGGCGATAAATACGATTCCAACATCAAGCGTGCCGCAGAGATCCCAGATCCATCACACATTATCCAGCAGACGCATTTGCAACCACTCAACATTTTAAAACTACAGATACTATTGAATCAAACAGACAAAGCGAGCAGTTTTTCTTAAAACTGCTTAAAATTTTTGCTGGACAAAAATCGTTTTACACGTCAGTCGATAATATCCAAAGAAATTCTTTAAATCGTTTCTCAACTACGCCAAGACTGGTGCAATAAACTAAACTACATTTGAACAAGAGACAGCCATCAAGCAAAAATTATGTCCACTTTTCACGAACGTCCAGTAAACAAAATGGGATTCAATCATAAAAGTATGACGGTAACTATTCGGAAAGTTTATTGTACAAAATTCGAAGACAAAGTCATCTCTTTGAGCTTGGTATCACATGGATTCGGCTTGAGTTCATAATTAGCTATTACAATTTCCTCGCGCCGGGCCGCAGTAAATTCACCTCGCAATCCTGCAGGCAAGATCTCCATTGCGAAATATTCAAAATTAAGTAATTTTGAAATTATTTTCCAACAATAGTACATTACTCACCTATATAATAAATTCTGGTTGTATCAGCACCAAAATTACGTTTGAAATGAATCGTCAAATGGTGGACAGTGGCAAACTTTACAATCCTGCAAAAGAAGGAAACTCTATACTGAAAAAAGTTATAGCCACCGTTTCGCGCATACTTGACACCATATTCCAATTCTCCAATAGGATCTTTCATCAGTTCAAATTCCTGGTCTGGTGGTAAACTAAAAAATAATGGTAAGGATTAACTTAAGCCAAAATCCTTCCCAAAAATTTTACGGGATCGCGCACTTAAACCAAACATTCGATTGCACACCACTAGTAACATCGTACAAGTAATAACTGCAAAAATCTTGCTTTGTGGTTACAGTGTACCTCATGTCATCAAATCCCATTTCTGGGCGATTTTTATACCTGAAAACATCAAGTTCACAAATTTAATTGGCGTTTTCATCCGAACTCTTAAATTATGTCCAGATGATATACACATATTTGCATTACCAATAATGATCCACTTACAGGCGCATAGAAGCAGGATGACTGTCTCCGTCTTCACCGCTGACGATAATTCCCTTAAGTTTCACATTGCCAGTAAAACTGGAAAAAAACAGTTACGATCGGGATTATGGATTATGAAACACAAACTGACTAAGTCACCAACATGATAGATTATTGCAACACGCTGCAACAACGATACTTACGGAATGTTAAACAATAACTCGGCATCATCGGCACTCTCAGCATACTGCAAAACCAAATGAACAACTCATAAGACAGTAAAGATGTACTGTAAGCGGACCAAATCAACCAGCAAACCAGTGGCAGTACTGCTGACTGCTAAAAGCCTAAAACCTAAAAACTACAACTAACTGAAAACAGGAAACACGTACGACATCTCGCTGATGACGATCTTCCCAGGCTTTGAAAACTTTCCTACCAGAGCCCTCAACATCTTCATTCAAACATTCAAGGTGGTCCAGATCGATTCGTAGATACAAACTGTACTGAACTCCTCTCTCAACATCATCCCCAGTATGTTCCGCAGCACACGCTCCATGACCATGTCCACCATGGTCGTGGTGGTCACACATTTTTGGTACAAGGGCCACCCTAGTGCAAAATGGTAATCCCGCAGAGAGCGCTATAGAATCTTCTGTCGAAGTTGGTCGGTTATGTTTGCGTGATCCCAGTAATCCGGAGAAAAAAAGACAAGAAACCCGTCCAAAAAATTTAGAACAATCCAGAAGTTACAAAATACTGCATAATAAATGTGCGTCGTCACTCACTTGTCACTTTAGTACGGTTACTGCCTGAAGAGGGCGGTTAACCTTCGACAGAGGTGCTCACTGGCTCAACAAATGTAACGTTACTTTGGTTTTTGGCTTTTTGCAATTTTGCCATTTTTGGGCAATGCTTTCGCGGCTTTATTGTGGCTTTGCTTTTATATTTTGTTCCAATTAAGAAGATTGACTGGCACGACATTTTTTGTATTTATTAGTCGAAAATTTGTATAATACAGCTTTGCGGCGCACGTTTGTTTGACGATAGATCCTTTGTTTGTATACTTACGAGAAAATGGATAAGGTTCCGCACTCGCCCCTTTTGCAGGGAAAGAAGCTGGACGCGTTTTATCGTTGTCCATTCGTCTACGACGGAGCTCTGGAGCTGTCTTATCCTCCTTCGGTATATAAAACCGATAACGTATTTGGATATCAATCACCTAACGTGCGGATCTCATCCACCGGGAGCGGGCATGCATGCCAGTCCTCCTGTCAAGGACTTCATGGAGATACGGTGTGTACACATACGGTTCGTGTGTGCAGTATGCTGGCGATTGCTGCATTCCAGTTCACCATGTGCACGGAATAGACCAGTCAGCTAATAGTTACTTGATCGCGTTTAATTAATATTAATATGGCCTTAGAAAGTTTTTTTATCTGAAAGTTGGTGTAGACTCCGGCTGCTCCGATCGAGTCGGTGGAAGAACTGGTTGCGCGACAAAGTAGGATTCTGTCGAAACTGAAGGAGCTTCGAAGACAGGTCGACGTATTAGATGCATCTCTGCGCAGCAGTGAACCGAAGGAAGAAACTACCGGTCCAGTGTCTTCTGAATCGCCCGTGGTTAATGCTGCTGCGCCGTCAGGCGCACCAGTTGCGCTATCTCAAAAAGTGAGTATTTGCAGTTTTCGGCTTGGGTGTGTGACTTCCCAGCTTAGAAAACGATACTGTAGTGTCATTACTGTCTTGAGCGTAAATTAATCCCATTTATTTCCTTTTAACTTGCCGGAGGCATCTATTCAAACATTGTGCTGATTTTATTGTAGCTGAAAGATTTATCTGGAAGTAAATCGGCGATGCAGGAAGAAATATTAAATCGCGAAGTTAACCTCTTGGCTGATCTGAAGAAATTTCGCGAGAAGATAGACAAGTTGTCGGGCAGCTCTACTCTTTCTCCCACTAAGCCGGAGCTTTCAGTGGTTACTGAAAAGATTCTGCAGCAACCCCCGGTTAGTTCGCAACTTCGCAGTTTTAATGTAATTCTGAAATACAGTTTTTGAAACAGACGTCTGCAAGTCGAGATGTCGTGGTATTCGCCGATCCGAAACGCCCTCCTTTATGGTTGTTGCCAGCGATCAAACTGCTCACCCAACGTGACTCGATTGTGACACTGACGTATGTTCATTCGTCGGTCGAAGCTGTTCCCGGTTTGCACTGTTTCTTCCCGGACCGGAAGCAGCAGTTGTCGCGGTCTGATGCTTCCCTGATTATCACGTTGATTTGGAGAAACGGTACTCGTGCATAAGTTTTGTTTAATATGCACTTTTTTAAAATCCCGAATTACTGTACCAACGGTTTCTTTTTGTGTGTTTAGAAGTAGCCAGTGAAAGCAAAAACAAGGCTGAAGTTCTGCGCTGTTTTCTCCGAGTCATCGAGAATAGTAACCAAGGTGCAACTGCAAATGTGGATGAATATTTGGACGTGTTGCATAATTTAGAGAGTAGCGATGCTAGCGATCATCAGAAAGCCGCGAAGACTTTGGCCGCACGTTTAGACAAGACAGCCTTTCTTGTTGGACAAGAACCGCATCTGCTGGATGCAGTAATTCTGGATGGTCTGATCAATGCGGATCTGGTCAAGACAGCAGATGGAAAAGTGAAGAAATGGATTCAGACTTGTTCGAACAACGGTTTATTTAGCGATATGGCCGGATTTTTAAAATGTTGATTTGTAAACAAGTAAATCAGCTGTAGGATATGGATTATGGAATGTGAATACGAATCTACCTCTAGTAGTCATGAACTGTTGCTAGCCCCCTTGCGATTGCATAATACAGCATAAAGAATCACATCTCTTGAGAATTTGTGAAAATATTCGAAAATCTGGGAAAAACTAGACCCGAATACTGCTTGAATATAGAAACTGCTTTGTTCCTTCGTTATGTCTGGATCTAACGTCTTTGAGTATGCGCAAACGGCCTTCGCGTGTTTCTTCGGGATCGTGGACTTTTAATAATCCCCGTATTATATTGTTGCGTAAAGGAAGAAAAATCAGCCGCGTTTGCTTTTCCTCTTTCGTAACAAGGTGGAGATTTCCGTCCACTTCGATGGATATTTGGTCGGCTTCAGTTAACTATGAAAATTTCAAACCTGTTAATTTTCACCTGAATACTCAATAAAAAAATCTGTAAATGCGATATTCAACTCGGCTTATTTTTGATTTTCGGGTGTGTTTACGTTTACAATTATTTAATTTCTGAGGTTGGAAGTTTCGACTGATAATCTGAGGAAATTCAACAATAATTAGTCCTCACAAAAAAGCTTACCTCCATTGATCCGCTTCGGCAAATTTCACGGAACGTTCCGTCATTGGGCAACAACGCTTTTTTCATATCACACCCATCATCCATAACAATCGCGACATGTATCGCGGCAAATCGTTTACCCAAGCTACGCACTCCCACCGCAAATCGTACCCAATACGGCACCGCGCAGGCTTCCTTGTACAGAAGGCGTACATCCCGCAGAAGGTTGATTTCCTCATGCGCCCGTTTCTGAATCTCCTGACCACAGTCTATGAGCCAGTAGCGCGCCGACAAAATGGTAACAAACTGAATGGTCGCGTTATCGATGCTGACCAGATTGTTGCACCAGGTAACATCTTCCCACTGGGACTGCTTATGCTCCGCCGCCACACTACAGTATAACCGGTAATGGGTTGGATTGCAGTAGTATTCTGTCTGGGAGCGCTTCACGAAACCCTTCGGAACCGGTACGGTGATTTTGATGGGTTTGTCGAATTTCATCCGCCGTGGCTCAATGGTCACGATGCAGCACGCTGCGTGCTGTCCGCCCAGGAAATGACTAGCCGTTTCGGGAGCAATCTGATGATACTGCAATTAGCAATTAATGTAATTATACAGCATTAACAACAGCATTACATATAAATTTATTGCTTATTTTAGTATGTATTGTGTATCGTTGCATTTAGCATGCATGCGATACAATATTTGCGCCAAAGACGCGAATCTGCTAGTCATAATTACTAAAATATTTCGGGAAGTGCAAAAATAAAAGCGTACTCATAAGTAATTACTCGTACTGATAATCAGGATCGAAAAAGAACGGCCAACACACAGCCAGCTCATATACCTAATACAATTTCTACACTACTATCTATGTATTTATTTTAAATAGTTGTCCTACTGAACGGATTCAACCAGCTCCAGGTACAAACCCATGTAATGTAAAAACCATGTTTCAATTGACATACGAGTTATTATTATTGACATTAAGGTGTACATACAGAAACTGAAGAGTACAGACTGATATAAATGACCACATTAGCTGTTAGCACCAGCAAACAGTAATAATTTATAGTCTGCAATATAAACAGCTAAATTTAGATAATTTACATACAATTACTTTTACCTGGACTGCCATATCGGATACATCTTTCACTGCCTTTACCGGAAATAAAACGTTAGCGGCAGGTACGGCAGTGGATGGTATTATACCGCCAGCCGGGTCAATTGTGGCTAAATCCTGTCGAATGCGGGAAACAATCGCAAAGTAACGCGGCAGACTGGCTGTCGTTATTCGTAAAATTTTTTCATTTGGATTTACAAATGTTGCAGAATCCGTGGAAGCTAAAATTAATAAATCCTGTAATAGTGCATGTTACATACTTTAACTGACACTGACAGACTTCGTAGTCCATGCACTCTGAAGCCCTTCAAACTACATTACTAGTCGAACCGATTTTACTGCCGATATTTTCGTGCACTGTCCATTGTCCATCCTGTTCTTTTCGCCAGATTATCAATTCTCGCTCCAAAGCCCGCAGCGAAGCGGAATAAGGCACCTCGATCATAATCGGTCTAAATGCGAAGTATGCGTCTGATTAATTATCACAATTATTTTAGTAGGCATGGATGTGGCGATATCTCAACACTGACAGAATGATTTATTTCCGCTCACCCAGGAATTGTTGCATCTGTTGGCGGCAGCGCGATTATATTACAAGCTAATCCATCGCCCTGCAACAAACACTCGATGTACTCACAAGTCGCAAGATGTGCAAAGTATCGTCTGTTTTTACGAGAAACAAAATGGTATCTCACTGTTTTACCATCATAATTTAACATACGAAAAGGTAGCACACGTCGCATTTGTTACGCTGGCTGCTTTGGGAGTTAGTGATTAATAAGATACACGGAAAACAACGCATACGTACTTCAAGCAATGGCGGTGGTACAACGCTGTGATCTTCCACAAATGCACATTGTGGTCGGATACCGTTCGGTATATTCCTGGCGGGAAGAACTACCTCCAGTCGCTTATTCGCCATTTGAAACAAAAAATCACTGGCAAAATGCAGCTGTATTGCGGAGCAGGCTTTGGTTGACATAAAGACGCAAGCAAAATATTAGCACAACGCCGAAGGTCGGAAATCTGTGGAATAATCGACGATAAAAACTGCGAAGACTGCACCGGCATGCAAACATTATCTGTGCCGATAACGCCGTCGTTGCCCATCGCAAACTGTAAATTGGCTAGAAGAAGTTTGCACATTGTTTACCTAAAAGCCGCTGATACACCTAATCAGTACTGATTTTTGTTGCGCTTCAACATGACGTTAATCTCCGGCATTCTCGTAAATACAATTAAACGGAATAAATCAAAGCCCCGATCCAGGTTAACCAACCGACTTCTGAATATTATTCATGAAAGCACTTTCAGAATCAAATACGCACGTATTCAATCGTACGCAGGTACAAAAAGGTACAAATTCATATAAAATTCACATAAAAAATGAAAACAAATAATGCTATGCGATGATGTTAGTCAGTCACATATACTTCTACACATTAGGTGCGATTAAAACAGTTTAGTAAGTGCAGATATTTCATGCATTTATAATAACAACAATACGTTTAATACGATACAGCACAGATTCACTTACAGAGAAATGACATTGATAAGAAATTCACACGGATGATTTCAGAATGTAGTGATATGTAGGCAGTTGCTTTTGGAGGTACTCCACATGATCTTCGATGAACTAGAAAAAAAATAAAATCAAAAAAAGGCTGGCTACAAAAGGAATGGTAACGATGGAGACACACCGGGGGGCTTTGAGGTGTTTCCGCTGTTCTCCTGGTCATATGCTCACCAATAATAATCGTATCCGGCGCGAGTGTTTCGTCAGAATTTATACTGCACATCACTCCGATCACACAGCCGGTACTAATCGTAGTCAAGGGTCCAATGCGGGCTAAAAATAAACTTTTATTTCCACGAAGTCGCGAAAGTCCTTATACAACCCATCTGCGACAAACCTTTGCATAAAATGGAGTTGTTATTTCCCACCGAACCTTCGACAACTACAAGCAAAAGTATTTATCTATTGATTTGAATACACATTATCAACATTGTCAGGTTTTACAATAACCAAAAGCTAAACCAACAAAGTCCGGTCAAGATTTTGAACCCTTCGCCGAAGTTGTATTACAGACAATAGCAATTTGCAATGATAATTGACCAAAAGATCAAACTGACAATGAGCAAAGATCTCGATAACAATATGAAAGATAAGATAAGCAGAGCAATTCCTGATAAACAAATGAAGACACAAATAAGTACATGTTTAGAAAAGCTGGGCTAATACAAAAAGTAAAAACATCCAGGTGTCATCGCATAATTCCCAAACATTAATAATTACAGTTAATAACCGGTAGACTTGTATTTAACTCAACAACATTAACTGCATAAATAAATAATAGTCTTTGCTCATTACCGCTATTAACAGGCGAAAAAAACTAAACAAATTACCATAAAGCATGTAATGATTTTATCCCCGTAAAATGGACATAAGAGTTTTTCTGCAACATTTCTCCGATTTTCCCCTACCTTACTGTCACAAATACGGTTTTGACGCACCTGAATACGCTTCTAACAAATTTCTCGATCCAATATACAGCGTTTTGCGTGTTCCATCTTCGCCAACGGGAAACCTGGGGAAATCCATAAAGTCAACACTGGTCGTCTCCTCCGTTCGACAAGATTTACCTGTTGCGAATGATTGCCTTCTCCTCGATAATATTGCCTTCTCCGATAACGATGGGTCCATTTTCAGCAATGATTTTGCACGAAGGATGCAAAACAGTTCCTTGGCCGATAGTGATTTCGCCTTTCAGCTCGGTCTCTTTTGGCACAATGGCTTTGGGCAGTATGAGAACACCTCTAAGAACAGTTATGATCCACACGTGACACATTACAAATGTGATGCCACGGGTCATAAAAAGACTGTGTCTGGAGGATGCGTGCTCAGTCACTTACATCGGTGCCGTCAGGTTCTTACTTGCGTCTTCTCCCGTTACAGCCCCAGCGCGTCCAGTAGGAGCTCGAGCGGCCATCCTGCAATCGTTTCTGCCGAAAACAATAATTTGCAATCGTACTCTATATGTTATTCCAAACTCGATCCCAAATATACTTGGTACATGGTAGATTTGTCAGGGCAAAAACAAATCACAAATGAAAATCATAACAAATGTGACAAAAAGACTGAAAAAACTACAATATGGTGTAAATGGCTGCTGCCATTCGTGGGCGGTATCCATTTTTTCAAAAAAGCTGGCGCAGTGTCCAACATCGTTCAACAGTCCAGTACTCGTACAGCATCCGTTTGCGTGCGCACTTGTTCTCTGTTCCGAAAAATTTATTGTAAGTAATTTCGCCAAAAGTTTAATTATTTTGAATTAATGTCGTACAGTAGTGATAACTGCTGAACATGTTAATTAAACACCTAAAGTTACGCAATAAATTGAAATTTATTAAATTAGCAAATAGAATCAACTAAATAAAAATAATGTCATTGTAAGAGAGCAGATATACTAACAGTGCAGAAGTATCGTTTGTGGCAATTTTTAACTTAAATTTGTCTGAGCCGCAGCACCGGGATAACATACCGAGGCGGTGAGCAGGCGACGGGTAGTACTGACAATGCTTTACTCAATGTGACTGCTGCCAAATTACGTGCAAATTTTAAATATTCAAAAATCTTTAACTTTGTTTTTTCTTAAGCAAAAATTGTATCCATAGGCTTGAAAAATTTATAATAATATTTACTTTTAGGCAGTATGAATGCAGTTTTTTTTGTTTTCGTGCCAAAGCAGTGTTATGGCGATAAGAAATTAGCATACCCGTCTATGGCAGACCTGGTGCTGGCTTTTCTCTACTTTCTCGTAGAAGACTATGTTAACTGCGGAGAGTCATATCATTACTCTGCAATCAAAATAAATAACTCCATGCATACTGCCTAAAAGTATATATTATTATGTATTTTTCAAGCCTATGGATACAATTTTTGCTTAAGAACAAACAAAGTTAAAGATTTTTGAATATTTAAAATTTGCACGTAATTTGGCAGCAGTCACATTGAGTAAAGCATTGTCAGTACTACCCGTCGCCTGCTCACCGCCTCGGTATGTTATCCCGGTGCTGCGGCTCAGACAAATTTAAGTTAAAAATTGCCACAAACGATACTTCTGCACTGTTAGTATATCTGCTCTCATTGTAAAAACATACGAGTATTACACAAAAATTACATTTAAATGTGTTTGTGGTAATCGGCATTCCCGGAAAGTCGGAAACCATGGCAACGACAAACTTTGATCTTATCGATCGCCAGTCGCCGGCAGTCGGGAATAATTTAAGTGCTTAATTTATCATTTATATCTAATTATTGTACAGTAATGGTACTTTAATTTTTGGAAACTTTTCTGAACTTTCCCAAGCCCGCTTTCAGTTAATTTGTTACACTATTATAGAACACCGTGCAGGTATACAGTCCGTAATTATTGTACGAGCATAGATAATTGTATTTTGTACGTACTTCAGAATTCAGATACATACAGTACTGTTGTAAATAATTTTGCTTACTGACCCAACATTATTTTAGCGATACGATTATAATTATGTACCTAGGAAGTACTACTCTTATGTCTATGTGCATAGCTAGCAAGATTGCAACAAAAAGTTTAACTCGCTCCTATAAGCTTAAGCTTAGTACTGTTTTAGAAAGTTCGAAGCACGACTTATAAGTTTTGACATAATTTAAATTCGTTGGTGTTAAGTCGTTGGTGTTAAATTGTACCACTGCGCAAATTGTTGTTTTCCATGTTTTTTTGTCTACCTATTGGATTCGAAGTCTATAAAGCACCCTGAAGCTACTTTGATTTGGCTTGTTACTGTAATTCGATGAATTTACTGTCTTTACCTTATTTAATTTATGTGATAATCTAATTTATCTTTGAAATATTTGATTTTTGATACATAGTACAACTATTTAGGTATATTATTGAAAATGTTTTCGCGATTGGCACGTGTAGCCACCGCTCAAGTGAACTACGGGAAGCGATACATCCAGCGCGATCGCAGAGTAGTGCTGCCCCTAAACCCACATAATCCAGTATTTTCCGGTACGTACAGCCTGTTTGGCACTAACAGTTTGCTCTTGCTATCACTACTTACCGCATCTGACCTCTTTAACAAGAATTACAATAGTTCAATTCGGATAGCTGTAACCTGAACGTGGTACGCGACAGTATACCTTTTTTATGCAGCTGTAGAAAACAAGCACAATTTTGCATGTTCCAGGTAGCTTTGCGAGGTTGTCAAGTCAGCTCACAGGAACCACAGCACGTGACAATGATCAACCAGACTGTGTTCCCGATCGGGGCGCACCAGCGCGCCCGCCTGCTCGACCGGGGCCGTCTCGTGTTCAGCAAGGGCGACCTCCGCCTGGAATGCCTCCCAAGAAAGGAAAAGGTAATTATTACACGGGCGAGCACAATTTAATACAATACAACAGCAAAAACACTGCCTGACCGTAATTCAAAAGCGCAGATGCTGCACATTCATTGATTTTCCCACGGCATGGTCACCGTGTGAATTAAATGCGGTAACAAAAAGAGCTTGGACTGGCGGTTGCTCTTCGACTTTTGATAATGATTTGTAATATTTTGTGACCTTTCCTTATACAGATCCTTCCCAGAAAGAACCCATTCGTACCAGCACGGAAACTGGCCTGAAAGGAAAGGTGGTAGCCGTCATTGGGGCGGTGGTTGATGTGCACTTCGATGGAGAATTGCCGCCGATTCTCAATGCGCTGGAGGTAGTGGATCGTCAACCACGTCTTGTACTGGAGATCGCGCAGCATATGGGAGAAAATTGTGTTCGCACCATAGCCATGGTCAGCCATTATTCTTTTACATTTTCACTGGTGTATCGAACGAATGTGCCCATATTTGTAATGGGATCCAAACAACGTTAAACTATTGCAGGATGGAACTGAGGTGTGCCAAACTAACGATCGCAACTCGGACAATTTCTTACACTTACCTACTTATATAAGCATAAAATGGCCGTATCACCGTTATCCAGTCTGGTTTATAACAGGGATTGACTCGGGGTCAAGAAGTTGCGGATACTGGCAGTCCTATTAGCATACCAGTCGGACCTGAGTGTTTAGGTCGAATTATGAACGTTATTGGCGAGCCCATAGATGAGCGAGGACCTATCGAAACGGAAAAGTTAGTATGTTGTTTACTTTTTATGAACGAGCGATGTTATAGTAACACGGATCGGCAATGCCACTAAACAAACGGAGTAACTGAATGTGTTACACCAGTAAAACCGTATCCAGTCAAAGTGGTCAATAGTGTGTGTTTCTAGAACGGCGCCAATCCATGCTGAGGCACCGGAGTTTGTCGACATGGCGGTGACTCCCCACATTTTGACCACCGGCATAAAGGTCGTGGATCTGCTGGCGCCGTATGTAAAAGGAGGCAAAATTGGTCTGTTTGGTGGGGCCGGTGTGGGTAAAACGGTATTGATTATGGAACTGATCAACAACGTGGCCAAAGCCCACGGTGGCTATTCGGTGTTTGCCGGCGTTGGAGAGCGCACTCGGGAAGGGAATGACCTTTATCATGAAATGATCGAGGGCGGTGTCATCAGTTTGAAGGATAAGACCTCCAAAGTAAATATTTGAATAAGAAAATTATGTAATTTACTGTAATAGCGCAAATTCGTTCAGTTGATGTGAACTTTTCGTGTGGAAAGATTGCAATTAACAACCTGCATTCGCGTACAGGATATTTGTGTTAATATTAGTAATTTTGCACAGTATCGGGGATTGCATAAGAACTTTTCAAAGCAAATTAGCCCGTTAACGATAAAATTCTTAGAATAAAAATAAAAAAATAAAAGCGACTTTTCTGTCGTAGGTTGCGCTAGTCTATGGACAAATGAATGAACCACCGGGAGCGCGCGCCAGAGTGGCCTTAACAGGACTGACTGTTGCGGAATACTTTCGAGATCAGGAAGGCCAAGATGTTCTTCTCTTTATTGATAACATATTCAGGTTTACTCAGGCTGGCTCCGAAGTAAGTTATTTTTAAAGAATTTGGGTTTGAATTTTCACGATATCGCTTCATATAATTACTAAGCATGGCATGTATGTAATAATTGTACATAAAGTTATCGTGCGATTTTTGGAGAAGCAAGCTTTAGTAAGTAAACACTTTTTGTAAAGGTCGCGATCATCATTCAAAACTTAATAATAAGCTAGATCATGAATTTTGAGGATGTGGACTAACATGGTGACCTTACGGATTACACAATCTACAGTACATTACCAATCTTCCATCCAGGTTTCCGCTTTACTGGGTCGTATTCCGTCGGCAGTTGGATATCAACCTACTTTGGCGACAGATATGGGTGCAATGCAAGAGAGAATCACTACTACGAAAAAAGGCTCCATCACGTCAGTGCAAGTAGGTGCATTTAATTTGCGCGTGTTACACGATATATTTAATTTTTTTGAAATGATAAGGTATTGCGACTTACACGTGCGTTTAGGCTATTTACGTACCGGCGGATGACTTGACGGACCCCGCTCCCGCCACTACCTTTGCGCATCTGGACGCCACCACAGTGCTGTCCCGTGGTATTGCCGAGTTGGGGATTTACCCGGCTGTTGACCCATTAGATTCTACATCACGCATCATGGATCCCAATGTTGTTGGGGAAGAACATTACAATATCGCTAGATCTGTTCAAAAGGTGAATCGCAGCTTGGTTGCTTGTAGTTAAAATTCGTTCAACATACATTAGCTGGAGAGTAAGTCAGACGTGTCTAAACCGTAGCGAACGTATTTAATTTCATTATTTTGTCGCTAAAATTAATGCGGTTTTTAAAACTGGAAATTTAATTAAAATTTACAAGTACATCGATCTGAAATCTGAAATTTACAGATTTTGCAAAGTTACAAATCTTTACAAGATATTATTGCCATCCTGGGGATGGATGAATTGTCTGAAGACGACAAATTAACAGTGGCTCGCGCCCGAAAAATACAGCGCTTCTTTAGTCAGCCGTTCCAAGTGGCAGAAGTCTTCACGGGTCATCCCGGGAAATTTGTTCCTTTGGCGGAAACCATTAAAGGGTTCCAAAAGATCCTGGCCGGCGAACTGGACCATATACCGGAAGTTGCATTTTACATGGTTGGACCGATTGAAGAAGTTTTCCAAAAAGCGGAAAAGTTAGCTGCTGAACAATCTGGTGGTAAAGGTCAACCAGGAAAGGACAAGAAACCGCAGGCTCCAGTAACGGCTCCGTCAGGTGAAGCCGGTAAGGAAAAGAAGGACAGCAGCAAGGGAAACGATAAAAAATCGAAGAAGAAAGATTCCGAAGAAGAAGAATAAATTCAATTAAAACAGTGGTTTTCCATATTTACTCAGAATGATTTGCTGGTAACTCATAGTGCATCCCATTATACCGCATCCACATCCAGCAGTTATACTCGTAAAATTACAGTATATTACATATGTAACTCGATAACAATGCATTGTGGTGAGTTTTCCCCTTCGCGCGGCAGCCATGGAAATAGACGTATGATACAATTATCTATACCTAATTATTTGCTGCTGTTGACTGAGACGGAATATTTGGAAATATCGAAAATGTAATTAAACCTGATCAAATGCGAGGTTCTACACGCACCGTAGTTACAAAATCCTGACCTAAACTGCACATCGCAGCTGGTGGTGACATTAAATTTTTCGTCTTCCGAAACTACTTCGTGTTCTAAGCGCATTTTCGACCAAATCATTGATAAAAAAGTACGAACTACTGGCAACGGGTAAGTACATCTGTATAATGATAAAAAGTGAACTATAGTAAATAAACGGATTATTGTATCGCGTACGCAGCAACAGCAGCCGTTTTTTCTCTCGTTCGTCATTTATTTCTGAGCATACATATAATATGAAAATAATATTAACAAAAACCAAACGAAAAACAGGCCGGTTGTACCGAGGGTGCAACCGGAAACCTCCTCTCCAATACAGACTGGTAAGGGGGGAAGGTGGGAAGATCAAAAACTAACACAAAGCGCTGCGGTATCAAAATGTCCAAAGACTAGTTGAACCTTGGCAACGAAACTAAAGCTAAAAGAGCTGTTAAGGATAAACTCCCGGGACAGCTATCTATACTGTCTCGTTCGGGGCGGCGTTACATCCCGCTTCCCCATGAATGACCAAAGGCTAACACGCTGCCAATAATCGCACAGGTTAACGCAGTAACCTTTTGGCCATTTTTTGTGATTATTCTCACAATCAGTATAGCAGGGCATTGTAGGTACAAACGACGTCCAGAGTACACATTAATACAAGAAAATAATGCCGACGTACAAAAAACCATAAAATACCCAGAAAGTACAGACGTTTGTAAAAAAATAAGCAGAGTACACTGATAGAGTAGCGAACTCAAAGCTGCAGTTCACTGAGGTAATACTGTCAAACATATACACATACAGAGATAATACAAACTTGGAGCTACAGAAAACTAACTGCCTTGAAAAATTCACAAAGATCAAATTTGCCATGAACTTTCCAGAATCCTCTGGATATCGGGGGCATCTCGCATTGCTTTGGTCAATCCTTGTGGAATGTACTTTTGAAGAAATGTCCTCATTGCAACTGTAAATACCACTCATATGCATCTGACTTGTGAACAGCACCACATTTTCCAGAGAAATTTAAAACTCGGAGTGAGTTTGATAATAAACAACTCACTTCCCGATTGTTTTGAGCATTTCTTCAGAAATTTCATTTCTTCATCCCCAAGTGGAGTGCCGGCTATCATCTTATCCGAATGGCCAGATTTCCCCGAATTCGAAGGAATATCTAACGAACCGGAAATAATACGCAACCGGCATAAGACACCGTAGCATACTTCTAATAAAATTTGGAAATGCATCAGTGAGACGCGAACAAAACGAAATCTACCGGTACATGTACACAAAGAAAAAGGCAAAAATACGTTTTTGCCAGACCGAAAGTTACGAGTCCGGACAAGAACATTGGCGCACACTTTTGTGATTAATAAAATTATGACAGGTTCCAGACCGACAAAAACATAACTATTCATAAATATTGCCGTAAATAATAAATCAATAAATATTGTCGTAAATTGTGAACTGAGAGCTGATGTATGAATTTTTACGTACAAAATTCGAGCGGCGATTCGCTTCGTATTCGTTGATCGTGAACGGTTTTTTCAAATTTTTCGACATTTTTCCCTCCGGTTTCACAACACTGGTTCGATATTTTCTCCGTGATCCCACTGTTGAAATAGAGGATTTTCAAAGAATCTCCATCCGCACTGAAGGGATGTGGACAGCATGGCTTGTGACCGGAACGAACTGTAGGGAACAAAAACAAAAGAAAGTAATATTGTAATCATGCAATTACTTACGAATTTAAGGACGGCATCCATCTTGTACGTACACGGTACACGCTCTTCATAATAATAATTTTTATAGTTAAGTAATTACCATGTTCATAACGGTAATTAAACTTAATACTTATGTACGTACTTAATTAAGGTACAGTTGGAACAAAGTAAGTACTGTAATCAGTAGTAGTACAACTAACAAGTAAGTATTTTTTATACTTCGCAGATGTAGGTCATATAACCTAAAACACCGAACGAAAAGAGACCTTTATAATTCTAAAAGCAGCAGGTCATTTTGTAGCTCCTATTTATTTACTAACAAACTTATTTCATAATAATAACCAATCTTTTCGTAATTAACACAACGCAAAACACGCCGGCACGTCAATTAAGCTTAAGCATACAGAACCGCTGACAATAAGTTTACGGAACGACTACACTGTTATGTAACACAGTTCAACATTAATTTTGATTTGTCAGTTTTTAAGGATTTTATAAAAGACTTTTTGAATTTTGCCAGAAGCTTATACACAGCTAATCCGCTAATGCTTATTGCATAGCTATAGGCATTTTACCAAACTTTCGCCCTTGCAGAAAAAGTACACTGTGGAAATATTTTACTGCTTTAATTTGCGGAGACAAACGCAGGCAGTCAATTATGCTCACCTGAAATTTTTCGCCTGTTCAATTGCGCATGGGATGGGGGTTTCTTTGTTTGCGCTTTCCGTTTCCCACGGCATCCGAAGGTTTTGGGATAACGATACTTTTCTGTCATAGTGTGGCTACATAGTATAACACATTTTACAAACGGAACATGGCATTTCTTAAAACTACCCTAGAATGTCTCTGAAATAAAATTCTTCAATTAAAATATTTAGCTTGCTAACAAAATTATAGCGCATGACGGCATCACCGATAAAGCACCAGAGGATCAAAAACAGACGTATGGCATAAGATGGGAACGCATAGGTGATTTTACATGAAGTATGGCAAAACAAGCGGGATATACATTCAGCACTGAAAACTTCAAAGGCAACACAATCACAAAGGAATAGAAATCCAACAGATTATTATTGTAAAACCACCAACAGTCCAACAGATTAGGACCACAGTTGCAATAGCATACCATAGATTTGTTGAGCATCTGCATACGCAGTCGGTAGTCGCGACTCGTGTGTACTGAACATCCGTCACCAGTCATGCCATGGCGACATGCAGCCACAAACGGCGTCGGTGCCGGGAAGGAATGCAACGTTCACGAGACCAAAATCCGTGTCAGTTTACGCATCATGGTATGGCACGGAAACGTTTTTCGCAGCCGACAAGTAAGTATACAACGCTCAGCCTTTTCATCATGTTTTATGCGCAATGTAATCAAGTTGCCGGCAGAAAATAATTACAGCATGAAATTTATGACTAACGCAAAACACCCCAAAAAAGTCGGAACTGGTTGACATTCGCTTGCTACGGTAAACATAAATGTTGAGAAAGTTTCATCCAATACACGTGTCAGTTTTACGACTTAGCTAACAATCACCACAACGCAGTAACAAAGTAATTACAATTTACGTGTACAAGTACAAAAACTGCATGCAGGAATAAAAAGTCGTTCTGTTTAAAGAACGTATTCATTAAACGGTGTTTTTTTTGGAAGCGATCATGGCAAGATTAACTACCAAGTTCAGTAAGTTGTGAGGGTGTGACAAATCAGATTTCAGGATCACGGTGAACAACATTTCAGGCAGATTGCTTAATTTTGATACTTACGGGCTATCATCATTCTATAAAATAATTTAAGAGTACTTGAAGTTATCTTGATCAGTTAGATGGTAGCGGTAAGTTGTGACTGAAATTTATCGCATCCAAACACTATTTATTTGGCAACTTGGATTAGCGCATGGCTGTAGACGCCATGCAACAAATCATTCACGAAAGTGGAATTTTTCAAAATGAATACTGTGCAATTGATTCAGCAGCGAAAATACCACCAGAATGGAGTACAAACAGTACAACAACAGCAACACTACAGCAATTTGTATATTTGATTTCCGTCTTTAATTTCCCATCCAACAACACAAAGCAAGCAGGATTCACATCCACTACAATCAAAAGAAGGCCTGCACAATATCGTACATAAAACGTCGAGCCACATTTTCCAAAACAAAAGAAATGCATCACAATGGGATTCATCACAGGCATCAGATTTAAAACAATAAAAACGCTATTTCATAGTCAGTGGTAAGCAACAGCATAAACTAACCATAGTCTAAAACCCATAACACAACAAAAACGTATAAACCACAAGTAAGTAGTAGACTGTATAATACAAATCATAAAACGTATAACTATAAACCACATATCAAAAACTAAAACTCCAATTATCAACGTAGGCTGCAGCTATTGATCGTCCATCAGAAACTCATCTCCAAATGCGGATGAAACACTTTACGATTCGTAATAGATCCGATGGATATTACTGCGGTCATCTGACCTTTCACTTGCCGGTAAAGTCGACAACCAGCGAGGTGGGCACACTGCAGGCTGGCGATTTTTCAGCGGGATTACCGACATACGGCGCGGTATCTGCATCAGTCTGTCCAAAAATAATCGGTCATACAAAATATGTCAGTATTTCTAAACCTCGGTGATTATGTTTCAAATCCAGAAAAACAAGCTTTTACACAAATGTGTATACTTACAACAAAGTCGAGGATCGCAGAGAACCCTGAAAATTCTTGAGTTTTTCCACCATTTCGGTGCTGGGATTTCCATTTGAAAGCTTCATGTCAGCGGCAAAGCAGAGCAATGCATTGACCACTTTGCGGATGCTTTTCACCTAGCATTACACAAAAACTGTCGTCGGCAAAATTCAATCCGCATAGTTTACCTAAAAATGTCTGTTAGACCAATAAGGCTAACGGAATTTCGAAGCAGCAGAAGGGCGCTATGAAAACCAATTTAAAGTACATGGGAAAACAAATTTCACGACAACGCAAAATTTTTGGGACACACCATGGGTGCAACTTACAAGATCCATATCAGGTCTTTTCAGGACGGCATCACCAAAGAATATGAAGTCATGGGCCGCAAATATTGGGTTCGCTGGTTGATTTGTATTACGACAAATCGAGCCGAGACCGCAGTAAAATCCCAAAATGTTCCGCGTATCCGGATCATCTCTGCAAATAAGTTATCAAACACACAAGACCAAAATTATTATTCAGTCGGATATAATAAATAATCAAAACATTATTTTGCTAAGATAATGATGGTTAATCAACCACAAACATTCAAAACAACCGACCTCATTTCCACCACAGGTGCATTCAACGCCATCAACAATGCCGATATGCCGGGAACGTGCGGCATTAAAGTGGTATCAGCGCATACGACCATGTTCTTCCGCTTCGATACAACAGTTTCAGTGGATACCAAAACGTAATCAACCGGATCTGGGTAAACACTCCGCAGAAGGACGGTATTGACACTTTCTCGATGAGGCTCCACAAAACTACATGGACACGAATGTACACAATCACAAATCCTCCGACCAGCAAAGATTTGCAGTAGCCAGTAGTATACAATAACGTACCGTGGAATTTTGTACAACCATCGATACGAACCACGCCCAATATCGTAACTGTTAACTGGGTTTCCAAATGTCATCTGCAAATCATAATGTCACACTTAAAAACTTTTAATTACAAACAAGCAGAGACTCTAACTTTACCGGCATTTCTTCCGAGTATTGTGGTTTGACTTTGACCGCTGCGATTGCATGGGATTCTACATCCGGCCACGCGAACTGCCACATGAAATTCCCGTTTATTAGTTCAAGTTATTAGTGCTGCAGAAACACTAACTACCTCCACTAGATCGTGCTCGAAGACCAGCAATCCTTCATCAAACATCCGTGCCAAAAGGCTACATCGTCCAGTTAAAGAGTTTTCCGTTAACGCGCAGATCCCATTCAGCATTACCGTATCCTTAGCCGAATACCACACCTAGAACAGCGATATTTGTGAGATTGTCGTTGTCTATCAAGATGTCCTTCTGCAAAATATATAAAAAATTTAGAATTAATAACTCCATAACTCGAGCAGTCCACCGCCCCGTTGCAAACTGTTATTACATAACAGTTGATCATTATGATATTCGTTTTCCCGCTTATTGACACAAATATATTAGTAAATTTACGGCGCTGGAAGAAGGGACACATAAGCGCCGAAAACATATGCACTGCGGAGAATGACATCACACTAGATAAGTTGAGCAAAACGCCGATACTCAGAAAATCCAGGTATACTCAGAAAATCCAGGTAAATACTTATTTATCCATACCCCGAATTCCAGCTGGGAAGTTTCACTCTGTAGCCGGTCATACACGCTGATATTGGACAGTGGTCGCACCGAAAAGCTTTCAGACAATCGACATTTAACAGCCAATTGAGGTGTCTGCCAGAAGCATTTCGTAGCATTCGACTTTAAAACAAGGAATGTCCGATTCCATGGCAGTCGTGCCATTCTTCCGTAATCGACCAAGTAAACCTATAACGAAATACTGACCGTACTTGAAATGGAAATTCCAAACTGTAGAATGCTCTTTTCCGTAATGTGCACGCTGTCTGTTACCTCAATCATATCCTTGTCGATTCGCACCACCTTTGCACGAGCAAGATCTTCCGATGGATGACCCATATACGAAATCACGTAGCTACCCAGCAGTGCCTGATCCTTATCCGAAGGCAACTGCAACAAAAAACCCCTAGAATCTCCAAGTACAATGATTTCGTAATTTTGGTGCTCCATGGCGCATACACATTTCCGAACCAGGTCCGAACCGAGAAGAGCTTGCAAATCTTGGTTGAGCTGGTTCACTGGATCGGGACCACTTGGGTACAATCGAGCGAAGAATACATTGTCGTCCACTTTCTGGGTATAAATAAATCGAAATAGTTTGTTATGGGACGCTCGTCACAAACTATCCAACATACCGCAGTGACGGTGGCATTCAGTTTCAAATCATCAGTCCAAGACGATAACACGGGGCAGGGAGGAAGTTCAGGATACCATAACGTATAATCAACGGAAAGCCTAAACAGACTCGTCCATCAGGCGTTCGGCATCATTCGCAATCAGACAACGACCGCCAACTGTCAACAAACGTACCACTTGTTTGATCCTTTAATGGCTTTTGCTAACTCTGGGTTTATCACCGCGAAGTTATTCACTGATGAATCTTTCACCGTGGGAATTTTGTGGACAGTATCCCAGTTCCGACGCTTCTGCCTGAAACCCAGTTAACATTACCGGTTTGGCCTCCGCTGAGTTACTGACCAATTGACGCTGTTCTTACTTTTTAGTTGACCGCAGCAGATGTTCCACAAGGAGAGCACCTTGTCCAGTCACATCCTCAACTCCTCGTTCAAGGCAGACGACGGCTCTGTAATTGAAAGATGGTAGATCTTTTGCAACAGCCTTTTCCAAACTTTCACTAATCTGCTTCGCACTCAAAATCGCAACACTACTGCGCCAGCTATACCTGTTTTTGAAATACTTGATGCTGAATAATACGTTCGTATACAGAATTGACTTGAGATACTGTCGCAGCAAACTTTCGTAGAAAAGGGACGCTAGTGTATCCGCTCGAGCAGGCACAGCGATTTCCACACAATGCAAGGGATCAAAACCACCAAATCTTTCCCGTTGTTTTTCTGAGGCCGCAGCAATAGAATCCATTGTGGTTGTATCATCAATATGAGGCGAACTGATCATGTAATCAGGATAAAAAGCACCCGCAATTACCACCTTGAAGAGAAAATTAAAACGCGTACAATAGCTGGAGTCAGTTATTCGCGATCCCACAAATAGCCTTAGACCTGATCAAAATAAGAATTAAAATAACTCGGACTGTCTTCATCTCACCTTTATCAGAATTTCCCATTCAACATCGGGTCTAAACTCCGTTCGGAAATATTCATCGTTAATCATATAGAGGCCCAAGCGACTTAAGCGTCGTCGAATTTCAGACACGATATACAATATCTGAAAAATCGTACAAAAAACTTTCAGATGTAAAAAATCAATTTTCAGCTACTACTGTTTTAAGTACCGCAATAACAATAGTACGATACTCGACGTACTCGTACCTCTTGCAGACGGCTTCGGGATAGTCGATTTTGCATACACCAGATTCGTTCCCTGTCACTGCTGTCGCCCTCTCCAAACTGACCAGATACAGAAAGCCAAATCCACTCCTGTGTGCAGAAAAACTTTATCACAGTGCAAAATATAGTACTGCGTAAAAAGGTGCTACTGTATACACTTTGTAGATGAAAAGAAGTTTTTAATCTGGTAGATTTCATGCAACGGCCACACCAGGAAAATGTGGGCAGCTAACCCTGAAAATCCGAAATGACGACAAACAATCGCTTCGAAATCCGCGGTCGTTCTTCTTTTTAGATATCCATCCCTCTGTGTCGTCCATCCAGGTGGTTTGGAAAATGCTTTGGACACTGATTACACAAGCTAGACGTGGAACAGCGCCAGAAAAAACATTGACCAATCACAATAATTTACGAATTTCGAAGGCAACCATTTACCAAGCACTATGCCGTCATCCAGCAGTCCATAGCAAAATGCAAGAAACACAAGTCGAACCAAGGGAATCGACAGCGGGATAGTAGCGCATAAATGCCCAAGGAATGTTAAATCGCCATCGCTCTCTTTCAGTTGACCTTTGTGGTATAGGTTCAGCGCTCCTTTCTGCGTAAAAATGCACAAAAAATTTGGATAGACTATGTACAGTGCTTAACTGTGCAAAGATTCATCACAAGATAAAATTATTCTCAAACAATTTTAGCCAGAAACATACTTCTTTCAAAATCTGCACAGCACGTCGCACATCTACTGAAGTCGGCGGCGACAACATCATCCCCATCAGTTCCTCCGGGTCCATATCCAGCTGATCCAAATTTAGCATTTTACTGCGAAGGATGGACGTGGTCACGGGAATATTCTAGAGAGAAAATCATTAAGGAACATCGCCACTTCAGTATTTTCATGAAAATAGTTACAAGGATTTCCGGTTTTGGATGATCAGCTAACTGATTGTAGAAATTTTGGAAAACAAGCCGATATACTGTACCATTACGTGTCCGACCGGCTCTTCCTGCAAAGCACAGAGCTAAAATACTAAAATAAAGGTCACACTGCCTGATTTACTAAAATAAAGGTCACACTGCCGCTGCATAACTGCAACATCTTCTCTTAGCTTGGCTGCACGAAAACTAAGTAATCAAACAAAAGCTATTTTATATTAAACTATGTAAGAGGAGAATCCTCTTTACACACAGCAGCCGCCCATCCGCCGCCTACCTGGTTGGCTCAAGCTCAAGCACAAATATCTTGATCTTCGCCAACAGCGGCGATGGCACAGTGGCTGTGCTACGTGGATCTCACTCGGTAGCCAGCGGTTCGATTCCGCTCCATCACCATTTTTCGGAATTTCCTCAACAGACAGGATCTTCATCTGACCGCCCTCCCTCGCTGAGATCACCACGGACAGCCGACTTATGGCTGCCTTTGTTATAACTAGTACTGCCTGCCGCCTCAGAAAAATTTTCGTTTTCTACTTTGACACTTTTCGAATTTGACTTTACCTTTGCGCTGACCGCAATTGCTTTTGGTGGCCCACTGAGATTGCAGAAAGGACAATTTGGTCTCCTCGTCAGTGGTCATGTTCTTGGTCAGGCAAAAATCGTATACTGTAAAAGCAAAACCACCATGCACTGAGCGTGAGATGCAACCCAACAACCGGAAAAAGACTGAAACAGGCAGCATACCTGTATCCACTTCCGGTACCGTAATTGAACTTTCCGCAATATTAGACGCTAAAACTATTCGTCGAACGTTTCTCTTAACCGGCTGAAATACCGCACTCTGGATATGATGAGGAATTAGTGAATGTAATGGGCAGATTTCCCACTGAGGAGCACCGCGACTGCAATTCATATTTCAAAAAATAAAATTTCCCGTTCAAGCAAAACTTTTGCACTATCAATTATGGCGCAGCAGTCAGCCAAATGCTCACAGGCGATTCGGGAAGTCCATGTGAATTTTATCCATTAACTTCTCGATGTCTTCCAGACCTAATAAAAAAGAAAAACGGTTTTAAACTGTATCCTTTCAAGAGTAAACCCACTAGCCAAGTGGCAAAACTCCCAATTTTTTTGCAGTAATATTATTATTTTTGACTATCATGGACAGTTGTGAATGATTATTTTGACTATCATTATTGTTTAAACAAACAACAAAATCGTATCACAAAGTTTAAAGACAGCCCAAGCGAATCCCAATCCAGCAGGTTAGCAGCCCCCAATCTCAATGAAGCCGCCAATCTCAGTGATCCAACTGTACAGCGCATTTGCATGTCATCGAGTAAATTTGCATATCGGAATCTTACCAGGCAGAAATACTAATGTCGTAGTTCCTTTTGCATTCCCACTAAACCAAAGCCAAAGCACGTAAAGCAAAAACACATTTATTTACAACAAAACAGTAGAACGCTTACCCCCCAAAATTGCGATTGTACATCTCGTCAATGTGACTCAAAACGAGGTTCATGATCTCATTCTTCGCGAACGGCTTCTCGTGGTCGAAATATGAGCCTTCCTAAAAATGCAGATTGTAAACAAGGCATTACACAACAACAGAGAAAACACAAAAAAACAGACGTGCATCAAGTATACAAGTATTCATAACTCCAATTCCAATCCTTACCATGCTACAGCCAACTTCTGCACACATGTCTTCCAGATAAACTTCTTTTACCGGATAGAGCGGCGCATCGACAATCTTGATTAAGGGTGGACACACACACAAGGTTTCGTTTTTGAAATAGTTAAGAATGGCGGAAGAATTCATGGTGGCTGACATAATGATGACCTGAAAACCCGATGTTTGATAAACTATTAGACGAACAAATAATAAGGGGATATTACAGAGAACAACAGCAAATCTTGCCCAACTGACCTTTGGAAACCATTCACCGGAAATATGTGCCAACTTCACCAATAACATCGTAAAATCGATATCTTCTGATCGTTCGTGTACCTAGAACAATAACAACTTGACCGTATGACAATTTCATTTTTACTGGAAATCAAAATTGAAAGAAACATAAAATACAAAAAAATTTAACGAAATTAATATTACGCTACACAGATCAGCAGCAGGTGCGCACCTCATCGAGAATTAGATGTGTATATTTTTCAAGCGGACGCGACTGATTTAAGCTTTCGTGCATCATTTTTTGCAAAAGAACCCCAGTTGTGCAGTACAAAATTCGCGTCCTTGACGACATCATACTTCTGGCCATTCCGATCTGAAATTAAAAAGTAAACACAGTTATGTCATTATTATTATTGGTAAAGCAAACAAAAACACCGTCAAGACACTGCTACCGGCACACAAAACACCTACTAAAATTTCAGTTCAAGTGGTTACAACCTTGAATTCATAATTTAGTATACTTCGCTTTGCCCATTATTTCAATCACTTCCCTTGTACGGACCAATATATTAATCACCCGAAACTTAACTTTTGACGTGCAGGCCCTTTTAAAAAAAATAATTTTTTAGATTCTCATAAACAGATATTACAATTCCTAAGAACATTTATTAAGAAAAACAGAACGTCAGAAACAGCCGTAGAGACCTATCAACTTCTTCAGCCGTAGAGAAGGCGCTCTTATCTAAATTCCAAATCCCGTTGGGATTATCCAGCCATCCTTCCATGTGCAGTTCACTCAGGAGCGTAACCCAGCCCTCACAGTTTTCTGCCGTCCATTCGCGGGCCTTCTTCCTATTCACTCCGTGTGAAACGCGGTAGCGAAGCGTGGGATGTCTCTTAAGAAAACCCTTTAACCAGTTCCTGCTAAACGTTGGCTCCAGTCCTTTTTGCTCCGCGTTCTTTATCACCAACCTTCGTAAAAACGTCTTGTTCATGGGGACTCCAACATCTGCACACTTCAGTAAAAATTCCGCCAGATACGTTCCTTCTGCATCGTTAAACTTCCTTTTCCAAGATCCCACAGCTTCGCGTTGCGTCCCACGCACCTTATCACGCAGTGTAGAGAAGGGAATTTTATGCAACTTCGATGCAGCACGCAGAGAAAAGACTCCATCCTGAACTTGTTTGACAGCGAGATTAATACGGCCTTGCTTGTCCATAAATCGAAATTAATATGTAGTACAACAAAGCAGATAATATAAAAACTTGCACGCAGAGAAGGAGTAAAATACTAAATTATGCATGAAAGCTCGGCGGTTTTTGATAATTATTAATAAAATTCGTTATGCGGATTTCAACACAATATTGCATATCGTTCGACTCAGTCAGTGCGAAGACTGCATTACAGTCAGCTGTAAATGTTCATGTAGCCGCCCGCCCCAAAAGGCTGTCAGTTCGGTAAAGTGATTAATATATTGATCCCTAAAGCGGTACTGATTAAAATAATGGGCAAAGCGAAGTATCCAGAACGTACAGTAACCCACAACTGCTTAATAATAATTATTGTAGTACACGTCAACAACAGTCTAGCTGCAAAACAACTCTCCAGAAAGGAAATTAGGTAATCATTCGACGCTACTGAAAAAAAAAGAGCCCCATATCGGCCATATGAATCTGCCAGCATAACTAACAGTTTAAATTGATATTTGAATAGTTTAATACTGAAGATAACTCAAATAAGAACGACGTACCTGAAAGCCCACTTCACTTCCCTGCCGGCAGTCAAGTTCCTGGCAGACATAATTGCACAGACTCATCGCAGCAATACGCCGCGGCATGGCCACGACGATGTTGGGCTTCTCGCCTTGTTTGGCGTCAGTGTCCAGAAGAAGCGGAATCAAGGCCGACTTGCCTGAACCGGTCGGTCCGCTGATCAGCGTTACGGGATTCAAGCACACATTATCCAGTATCTGCAAACAGTAAAGATATACAAACTTATTGAATCGTGCATTTACTAATCTATTCTGGACAGATTTTATTAGCCCAAGCCAGTCACGTTACATGTTTGTAACAAAAACAGGATAAATTACAACAGAAAAATTCTGGACATGAATGTAAAAAAATAAAATAATATCAAAATCACAAATTCACAAAAACTGCAAATTTTGACCCATACTTTACTGAATAACGCAAACGAAAATTAGGCACTGCGTTACCTGTCGTCGGTGACGCCAAACGGGGAAAACTTTAAAACTATCCGGGATCCGCAGTCTCCGTGGCGGTTTTGGTTGCGCTGCACGATTCACTGGCCGCACGGTTTCGTCCACCATTTCCGGCTCCGCCTTTATCGTTTGGCCATCTGGAAAACCTTGATTTCCGTCATCGTTCTGGATCGGCACATTTTCTTGAACGATTTCAACTTCACGGCCACTTATTTCCTGATCAACCAGCGTCTCCGTCACTGTAATTTCGGATTCGCAGTACTCCAATTCTTCCTCAACTTCGGCTACACATTCGCCATCCAGCTCGCTAGGACTGCTACTAGGGAGCTCGTCGGGTGTATATTCATTAACTGGAGCACGGTACGGGTCAGCGGATGACGATGTTGGCAAACCATAACCTTCCAGCAGTTCGTTGTTGCCACCAGGATGTTCTCCGGGTGTATCTTTGGTAAATGGAACAATGTACGGGTCAGCTGACAATGCCGATGGCAAAGTGACTTCCAGTAGTTCTTTCTTGCCACCAGGAAGTTCCTCGGATGTATGTTCGGTTAATGGAGCAGTGTATGGATCAGCTGGTGATGATGATGGCAAGATGATTTCCAGCAGATCGTCGTTGCTACCAGGAAGCTCTCGCGGCATAGATTCGCTTTCGGTGCATGGGAAACCGTTCGGAGAAGATGCGGATACAGGCAAAATATCATACAAGAACTCTTCGTCCACCTCACACACTGACGACATTTTCCGGGGCTAAAATAAACGTTGTTCTCTCTATATTACTACCATCCGTTCCAGCATATTATCATCCCGCAGTTCATTCAAACATCAAATTCACAATCTTCTTCGTGTCAGTCGATTTCACAATCTTCTTCGTGTCAGTCAATAAACAAAAAGTAAGCCTAGAAACACAACAATAATCTTCGAAATTTTTATTGGGGATGCTGACCCTGAACTCTTTATTTGTGATAAAAATCCCAGTCGGCTGAGAGTGTGAAACAGCTGCTGCTGATTATGAGCAGGAAAAACCTTTGAGTGGCGATTGGTCAGTTCAGCAGCCTCAACGAAGGCCCGTTGCCCTCCGGCACCTGACAAAAGTCGCACTTATCGAACAAAAGTTATGTACGACACACAGCATACACTATCGGCAGTGATTCGGCACTGTAGGTTAGTACTATTCAATCAAATTAAAAACAATATTTCAGTAGTACTTCGTTCCCAGAGTTCGGAATTTTATTCCTTGGAAGTTTTGTTGAATGAACAAGTCTTTTGTTGTGAATCGTGATGGCCTAATCCATAATATTTCAGCGTTTCTGCTCTGGTGACTGTCGTACCTCATAAGGATGTATAATTTTTATTTATCGCAGATGCCAATGCATTCTTTCGACCGGAGCATGACAGAGCCAACTTATTTTTCATTCAAGGGTATCCATAAACCAGTCACAATCGTGGTCTGATTAATTTTTGGTCAGTGCTAGGGGTCCCGAATTACTAGCCATTTCGTTTAGTAATTTTTTGTCTCTCGCTAATGTTGCAATTTAAAAATTTTCGCATTTTACTTATTACTGGCAGTTGTCAGTGCCGGTTCAGTTTTAGGCTTTTTCGATGATTCCAAACAAGAAATTCGAAATTCGTATTAAAGTTTACTGAGTAATAATCACCGCGCTAGTACAGTACTACAACAAGCGGGCTATGCTTATTTACAATAATGCAAGTATGCAAAAGCACCGCTAACAAGCGAATAAAACCATGAACAGCATAATGAAAAACGTTGGCTGCATTTTTTTTAACTTATCATCGAATCGAAAAATCTCGATTTATGTAGTGGTGAATGAAATACGACAGCAGCAAATGGCAAAATTGACCATAATTACTTCAGCGGGGGCGACATAGACAGTCACAGCGAAATAACAGCGCATAAAATTGCACACACAGCACACATCATGGAAAAATCGTTGCAGGACAGACGCTCACATCCATCCGCTCAGGGAACACGTGCTCCAGTCACCAAAGTGTACGGCGTACCACAAATTCGTCATCATGAATGCGAATAGCTCCGCAATTACCCATTAAATCCGGCTTGAATCCACGAGGTAGTTCTTTCAATTAGAAATGTCGATGCAGAAGACCAGTGAAAAGGAAATACAGGCGAATAGGACATACTGATGTTGAGCAAAGAATAGTGTGACAGAAATAAATAAATAAAGTAGAAAAGGACAGAGGCACAGAGACGAGGAACGTTTGCGAAGTTCGGTGTCGACAATCCCAGCATTAATCGCCGATAAACATCAATCCCACTTCCGGCAGCGCGGGCACTTCGTAATAGTCCACCTGTTCGGCAGCGCAGCTGACGGCCACATCTTCCAAAATCTGTTCTTCCATGCTAACACCTTCGTCGGAAGACACAGTGGCTGTACGCGGCAGACTTTCCGGCATCTCTTCTAGATCCGCAGTAAACTCCTGGATCTCTTCCAGGGCCGGCTGAGGATGATTGTGAACCAGCGCCAGATCAGTCTCTGACACCACGTAAATCATGGATGGGCGTGGCATACCGTTGAATGTCGAAGAAGCAGCACAGGTGTAAGCGCCCATATCCTCAAAGATCAGCCACTGTCCCATTGACATCTCGGGAAGCCAGCAGGATTTGGCGATGCAGTCGATTCCGTCGCACGTGGGCCCCCAAATGCTGGACTTGAACATCTCTGACGGCACGTAGAACGGCGGTATTTTAGCTTCCACCGTAGCGTGATCGTACAGCAGACAGTTGAAAGAGCCATAGACGCCGTCATTGATGTAGTACATAAACTTGGTGGCTTCCTCGTCCGATGTCTGTAAGGGCAGATTAACGTAATAAATCTATCGACTTCTAATGCTTTTCTTGTACAAGATTATTCATACCGATTGCGTATCCACCACACGCTTAGCGATAATGTTGACAGCCAACGTAAATGCGGAAGCGACCATGTAACGTCCGGGTTCGGCAATGATACGAATTCCCATTTCAGGCGGAAAGTATTTGTTCAGGGCAGGGTTTACTTGTTCAACAATCTGCAAATCAAAATACGCATAAGTAAACCATATCGCGACAATTTCCGTTCACGCGGTGTTGCCGAATAGGCATAAAATCGATCACGGCACATGACCCGCTACTAGACAATTCACAAAGTGCCGACAATACGGAAATGCAGTCAGTCTTCCCAGTCTCTCAAGCCCGCATCTGGGTGCATTCTCAAGATTGTTAAACTCAAACACAATATCCCCACACCCTTAACGTGCTAAGAGCAACATCTGGTAACGACAAGTCGATAAATCGCATTTCAGCACCGTAAAAATCGTAAACTTTCGGAAATGTCACAAAATACGCAAACCGGAAAACGATTTTTCCAGGTAGAGTTAGCTAACCCGCCGCAAAAATGACTCATACACTGTATTCAAAAGCCAAGACATGAAGTGCTTCTATGCAGTGTAAGAGTATGACTCATCGACCAAAATGCCAAGAAAACCTGTAATACCAGAAATTCGGCACATACCTCATCAAAAGCAATAGGCGCCCCAACTTGTCCGGGATATCCACCACCCAGATCCAGCATCGTCAATGGCGTTCCGATTTCCTTAGCGTGATCGAACACTTCCCGAGCCCACATGATGGCCTTGGCGTAGGCATCCGCGTTGGTGCATCCACTGCCGACATGGAAGCTGACCCCGATTATATTGAGTTCCAGATCCTTGGCCACACCCAGTAAGCGCTTGGCTTCCTGTAGTTTGGCTCCGAACTTGATCCCCAGGTTGCACACAGCCAGCGGGTCATCGGCACGAATACGGACCAGCAGCTTGCATTCAGGATGGAGACGTTTGATCTTGTGCAGTTCAGGCTCGTTGTCAAAGGTGGTCATGCGGACATCGTGTTCAGCCGCAAACGTGATGTGCGAGGATGTCTTGCACGGGTGAGCAAAGATGATCCGGTCGGGATGAACGCCCAGCGACAGCACTTTGTTGATTTCATTTTTGCTGGCACAATCGAATCCGGTTCCCAAGCTGGCCAAAGTTTGCAATACTCCGATGTCATCGTTGCATTTTACAGCATAGAACGGTTCAACGCGGGACAGCTTTTCTTTCCAGATACGGTGCTTGTTGACGACATCTCCCAGATTGACGATGTAAAACGCATCTTCTTTTCCTTGCGTATCGGACAGTTTAATTTGCTCATTGACATAATCTTGAACACTTAGCGTATTGGGATCGAACGTATTAATTTCCAGTAAATTATCTCCAGCCAGTACAACGTGTTGCGAAACGGAAGGGATTGAAGGAGTAGAGGACAGTTGCATCGCGGTCGGTCTGGATATGACCAACTCAACTATTCGATCTCGTAAACAAATCAAGGAAACTGTGGAAAAGTGTAGTGCGTTGATCGGAAGACGGAAATAAGGCTTCGTACGACAGGAACTATGGATAATAAACTGATGAGGTTAAATGGAGGGATAGGTAGATATGACTGGATTTCTTCTCGGAACGGGTATATGCGGAGCTAACCTATAATACAGCACATTTATTTAAGCGAATCAACACCATGTATTGTACGTACACCAAATTTCGAATTGTATTACAATATAACTACAGAAAATGTTAACATTTCGGTAATTTAATAATTGAGAGAACCATTTTTGTAGCTAACTCTCAAGCGAGCGTAATGGTTTTAATACAACTAAAATCACTACAGTAAACTGTGACATCCTTCGGGCCATTGACATCTAACGCTTTAAATCAAATAAATGGTTCACGGAAGGGAAAATTATGCTGGGTAGCAAAATCCACCGTTCAGCATTCTAAATAAAAGTGTCATCAAACTACATCTGGGTACGCATCACAAAACCCTGGATTGAAGTTGTGTTAAACGGTTCGTTCTAACCGCCAAGACTGTCTGCATCCTCATCTTCCGTGACGCTTTTGAGACAGGCAAGTCAAATGTCGAACGCCAACTTCGTAGTGAGTTCGTACCGCATGTCCCAGATCGGTGCAGACACCCGACAGACTCTTAATTGCTTTATTACGAAGTCAGCGTTCAGCGTATTTTACAGTCTGCACTAAACGGTTAGCTAAAAGCCTGACATTACTCTACAACTCTGTCTGAACGTGCTGGTCGGCGCGACCGGCGACACTACAACTTACGCTGATGACGAATGTGGTACGCCGGCAGGATGGTAACTCTAGTCGCCGTGTGCTGTTAGATGGAGATGGTGAGCAAGGACGTGTCTAACAAGGTGGAGGTTCCGAGCAGACCGAGTAGTCCTTGTGAATGTTGAAGTAACCTTTTGCGCTGCTATATAGGACGCTGTGACCAATACCCTGCAATGCAAACTCCATTTTTTAGAACTGCCAAATAATTTAAAGGTGAAAACATACGTAATCTTCATTTGAAAGGCAGTGCCAATAATTAACTTACGTACAAGTACTACCTATCATCGACCCTATCGCGAAATCGGATACGAAGATTACTCCAACTAGTCACTTTGATTAGAAAATTTCCGGTAATTCAATGTCACGAACCTTTCACGTGCACGTCCTTAAAAACAGCAGATAACTCCATACTATTCATGCCGTGCAAGCAGTACAGAAAATGTTAAAATCACAACTGATTTTACATTCAGTTTATCCTGCTCCTGCACAAACGAAATATCATGAGGCCCCGCGTGAACTTCTAATGCCGCAACGTTACGCAGCATTATCGGTTATGCCGGTCACTTCCACAACTTTCTGATAAACCTCCCCCTTTCAGCCTCACTTTCTCATGTGATTCCAATTATTTAAGTTTACAGAACATTCAGTATTGCTGTGATATTACGGCGAAAGGTCAACAAAGCTTACAAAGTTGTCCTTGCAAATTTGCATTCACTTGAATTTGTTAACCCGCCTTCAACTGACAATGCAAAAAACATAATGCTCTTTTTAGTATGATATTAAAAAGTTCCTGGTTCAAAATTGTCGGCTCAGCACTTGATAGAATTCTACAGCTTTCGCCTAAACAAGTCTCACGAAGTCACGAATTGTACGACACGATGCCACAAGAGCAGAATTCGGTCGATTCATGCCAGTGGTTAAATGGACTGAACTGAAAAAACTTACAATTAGCACTAGTATAGGAAATACTTATAGAAGTACTGCAACGAATTGTATAGATATGAACATATAGTACCGAAACTGAACACTATGCAGTTTATTAACAAACTAAAAAGATACAAAAGCGTTCACGAAAGTTGCTCATTCCTCGGCTCATTCACGTACTCGGCTTACAATTACATATGGTCTTCATAAGCACTACGAGCGAACATTTTCTCCGTCATGAGTTCTTGTACATACATACGAGTAGATAGTGGCGAACATGCAAAATTGGAATTTGAAGTTATTAATTTTACTGTCTGGAATAAACACGCAAAAACCCGAAATAAAATTACAATTACTTAATACATACTGTACTCGTGTGACAGTGACAATACTCATAATATTACTTATCACAAATAATTATTCAACCAGATTACTAGAACGTTATTCATCTCAACTTTATAGTCAAAGATTTTATAATTATCAATAAGTATTAACATTAACTCGTCAAGTAGTTAAACAGCAAAACAAACCGATATCAGAATAATGATCAATAACCAGATACTAATAAAAAACTGAACTACTAAATTCATCAATAATATTAGTACGTATAGTTTAAAACCTTAATGCAGTAAGTACTATATAGTTTCTACCCACTACCGTCCGAAAACGATTTTCGCCTTTAAAGTTTAGACACGCTTACAGCTTACGGTTTTACAGTTTTACTGTTACAGCGTTATGATAGAAGTACTAAGGTCTAAGTACTTATGAACTTCTTACTTATGATGCCGTTATCTCTCGACTCATAAGTGGAGATTCCTTCATTTTCTTACCTTCAAAACAAATCTCTTGTAGCTGGAAGTTAATGGCCCTTGTCGCGGTATTTTCAAGGTATAGCGGGTCCCAAAAACGCCCCGATGGGCGCTGAAGGCTGCGAGGATCTGAAAATTAACGTGCGCTGTACTTGTGGTGCTGCAAACTGAAGAGCTCGGTTGTGGCCCACAAGCGTTTATATTCGCACGGAAACCGTTGATACCGTCTGCTATCGGACGTCAACGTCACAACTTTAGAGACGAGTGCATCTACGCGGTAACTGAACGTGTAGTAAAGCGAACGCGTTGATCATACAGTGATTCATCCTTCTACAGCCAATCATATCTTGTGGTAGGCGGTCCTTATTTCAGATGAATGAGCGATCCACAGAATCGCGACGTACCCACTACCAGTCAATGGCTAGTTAAAAGCTGAGTCATCCGTGCGTATGTAGAATGGCATACGTAGAACGCGCCCGTACTCCGTAGACCGGCGTATGTCTCTGTACCTACAGGCTGCCGCCACCGGTAGTGCAGTTAGAAAGGGCGCTTCATCTGTAAGTTAGGTGCTTATGGCCTCCTCATCACCCGCTCGCGTGTGTACTCTGTATATTAAAGCAGGTTCCTCAACTTTCCGTACAAGATGATCGGCGATCGCGAAGAGGGTGGACGTTGGTCAAAAGAATGGCCCGAAAAAGCCATTCTTCTACGTTTCACCACAAACATAATTTTATGCCATTTTCAAACTGGCGCGCCGGTGTGTTACTTTTTCTCTAACCTCGCGACGGCCCTGTTTCTGTACTCGTATACTTGTATGTAGTTGTACGTTGAACACGCTCATACAAACGAGTCAAATGACTCGCTTTGAAATAATTTTGTTTAATAAACTTAATTTGAAACAACACATGTGTCCGGAAAAGAAAACCATTAAGAGTAAGCGAAAAAGCTACACTTTATAACATCCAGAATTCTTTTAACTTTTCCGCTTCGCCCATTGTATTTGTATCTATAACTGACACCGCACTGCCCCGCTGTATCTCCATTGAGAGTCTTTTAATACTGTAATTAGTTTTACTGCTTAAAAAAATTAAAAAATTCCGCATTAATTTGTCGGCTGGATTAGCGATTTCGATTCTTGTATAAGTATTTTCCACAATACATCGGTGATTCGGCTGGCTCAGCCTGGCTGCTTTCCTCACAGACTCACAGTGGAGCCGGCTGACCAGTAGACTTTAAAGAGATCAAAACCCGGGGCGTCTGACTCGACTGTTGGCGTTCCGTTTCAGCACATAGGACGATAAATCTCACCGGGCCTTCTTATACGGTAACAGCCGCACATTTAAACCGCCAGTTTTTCAGGACATACAAAAACCCCGAAGTTTTCTATACCTTCGCTGCAGTTTGGATTTTTGAATTTGGAATGCATTTTTTAAGTTTTTTTTATGCCTTTGTAACATTGTAAGCTTTGAGTTTAACTTTGTAAGTTTGATCCCCGAATATATCCCAGATCACTTTACATGCTTTTGTGATCCTCTTTTGAAAAAGATCTCGCAATGTAGACGTGCAACGTCTTCGAGAACATGAAAAACATGTTTATTCATGTTTGGAATCTTTAGCGGTTGCTGGTTTTACCATACTTCTCCTGTATGACAGCTTTCTTCTCCGCTGGGTACCTTTCTTACCTTGGCTTTTTCCAAAGCTTTTCAACGTCTTTTTCTGCATTGTTGAATCCTGGTATTACAAGTACGTATGCAAACTTATAATTAATTACTGTAAGCAGTAAATATTTTTATGTTGTCAAAGATACGCCGTGGTCGACTTGTCGTAAACTACCCCGTTCTTCTATCTCCAGCTTGAATACGTCCTTAAGTATTACGGTTGTCATCGCTGAGTGGTAGCTGCTGCTGCTTTCTACAATGGCGTCATATCCTAAAGGAGCGGTAACTCGGATTGAGTTGCACAACTTCATGTAAGTCAAAATGCTGATAATCTTTACGAACTACAAGGTGGTTTTTTACGACTGAGATTTCGTAAGATCTTACAGTCTTGCTCGACTACTCGTGGCCGTGCTTTGTAAGTAGCTGTTTTAATGACGGAGTAATTTATGTTTGAAAGACGAGGAGCCAGCAAGCAGTTCTGCTTGCAGCTCGTAGCTTTGTATGATTATTGGGTTGGTGTCACTGGGTGTGCTGTTAATTACAACAACAATCTCACAGGAAATTCTTATTTGATTACAGGACTTACGAACATGTTATCCACTACCCAGGACCCAGAATCAACTTCATCCTGGGTCGCAACGGAAGTGGCAAGTCGTCGATCGTCTGCGCTATCGCTCTGTGCTGTGGATCCACACCGTCGTTTATTGGACGTGCTCAACACTTGGCGGATTTTATCAAGCACGGAAAAACGTCGGCCTCCGTGGAACTGATACTGTAAGGCTACTGCCTCATTCCGTCTTACAGTGTCTCACGAGATATAAAAGAGTTGCTTAATGCGAACTGTGTTCAGGTCCAACCCTGGAGGAAATCCTATACGTGTACGACGGATAATTTACCGCTCTGCGCGAGGGAATGAATGTTGGTTTAATGGCGAGAAAGTGACGTTGGAGGCGTACATGGAACGCATCAAGGAACTGAACATCATGACGGACAATCTGGTGCAGTTTCTGCCGCAGGAGCGTGTCATTGATTTCAGCCTCATGAGTCCGATCGCACTCCTGGAAAATACGGAAAAAACGGTACTCCACCTGAGTTTATGAGTTTCAGTTCAGCTGCCTTTGTTTAATTGAAAGATGCGTTGTTCTTCGCGTTTCGATAGATTAATTCACGACTATTTATTTGGTACAGTAATCTGGTAAGAAAATATGCACATCTTTTGATGGTGATAGCTTTTGTCCCTGCACGAATAATGGATTTATCAATATTCTGAAATCTTCATATAGTTGTTCAGGCAGCAAATACTGTAATTAGGGACACTTCCAATAGTTGTTCTGAAAACCTAATTCAAGTTTCCGTGTCGATAGATTGGCCAGCTGAATCTGTTTAAAATGCACGAGGAACTGAAAACCGCTGGCAATAAATGGATGGACGTGGGTGTGGAGATTGATCGATTGCGCAAATCTCTTGATGATGCACGCGATAAGGAAGTTCAGCTGAAGCTGGATGTCGACAATTTGGCTGCTCAGGAAAAATTAGCCACAGCTATGGGATTGGCTGCGCTGAAAAAGGATCGCCTGGTACACAATTCAGCTAAACCTTTATCCGTTTTTCTACCTTACGGTTAGGTACAATTTACGTATGTTTTGCGACTTTACGTTATTCGGTTATTGTATGTACAATAGTTCTGTATAGTGTAATTCTGTAAATCAACTTTAAAACTGCTGTATCGCATTTCTTACAATAAGGTGGTTGGTATTCGCTTGCAGGCACTTGTTGATCAGCAGGAGGAACTGAAGAATACCAGGAAAGGGTTAGACAAATTCAGTAAAGACCTGAACTCCTGTGCCAAAAAAATCTTACCATTCCAAAAGAAAATAGCAAAAGGGAAAGCAGCGTATTCACTGGCCACTCGCAGCATGGTTCAGGCTAAACGAACAGTCGAGGAAAAGATTGCGAAGTTTCGTCCAGATGTTTATGCTTCAGAACCGGATAAGCTGCAACACGACGTAAGATGTGCTTTCTATGGAGACACCCACGATTCTGAAATCTGAACATGTAACACGATGTTAAGTATTTATTTTCTTATTTTTTTCCGTAGAATGTTGCCGATCAAAGCAAATTGACAGCATATAAACGTCAACATGAGGAGCGACAAAATAAGATCGGGCTGTTGGAGAATGCGGTTACTAATCTTCGCGCTCAAGCGGCACAGATGGATGTGGGCGACACTAAGGTAAAGATTTAGCCCATCCTATTAGGTTCAGTAACATTCTACACTTTATTTATACGTGTTGTGGAATTTTTTATTTACAGGAACGGTTGACCCAGATAGGCCAGGAAGCCAAACGTTTGCGTGATCAAGTCGATGCATTGGTACGGGAAAAGAACGTGCAGATCACTCACAAAAGGAAAGTCGAGGATGAAATCCAGAGTAAGTTGATCGAGTAGTCCAGAGTAACTAAACTGTCTATTTCGTGGATTCTCAGATCCTTCATGTTTTTGGTAAACATTGATCATGTTTAATGTAGATAAACAAGCTGATCTCCAGCGCCTGGAGCAGTCGGACGATGAACGTGTGCGATTTTTGCGTCAGCACAATGAGTCCACCTACCGGGCCTATCAGTGGGTGGAACAAAACCGAAATCAGTTTCGCGGGCAGGTGTATGGTCCGCTGTTTTTGGAGGTAAGTTAATGCTGTTTTTTGTTATGATTACTCGATGATTTTAATAGGTATGCGTTTTTGCAGATAAATCTAAAAGAAAAAAGTGAACAACACGCGGCGATGATCGAATCTCTCATCCCTCGGGAATTTCTCAACATGTTCATTTTTCAAGAAGATGAAGATTTGGATCTGATGATGTCGGAAGTAGTCACAAAGATGCGAGTGCGTGTGCCTTTGAAGCGTGTTCCGATGGGAACGCCAATGAAGCCAGCTGTTGATCCTAATCAGCTGCGACGGTATGCTAAACGTGCCAAAATACTGTACAACCTCAGTTTATAGTTCACTAAATTTTGGTACGTACTCGTAGTCTGATTTTGTGATTATGAAATTCTGTTTATTCTGATTACAGACAAGTCGATTGTCAGACTCTCGTGGCAGATCTTTTTGAAGCCCCGGAACCTGTCTTTGTTTTCCTCTGCAATCGTTTCCAGATGCTCAACATTCCGGTTTACTCTAACTGGAACAATGATTTTTTGGCTAACTTTAAGCGCTCAATCACCGTTAACGGACGTTTGCTTACAAGAAAAATGTTTGCGGGAAAATACAGTGTATGTGTTGTTGTCTGCTTCAGCTACAATTCGGCTTCGGTTAGGTATGCGTTTGGTGTATTATGGAAAGTTTTATTTGTAGTTTTCGTTCCGTACCACGAGATTTAGTTCGAATATTGCCACAACCAACGTGGAAACCCGACCCTCACAACTTTTGGAACGTGTAATGCATCTGCGACGCGGCAGACCCGATGTGGCCCCGTTTTATGCTGAACTAGAGCAGCTGCATACGCGACTTCTTGCGATTACTGAGAAAGAAAAGACAGTTCAGGAAATGGTTACTGCCAAACAGGAGGAGTACAGCACGGTCAATCGTGAGCTCGGGCAAGGTCGCACTGCTATCCAGGAAGCGGAAAGACTTGCGCGTCGTATTGCAGATACTGAAAAAGAGTAAGTGATAGTACGTGCTGGTGTAAAGATAGAATGGAATTGGCAAATAATAATAATATTCAGTTATTCTAGAAATCATCGCTTCTGCATTCGATGGGCAATTATTTCTGTTCATAACTTCATGTGCGTTATAGGGTCGATAAACTGCGAGCAGTCATTTTTGATTTTGCTGCTGAGCAGCGAAAAGTGGCTGAAACGGTGAAAGCACGCAACACTGCCGCGTTGAAAAAGCTTCTGGGAAATTTCGCCTTAAATGTAAGTATAGGTGTATCAAATGCTTGTGAAAGATTGCAGTTAGCATTGGGTAATGCTTGTTATTTTCCTTTGGTAGAATGTGCCTGGTGAACTACTGAAAGAGTCTATTACGATCACAGTGGATTATGCGAAAGCACGCGGGGAAATGCAGAAGCAAGGAAAGACGCTTCGAAAGCACCTGCAAACTATCGCAACCACTTGGGTAACAAAATTCATCACTTTCTATGGAACTAATAAATAATATGTGTGTCTGCTAATTCAGAATAAATATGGAAAAGAAATTAAACAGCATGACCGGCAACTTCGGACTTACAAAGATGGCCTAAACAATCATATTGAACGCATAAAAGATATCCCAGGCTCGGCGAACGGTCGTCTCTCTGCTGAAGCCCTACAGGTTAATCTGAACTAAATTTTCTGCAAACTAAAATGTGATGGAGAATCGGCTTTTATTTAGTTGATTAAATTATTTACTAATTATTTACCTTTCGTTGAAAAAGGAACATTTTTATTGTTGCAGCAATATGTGGCGCTGTCGGCAGATATGCAACAGTTGGAAAACCTCCAACGTGCGAAGCGTGCCCAACTAAATGCAGCTGGAGACATTAACATTAACGTAAGTCGGTTGTTGCAATCTTCATGGAGGAACTTGCTAGTGAATGCCATTGTCAGTATTTTACATATACATCGTACCAATACCTGTATTCGCAGGCATATTCTGTGAGAACATGTAGACAATATTCTGGCAGACGTTAGTACACGTTAATTTGATGCGTTCGTATAATATGATAACTTTGCATGCGTATTTCGTACTGATTATACGGTTTAAGAACGAGTTTTTTTCCTGCAATTTTTGGATCACAGTTAATGAACTTACTCGAAACAAAGGATCCTGTTTTAGGCTCGTCGCGATCTGGAGAAACACGTTGCCTCCATGCGAAACTTGGAAGAAAAGATTGCCGAGAAGAATAGCAGTGTGGAGAAGGAGAAAGAGCGCATGGCTCGGCTGCGCTCCACTTGGATGAACACCATTGATGATTTGGTTACAAAAATTGGCAACAGCTTTTCTGACTTCTATAAATTGATGAATCTGGCTGGAGATGTCGTGCTTCTGCGCCCGAACAATCCGGATCACTTTGAAAATTACGGATTTGAGATTAAGGTGTCTTATCGTACCAATCGTCCTCTGGAAACACTGAGCGGCCAGGTGCACAGTGGTGGAGAGAAAAGCGTGGCCACGGCGCTGTATATGCTAGCCATCCAGGAACTGACCAAATGCCCTTTCCGTGTCGTGGATGAAATCAACCAGGTGGGTTGTTTTTCCTACAAAACATTATCTTCCGATTGGAAGCATAGAACTGCTAGTAATGCATATTGCTAATATCCCATCCATCGTTAAGACGTTAGTTTGAACTTTCCTTATCGTTTTTGCAGGGGATGGATGCTGACAATGAACGACGCGTCTTTAAAATGATTGTGGAAACTGCGAGTCGGTGTGGAGGACAGTATTTCATTCTTAGTCCAAAGGTATTTTTAATTCTGTAATTAAATTTAAGCACAAACCACAAAGCCTGGATTCGTTTCTGTTAGAAAGTTGCAGTTGCGCCCTTTACGAAAAAAGTTTGCTGTTTGTTTCAGTGACACTTTCAGTTTATGCAATTGGTTATTTTAATTGTTCATTAATGATTGTTTTATCTTTCATGTGAAGTGTTGATAATTGCGCATGTTTTGGACGCGATTTGAAGATTTTAAGTGAATTGGAATTGTTTTAGTTGCTGCCCGATCTCCACCTGACCAAAGATGTGACGGTCACCGTGATCTTTGCTGGGAGTGAAATGCATTCGGGATTGCGATTGGAACCGTGGTCGTTGGCGAGCATTATCAAAGCCATGGTCCGCTTGAACAACGTTAACGGTACACCGATGGTACTGGGACAATCAAGCGCCTCTCTGTCTCGTGGTCAAACTGACATCCGTAAGCGGGCACGAGAGCCGACCCTAGTCGAAGATGAAGTGGAGACCAGCCCTACTTCACTGAAGGAAAATCCTGTCATCACTAATCGACGTAAGCGTTTGGCCACTAGGAATTGAAATAGCTGTTAGGAATATCTGTAGCCTTAGGTTTTGGTTTTGTTAGTTTCGATGGTTCTTTTTGAAAGTTTTGTTATTGTTGTTTTGATTCAAACGAAAGATTTTGCGCCGCAACTGGCGTCGAGAATTTTTCTAGTTTCATACGTGATTCGAATTCAGTGTCGAATATGGAGTAAAGTGACGTACGGTGTGGGAATGGCTTGCCGCGAAATCGTCTTAAAAGATTTCATAACACTGTATAATGCGCTTTGCATAATCACGTGACCTGGTGTGAATTCCACGCAAATGGCATTTAGTATTCGATTTCCACACTTGAAAATACACTCTTTAAAAAGTGGAGTACGTAATTTGATCACTGCTTTTTTTCCCGCATCAGGACGAAGCCGACAGCATGAACGGGAATCAAGTCCAGAAATCGCGGCACCGAACAGCAGCAGCAGTAGTAGCGGAGACAGTTCTATGGAAAATCGTCCGGATGAAACAATGCTGACCGTCACCAACGCACCGCAAGTCGCCAGCAAAGCATCGAAACGGGAGCGCTCCGCCGCCACCGCTGCTGCCGTTCCGTTTTCTAAACGTACTCTGCGCACTGCTGCAAACGGCGCAATGCCTGATCGCGCTGTGAGTACTCCGGTTGCCCAACGTAATCAACAGATGAATGTGACATTCGGCGCTGATATCAGTGCCATTGCCAGTCAGTCGCTTCTTCCTCCCACACAGAAATCTCAACGGCGAAAATAGTTTTGAATGGTGAAGTAGATGATATTGGTTGTTAAAGTTTTTCATTCGTTGACTCTGTGGTTGCTTTTTGCTGAGATGAATACGTTTTTGAGATTGAGGTTTTATGCTTTTTCATTCCATATTTTTGTGTATGCTTGTTTTAAGTGTTTTCGTTCGTTTTGGGTTGTTTTTGTAAGGATTTCATAGCATTGATCGCTTTTTAATTGCGCTAGCATGCCATAAAAACTTCGCTACAAATTGTCCGCATCGTTCAACTGATCCACAGCGTTGAAATTCATTATTACGGAAAGCGAATTTATTGTACTACAGTAGTATATTAAGTTAACCTAGAACTTCAGTAATTTAGTTACAGTACTAAATATGTATTGAATCATGTCCTACAAATATGAAAACAGGAAACACTGCTACGGAAAATGTTAGCGCAATTCAGGAAATGATCGATGAGTGCTTTAAATATCTAAACAGTAATGGTAACTTTAAACTTAGTACCTATGTTAGCAATCTCAGTCTGCTGGCTGTTTCCAACTTTTCACAGAGCATTTTTTTCGCTTGAATGGATAGTTTTCATTTACAGATATCAAGGAATGTGGTTAAACTTTTTATTAGGTATACAGTTAAAACACTCGCGACATCTCTGAAATCAACAAAAATGTTCTCGGTTTACGATTCACATTAGTAATTTTTAAAAATCTCACTATCAAGTATCAAAAAATCACATGTAGTCTAAAAATCCATGGCCTCAGCAAGCAGTGTCAAACACTGAATACCGTCTGTTTGAAGCCGTATAATGATTGGTTGTTTGACATATGCAAAAATTGCAACAACAATAAATTTCGTATTTATAAAAAAGCCGATGTGCTACTAGTGTGTACTATGTACTAAAGGTTACAAGAAAAATACAGCAGGGAAATCTGAATAACTTTGCGGGCAGGCCTTCCTTGCCTCTTTTTCAATCACAGTTGAACGATTTCTTTGCCATTTTCAGAGTAGCATTTCTGATTGACCGAGGACGTACGGCGTGCCAATCCCAAGGTATGATAGTATGTGGGCTGTGGCGGTCGGCCGCACTGAAACACCTCGCTGGAGTTGCGGCGCATATAGCGTGCCGGTCGCAGTGCCATACAACACCGGAAGATGCGATTAAATTCCCGGCGGAATTTCTCTGTAAACGGCCCCAAAAAGAGAGCGTGTGTTAATCTTGTTTTATGCATTCCTAACATCAACAGGGAGCGGTCGCCAGATATACGCGTATGCGAGTGTAATATATTGTGCGAGTATATGAGGAGAAACGAAAGGGGAAACGGCATGCGTGGGGATGATATAAGCGTCATAGATTGATTAATTATCAGCATTCTCACTTACCACTCATGACGTAGTAGATGATTGGATTGGCGGTGTTTTGCATGTAGCAAATCCAATGGACCAACAAAGAAACGGTAACCCAAATCGGTGTATTTGGTAATCCCACGGTTGACCTGTCAAAGACAGTCGGGTGTAAAATGAACATCCCGGTTTATGTAGTGTAAAAACAACGTTAGCTTTAATGCGGCATAACAGTTTTAACTATCTGGTGTCCATCTGTTTGTGGCGTATCCTTTACCATGGTTAGCTAACCAGTGAGCTTGTAATGGCAACCTACAGCTGCTTTGTAATTTTTACGTGTGATGTAAATTAAAATTAATACTACTAGCTTATGATAATCTTTTGCTTCTAGTTGTTTTTGATAACCATAAGTAATTAAAGTACGAGCATTTAGTCACTTACTATCACAGCGTCACTTAACAAAAAACAACTAGCACAGCAGCGATTTTTGTCGCTTTAACGATTTCCACCACTTGGTATTTAGTACAGAAAATCTAAAGTCAATAATTATCCAGTCTAATAATAGCGATTTATGTACTGTACGTGAATAGCCAGCAGGTAACTACTATTTTTATTTTGTAACCAGGTTTACAAGTTAGGTATTAACAAAGAACTATAAAGAAGAATCAATGTCCACTGTTGTGCGGCTTAATCGGTTCAATGACAGTTCCATTTTCCAGAGTCGTATATCCGCTAATCATTTCTGTATATCGCTACAATTGTCAGCATTAACCCCCGCTTCCGCTACAGTTAATCATTATTTTCTCAAGATTGCGACTAATTGTCTTTTTTCACGAAATAAATGCGCCTGCACTGTTCGAGAAAATTGCTGTTATTGATCGTGAAGAAACTGTTTATGGGCACATCCATATTCTACATGGCGTATTTAATTTGAGCAAATTGTTGTGGACGGCATTTCGGTCTGTCTAATATTTCAGCCTCTAGAGAATCCCTTCCCGTTACCTACTCTTGTTTTGCACGCAAAGGCGTACAGATAGTTCTGGACTTGAAAAATATACTGTCTAGGTTTGTTGACTACTGTTTCGTGTCTAATTAGCCGTAAACGGCAAGGATATATGTATACACAATTCTTAATAAAATCATATTGACGAGCGTGTTTATCACGCTTCAACGAAGCGTAAATAATTAAGTACAGCCAGGTACCTAGTACCTACCGTAAGATATTCAGCGTATGGACGGGAAGGTAGCAGAATGCGAATAAGGCCACAGAGATAATTAGCATCATTGCCACTTTACGTCGACTGCGAATTTGATTGTCAATAAGGGCGGACTGGGAGTTTGCGACCGGATTGGATACCGTAGATGACAATGATCGTCCATTAAGACACGTACTTCCGGTTTGAACATGTACCGCACCGCGTGCCGCCGGTACACCGAGTACAGTTCCGGTTGGATTAGAGCCGGCAATGTTATTGTAATATTTCCCATTCAGTAAGATCATGCTACCGCTACTACCGGCACCCGCCGACAGCTGCAGTGCCGATCCCTCGGGTGGCTTGGGCAGGGCGCGCCACCATAGAGCATAAACAATTTGACCATATAAAACGGTCATAATGGATATGGGCAGGAGATATAGAGCCAACAGGATGAAAATCTGATAACCCGTTTCCTGGCTGTCACTCCAGTGTGCAACACACTGCGTGAAGTAGATACTGGGTATGGGGAGAAATGATGGCTTCACATCCAAGTAGACAAGTTCCGGAAGCGATACACCGATGGATAAAACCCTAGCAAAGAAAAACGATGCGATTAATTTCCACTCTCACAAGAGGCAAATTTGTCGTTACTGTCCAATGCCATTTGGAGCCTGACAGTGGCAATATATATATCACATCAAGCCATCTGACCCCATACTAGATGATTTCTTTAATTCCTTAATCCCTACTGCGAGCCGTTGTTCGACCGCAATGCTTTCCCAAAAACTTTTTGTTATATCAGTTAATGGCAAGACTTTAACTGACGTTACATATAACTGATATAAGTACATCCATTAATCTAGGAATCGTCCTACAAAAATTTCTCTCTGATGCAACAATATTTGATAAACGGAAATTTCAAATGATGAGACACTGAAGCAGGGAAATTTTGGAACAAAACCCACATAACAAATACAATAATTTAAAACGTGAAGTAGATACTGTATTGTGATCATAAAGCAAAAACACCGAACAACATGATAATTTTATAATTATTTTCGAATTATGACGAAGGAGTGAACTGACCACGGGTCACGGGTGTAATGTATACGAGTAAAGCTGCTCTATAATGCTTTAGGGTTTTTGCTTCTGATTGCGCTCTTGAATATAAGCACGTAGCGGATTTAAGTTTATTTTACAGCTCATGTCATAAGCGATATCTCTCAAGTGTCTATCATAAGAATTACCATGTCATAACCACAGCAATTTTGGCTCGAAAGGCTGTGCTGGCAAACCGCAGGGGAATAACAATGGCCGACCATCGATCCACGGCGATGCAGAAAAAGGTCAGGACGGATACCGAAACACAGACTCTCTGTAAAAAGTATTAAATCAATGGTTAATCCTTTAAGTACCTATTAAGGCACTGGAGTGTACAATTGTATCAAGTATAATGATTTTATTGTCATCAGTATCACTAAGCTGATGCAATGTTATACAGTACTCTGTAGTATTTGAAATACAAATTTTTCCTGAGGTTGTTGTGTCTAATTTTTACGTCAAATGTCAAAATTCGTACTTAATTTATACGAAGCACAACACTTCATAATGCAAAGTAATTCAGATACCAAATTGATAGTATCCGCCTTTTTTTGTTTTGTGTAGCAGATACAAGGTTTCCACAACTATATAATATGCAGTAAATGCGTAGGTGTGTAATACGCAGATCTAATGTGCGTAATTATGACACATATCAATCCTCATTTCATATACTGCGACACAGTATTCTCGAAATATCTGTTTTGATGGAGACGCTTAAAGTGCATATTATTCCGCTTGAATCACTATGTGCATTTTCCAGCTCGTGTTTCCGCTTGCGGCTATGTTCGGCTTTATGGAAGTGTACAGAGTGAGTCGGGTTGCTCTGTCCAAAAGCCGGAAAGTTTGTTCCCACTGTGCCCGTCATACAGTTGTGGTAACTGTTAATACTATGCAACAGGAAGGAGACCGGAAGAGAGATGGTGACTTACGGTAGCGATTAAATTAAACAAAGCGTTTACTTCTGATAAGGATAATTTTGAAGCGTGTACCCTACGAGTTACCTGAGTCCTGAACAACGTTCTAAATTTACGCAGTCAATCTATCTCAAGCACGTATACATGTCATACTACAATAGGTTTTGAAATAGTATTTCTGAAGTTACTGTAACAAAATAGGAAACCACTATGTTTACTGTGCTGCCACTAGTCCACCGGATCGCAGCGAAGGTCTTATTCAACAAAAACGGAAAAATGAACGTCAGTTTGTTGTTACGCCCAGTAACAAAGCCATTTTCAAAGAATAACTGGAAGCGGTTTTGTACATTTACAAATGTTACTGTTTTAATTATTAAAATTATTAAGTAATATTTAAAGTATGGTTACTCAGTGCTTAATTAAGTGCGCAGATATAGTTTGTGAGTATTCGTAGGTGTTTAAAAAATGCAGCGCTCCGGTTTGCCAATGCAGGCAAATGTGCATTTTTCTAGTAATACAGAAAAAATGGAATTCGGTTCCTGTAGCCTCTTGCACAGGAACCATAAACGTATTTCTGTAGGCTGACTAGGCTCACGATGTATACGTACCAGAGCTGCCTGGTAATGGATTGTTGTGCATTAATTGGATAACTCGGAGTTAAAGCAGCCTCGAAGATCAGGTCTACGTCAAAACTATTTGCGTAGAAACTGTACCAACACATAATAATAAAATTTTTAAAAGGTTGGCGGATCTTATAGCAAGAGTCTAATCAATATTAGTCACGCAATTGCAGATTTAGCCGCCGTAAATGAAACTGCACGTGCAAGTCACGTTAGAATCGAAAATCGTGATTTTGTAGTAGTTTCTGCAAATCTGATTTTCTAAACTAATAAATCTGCGAACTTTACGATGCAAATTATCTGCCGGTTTGGTGAATCTTATTACAAAAATGATGATCTCAAAGGTCCTCTCGATAATTGTTTTGCCTCTAGGCAGCTGTATAAGCACGGTCGCAGTAACGTTAATCGGATCGCTACTGACTTGTACATTATATTATATTAGGACTGGTACCTTCATAAACATGGCATGGAACGCAAACTGTAACTTGATCAAACGTGATTCTTATGAAAAGTAATCAAGCAAATTTTCGAGGAACTGAAAGCTTATAAATACGCTTGTATGTCGGCACCGAAACGCGAAGCCAACCTGTGACGCTGTAGAGATCGACCACAAGATGACCTGCCGGCAATGAGCACCACAAAATTCAGTAATTCGTAAATTAATCAGGTAAAGAGAATAACTATCGATAAGCAATACTGTCTTCATGGGAATTACAATACCCAACCCTATTTCCCACATGACCAACACCTTTGTAATGCCGCATCATCGCATTTCGTTGATTCGCTCACTAGGGTAGATTATTTCCCTTAAAATTATGAGATATAATAATGTCATCTGCGCCTAGATGCAGTAAAGGTAGCGGTGTGCGCGTACTAGAGCTTTGCAACTTATTGTTTGAGAATAAAAATTTCCTATCACTGTAAAATACTAGACAACACGAAAATTATAATTTACCATGAAATACAGTAGTCACTAACGTCGTCTTGATGCCTAGCGTCTGCATTTAGATCCCTCATCACTGCAAGTTCAGATGGCACACTGGTCAAAGACTGCCAGTTTACTGAGTTTAGGCACAAGTTTTTTTATTTCGTTCTAATAAGCATGCCTGATTTATTAGTACTAATGTTGAGAAAAAAAGTGCGCAGCGGAAAACATTCTGAGCACATTAAATCACTGCAGTAGCTGGCAACGCACGATGCCGGTGCACAGCCTCGCAAATCATATTACTGTGGCAACTTGGTAAGTAATCCAATAACACAGCAAAAGTTAAATAATTTACTTCCCGTCCTCGTTTATGTGCAATTATCGTAAATGTAATATCTCCCGGTCGTTTACATGATATTTTCACGGGGCTTTCGGCCGTACGTAAACAGACCTGCAGTTGTATATCATGCACCGAGAAACCATACTGCAAATGCAAAGTTACAAACCCAAATCTTCTGCAACGGTTAAAAGTTGGGTTGACCTTTAGAAATTTGCTAGGAAGCCGGAGCCTGTGCCTAACACCACCAAAATAATTCCATATTTTATAAAAGATGATACTCATCTTAGTAGTTTAAATCCGTATTAAAGGATGCGCACTTTAATAAAATTAATAGTGTATTCAGTATTGCAGTATGATCATATTAGTTAAACTTACAGTTAGGTCGCACGTGTAATTTCTGAAATGTCAATTAAATGTGAAACCATAAATTTCGCTACAAACTGTAGCTATTTTAACGGTTTTGATGGTAACTTCGCTTTAGTACTAACAGAATTTCTAAAGGTGATAGATATCATTAATTTTTGTACCTTTAATCTGATTTTAATAGATATCATTGTATCTTGTACCTTTAATCTGATTTTAATAGATATCATTGTATCTTGTACCTTTAATCTGATTTTAAATTTACAAATTATCCTCCAGAACGCTTATATACTGCAATACTGTGACGATAGTCTGGTGAAGGGATAATTAACACAAAAATCGTTATTGTTACTGTACCAATTGGGCAGTGGTAGCTGGTTTTTTACTGTATATAAAATCCCATCATAACAGTGATTACCTGGCAAAATAAGACTGCTTGACACATAAGGCTCCCTAAAAACCACGTTTCCGTTACATCCCACAACACAGTCGGCGGCAGGCATATCATCAGCACCAAGAAGTCCGCTACAGATAGATTGACGATGAAGTGATTCGTCACGCTGCAAAAATCCGTCTTTAGCACATGCCGAATTAACTGCCCAACAATAATCATAATGCAACGCTAGTCACTTGCACGCCAGTAATATGGTCTTAATATTCACCAGATTTAAATCCCACACAATTTAATCAAAATTTTATCGAAGTGTAGTTACCTTCTCATGGATGGATTCCGAACGACGGATATGATGACGAGGATATTACCGGCGGTGCCCACTAAGAAAATGATCGAGCTCAGAGCAATTAGGAACCATTCGAGGATCGTGGGGAAAACGTATGCTTCGACAAATTCCATATAATCATCATCTGATAAGCAGTAGGTGTTACTGCTGTTAGTGCAATTGGCCGGGGATAAATAGCCGGCTGCTACCGCTGTCTGGTTGCCCGCAACGATAACCGTGGGGTCCAGTAACACATCGCCTGCATCTCCATCCATATGCGGATGTGCTGCTGGGAATTACAGTGTTATAGTGGGAAAAAAAGATTTATGGAGTAAAACTTTATCAGCGCTCTCCTGCGCAGTATGCGGTGTATAATGTCGCTGTCGGGTATAATTTAGCCCCGGCAATCCGCTTGTTTCGTGCCGGAAACTTGACGGGGAAAACAATTTTCACATTAGAAGGGTATCAGTGTCAATTCTTGTTGGCTGTCAGCATTAGCGGCGTCGCAATGGATATTAGCACGTATCGCCAGGCCGACGTCGATGCAATAAGTCACAGATTACGTAGCCGGGCCCGTATGCGCGTCCGGCGTATTACTGCCGCGGTCTTCCTCTTAAAAGTCAGCTGAATAAATTGGAAATAGAAGAAAAAAATCCCAAATGGACAGGAACAGCTGCTTAATTTATAACACCGCAATCAACGCATCGATCGATAGGCAGTACAACAACAGAACTCCGGATGTGACCAGCTGTGTTATTTTCAGTTATCGGTCCAATTCGGGATTGGTGTTGTGTATACAATACAGTAATAGTCATGTGTAGCCGAACGGGTCAGTGTGTATGCGTCCGCGCAGCAGACTCAAACCGAAAATCACCCAGTGTGTCAACATCATCACCCATCATGACCGCTTAAACAGTCGGGGGCCAGTGTGCGTTCCTTAGTTTTGTTTGTAAAGAAAATTAAGGAGAGACGCGCGCGCTAGCTCTCTCTCATGTGCTAAGTAGTCGACGTTGAGCGCGCATGTAGTGTCGGTCCCAAGCGGCTTACTGGGAGCGCGCGCGGGCGGGCGTGCAATCCATACCGGGACTGGCCGCTCATAGTTGTGTCACGTTTTTCGAGAGGGGGTGCAACTAGGGATTCGTAATTTCCGCCACTTTGCAGGCACGGTTACACTGCTATGCCCTGGCTGCCATGTCCGGGATACATAATCCGTACAGTATTAGGCGATATTATTGGGGGGTAAGTATAAGTGCATCATCATCCGCGCGCGCTCCGCGAATACCGTATCCATCAGCAATCCCGGCAAAATTAGAAACGATGTTCGGCATTCCTCGGCGTGATCATCGTCCTGTCGTCTTTTCCACACCATCAGATCTGTCAATCATATTTGTAAATTTGGCGACATGCTGCCTTCTAAAATGGTTATGTTAATCATTATCGATAGAGGCAATTCTAATAACACGATGATGGACATTCGCTCGATACGATATGCTGCCGTCGTGGCTTGCAAGCCACGACGGCAGCATATCGTATACGAGTCTTTGCAAATTCATTGCAAATTTGTACTTATGGTTAATTATCGTGCAGCATGTAATGAGTTTTTCCTTCTTTTAGAATTAATGTGAAGTAAATGTAGCCGTTGCTGTTGGTAAGCCTAGAGTGGCTAATCAATTGCAAAAGGCAAAAATTCGCATTAAAAATGGTCGTCTGCCCGACATTATATATTAGTATTATAAACTGCACTTCGGCCGACAGCCTGGTTCCAAAATCAGAATTAGGAGTGCGCAGAGTCTTCCGTTGTTGTTGTTCAGTACACATGTGTGCAATTCAAAGGAAATTGTTATCATGATCATTTCACGATCAGTTTTAAAAATAAGCAAATAAACATGCGCAGAAATGCGGTAAGTACTATTAATTGTAAGTAGATTCGTTGCCCATGGACCATATCTAATTTATACCTTCATTATAGTGAAAAGATAAATTTTCACTTTGGCAGATCGACGTACTCTGAAGATTTTAAAGGGCATGTGTTTTTATAATTAGGCTGCTGTATACGTATTAACCTGGAAATACTTTACCAAACATACAAAAAGTCCTAGGGTAGTAGAGTAAGCGCCAGATCTTGAGGTCGCATGGTCGTAATTAATTGAGTTATTTGAGAGATTGCCGGTACGTGATGTCAATATCAGCTGCCCGAATTCACGGGATCAGACACAATGCGTATTCGATAGCAGTGACAAGAGAGTTCATGGGGATGACACAGTCGTGACAGTTTGATTAAAAGAATCATTGCATCATTTTGCATTTATTAGGCATGCAGTGAAAGTCTATAAAAGTTAATAATTACATAACACATATTACATACAGATGCGCGGCATGCGCCGTGTGGGATAATTCAGTTAGGGTGACTTACTGTTAACTGCAAGGCATTTGAGTCTTGGAGGCACTAGTTGAACACTAGCTAGAGTAATACGAGTACAATATGTAAAATTTAAACATTACGTAGCAATTTACTGCGCCTGCACTGACAAGTTCTGAACGAAAACTCTGTTCCAGTTGACATGGGAAGGGACTTTGTTTAATTAACCATACATTCTCTGTGTAGAATTTCCACAAGAAAACCTTAAGAGTTTTAGAATTTCACTTTGCACAAGTCTGTCCATTAAATGAAATTGTAAAAAGAAATTTTAATCTCCTTATTTAATATGCACTATCAAAAATTTTGTGATATTATTTAATAACATTCAAGTTATCTCTCGCATAACATCTTCACATCCTTTAATTTGTTAGCGCATACGCGAATGGCCATTTCACTGGAAAATCCTTGCATGTTCCGTTTTAGCTCCTAAAACTTCATGATCAAGTGCCCTGTATGTATTTGTAATAATTATTGCAGCTAGTGTGCAGGTGCTGTTAATTACAGCGGAACTGCAAAAACGAGATATGTTCATCCATATTATCAGAATTTAATTGCGTATGAAAAGGAAAACGCATTTCCGTTGGCGTTGACGCGTACTTTTATTTCCTCTGACCTTTGAGTTTCATCATTCGTAAATTAAATACCGTCCAGCAATTTGCGATGGATGACGTTCATGACATTAATACTTTGTATATCAGGACAACAACATATGTATGTGTGTGCACCTTTACCTGTACCAGCAGAATTACTGTACATAGGAAGTACCAATCGCTTTTCCAAGCTTACTTCGCATTGATACAAGACCCTCTACAGTTTTCTGCAAATTTTTTAAACAGGAAACTTTTTTGTTAGGCAGTATAAGACGGCAATAATAGTTATAGGGGTACGTAGCATTGCACCGCTTTTTTGGTTGCACTGTTGGTGGCTTGGATTGGCACCCCGGTAAAACAACTTGCAAAAAAAACGTTAGTTAAACGTTAGGAGACGGCTAAAATTGACACACATCCGTTCACCTACCGGTAGTTACACGTTAAACTAACGTTTTTCCTACAAGCTGTTTTACTCGGGGCAGCGTTTGTAGGGTACTTACGAACGTAACGTAATGTTAAATTTTATGCACATACTGGTACATTGTATACTCGTACAATAGCAAAATTTTTTATTTGCGAGTAACACACTAAATATAACTGTACAAAGACGAGGAATTAAATTTTGTTTTTTACTTCTTTCAGTGACCTATACACTACACAATATACACATCGAGTAGAACGTTCTATACGATGTGTACTGTATATGTCAATGAAACTGTAAAAAAACGACAATTATAAAATTTACGTACAGGCGCAGAAACCAGAATATCTACATTCTGGTTTTTGCGCCTACTGTGTACTGTAAATGTAAATTTTTATAATTTAATAATTGCCGTTAACCGTTAACTCGCAATTAATTAAGGCGGGTGCTCGGACTCATGACCATAGTTTCATTTTTCTAACTTACGCGAGTGCATGATTTATCAAAAACCGCTTAACATTGCATATATATTTCTCATCGTCGAGTGGTTTCTTTGCGCTTTGAGACCATGCATCGATTACCGGGATCTACAGATGGTGACTACAAAATCTGAATCCAGTTGCGGAGAACTGGGAATTAGCACCAGCAATCCAATTTCATTTCCAAAACTAAAATTAAAATATATAATGTGTATTTCGGGTCACTCCATCTTCAAATGCGTACCAATAAGACAGGTTGGACAGTCCACTGTGTCCAAGCAGATATGACCTCGCAGACGCAAAACCGTTGTCCAGGCCAATCCAGATACAGTATAACTTTATTTTATATGCGAGGTAGAAAACGTGTTTACGCTTACATTCAAGACTTCGCCTTAGCGGTCTATATGATTTATTACCTACTTGAATTAAACTTAAATACTTACCAACGCGGGAATGCGGCATCTGTTTTGGGAACAGCACCAGCTAGAATCGGCTAATTTGGATGAAATGTTCTGTATGATTAGGATTTAGGCCACCTATTTCCGTAAACGGCTGAGGTTGTGTAATCAGTGCAAATATCTTCTACTTTCATAGTAAACTTGTGATTTTATTATATCGCTAATCTCAATAAAGTGAATACTTATTACAATTCATTTTCATAAATAAGTTAAAATAACTGATGTTATTTTATGGATTATTATGTTTTTTGACCTTTTTATGACGGCTTGTAAAATGGGCACCCGCCGCGGGAGACATTCACCCTACCGTGCTGCGCTTGTTAATTTGGAAAAAATTGAAGGCAGCGCCATCTCAGCAAGCAGATCCTTGGCCATGCAGATGGCGCTAAGTTCCTTTGCTTATGATCAACCGCCAATTTTGTGATTGGCATATTCCCCTAATCGCTATTGATTCGCAATTTTCATTCGCCAGTGTGAACAGGGCGTACATAATACCGCCCACAATATATGCGTAACGCTTGTGCTATGTGCTGGTGCACTTTTACGGCGTAAACCGTTACGTCACATCTAGTATGTATATTGTACTGTCTAATTTTGTCGTCTGGAATTTTCGTCTTTTTTGTCGGGTTTCTGGAGTATCTCCTCTTGTCTGCGTTCAGCTGTCAAGAACTACGCCAGTTTTATGGTTCTTCTCAACGTTCAATGATTTTTAAATGTAGTAACAGCGCCGTTTGATTATATTGGCTAATCAAAGTACCGACGGTATTTGAAGAGTGGGGAGCTGGTTTTCCCCTTCGGTTTATCTGTGATCGTCTCAAGAGTCGATAAATTCCGTACAAGTTGAGTGGCCACATCTTCCGATCCAATGGAAACAGACGATGTTGAGTTTCAACCTGTTGGGCAAACGGAAGAGGGCTATTATCTTGACGGGAGTCCGGCGTCCGTTCCCAGTGCGCTAGAACGACCAAGTATTGTACGTCCGTTTTTTTGTCGAGATTCTGCTACATCATCGGTTCTATTCTTACAACTGGTCGACACGATTCCCTATTCTTTTCAGGGTCAGAGTGTTGCTCAAGCGGCTAGTTTATTGAATCCGTTCAACTGGTTTAAGAAGGAGCCCTCGCGAAGACCCCCGCCATATTCGCGACCACCTCCGCGCCGAGCACCGCCACCCAATCGCCCTGCCATCCTCATCCCCCGCCATGCGCCTGCTGAGCCCCCCGAACAGCCCAATAAACGGCGGAAGGTCTATGAAATCGAGTTTGGCAAGATCATTAAGCGGGAGGAGTACGGCGAAAATCCGCCGACGAATGGCGCGATGCCACCCAATGTGGACCTCATGGTGGATGAGCGACCCCCCAAGAGTCCCACTTCGAGTGTTGGTAGTTATTTAACAGAGGACGAAGATTCGGACCTAGAAGTGTTGTCTTCATCTTCGTCGTCGATCGTGAATCGTCGGAAGAAATTGTCTGAAGGATCAAGAACTTCAGGTAAGTTTTGGTTTTCGCGCCAGTATCTCCTGGGATTTTCTGGCACTATTTTTTAATATTTTATTATGATTGTTATTGTATTAAGTATATGTTTTCGCGACACTAGAATTATGAACCTTCTGTTTTAAAGTAGAAGTCTAAAACTTGCAAAAGTTGCCAGTGAGAATACTTTTATCGTATTTAGGTTCTTCCCGTGATATATTCGACTCGGACAGGAAACCCAGCTCATCGGGGCTGCCTCGCTTTCCGCTGAGCGAACGACGAGATCTCTCTAGTCCATTATCATCTGCATCATCTCGCCAGACTACCGGATTGCCGTCTGTTCTAACGCCTTCGCGATCATCCCAAGTTAGCACTAACGTTCAGCATCATCCTTTAATGTCTGAGGTGCAATCACCCGTGAGCAGTGCCACATCTGCTACTCCGCCACAAGCCACACTCAACAAGAAGCGCAACTTTCAGGAAGTCGATAAGGACGAGGCACTGCCGAGTTTCTTTTCCACTTTCCCACGGTCGGCGGACCGAAGATCGTCGGGTGTGCTGCCCGTTTCGCGTTTCGGCTCGCGAGTATCGGAAGTTCAGGCGGGCAGCAGTGGGAATAGCGGTCCACTGGCGACGAATTTGAGTAAACGCTACCTGGGCAACAGTGGCGTGAAAATCCCGTTAAATACACAGTCGGACTCGGCCCGCTCCAGTCCCGCGAGCTCCGAGCTGGAGAAAATGTTTCCGCCGTTGAAACGCATGCCCATGCCTGGCCGATCCTCCTCCCCGCTTCAGTCAGCAGATAAATCGGCGAACCGCAATCGTTTGAAGTTGGAGAATTTGGATTACAAATACGTTGTCCGTTCCCCTGTTGTCCTGCCCACAGATGGACAGGATTTTGTGTTTAATGCGTCTATCGTGGTGCCCAGCGGCGCTCTAGCTCAAACAATTGACATTAGTGGATTTTCAACCGAACCCTCCCCCCGCCATTCACCACCACCGAAAATACATCGTTGTCGTCTTTGTGGCATTTCCGTGAAGAGTGGCGAACAAGAATGTAGTGAATGCACCGGAGCGCGCGCCACTCCACAAGATACCGTGCGCATTGAGCACATGGAAAGTAAGAAAAAAGAGACGACTGTTGTTGAGACAGGAGGTTGGACGTGCAAAAACTGCGGTAATCATTACTCGGAACGTACTGAGCGCTGTGTGGAGTGCGGCGCGAAGAAACCAGCTGGTAAGGCCATAGAAAAGCCTTCGAGCACGGTTAAACCTTCCACATCATCGGAAAGTGTAGAGTCCGTAAAAGTCCCTGCGTCTACTTCGAAGGAGACCGTTCCGCGGACAGGGCAGCCGGAGACTGCGTCTAGAGCTCCATTGGAGGTAGAAAAAACAACGGAATTCTCCAGTAAAGATGCCAGCGCAACCACTACCGGTAGGTTTTCTAAAATGGTAGTTTGACTAAAATACTCCTGATAATGAATATTGACTTGTTATAGCTGCTCCCTCAACGTTCGTTGATATTTGGTCGAAAAAGAAATCCGGATGGGACTGTCAAGAATGTTTCGTAAGCAATAAGGACGGCCAGAATGCGTGTGCGTCATGTGGAACACCCCGACCTGGAGCCGCCTCCACTTCTTCCGCTGCTTCATCAGCGGCTGCTGCTCCTGCGCCAAGTTTTTCATTTGGATCGGGTGCCATGAATTTTCAGTTCGGCGCTCCGTTAGCAAAGCCAACTGAGCCTTCTGCGCCGGCTTCTACGGCTGCCCCAGTGACAACTGGTGGATTCTCCTTTGGATCAAAGCCATCGGCATCCACAAACGAGCCGGCAGTGTCCACGGGGATATTTGGCGCTCCGATTACGACATCACTACCTTCGTTCAATTTTGGCCAGCCGCCAGTGTCTGGTACGAGTACGGCACCCCCCATTGCGGGTTTCGGGTTTGCTCCAGCTGCACCGATAGCAAACGGTATGTGTATTGTAGTTATCCTTATATTTGTTTGTTCTGTGGGCAGCAGTCATGGAATTTGGAATACTGAAGTAGTGCAGCAACAAACTATCGATTTTGATTCGATGGCTTCAGTTGTCTTTTTCCTCTGATCTTACAGTAATTTATAATAATATAATAATCTTACTACAACAATTGTTTCAGGATTACCGGTGTCTGCGCCAAGTAAAGTGGACTTTACTCCGGTCATTACCAGTACAAGTTCGACTTTTGATGCTCCCAGGCCGTCATCAACGGGCTCTGTTTTTGGTGGATTCAGTCTTGGCACCGCAGCGGCGCCTAGCGAGCCTGCCAAGCCAGCATTTCAGTTTGGATTGAATGCGCCGTCTCAAAGCTCTGGTACGATTTGCAATGAAACTGTTACATTTTATTTTTCCTTTAACAGTTACAATACCTAAAACCAGCTACAGTATCTAGCCGTGGCGTACTGGTATGTTTTTATAGAATAATCGGATTCAGTTTTTTTTAAACAAAATTTTCACGTTGTTAAGTTAGTGCTTTTTATGACCGCCTAGCTTAAGAGTAGAAATCCGCTTGAACGAGGATTTTTTCATAGGTTCTTCGCTTTTCGGCGGTCTGGCGAATGGTCTGAGCACATCGGCGTCCACTGCGCCCACATCTGGACTGCCCACGTTTGGCGCCGAAGGACAGGTCAAAGCAGCGGTTACTGCCGCACCTGGTAAGCTATGCTGTACTTGCAGTCTTTCACTTAAAGTTAAGATTTAAGAGTAATTCCGGGATTAATTATTTAAACATGCTTATACTAGGTTCATAGCGACAAGGTTGCAGTTGTTATCAAAGTACGCTTTTTATCCAGTACTTTCAAAGACTTGTCTTCGTTTAGGTAATCCTGCGCCGTTCATGTTTGGCCAAAGCAATCCTGCCGCTGCCTCGACTTTTCCGGGATTTACTGCACAAATCCCATCCACTACCGGGTTTGGTGCTGCTCCCGGTGGATTCTCTTCTTCAGTTGCGACTACAAGCGGCAATTCGGGTAACTTTGCTGCAATTTTGCGGTAACTTTGCATGTGAACGTTAGTTTTTCTGAGCAGGTGTCACTTTTGGAAGCAACTTGTTCGGTCAAAGTAAATCGGAAGCGCCACCGTCGGGATCACTGTTCAATTTCGGACAGCCGTTACAGAACGGGCAAACGTCTACTTTACCATCAAGCCAGTCGATTGCCGGTGGAATTTCTTCGCAGCCAAATGCTCAAGTGCTGAGTATATTGGGATCACAGCAGCCTGCCATGCCTGGTCAGCCCGGAACATTTGGAAGCATGGGGTAGGTCTTATTTGTATTTTGTTTATAAACGTTCGCAACTGGTAATTATAAGATGCTTTCGGTTGTGTTGCAGTGGACCTCCCAATGCCCGGCGAATTTTAAAAGCAAAACGGAATATCACACAAAGGTGAATCCATGGAGTCTGTAGACGGGGTGCGGCGATTGCTTGCCGTGATTGCTAAGTTGATAATTTATGCAGTTTTCTTTCGGGTTACTTTCATACCTTTTTGTTCAAAGGTGACAATATGTGGTACTAGAAATTTTTGACGGCCAATTATTTTAAATATGGATTGTTAAAGAAGATGTTTTTAATGACGAGGGATATTCATACTGTGGCTTTGCTTTATTGTCTTAACTTGATGTCGTTTTCTTTTGGGATGGATGTTATTTTTTCGGGTTTGGCAATGATGCCCAGTTGCCCATCTAGTGCTGAATTTTGCAATGCGATAAACAACAAAAACATGTTGACATTTTCTCTGTCGAGCCACGTTCTGGCAAGAAGCAGCATGTCTTTCAAAGTCTGCGGAAACAACATTGATAGCAGTAACACAGATAAAAAATTGTCATATAAACTCTACGCCTTCAAATTTTATATTTTTAACAATAAGAGTTTCTGGCAGTAAAATCTTGCCAGTTAGATCAAAGGCCATAATATAGGACGATATATTACCATCGTCCTCTTCCGATTTCAACGCTACAATAATATTATCACCGGAATCGGGAAGAAATTTAAACGACGAAAACCCGTGTGTCGGACTAACTTCGCCCACAAGAATATCATCAATCGCCGAAAAATTCTCCTCCGCCACCAACATGTGATTCGCACCCATGTGCTCGTCCAGTTTTTCATCGTACTTGTCTTTACTGACTCTTCGTGGTAGGAACACCCATTTGCGGTGCTTCTCCGACCAACCACCGGTTTCATGGATAACATAACCTGGAAACTGGATGTTTAATTTTTCGCGGATGGCTAAAAAGTTCTTTTTCCAACTGAAATGTTGGACACGGCCATCGGTGGAGATACGCTTAATCCACAACGGATTATCGTTGATCAGTTCGCCCGTGGGCGATGTCCATTCCTTCCCGAAACCCCCCACGAATAAGTGCTGATCTTTAACAGTTGCCCACTCTGACTTAAAACCTACAAAAAAAACAAGAAAATCAATAGAATAAAACGTTAAAACAAATGTAAGCATGTGCAAAAATCTGTCAAAAACAGTTCAATATTTTTCAAACAAGAAATTTCTGTCGCAGATTCCACAAACTTGCGACAAAATACCGTCGACGAGATGCTTAATGTTATTCTGCAAAGTGCAAACTATATCTAACGTGGCCATTCCAAACTTTTATCAGAAGCTCATTATAAATCGCTGATTTATTCCCAACCACGTCATATGTCGTGGCATCAACGTGGTTTCCTTACCCTTCGTGGCTCTGCCATTTCCATCCGTCAAGATCACCCAGGGAATCGCCAGATTCCCCTCAATCTCATATACTACACCGGTCCGATCATCCACACCGTACAGTCGCCCGTTGAACACCACCAACTCGCTCATTTCCATGCCGCGATTCCCGTAAGCCCATGAACTGACCAGCTTAATCAGTCCCGCTGGCTCGCGTTCCCATTCCACTTTGATCTCCTTAAACTCCGGATTCCATAGTATATCCCCGTATTTTAGATAGCTCATCCACTCTTCTTTTCCCTCCACTTTGGCTTTCAGGTCCATATCGGCCACCAGTGCAATGCGATACTTTATCCAGCCACCTTCTAATTTCACAGGATGTGTCAGTGGGTACGTGGCGTTATACGGAAGCTCGGGAAAAAAATACGGATCCAAGGGATCGCCCATGGGAAAGCGCGGATTCCTCCGGTAGAGGCCATCCGAAGGCATTAATTTATAAAGAAAAATTATAAAGATGAGCGCTCCCGCGACGATCAGCGCGAATAAGGATTTGCCCTGCAGACGGATCGTGGAGTTGCCTAGTTTGATCACTCTGGCTTTCTCGGCGGCTTCCATTAGGAATATGTTACTCCGGTACTGATTCATCGAAAAAGTGGGTACCTAGCGTTTATGAGGACTTCTCCGAAGAAGCGTCGAAGTGTCAGCATTATTCAGTGAAGCTCCGAGAAGCCAGCTGATCATGTGTTGAATGCAGTAATCAGAATGAAACAAGGCAAACAGGAAACCAAAAAAGGATTAGCTTTATATAGCTTTCCCTCAATCTAGCAAGTTGTTCAAAACATAACTGTAAGAGTTAAGACTAACCACAAAATAACCCAGAACTAAGGATGGCTTATCACAACTTGGCCATGGAAAAATTAAACATATTTATGATTTTATCCAGACTTATAAAAAATTTTGTGTAAGATGGACACACTGATACAGACAATAGTGATATGTACTATAGTATAGTCGCATTCGACGCATTGTCACTTTTGTTTGGACTTTGGGGCAACTTGAAGTTGAACAATGAACGCCCTGCTGATGCAGTAGTACTGGAGGGTATTAGGTTTGTTGCACTCTGTACAACCGTAAAAATTAAAAATAAGATTTACTGTAACATAAAAAAATAAAAAGTTAAAATAAGTACGAAAATAAAAAGACAATAAGAATAATAAAATTTTTCTGCTAAAAAATTTGACTAGAAGTATATTAATTACAAAATAATATAATACAATTATATACTCTATGTATTATCTGTATCCCAGTATTGTGCGCATACCTATTAGGCTATTACAGTAATGTGTTGCCATAAAGAGGCTCTATTTCCAGCAAATTCATATTCTATACTACAATCTGTACTTCGTATGCAGTAGAAAACATTTTAATTAATGGCCAAAAGCTAATTTATCGTTACGTGGTATTTTAAGACGGCCGTGAAGTACAGGTTACAGCAGGAACACCAGCTTGTGCATGATAGCTTAGCGGCACTCGCTATACCTTACCCATAATTGGTAATCACAAAATTGCATGCCGCAAAAGAGTGATTCCAGATTAAAGACCCTATTTTACTTCTTGCGAACGTAAGTACCGTGTTTGCCATCTAAATAAAGCATCGTCGGCAGATCTAGAGGCGATACAATACAATATCTTAAGCTTACGGTCACATAGCCAAATTAAATAATCCGATCAGGTTAGAAACTAAAGGAAATCCTCGCACTTTATGCTTAAGAAATCGAGTTACCGATTATGTATTGTACGTTGGACATTAGGAAAGGGCGTGCGCTACACGGTGTTGAGCGCCATTTATCAAGAATTGTAACTGAAAAATGTTAGTGATAAAGAATGCCTTTAAGCCGCGCAAGCAAAACATCTGCAGTTGCAGATCGCTGTTGACTGTTCAGTAGTGTTTGGTGTTTACTTTCTATGATTTTTAGTCTGACGCACACGAATAAAATTAATGGAAGTTATTGTCCTGGGCTACTGGCATTGTTATATACGATCAACGGAATTGCATGCATAGCTCTAGATGTGAAAGTTAAAAAAGGTTTTTTTCTAATAATAATTGATAACCTTAATGTTTCCGAAGCATTAGTACAGATAAGTACGAGTACTAATTCATCATACGCTGCATTGCTTCATTTTAGAATGCAGCTCACCGTCAAGGTCAGTACTGAGTACAATACGGCGTATTAAGTACTGCGCCTACAAAGACATAAGAAATCCCTTTCAACTTACTTGGTGAACTTACACGGGCAGGGACAGCTCTCCCAACGCACTCTGAGCCTTTATTCAACGTTGAATCTCAAGACTTAAACGTTTGAAAAGAAAACAGGTGAAGCGGCTTTTTCCGTTCTCGTATAGAAGAAATTCTAACATCAACCAGCTATGGTTCTGGTAGAAATTGTGCGACTGCAGGTACATTATTATGCACTCGTATTGCATAAATTTGTACCGGCGGTATATAGTATTCTGTATAGATACTTACTACTCGTAGGGATTACATACGCACAAATCTCAATTAGCGTATGCATGAAATTAATGTGGCCTAATTTAAAAAAAAACTAAAAATCCTATTTTTATCATAATATTTTAAATTAATAAGTACTGCGAGAGTACTTGTGCATTAATTTTACGCTTTTAATCGTAATAGTTTCGCAATAGTACTGAAACAAGTGCTTGTGCGATGCTGTTATCCATGCTTTGGCAAAAAGGCAAAGGCAAAAAAAAAACTGTAATACAAGATTGTATACATGAATAATTATGGAATAAGATATTCGGTGCGCAAAGCAGTGACGAAGCAGTACTGTATTTTAAGTCGGCAGTTACACTGCAATAATTATGAAGACGCAATTACACTGCAACTTTTGAATGCCGAATTAATTCACTTTGGCAAGCCGGTTGAAATTTGGCGGCCCAGACTAATTTTTCTACTCTAGAGTAGAGTTTCGATTTCGTAAAAATCGATTTCGTAACCTATAGTGCATATTAATGCATATAGTTTTTACGGTATATTGGTGAAATTTACAAGAGTAATATCAAAAAAGTCTACATCGGGCAAATAAACATAAGACATGCCGATTAAGCTATAGCCTTTTGAACTTTTCCAATTTTAAAATTTTTTCGCGATGTCGGGACATGATACGCAGGCCACTTTGCCATAATTCTGTTGTAGGTTCCAGACTTGCAGGAGTTGTTTAATCTACTTGGTAGTGGTTTTTCCACAAAATGAAACTACGGAAAATGTTGCATGTATTATTACAGTAAATAGTTACATCAGAATTATTAGAACTGCAATACTGTCGTATACGATTATTTGTACATCTTCACATACCGTTAGTGCAAATTTTGGACTTACGTGTAAGTCATAAATTTACAATCAAAAGCACAGTACCTCGATGTTTTCGCTTCGCTGAGCATTTCAAACGTGTTGCTCAAAAATGGAATACATACGTATATATAGAACAAAGATTGCTTATAGGAATCTTGTTTGATGCACTTGAAGAACTGTTCTACAGCTTTAACACTCTTAATACTTATGGTTAGTGGTACCTGTTAGTCTGTTACGTACGGACCGCCGGGACCGGTACGAGCAGAATTGTAGACAGAAAGTATTCCGTACTCACAATATTATATTTTGTACAACCCGTGTGATTATTTTCACAAGACGCACGGTCAAATCAATAATTTTGACATTGCGTATACCGTCGTAAAGGAATTAGTACCGAAGCGGCTACATAAAAGAAAGTTGTTGGTATTGCTGCTTTTTTGACTGATCCGGGCGATCGCGTTTCAGTCAACAGCTCAAAACGCGTTTCAGGTAAAAAGTGGACTACATACAGGTCAGCAGACTGTTGCTTCGGCATTTATGAAATAAACCAATTGCATTCTTGATCTGCACGAAATTTTATTATTTCCCTTGCATCTATATAATTAATATACAACGTATCTTTCCGCAGACCATATTTCGTAACTGTAACCTTTTAACTGTTAACCGGAAATGGCGTCATCGTCGAAGTCAGCTGACGCTGCAGCAACCTCGGGCACTAAAGGCGGAAAACTGATTGCCGTTATTGCGGATGAAGATGCTGTGGTGGGATTTGTCCTGGGAGGAATCGGGGAGCTGAACAAGCAGCGCCAGCCGAATTATTTTATTGTGAATAATGAAACACTGACCAGCGACATTGAGGAGGCTTTTAAGACGTTCACTAAGCGGGATGATATTGGAATTATCCTCATCAGCCAGGGTATAGCCGAGAAAATTCGTTATGCCATTGACAGCTACCGGCAAACCATCCCAACAGTGCTAGAAATTCCCTCTAAAGACCATCCGTATGACCCTTCGAAAGATTCCATACTGCGTCGGGCGAAGGTATCCAGCAGCACCGATGAATGGAAATAAAAAATCACACAAAGCGACCTAATGGTAAATGTCGCAGCTGAGGTTTTACAGGTTTTTGAGTTGAATTTACTACTTTTGCATCGACGATATATATACTGTATACATATAGAGATATACTATCTGGCAAGTGATTTAATTTGTTTACATTTACTTAGTACCATTCGAATTAAAATTGTCAGAATTGCCTGAATTTGCCACCCAACGATCGTGGATCGAGTTCATAATTACGATGTGTTGTACCGTAAAAAGTTCCAGATATGCCATAAAAATTATCCGGGCGATTATAGCACTGTCGTCTGAATTCGGTGCGATTAAAATGACGGAGGAAAACATTAAATATTTTTTCAATGTGCAAATAAGACTATCTACTTTAGGTAGGTAATCGCTGTGACCTGTGTGCTGCCAACACTAACCTTTCACGTGCCCGCACACATATGTACAGATCCGTAGTTTGGTACTTATCCTACATCTACATGCAAATTCTACAATACCGAGTACCGACACGAGTAGTTTTCGTATAAAACGAAGTCAGTGAAATTGTTGTCGAAACTAGTGGCAGCTTTCACATCAACGAAGCGACACCACTGCTAACGAGCGGGATAAGGTTAAGAAAAAATATTGCTACGTCACCTAAACATTTTGCCCCTGGGCTTCGACATTCTCGAGCCATTCGGACCAGAAGTTGTCCGCGTGATCACGGAATTGCACGAAGAGTCCGACAGAAAGCCGGCGAAAAGCGGGCCACGGGATGTTCCCGTCCGCAAATCACCACTGCAAGCTAACGATGCAAATGCGGAATCTATCATGGAGGTGGCGCCTTTAATTTGAGGCAAACTAGATCAAAATTATAATGTTCTCTGTGGTCAAACCGCCTCTCAGTGCTCTCACCATTGCTGGTCTGTAGTGTGCTATTAGCAGTGTTTCTGTAAGGTTGTAGTGAAAACTTGTAATCGATAAGTAAAAGCATATGAATTATCCCACGGAGTTTCCAGGGATTTAATTGCTGCAGTTATTTGCATAGCAATTTTTACGACCATTGCGCGCTACCGTAATACAGTACGAGTAGTGTATTCGTCGTGCCAATGCGGTTTGTGAGACCGGAAATCAGCTTCCCGCTGGCGGGCCCAATGTGATCACTATGGTGACTGATGAGTCATGCTCTGCTACCAGCTGCTCCGTTGCTCGCGAAATGCTTGCTCATTATTGTACCCAGTGCGATTTTCTTGGGCGGGATGAACATGCCAGTCGAAAATGAAAATGACGGCCGAAATTAAAATTCATGCCCACCCCGAGAATGCTGCCATTGGCTGGTAATTATCGTCGCGCTCGGAATTTCGTCGCGTTCGGAATTTCCGCTCTGGCAGACCGATTCTGAAGATTCCAAAAACTTTGATTTTTGGCATTTTCGTTTGGGGGGCTTGGGGCAGTGTAGGGCGGAATGACTGGCATGACCAAAATGCAGTCGCAATTGCCATCTACTTCTAACGTCCAGCTACGTATATACGTGTTTACTTATCCGCATTTAGTTTCGTTCTTGCTTGTGTACTAGAAGTGTACAGTAGAGCACGAATGATGAATCCTATCCCGATGGCATTATCTCCCAGAAAGTTTACCGTTCAGCTGTGCTAAAGAAAGTTTGTGTCATCCCAGGTTATAAGTAGTGCTATAGACTTTTAATCAGCAGAGAAATTCTGGAGGCAATTAGATGTTGCTTTTAGACTACATGTGCGTAAGTCTGGTGTTTCCGGCTCAATTGATGAATTTTCTATTTTCGTGTTACGAATAAAAGGGGAGTCCCCGAAGCGGTTATCCGCGAATGCGATGAAAAGATTTGAATATCAAACATCTAAACAGCGCCTAGTATAAAAAAAGACGTTGTTGAAATGCAGTGGAAACACTGCCTGGTTTGATCTTTTATTACTTTATCAAGCTACCAAGTTACACCAGCTCCTGCTAAGCCTCTAAATCATGATTTCCTGCAGACCGAATTTTATGGCTCTTGCCTGTTTCGGTGGATTTTAAATTATGATCGGAAACATGCACTACATGCAGATGTACACAACTTGCTCTTTCAGTCTTTCACAGAACGGTCTGGAGTTTGACAATTCAACAAAATATATTAACACTAACTGTTTACAAAATCCTTTTAGGTTTAGTTATCAGTGATGTTCTAAAAGTATAGAGGCTACATATCTCTAGCGTAGGAGAGTCTGATCTGCCTCTTGTTCTGTGTAATAATGGACCGTATAATAATGCATTTTTTTATAATAATCATGTAGATAAAACTAAAGCCAGAAAAGGCTAAATAAAAAGTTACAACAACGACAAACGGTATCTGTCGCCGACAGATGTTTTCAAAAAACCACGAATAATACTGTTGTACTAGTACGAGTACTAGTACAATTCAGACAGCTGATAATTTTTTTAGTCAAATCATGCTCATTTGTGGCGTTGCAAATCGCACGGCTGTCTAAAGAAACTGACAAGGCAGACCAAAATGAATTGAAAATGCCAATCGAGCACGGGGCGGAATTTGAATTTTCGTATCCTTTTGAATTTTGCCACGAGCGGCACTTTGTCATCGCACGCGGTCTATTATTGTCTTCGCTACTGTGCATTACGAATTTTTTTCCTTTGAGTTTCTGTTTGACGAGCTAATTTGACTGAAGTTACGGGTTACCTCACAACTGTTGATTTAGATATTTTGTTTTCTTGCAAAGATTTGTTTCGAATAACTCAGTTCTGCACTACCAAACGGTGAGTACTGAGGCAATAACAGCATGATAACGAAAACAGTCTTGCAGAGATGCGGATCTCTTGCAGACTGTTTTCACGGATTACCTTAGGTCCTTTGTGGTTCTTGATCTCGCACTTGTTTTCTCTTTATGTAATACCAGGAAGTTGATTTACATTTTTGTTAGTGCTGCCGTAGTGATCGCATAATACTCAGCTGTAAACCTTGAAATTTATGTCTGCTCAGTCTGCTGTATACAACAGGAGCATCATTTTTAGGTTCAGCTTCCTAGTCTCTGTTTCTAGCAACAACAATTGTCGTGCATTTAGGTGGGATTCGTCGTTGCGTTTGTGTTGCACCTGGTGTCGATCGTCGTTGCTCGGATATATTTTGCTATCATCAACCATGCAAGTTGACACTGTAACGTACGGCATACCGTAACATTGGCACCTTTGGACTATTCGGGCTACAAATATGGATTCTTTGCCACACTCGGTTAAACCATCCCCAATGGCCAGTAAACCTCCGAAACGCCAGAAACGGGCAAAACCTGCCGGTACAAAAACCGCGAAAGCTCTCTCGCCACTTCATCTGTTCTACAAAATGGCCGAATTCGTTAAGGAGTCCTCTCCCGATGCCGAAGGCCCCGTATGGAAGAAGGACGTTGATCGGGGAGAAGGTATCATTCTGTTCTACCAGCTGGACTTTTCTGGTCCACAAGGACCTCAAGTGGCCCGCAGTGTCAGGATCCAGCGCGCGCCCGCTGATACTATTCACACTGGAGCACATCTCATTGCGTACGTGTTCCTTGGTCGAGAGGCCGTGTTTTCGGATGTCCTGCAGAGCATTCCCTTTGAGAATCCCATCCGCAATATGTTAGATCTGATCAAGATTTTGGATTTGCTCGGTGTTTTCACCACGGATTCGTTGAAAATCAGCGATCCGTATGGGCTGGTGGACACTGCCGACGTCAAGACCGAAGCCGGTCCTGAACCGAAGGACAGAGCTGGTTATGCTCCGGAGCAGGTATTGCATCCGTTCGGGCTTCTGGACACTAACGGTGCAAAACACGAAGTCAAACATGAGCCGATGGATGAGACTTGTCGTATTCCAGAGCAGTTGTCGTATCCGTTCGGGTTTGTGGGCACTAATGCCTTCAACACTGAAGTCAAACGTGAGCCGATGGATGAAGTTTGTCGCACTCGGCAGCATATTTCGTGGATGGAGGGGTACGTTACCGTACTTAAGTACTAGAAATTTGAAGAACTATTTCTAAGGAGTGCGGTCGGAATACTTATCGCCCAGTGTTGACACGGGGTTTTTAATTCTAAATTAATTATTAATGGCTTTGTTCTTGCAGTTTTTTTAAAAAAACATTTGTAACCCCCAGGTTATAATCAATAAACGTTATATCTGTATGTCGCATTTCATTAAATTTAATTGCGTTTCCGAATTTATGTTAAGCGAAGCAAGCATAATAAACGGTTATTTGTTTAGTTGGTTGTAAGTGACTGTTACCTTTTCTATAAGAATGTAGTAAAAGACTGCTTATGCTGTATTTTTCTTATGGATTGTGCATTTGTTTTTGCTTTGACTTGTACACTTATTTGATAAGTATGTACTCAAAATCGGGCTTGTGGTATGAGTACTTAATTCAATCGTTTCCGATGTTTTAGGTTACCCATGCATATGAATAATTCTGTCCCAGCTGGCTTCGGCGATAACCCTGCATCACGAAGTGCTAGCACATTTTCAGAAAACAGTGCTCCAGCTCTGGAAAATGCGGTAGTGCCTGCTGGACCATCGAACGTTTCTAATGTGGGTATGGAACTGAACTTGCCATTGAACGGAAAGAAGGGAAAAGGAATAGTCAAAAAGAAGAAACGCAAAATTAAGGCGGTGCATGGGTTGCTAAATGGAAACTTAGTTGTTGCGCCGAATTTGTCGCGGAATTCTGGTGCTTCGTCTCCCGAACAAGAAACATCCCGATTTTCATATAACGGATTGATGATGTTTTGCCAGGGACCACTTAGAACGGCGGTCGAGGATTTTCTCAATTGTGTGCGTAGCCGGAAGGAGGAAGTTAAGCGAAAAGGACGAGCACGCCATGGACGAAAGATTCTATTCCGCAACAATCCTGAGTTGCGCCGAACGATGTGTCAACTGGAGTATGAAATGCGTAGAAGAGCAACCGACACCAAATACCAACAGGATCGGAATGAACTGCTGCGCCGCTTGAGTTTATATGCTGGAGTAAAATTTGCGACATTAAGACAGAACTTGAACAAGTCATGCCACCAGGCAGCCGATGATTCGATTCGCTCAAGCCGAAATGTACAATAGTTGGAAATTTCCGTGATAATAGCATTCCTTTTTAATTAGCACAAGTCCCGCATCTGGGTAGCTAAGTTTTCCTAATAGAGCTTTTTTCTTTTTACAGATCCTGTGGTTCTTTGTTTAACGAAACGCAGCTGCGGCTGATGAATAAGTGATGATGCGGAAAAGGGACTTCTGACTATAGGTTATAAGTTAAAGTCATGACATTCTTACCAAAAATTGTTATTGTTATCTGGCAGAAATGGTAGCCTTCTAATGGTTTTTGTTAGAATTTTTGGTTTTGTTTTATCTAAGTCTTACTGATCATAAACGGATACAGATAAAGCTTCTATAGTACAAGTAATTGCGGCACCTGTAAGCTATATGTAAGACATTGACGAATGCGTAATGTGATGCTGTACAATACTGGTACGCAGGTATTTTATAAAAGTACGGATGTTTACGATAAATCATAACAGTTTCATAATTACTCTATAATATAAATTTACTTAAATATTCGGACTGCGTCTTGCGCGGTGCAGATTTATTGAATGTGTCCAAAACTGTGAGGGTTTGTGTTCCCAACTTTCTACACGAGTCACCGACCATGAGTGTGGAAATATTAAATGAATATCTGTATTACGGGCACAGGATCGCCTGGTGCAAACCGAAAGTAGAAACATATTTGGTTTTGTTTTTCAAAACATTTATATCGGTATTCCAATTGCAGTTTAATTATACCGCCAGTAAAAATGTTTTTTACCATTCATTGGTCGTTGCAATGAACATCAAAATCATAATTTCTGTACTCTAATTTTTACCAATGAGTATGATTTGCAACGAGTAATTGCACTGAGTTTTTTTGCAATTTTTCAACGGCATTTTGCAACGAGTATTGCTTTGGGTCTGCTTCAGCAAACAATTGCAACTTGTTCTTACCCATCTTGCTTCGTATGCAAAACTGATTCTCTTGCTGGCGACATGAAGCTGCTAACCCCTTGTTTTGTGCGCACTTGCTAATTAATTCGACGATGTTATGCTACTATGCATTGCTGCACTGGAATGATCCTGCATCCCAGCGATGTACTCGCACGTGTAAACGCTTCCGGTCAGCATCGCTGCCGGTGATCCTGGACTGCCGGTCACTGCCGACCAGCCAGCTTTTTCTTGTAATACGACAGATTGCGGTTATTAGGCCACTAGCTGTATTAAAATACATTATCTCGCTAAAAGCATCAGCTCAACCATGCTGGTATGGAAATATTTGTTTTCTTATATCTATATCTATAATTTCACTTCATTCAAAATCAGTACTTCCAGTACTATGTTTACAAATGGCACGTTTGCTAAGATATTGTATAGTACGGTAATTGAAAATCAAAATCCTTTTTCAGTTAACATTAATAACACGGGGAAGAACCATTTCTAAAGTTACTGTATTGTCGAGTCAACTTGGTCTAAAACTAGCGAAATATCTATAATTATGAGTGCTCGTACACACGAAAGAAAATAAATACTCAAAATTAATTCGAACCCACTTTTGATAGAGATTGTTTCGAAAATTCTAATTGTAGTATATCAAAGATGCCGATAGCCGGCAATAAACTCTCGTCATTTGCTTTTCATAATTACAGGACCAGATGGAAAAGTAAGTTCAAACTTGTAAAAGTGCCTGATGAAGTTCTACGAAATACCAATAGTTTTAGTTTAAGTAGTAAGTACAGTACTAGTTTTACTGTTACTTTCCGGATTACTTATTACAGTGCCGTCGTAATATTGGCAAGTACTTACTAATTAATTCTGACAGTCCAATAAAATCTAACCGCAACAGACAGGTTACACAGGTATTCAAAAACAACGAGATCCGCTAATGAAACCGTGCACAACAGAGCTCCAGCACCTTTTAATACAGCAAAAATAAGACGCGATGACTAACAATTCAACAGCAACAATTCATCTAACAGACTAACTCACAAGACCTAAGTAATCATCCATCAGCGTTCCAATGGCGAAGATGTCTTTAGCATCCACTCGAGTTCCGACTATCTTCACCCGTATTTCATCATCCTGCTGAATCACAACCCCTTCCTCATCCTTGGATCGGTAGCACGGAGGTGTAGCGGCAGGATCGAAGTCCATATCTTGCGGAATGGAGTGGCGCGAGATGAAGCATGACAATGGTCCCATTTCGCAGAAAATGCCCACTTTGTTCACCTGTGTCACCACAGCATCGCACACCTCTCCCTTGAAAGGCCGGAATACAATGGCGGTGTATTTGACAGGATAGACGACGAAGCCTTGACCAGGCTGAATAAATCCGGCACCGATTTCGTCCACCGTGGTGACAGCGATGACGAACCCATACTTGCCCGAACAGGTTCCTTCCACTTCAGAGAAAAGCTTAGCTTTAACACTGTCCAGTAGCTGCGGTCCGAAATAACGTGGATGGAGGATCACTTCGTGATCTAACGTAATATGGTAAAACATTATGAGCAAAAGCAGAGCGATGTTGGCTGATTACAATCGAAGTGCTCACTGCTCGAAAGTCTCAAAATACTGTACGTGCCACTTTACCCCACAAACTGGAACGCGGAAAAAAACAACGCAACTTCGTAAAACCAAATTTTTGTTCGTTTTCCCCCAAGACCACCCACCTAACCAAGAAAGGCCAATACAAGCGCACTTTCAAATTACGCCCAAATATGATAAGCGCGTATCAAACTTTACAGATTTTGATTGGTTGGAGATTTGGTGATTCCGTTCAATTCACGATTTAGAATGACATGCAACGCAATCCATTCGCATGCCGATGCAGCCGCTTATAAGCGCTCAGCTTCAACTCATAGTTAATTTCGGACCATTTATTTCTGGTTCGCGGAGGGTCGCCATACTATTTCTGTCACCTTATACTGGGAAGTTGTTGTCATTGTCTGCGTATACGTACTCAAGGAAGATGGCTGAGGAACATGATGTTGAGGAGCATTTCGAATCCGGTGATGCTGGTGCCTCGGCTACCTATCCGCAGCAGTGCTCATCTTTGCGCAAGAACGGCTTCGTTATGTTGAAGGGCCGTCCTTGCAAGATCGTGGAAATGTCGACTTCCAAGACTGGAAAACATGGTCACGCTAAGGTGAGAATATTCGGTGGTTTGTTGAACACTGCGCCGCTTAATCATGCTTCTCGCCATCTCGTCCAGGTGCATTTGGTTGGTTTGGACATTTTCACCGGAAGGAAGTACGATGACTTATGTCCTTCAACTCATAACATGGATGTGCCAAACGTCAAGCGTGAAGACTTGCAGGTTAGCGATCGAAGCAACCAGTATATTTTTTAGCGTTTTGCAATGCGATTTGTGGAACCAGTAATATTTCAGTTGGTCAATATTGGTGATGATGGATTTTTGTCCTTGATGAACGATGGTGGAGATTTGCGTGAGGATTTGAAGCTTCCAGAGGCGGAATTGGGGCAAAAAATCCGCGAAGAGTATGAAGGGGGCCGTGAATTGTTGGTAAGATATACTGTGTATTTAGCGCTGGTGTGTTTTAGCGGAGAGATATATGCTTAAGAGTTAAGATATCCGTATGCGCATTTGATAAAAGTTATTCGAAGTAAATTTGATGCGCTGGTCCCTGATAATGCACGACCTTGAGTACCACCACGCCAAAATCTTTAAATGCAGTTCTGGTTAAAATTATGAAAGTTTGGCTCGATTATTAATTTTAAGTACGTATTTCAGTTTCATCCTGGATTTTGAAAACATTGATCATTGATTCTTTTGAGTGGAAGGATTACTAATACTGACTGATGTACATTTTCTGTTTTCATAAGTTAGATCACGTTAAATCTATTTAATATTAAGCGACTTTAACCGTTTTAACCGTTAACTTGAGGTTAAGTGAAATGTGAAATATACAATCAAAGTCTAAATGCTATAAAAAGTCGAATTTTAACGAATTTCAAGACAAAAAAACTTAAAACTTTTAAGTGTTTTTTGTCTTGAAATTCGTTAAAATTCGACTTTTTATAGCATTTAGACTCTGACTGTATATTTCACATTTCACTTAACCTCAAGTTGACGGTTAATCAGTCATTAGGATTATGTGAGGAACAACTCTTGTATAACGTCATAACAATAATCAGTTATGACTATAAATCGGTTGTAATCAACGATTCAGAATTGTCTCCAGCTTTACAGTTCTGACCAATTTTTTATCATTTCGACTGCTGTCACTTCATGATTCACCGTTTTAATTGCTTATCTTGTAGTCGTGTGCTTGTTTGCTGCACATTGTTCGGATTTCTCGGGAAGCTGCTTCTCATAATTAACTGCTAATAATTAGGACGAATAGGTTTACTTTACTCACTCTTGTACAATACTTCTGACCACCGTTGAGGTGACTTTTTGAGGTTCTGTTGTCATCGATATCGAGGTGATTACGATTCTGAAAGCTTGATGATAGTAAATACTCGAATCATTTAGAAGTGTGTACGTGTACTTACCTTAATTGTGCATTTATACACTTAAATATTTTTAGTAGAAATAATATTGTATCTCTTCAGGTTATGTATAGGTAGCTATTATTTATCTGGTTAATGATTTCGTTATGTTTGCAGCTGACCGTTTTGAGAGCTTGCGGTGAAGAATGTGTTATCGCCTGGAAGCCGAATACAGCTGCCGAGAAATAAACAGAACGGAAGGATCCATTGTCTGGTGTGAACCGCAGTAAAACTACAAGATGTACATCGCATTGTCCGCCTGGTACATTCTTCTGTGTCCGTCATTCGCGGCTTTCTCGTTTTCTGGTGATTTTAACAGTTGTAACTACCTTTTGAAAGTGTAACATGCCTGTGTGATGTAGACTTGGTGTTTTGTTGACGGTTGGCCAGAATTCCGTTTTGTTTGCTGTTTTCGGAGTTGAGATAAACTGTTAGCGTTTTCATGTAATTCGTGCAACACTTCTTGAAATAACCGCAGAATAATTCAACGAGTCGGCTGGCGATTCAGGATTTTTTAGTACCAATGCGCAGCGCTATGTTTTTATTAAAAGAATGTTTCCATTTTTTTGTCTTTTGTGAAGAAGGTTTATAAAAATGGGTGACAAATTTACGTTGGATTCTCGAGTACCGTATGTATAGTTTCACGTTTTGTATAATAACTCTTGCTCGTTTTGGTGCTTATTTTCAGGAAGTGTTCGGTACGAGAGTTTTAGCCTACTTCTCTTTTTATACATCGTTGTTGATGATACGGAAGCTCAAATAGCAGGTAAACTAGAGCACTATGTCGTAAAATAATTACTAGTACACCTCTAACTTCTGACCGGTGAGCTCTGTTCATTTTTATCGACCGCATCCCTATGGCCAGAACTCTGAACAACCTGAAGAAATAGTTTTGCTAACAATAAGAGTCTTCCAGACTTCCTCTTGATTCTTGCACATTTTTACTTCGCCAGCTGTAAACGTCTTGCTGTGTAACACCTTGTTGAGTGTCCTTGCGAATAAACGCTTGCGATGACCTGCGCTACGTAGCTAGACTTGCATCGAGGAGATCGTGCATCCCAGTTGGTCGTTAAATGAATAAATGTTATTGTTAATGTTAGTCAGCTTCCGGTGAGCATCCTTGCGGACAACTGACAAGTGTTGCAGCTTTTCCAATGTAAACCAGTTGACAGATCGTAGTGAATGTGAAGGGAAAGTCATGGAACTATAATGGAAGGGAAGCCTGGAAGTGGGCTGGAACGGGAACACAGACGTAGCAAGTCGTCAGTCGCTCATGGTGGACAGTTTGAGCCGAAACAACTAGCTGGTTCACCTGTCCTCCGTCAGCGCTCATTTTGAAAACTTGTCCTCGGAATTGAATCAGAATTTTTGGGCGCTTTGGGTTGTTCTTGTCTTTACTTGTAGTTCGTTAGTTATATTTGTACAAGTGCCTTTACCATCACTTGGAATTCAACAAACTATTGCCCTTGCCACATGATTTTGTAGAACGACTTTGGGTTGGTACTCACTCCAAATAGGCTTGCTGCGGTCATGGAGACGTTATCATCTAGCAGTGCAGAGAATGTGCGTCTTGGCCGAGCAGAACAATCCAGTCCGTTTTTAACCAGTTCCACGGCGAAAGCAAATTCGGTTGTTGATCTCCATCCTGTCGTTCTGCTCCACATTGCAGATCATCATCATCGTAACGTCGCACAGCATGGGAACAAATTCCAGAGTACGCTTCTCCGAGAAATCTAATGGTCTACTGACTCTACTTAGTCACTCTATTGCAGTTTGGGTTCCTCTTACAAATCATTGCAACCTGCTTTCTTTTCAGTTTTTGGAGCTTTGCTGGGTCGTCAGGATGGGCCAAAAGTGGAAATATGTTTTGCTTTTGAAATTCGCGTCAATCGGGAGAATGGTCGCTACATCCTGGATAAGGAGTATTGGTTTCAGAAGGAAGAACAGTGTGAGTTTGACATTTTTCGAAATACACTAAGACTAAGTGACTAAATACAGTACCAACATTATGAATTACTCTGAGTTGGCCGTTTTGGCACAGCCTGCTTTAGGCTTTCCTCGAATAGGCTTTGATAAAATTTTCCCATTTTCAGTCAAACAGATCCTTCCAGGACTGGATTACATTGGATGGTACACGGTTGCAGATGATTATTTGACCGTCGAGGATGTTGATCTCCAAAATCAGGTACGGTAGTACATAGTACAAGTAAGTGGATATTGGCAGTCAGCGTTGGCATAACAGAATTGTTTCAAAAAAACTATATCATTAATTCGTTTTTTCTGAAATGAGTGATTCGGTGGCTAAAGGCTCGAAGTGCGGCAAAAACTCGGATTTTCCGATATGAATCAACTATACGTCCGCTATTCAACTATCATACATACTTCTTTACTAACCGATGTTGTGTTGCTTGAAATTTGCATTTTGCAGTTATGGGAAGTGTGCCAGAATTTGTTTTTCCTTAAAGCCCATGCAAATAAGGCAGATTCCTTCCCCGTTGATCTGTTCGAATCGGTGGTGGAATTCACTGGAGGCTCAGTAAGTTGTCTTTTGCGCATCACGTTAGATGGAGTCTCAAACCCATTTTTTTTGCTGATATGCAGCCCGTGACGAAATTCAACCCCATTGCCTACAACATCGTCTTCGAGCAAGCCGAGCAGATTGGTGTGCACCATGTGGCCACTAAGACGGATGCAGATTCGGGTAGTGGATCCGCCGGCGCCGAGACCGAGTACCAGATCAGCATGCGTTCCATGTCCAGCGCTGTGCACATGCTCCAAGATCGTCTGTCTGTGTTATGTCAGTACATGGTCACCGTGGAGCAGAAACAGTTGCCACCGGACAACGATATTCTCGTGGAACTGAAGCGCATTGTAGAGATGCTACAGAGCCTTGATTCGGAAGAGCAACAGGAGAAGTACAATGTGGTAAGTGGTTGGTTTATCCGTTATCGTAGCTGAAAATTCGAACTACTCTATTTTTTTGTCAGTTTTTTGTACTTTTCGTACTTCTGAACGAAGCACTATAATTTTCTGTTGTATGCCATTTATAATGTTGTGTAATATCTGCACTTTGTTGGTAGGCTTTGTTTCTTTTGCTTTCTTTTTTTGTCCATCTCGGCTAAGTGCAGCCGGTCTCACAATCAGGTTTTGTGCGGCAGTTTATTGGTGACGTTTTTGTTTCAGATGAAGCTGCAAGCTTTGATGACCGCTTCCGTTGGCAACTATACGCAGAGTGTGGAGTTGTTAATCGAGTTTATTCGCAAAAATATTGTCATCGTGGAAAAGAAAGGACCATCTGCTGCTCGCGGTGGTCATCGCTTCGGACAGCCCCAACCGGGATTTTCTATGCGTGGAATGAGCAAAGGGCCAAAACCCCGACCCAGTATGGGACAGCGATTTCGACCGGGCAATTTATTTGGTCGAAACCGCGGCGATGATAGTAGCGATGGACCTTCGGGGTCGATGTCTTTCTTCGGTCGCGGACGCAGTGACGATAGCGATGGAATACGAAGTGGTAACAGCGTGGGCGAATTGTCTCATTAAGGCGGCACAGTAATTCTGGCACATTATTTTGCGTTCGGACGGGTTTTAGTTTGAAGCGGACAGTGTTAAGTACGAACTTGGTGGTATTGCTTTCAAATGTTCTTTATTTGCTTTCTTCTGTTTTGATTAGGCGGAGTTATTACTTTAAACTTCATGTAAATTTCAATGAGTAATGCATAGTGCACACTGTCATTAAAGCACGGCACCTTGTATTCTGTTGAGATCGACGCTGATTTTGTAGGTGCTGAACTATTTTAGGTAGCCGTTATGGAACCTTTATTGATCGCCAAAAAATATCGTAAACACATATCCCAGAAATGAATGCCATCGCAAGTACAATATTGAAGACTTACTCAGATGCCTTTTCCTAAACAGAAGCTCGTACGCACAGCTTATGGTTAGCTAGATATTTTAACAAAAAAGTAAAGAGAATGCTGACTATTCATAGCCGCGAATCATCAAGGCCGTGTTCCATTGGCCTTCAAATTCTTTTACTGGGTCAACGACAGCCCCATCCTTAGTGACAACTGCCAGCTGGTACTGCAAGAAAACGTAAGAAGATGTACATATGGTACAGAATACTACAGAAGGACGCCTGTAAAGCTAAAACTGACGACTCACATCAAATAAAAACTCAGTTTTGTTGAAAAAAAATTATCTTTACAGTATCGATTCAATACGTTTCGTTCAGTAGATGCCATACGAAACAAAATCAAGCTCTTAACAGTAGATATGCACGGTATAATGAATACTGTGGCACACTATTAATGATGTTACCTTATTGCTGGATTCTCGATTACGATAATATAACAATCTGAGAGCATGTACAGCCACTTCTCGAGCAGTTTTCTCATCCAATGCGGGATTTTTTTCCAGTTGATCAGCCAGAAAGGGCTAAAAACATAACAGGGTAGTTTGTAATCATAATAGCTTATAATTTTATACTACAACAATGAATATTCTCCAGCTATTTTATTCAAACCTGAGCGATAAATCGTCCAAATCCCGTAGCAATGTAAGGGGCGTTATAGCTGATTCCCAGCATTGTCAATCCACCAACATAACTAAAAATTTAAAAAAAGCAGTTACGCACTCGGAAGCTACAGAGCGCGAAAATCAATTTTTACCTTTCTCCTTCCTCCAAACCTCCGACGACATAACTGTTCCACATCGGGTCCAGTTTCGAGCGACTAAAATGTGCCAAACTATGAACTTACAAGGATTGATAAAAAGTATTAAATACAACGTTCACTTTCCAGAAATAAATCCTATCTAGCAATATTTACGCAGACAATGGTTTCGTTTCAAAACTCAAACATAAAGCAACTGTCATGAAATGTCGCACGCATTACTTGAGAAACAAAATATCCAAATCAACTGTTAATCCGAAGAGAAAATTACCTGTTGTATAAAACACGAGTCAACCAGCTGTGTAGAGATTTGGGAGACCACTCGTACCCGTCGTCCGAACAGAAATCAGCAATACTGAAAGATACATCATTTTAAAAGTTTTTGTGTTTTTGACAGCCCCAGTTATCATTATGTACCGAAGCAACTCAACACGTAAAATAATTCAAAAAATTAACCATGACATCGACGCTTAATTAATAATTATTTTAACACGCTCTAACTTACGACTTTTTGGCGATATGTTGCTCGATGAACTGATAATCTGCATAATCGCCAGTCACAGCAACGACCGTATTATTGTTGACCTTCAGTAAGCGCGGGACTGTCCGCAATTTGCAGAGACTACCGTAAGATGCCACGGAATCCGCAGCGAGAACTACACCACCTTGGAAAGCCAGTCCAATAACTGCTGTACCCGAAACGCTCGGCGACCTGCAACGAAACTTTTAACCAGAAGGAAGCCGTAGTCATTCATGGTACATACGAAGTATGTTGCTTTGGCTGGGAGGAATGGTTTGAGGACACCGAGACTCGGCCTTTCGAAATACTCAGATCGCGCTGTAAAGCGGAATCAATGTTGTACTTCTGTGACATTTTCTGATCCGACAGCTAAATCACAGCAAACTACGATCCAATTTACGTAATTAAAGAAACGATATCTATGCACTAGATAAACCAAATATCTTTAAAAATCTACGAAGGTACTAAAATCCCGAAAAAAGGTGAAATAAAGGGAACTTTTCTGTTGACAAGATTCACAAAAATCTTTACAATCGCAGGAAATAAAAGCGATTTCCATGCTCATGCGTACCACATAAAACATCAACTCACAATCCAAATGACCAAAAACAAGTCAGCATATTTAGTACAGGGATTCAAATCGAATTAGCGCGAAAAATTTCAGCCAACATGATCACTTCCGGTGGCTGAATGGTTATCCGCGAAAGCCTTAAGCTAGGAAATAACAAAGCACAGTTCACAATTATTCGAAAAATTTTTCAGATAAACACTTGAAAATCTGAAATTATATGTGATATCTTGGTCCATATGCAACCTTCAGAAATCAAGATTTTGACGATTCTTCTGTCGGCAACCGGAAACAGTCTCCATCGCTTAGTTCCCTGTTGTGAGGTTTATTCTCGTATGCTCCGTTGTCAACAGAACTGCACCATCATGGATCAATGAAAAGACTGGTCTCGTTTGGGTTGAATTTCTCATCCATCAAAAATACATTTGTTTTGATAAGATTCTTTTGCCAAAACAAAAAAATGGCGGAATGTCTGTTTGGAGTACAGTTTAATGATTTCGTCCTTGTGGCCGCGGACACCGTGACAGCGTTCAGCGTGATTGCTCTTCACCAAGGTGAGTTACTCCAAAGAGTGCCCACATATTTTGGCACTTATGACTTAAATGACCTAATGAACCGTGTTCCTTACATTCTCCGCTGGATTTCACGACGAGTTTCTTCTTGTTTTGCCATTTTCGATGCGCAGCTTCTTTTCTCAGTGCGCAGTATTTTTCGAGTCTGCTCCACGATGGCGTGTTCCATGGTTTTGTTGTTTGCGTAGACTCCAGGAACTTGTTTGGTACTTAATAAACAGTGTGTTTGCACGAGTTTGCGCTGGACTTTCTGGTCGGTTTCTTCTTTAACTTTTATAGCATGTTCGTATGCTTGCCTTTCATAGTTGGCTTGCACCTGTTCCCGCATGGAATCATTGATACGCTGAATTTCTTGCAGTTTCTTTTTCCGTTTGTAATAATCCAGGCTGGTTTTCCTGGCGTAATATCCGCGCCATGCAGACTGTATGATAGTTGCGGTACGGTCGAGAAATGCAGCCAGATTTCTCATTTGCTGTTCTAATCGCATTTCGGATACTTTGCGCTTAGCCAGGAAAATTCTCCAATTTGTTTGAATGGTCAGAGCAGCTCCCTGCCAAGCGGCAATGATGCGACGGGTTTTGTAGCGTTTCCAAGTCGCCTGAATCTTCACTGCCGCTTCGCGCTCTTTTCTTATGTACGGAAGCAGACGCTGGTGTGTTTCGAGCAGTTTGCGAACAAATTCGTCACCGCTGTTGAGAATTTTGTAATAAGCCAGAGCCATTTTTAATTTGTTCGAAAAAGAATGAAGGCTTTCGGGGTTGCTAAGGATGTTGCTCCAGCATACTTTAGTATGTTAAAAAGAACATGACTGTGTACTTTTCCTATAGTCATTTTCGAATTATTACTGCCTTTAAAATTTGATTTCATTACTGATTCATTTTTTAGATACGGACAAGACATTCCGTCTCGGTGAGAAGTTGTTACTGCTGACCAATGGAGAATCCGGAGACACGGAGCAATTTGGTGAATATATCGAAAAGAATTTGAAGTTGTACCGCATACGCAATGGCTATGATCTCGCACCATCGGCAGCGGCATATTTTGTGCGCAATCAGTTGGCGGAATTTCTACGGAGCCGGGTGAGTTTCTGTTGCGCCATAATGTCTACGTATTTTTAATCTGATAAAATTGTCGCTTACTGTTGTTAATTTATGATATCTCGAAATGGTCATTACGCTTCCAACGTTTTTAGACTCCTTATCAAGTGAACATGCTCTTGGCCGGACACGATCACATCGAAGGACCATCGCTTTTCTTCATCGACTATATGGGCACTTTGGCCAAAATGCCATTCGCCGTACATGGGTATGCTGCGTCATTTTCGTTTGGATTGTTGGATAAACACTATCGACCAGATATGAACGAAGCGGAAGGTGTTCAGTTGCTACAATATTGCATCAATGAGGTACGGCTTTTTAAATATGATTACTAATATCAGTAATATGTGATCATAGCGATCTAATTTTACGTTGTAATTTTTCAGCTGTATAAGCGCTTCATCCTTAATATCCCGAAGTTCAAAGTGCACAGGATTGACAAAGACGGCGTCAAGTTGTTGGGTGATCTTCATCCAACAGTGAAGGCTTAGATTCTGTTGTTTGTTGTCAAACTGTATCTCTCCACTGTTTTAATTTAGTTTTTCGCCGTGTGTTCCCTCTTCACAACTTTTTTAAATGTTGGATTTTTCGCTTTCTGAATGTTAATGAACCACCTCCATACAAGAGCAGTAAATCGGCAATCTGTATTATCGCAGACAGTACTGCATTAACTTCCCAAGTACCGCATAGAATCTGTTTTAATATGGAGCTGCACGGCTAGGCGTAGTTCATATTTTTGTAGAGAACAGCATATGTATGGTGTTTACAATATTTTCGATAATTTAGTATAATACTTACTAACGAGTAACCATTACAGTACTATTACTTATTTTTCAACAGCTGCTGCCAGATATATCGTATTTCGTTGACTCACGCGTTTGCAATAACATTATTATGTGTTCACGCGTTTCGGCTCTACATCCACGGTACGCGTTTATAATATCGGTACGACTAAGTCCACTCAAAGCGCTCCGCCCAGTGCAATATAAATTATACCAGGAATAATAACGAAACTACCAATCAAAATCAAGTGACCACTGAACATAAAATGTATTTAGGTTTTGCAGAAATGCACTGAATTCCGCGCGCTTTCAAGCTTCATCATCGTCAGCGGTTTGGAAATTCTCCAGCTGGCGACGAAGTTCCATAAAGCGTTGTTGTAACGCCTTTTCTCGTTCTGCCTGTTTGTTAACATCCTCTTCGATCATCTGCAATTTTTTAAATAATTCCTGTAATTAATTAACATAAAAGTGCATCATCAAACAAAACGTACCGTCAATCTTCTCGCAATAGCAACATCCTCTCTGGCCTTCAGCAAGTCAAACGAAGTCACATCCAAATTTGCTTGATCTAGAGTCGCTTCAGATTCTTCTAGCCGTTTCGACAACCCTGCAACGCGTTGTCTGTATCCGGCAGTCATAATGCCCAAATTTTTATCCATTTTTTCCAGCCTTCCATTCAGCCTTTCATTCGCTTTCGAATATCCATCAATCCGTTTTTCCAAAAAGTCACACACATCTTTTTTAGATGCCTCGTCCAGCGTGCCGAAGCGGTGAACATGATCCTTCTCTCCGATATACGCCACCTTCTTATTGATATCTTCCCAAACGGAATTAAACGTTTCCGCATCCACAGCCAGATCCCTTTCGGCCTCAGCAATTAAATTTCTGGCATGTGTCAGTTCATCGGCTGTAAAAGACTCATATGGATTCACCTTTAAGAACGCACAGGAACTACTTTTCACATCCGCCAGTTTCCCTTGCGGATTTTTCAGCGCGTCGTAATGCATCATAGTTAACATTTCTTTATGAATTAGATTCTCTGCCGATTTGTAATCATTATCAATTCCAGCAGCATCCAGTCGAGAACTAATCATATATGGCTGGGTGGGACGTGGAAGATCGCGCTGGACCGACTGCGATCGCAAACTCCATTCCAGTTTCCGGCGAGCATCTTCGGCCAACTGACGTTGCGTTTCCAGATCGTCCGCATCCGGAGCCAACTCCATTTCGTCGCTGACTTCCACACCCTCCTCAATGCCATCCGCTTCCGGAACAACAATTTCGAAATCATTCTTTGGGGCGGGAAGGCTTGACAGGCCGTCGCGGAGTTTTCGACGCAATACGTCCTGGTTTAATGAATCGTCCACCTCCTCATCAACATTGATTCGAAGTGAATCCCGGACGGATTCGCGGACTGATGCACCAGGCTCGCTAACCCCAGCATTCGATCTTGGGGTCATTCCTGGAAAACATTACCATGTCACAGTTAGAGTCCACAAAGTAATGTTATCATGTTTTCGCCACAAGAATAGTTGCTATTGCAGACATCATAAAAAGTAATGTAAATGTTCATGTAAACGTCTCAGTCGTACCTCCAGCACCGCCTGGATGACCAGGTGTTTTCAAAGCTTGTAACAGCACATTCGGTGTTTGCACAACATTTTTTCGTGGAGTGGCACCGGTAAAATCGGATTCCACCAGCGGAGTGTTCATTCCACCTTTCAGTGGCGTTTCCACATTCGACAGCGCCAAGATATTTTGGGCTTCCTGCAGCACCACATCCTTCTGTGTTGTGGTGCGGGGTGTTCGGAAATTGTGAACGCTGGGAGTAGCAGAATAATCCGATAACAAAGCCTGGGACGCTTCGGATCCTTCTTTAGACGCATCCCGGAACGCCTCCGTTGCCCGACCCAGTTTGACAACCTAAAAATATCACCGCGAAAATGTGAAATCAGGCCGATTACAGGGCACAATTAACATAAAAACTTGCAAAAAAACCAGAACGATAACCGAATAAAAAGACTGTCCAATCTCATCTCATACCAATCTCGTCTCGTACTATCGTGACATTACGCACCTCATCGAGTTCCTTATCCGTAATCTGTGGTTCGGGCAGCACAAGTTTACCGCGCTTAACGACCGGCTGATTAGAAAATGCGTCTGGCATTTCATTTTCCTTGCGCTTCTTCATCTTTTCCGCATCTTTCTTGCGTTCTCGCTGAAATAACAAAACCAGTAAGTACATCAAATAATACTGTGTGCATTTCATCCGCACAAGTGCAAAACTTACCGCTTCGGTTATTGATTTCGGTTCCGGCTGCAGTTCTCTTGGATTCAATCTTTTGAATTCTTTAGTGTTAATTAATTCGTTCTCCTCTTTCGTGTCATAGAAACCTTTGGGCGTCTTTTTCTCAAACGGGATTTCTTCGTGGTAATCCACGGTCATCCGTTTACTCTTTTTAATCAGCCGTACACGAATACCCGCCGCACGCATTTCCCGTCGCTTCTGTAACGACGCTAAGCGTCTAAACGAAAACGATAGTTTATGGATAAGATTAATTATTCTGATGGTGAGCGAAGTGAAGGTAACATGTTTGATAGACTTAATTACGGTCATACCTTGCTTCATCCAACGACTTTTCCCTGGCTTTCCGCTTGGCTTTTTTGCCCTGTGTATTGGCCAACCGCGCACGGGCTTCCGACAGCATCTCCAGTTCATCCTCGTCCATATCCTTCGGATCGGGACGTGCGGGTTTGGTTTCTGGGTTCGGGTCGATTTCCCCGGGACGCAGTTTTCGGGGATCCAACGCATCATCGTCACCTTCACTTTTCTTTTGCGCTTGATCGCTATAAATTAATAATTTTTTAATGGTAAATCATAATATAAAAGTGTGCTCTGCCATCTCATTCGGTTAGAACAAATGGGTTATCACTCATCTACCTAATAACTAATCAGCACATATTCAAAACTCGACAAAATAAGCTTTAAATTTATAAATGCAAATGTAATACGAATAGGAAACGTCCAAAGGTTGATAAAATAGATTTACTATCTAAAATATGAAATAGTTTAAAAAAAGGAAAATGCAAAACCCAGAGCGGTGAAAGAATGCTAGATGTTCGAGCCATTCATATCCGTCATATGCGCAATTATTTTACTGCATGCTTTGAAAACAACCCTTCCTCACTCACAGAAGATGCTCGTAGTGCTCTAAACACTGCGCCGCCGTTCGGCCGACAATTGGAGCGATGGTTCGCCATTGTGTGGGCATCAGTTTGGCCAAATGCAGTAGTTTCTCTTCCTCCTCTCGACTCCATTCCGTCTTTTTAATGCTGGGATCCAACCATTCGTACCTATGTTTAGAGATCAACTCATGAAAACCATTTCAAATGTGAGATCAATCAACAATATTTATCATAACTTTCACAGTCCAAATCATAACAACATATTAAGTTCTTGCGAGTCTTACCAGCGAGCTTTACACTGCTTGGCAGTTTTTCTGTGCAGTAAAGAGGCAATACGGGACCACTGATTTTTTCCATATTTCATAACAGCTGCCTTGAGGATTTCATCCTCGGTATTGCGCCAAATACCACCTTTGATAAGAATGCGAGGCATGGTTCCCTGACGAAGAGTGGAGAGTCAAAAAGAAAACGAAAAATGCCTGATTCTTGCCAATGGGGTTTACGATGTAAGTATATTAATCAGTGAGCAAATAAGTCACAGGCTTGCATCCGTAATTACCGTTACCATCAAACAATGTAGACTAACTGTTAAAATAAATTAAAAGTTTAGAACTATCAGGTTCAACATAAAGAGTCTACAATTAAGATAGATCGCAATCGGCAATCCTCACAAAAGATTTTTCAGGACTTTAACAAACTGGAGTACACCGTACTGTAAATCGTAAATCGCAAATATCTGAGTTTGCACTTTGCAGTCTGCGTATAGACAACGCGCTTGAATAATGAATACGCAAGTGTTAGTGTTTTTGGTCATTCCGAAAAAATCTGCAAATGGACGAATAATGCTAGCCGTACGTTACAAGTATTCACAAAATCTGCTACAATTATTCAGTAATATTCACGCACATTACACTTTGGCACACTATAACACTTTTTTATTTTTTAAAGAGTTTTTGGTCCAAAAACTCTGTTTAAAAAAAAATAAAAAAGACCGCTTTTACGCCATTTCGCGACGATATACATATGGTACTTAACTGTTATTGTTAATTTTTGTAGTCGTACGCGCAAGTGCGTGAGATTTCGAAATACAAATTAAACCAACCATTGGGCAAATTAAAGCAATGAGAAACCGCATAAAAGAATTCTCACAAATTAATAGATTACACGAAGATAGCCACTGCTCGACCAAATAACCATTTTAATAACGGTACAAATTAACACTGCCAAATAAATTAATGCTGTACATGCATAATTCTGGACTTCAGGAAACCAAAAAAGCACAACCGCTGGCAGAGCTCTTAGAGTTGGGCGCTAAGATACCGCTGTCTCTGCCGGCTCCGAATCAACAGTTTTAACAGCCCCAGCAGAAAAAAGAGTACCAAGAATAACAAGGTGATTTCGTCTAAGTTGTTCAAAAAATTCGGTCAGAATGTACTTCATGAACTCTCGATACTCTTCGATAAACCGACCATCGGATACCGAAAGCCTCCCATTATTGATCTCATAAATAATGCGGAATAACTCCATTTGGAAAAATTGATCCGGCATCTTCAGATCCCACGCAATACGATGAAACATCTTTAGTACAGCATGATTGGCCAGGGAGGTGTTCGAGGAATAAGACTTCAGCAGGATCATGAAAGGTTCCAGATGACTCGCCACAGAAAAACTATGGCGAAACAAAATACGAGTAACAAATGCATTTTTCACCAACTGCTTTAACCGTATTTCCTCAATTCATCATAATTAATTAATTACGGGCATCCAAATAAAACGCCTGAAGTATCATTATAAAATTCAGTCTCAGTACCGTTTCACATAAGCATTCAAATGGAACGCCACTTCACGCGGCTCGCGACCTTTCGACTGGTCATTCTCAGTATCGTCTTCTTCGTCATCCATCACTTCATCGTCATTCTCATTGTTATCATTGCCATGTTCCTCTCCGTCATGATCTAAAGCCGGTTGAAGATCTGAAAAAGAATCGCATTTACTATTGCTCGTTCGCAAATTTCTTTCCAGAACTTCCATTCATAAAATAACACAAAACCAGACTGACCACTGATTGCTTACTTACTTTTCTTGTTTGATTTAGTGGGATTTTTAGCCTTCCGCTTCCGCTGCTTGGCGCGCACAAACAACTGGGTTTTCGATGCCAAGCATGTCTCGATGAGTTTAACAAAGATATGTACCGTGATAACAAGGTCATTCAAATACTGCCTATAAAGAAGCACACGAGAAGCGTTTATGCGGTTGGTGTCAAAGAATTACAGTAAGTCTAATCAGTAATCATACATAAATTTTAACATATTTACCGTGAAAACTTTCCTTCGTGGAATTCTTTCAATAAACTAAAAAACATATCGCGATGCTCTTCGCTGTAGAATACGTTACTTTCAAGCTGTTTGGCAGAGCGTCGCACAGTGGCATCTTCATGAGAAAGCATGGCGGACACCGTCCACAACATCTCTTGGTAACACTTCAGTGTAGCATGCACTCTGCATAAACACGTATATAGTTAGTTACACACAATACTTTTACGACACATACCTACAAATCAAAAATGCCTCAAGGTGCTAATATTAAACCAAAACTGCTCGCTGCGAAAAGCAAACAGATATAAAAGAACTACACAAACCGTGACACACGTAAAAGGAATCTACTTCTATAGAAAGGAAACTGTACTTCTATAGAAAGTTTACAGAGTACAAACTAGAAACAGATACCGTTTACATAAGTACTGTAACACAAATGAAATTTCGTTTCGTATGTTTTCATTTCCTACACTGTAAATATTTTAGTAACATTTAAACCACCAAAATCTAGAAGCAATTCAGCGATATCGTATTTTCAAAAATCATTAGCCCTTTCCAGGGGTTTTACTGGAAATACGAACTTGAAAAATCTTCGAATTATTCACTTCTAACGGTCTAACCAACCTCTCGCTCCACTTCACGGTTTCCGTTTTATTCAGACGCATCATATCGAGATAATTCTCCATTTTCTCATAGATGAAACGAAAGGTGTCAACGGAAACCGTTTCACTGCGTAAGAAAACAATATTACGTAAGTACGTAATGACCGAATATAGAAAAATAAACTGATGGCAGTTATCAGATATGTTAAAATCTTGAAAAACGCTACAGAAACCTAGACTGCCAGTTACAACGGTACAACAACTAACCTGACGAAGTCCACGCAAACCTTTTCACCGTTCTTTTCACCGTTGAACCGATTTAACGCCATGAAAAACCTCACAGCCCACAAATATCGTAAAATGTACTCTTCCGGTTCTGTCACTGACATCAGATGAGGTATTTCATTCTAAAAAATAAAAAAACTGAGAAATGGAATAAAATCAAAATTTCAAAATATTTAGCTTTTTACCTTTAAATTAACCATAAACAAATTATATGCATTCTCCAGAAACATCACACAAAAATTGCGTAATTCAGGCGAAATAATCGGAACATATGAATGCCGCTCCTCTTTGATTCGGAAGACCTTTCGACTGCGTGAATCAGGTGTTTTATCCGAAGTGAGTTCGAATTTGTTGTCCAAAATATTTGTGAGTGGCTTCACCAAAACCATGTCATTCTCTCGATTCACGGCCTTAGCTCCTTTCAGAACGAAAGTACCGCCAAATGTAGAATGTCTATAAAATTTCATAATTTCTAATACGCAGCTGCAACGATTTCTCTTATTATGTACGAGTATTTCAGTAGTTCAGTAACAAACTGTAATTGTATAACTGACGTATCGCTCACGACTCAAGTAAACTACACACATTTCAGCTATGCCGTGCGTACCGGGAAACAGATCGGAGCGGGTCAGGCATTTTTGCTGCCAAAGAACGCTGATATATCTGCTGCGAGTGCCTGTCGTCAGCTTCGCATGATTCCGTGGTTTTGACTTTAATTAAAGCTTCCGGGTCATGAAACCGAAGTAAATTATGAAGAATATCAAGGACACGAAAAGAGGAATACTTCTCTGCACATGCCATGTACAGAATTATGCCGGTAAATCCGGAGCTGTTTATGGCCCTACAAAGAAGTATATTTTCAACTACGCCATCAGCAGCGAAAACAGCGTTCAACAAAGTTTTCGGCGCTACACCATAAAACAGAACAACGCTTTTTATTTGATAGATCACAGTCCCTGGCATACCACTTACCTGAAGACTTTATCATGAAGAGACGCAGGAGAATCGGTTTGTTTTCCATACACCTCACCACGCATTTCCAATATGTTACTGACAAAGTTCAAAGAATGCCGCAAGAAGCCAATATCAATTTTATCTCGCTCTTCAGATGGCTTTTTCAGAACTTCTGTAAGGCGAGCACGAAAATGCGCGAAAAACTCCGGATCAGTAAACATCTAAAAACTACAATATAAGGCGGGAACGTAACGCTCACTCAAAATGCTACAGAACCTTTTTACAGGGCTGCCGGCGATCGTCCATTTCTTTCAAACGAGCCCTGACATCCATATTATCTTCCAGGATATCTCGCGGAATGCGCAATGAAATTTCACTGGGCGGCATTGTTAATTCGTCGATCAACCTGACATGCGAAGTTGGACCAGTTTTTACTCGTACTGTACAACGGTACAACCTATTGTACATAGTACATACAGATACGACAGCCACTAATATAGATATATCGTAACGATCGGAATGGCATTTAAATACGCTCTTGTTAAATATTTAATACTTTTTATCATATTATGGCAAAGTCTAGTCATCAGTTCGATGAATTATTACTGCCAATTTCACCAGAATAAAAAGACAAAATGCAAAACAGAGGATATTAAGAGATTAAGGTTGTAAGCTTTCTGTAATCAAAACCAGAACTAATCGTAAGAAATCTTTATTAATCCACAAAAGCGTCTTAGCGTGCATAGTTGTACTCGTATTGGAATAATTGCCTATTTCCTACTGAATCGAATTACTTACATAGTACTGTATGTGTAGCATACGGCTGGAATTATTGCGTTAGTTTGCAACCCGCACCGATAAATTAAGAAAAAATTAACAGTAAACATGTACAACACTGTACCAGATGGTGGCTCTCCATAATCCGTCATCTCGTGGATTGTTCATCAAAACGGGATATAAATCCGTGCAGACGATGCCTGTGTTGATCAAATAACGTCGCACCGTCATCTTTGGACTGAGCTCTGTATGTCGAATTTGCAGGATCATATTCTTAATGGCCACTATACGAAAAATGACAGAAAAAACTTCAGGTTCTACTGAGCGATTTGGTCGATCTGCATGTTTACAAAGAATTACGCGAAAGTTATTTACGTAAGCATTTTGGGTGTTTCTTGTAAATTTCTTTGTCTCCTTCCTTTTCCACGGTTCCCAAATGTTTGACGTAAAATGCCAAATTCAGTTCAACATCTTCGACAGTCTGAAAAATGAACGAAAAGTCAGCATGCGGAGAAAAGCAATGGTACTGATGTGCAGGTAAGTAAGAACTGCAGTAAGAAATGATGCATTTCATAAGCTTAACAGTTTACGAAGTGACTGATAATTTCTCAAAATTCACATATAAGCACAGTGCAACAGTTTAAATTCTAAAGAACTAAATAACTTCGTTTAATATGTAGTATGTACCTCATTTGGAACCAGCTCCTCTGCAGCCTCTTCTTCTTCAGGCTTCCCTGGTGCTACTGGCTTTGGTTTGTTCACTGTGTTGCTTCCATTTGGATTGATGGCACGCTGCAGCCGCTCTCCAAGCTTTTTCGCTTCTTTGACAGTAGAATTATAACCAAACATCGTGGCGGACAATAGCATCCAGGTTCCGCTGCGTCACAAGTTCAGAACCGAAATAAGCAAGCGCTCTTGGCAAAGCGAGTCCTCAATACTGGGCTAACTCTAACTGGTAAATTATGACAATGGTGATTTAGAACAGACCGTCATCGATATTTTCACAGCAGAGTTTTGCAATCTCAGAATTTGAATGGTCTAAAAAAAACTCTAAACAACGGAAGACGATCGTGTATTAAATTATCGTAAACAAATAAAAGCAATAATAAATAAATGGCAAACCAGAAAACACAGTAGTATCAAATTATCAATAATCAAACCTTGCTCGAATTGTACAGCTGTGAGTACTCCAAGCCTGTGTTTTGCGAAATTCCCGCTCACCGACTGCAGGAAGCAGGTATTAACGAGTAAATCAAAATCATCTCTTTTCTGTGTGTGGCGGCGCTGTGGCCGAACCATTTCCGCTTGGTCCGCTATGGGTGCCCGCCAAGTAAATCACTCCACGAACCACTGCCAATTCCAACAATAAATTTTGAATCCATTTTTGTTTACCTATTAAAATTAATTCTAAAAGCATGTCTTCTCAAGACACAGTATGCAATTGATCGAAACAACTTTTAATAATTTACCGATACTGAAATTACGAAAAACAAAAACCTTTTGAAGTAAAAAGAAAAACGAAAAACGAGAAACGAAAAACAAAAACCTTTAGTCCGACTCACTGTCTCACTGAGTCGGACTGTCGGACTAACTCACTCTTTAATTATTTGCAATGCCTTGTGGGTCATTGGGCTTAAGACGGATTTGTGGTTTGGGCGAACGAATTATGGGCGAGTCGATAGTGGTTGCAGCCAGCATGGTTGTCTTTTGCCTGACAATTATGAATATAAATAAAAAATTAATAATTTACTATACTTTTATCTCACTTAATTTACATTTAATTTTATACCTTTGCGGCTCGCTTGTTTAGAATTTTATGTTTACTAAACTTAACGAGAAAATATTGCCTTGAAAAATACCTTTCATTGGTAAATCACCGTAAATGTTGCATTTTTTCAACGTTTAACATACAGGGGCATATGCTTAATATGGTAAATCGTGCCTGGATAAAATTATATAATTCCTCGTTTCTTTCAGTCTTTTCTGGATTGTCTTGGCGAGCCGCGAACTCCATAAAAATTATACATATTTTTATTCATATTGACAGATGGATTATGAACTGGTGATTATCTGATAGTTTGATATGACTGGGATGTTCTCCGATTAATGGTGTCTCTTATCAGTAGTCTTCTCTGCCCGAAACTGACTGAAATTTCTTCGCTGGTTTTGTTGATACGACCTGTTATTTTCTGTTTTGGATTTTGCGGCTCAAATCATCATGTCACGAGCGCGCGCACAGGCTCAGCCAACGCGCATACAGCCAGCTCGTAATGCGACTTCCAGTTTAAATGGACTGGAATCCCAGATCAGCGAAGTTACCCTTGTGGATCCGGAGGAGGAGAAGAAGCAGAAGCGCTTAACGAAGCAGGAATCCACCCTTCAAAAATGCTTGGCCAATGTCAGTGAAACACAAGGTTTAACTCATGACATCTTGATGCGATGTGGACAGTTAAATAGTGTTCAACAACTGCTCAGCGTCGGAGCAGACTCCCTGGAAGACGCAGCGCTTAATCAAATCAAAGCAGAATGGAAGGCAACCAAACATGACGACATTGGTAAGCGAATGTGTTTCTTTGGACAACTAAAAATTTTGTGAAGTTTTATGGCTAGTTTTTAGGGGTAAAAATATTTTTGTTTCTTACTGCTGTAGCGGATTTACCTTTTACATTGCGACTCTTACGCTGTTGCAATATTTATTTATTTCAATCCGTCCGTGTTGTGGCTGTAATTTCTTTTGTTATTTGGATGTCTTCGGCTTTTTAGGAAATTATAGAAATTTGATCACCTGCATTAAAAATTTTTTACATTTCAGTCGCTATTCTGAGGCGCGTTGTGCTCTGTAAAGAGAATTATCAGCCGAGGACCGCCAGCAACATCGGAACCGATCCGTCTCTCATTTCTAGCCATAACACTCTCGCTGAAGCTTTGGTGTCGTTTCTCGAGGGCAGCTGGATGATTTTTCGGATATTCCGAAATATTTCTAGGCCTGCCCTGGATGATAGTAACTACTGCGCTACCGTGATAATGCCTTGTGTTGTGGATCTCCATAAGTTGGCCAAGTTTGTGCATTGTAGTGTCAAGCGAAATCTTTTGCGCCTGCTTGTTGGATTGTGGGCTCATTTGACTGCGATGTTTAATGGGCCTTTTTATAATGAGATCATGAGGGAAATATATAAACTTTTCTCGACATGCGAAGATTATGCCCAGCAACTACAACTTTGTGTCATGATGGGGTTTTTGTGCCAGAAATCTGTCACCATTGTTCGCGCGATTGGATACAAAGTGGGTTTGCGCATGTGGTTAAAAGGTACGTTTTGTCTTCCACAATTTTTGTGTCGCCACTATTTATAAGTCACATTTAAGTTCATTTTACGATAAGTACGAGTATAGGTTTTGAATATACGGTTGACTTGAAAAAGATTTTTCATTTTTTCTTGCGACTTCTGAGACATTTTACGGTGCTTTCTGCAAGCCTAAAAAAATGCACATTTAGGTATAACTCGATAAGTAGAGAAGTCGGAAATTAAAATATTGCTTCTTGTTGTTGTTATGCATCGTTATTCAGATAGGGATAAGTTTCTCTTGGCTTACGTTAATTTGAACGCCGCGATACCTATCAATGTTTCTCGGGAGATCTTGATAATTGGTTTGATTTTTCTTGCTAGATTTCGTGTCTATTTTCCGCAATTGCTCACCGACGGATTCGCCGATTCCCAACTTTGCCTACGAGGCGGTTAATTTCACTAATGAGCGTCGCGGGATTCACCGCAAAGTTTTCTCCTTCCGCTTGAATACTCCTTGTTACGCATCTTCCGACCAAAGTGATTTTCCACCGGTTCCTGTTTATAACCCTTTTATTTCCAACGATGAAGCGCCGGATCAGTGGTGTTTGAGCTTTAGCTTAGGCTCACAAACGATGTGTTTTGAACTGGAAGGGACAGCCGGCCGATTTTTTGTTTGGATACCCTTTGACGACATTGTCGTGGTGGACGTTTCATCGGAGCACGACAGCGTTATCCTTCAAATGATTTTTACCAAAGCCTTGTCGGAATATTACGACGGGAATTGTGCCAATGTCATTAATCCCGTTGGATTTTGTGATACCGTTAGCTTCCATTTGGGTGGTGCGCTTGCAAATTTAGGATTGCTGGAAAAAGCCCTTCAGCGTTGTTTTGGGCACCGTTGTGGAACGGCGACGTTTCATGGAGAATGGAATGTACCGGAGCTGGGAAAGACCAATAACCCGTTCTATCGAATAAAGAAATCCCTCGGAGTCGTTGCGGAAGCGTCAGATAAGATCGACGAAAACGATGCGTGTGTGCTTGTGAGAGAAACCATCGTCGAACGACGCTTTGCGGGTGAGAAAAAGGTAGAAGGAAAGAGAAGTCGCGCGCAATCGCAAGCTTCAACATCCGCTGATGTTTCCTGTGTTGAAATCTCATCCGACGATAAACCGACCGCACAACGAAACAGCAACCCAGAAATTACTACACCGACGATTTCACCCAGTAAGAGTGTTATCCTGGATGATTGCGAGTCAGCGGCGCTTAGTCCCATCCAACCGAACGATTTGGCTCCGTCCGATGACGATGATTGTATTTCTCCCGCTGGTGTCCTTCACTTGCCAGATACAGATCTCACATCGCAGGAATTTGAAGACATGTTACATAGCTCGCGTGGCGGCATGTCGATCAACGTTAATGGCCAGTCATTAGTTTGTACACCCATGAAAGGTGTCAATGCACCTATCACGGTAACTTCAGTTTGTCAACCTGCTGCTGTCAGTACGAGCAACCGAGCTAATCGAGACCGTTTGCCTCTGGAGCAGATCTCCAACGAGGCCAATGCGATGGAAGCTGGGAAACGTCTTCGAAGTCGGACGACCGGAAATTCGTCTACACAGAGTATTTCAGCTGATGTTGTCACTCTGGATTGACGCAAAAATTTATGCGGTTGTTGTTTTTTTCAGTAAATGCGCTGTCGTTTCATGGTACTGAATTGGATATAATCGTTTTTGTACAGATTTATGGGTGAAGTTTGCGGAACCTGATAAAGTTTTCTAAATTTGTATCCTAGCGGTTGTTTGTCTTGATCAAAAGTTGATGCGTCGAACCATTTCTGTGACACGGATGGCCAGTTTTTAAAATGTACGGAATTTTACGCTAGGAAGAAGAGTTGAACATCAACGCGTTATTAGCGGCTGTTAATAGGCTGTTTTCGTAAAATGGCATTGTTGCGTGGGAGGAAATGTCCGCAGACAATGTAGCGATGATAGGGTGATCTTTTTCTCGCTCGAATGCTCTAGTTGGTAAAGCGGAAATAACACCAGTTCATAAACGCTATGTGCGTTATTACTTCGACGTACACAACGAAATGCTTGGATAATCACAGCGGCCAAACTTCACCCTGGCCACCCAAACGAAGCCACCGGTACAAGTTTAAAAACATCTACGCACGAAGAAAATTTGTTGTAGCTCACGTTAACTGCGCGCGGTACAACCGAAGCGACCTTTCGCATTCGAATGCACGAGTATTTCACCATGATCAGTATTGTGTTTCTGCTCCTTCTGACACGATGGGCTACGGCTCAGTTACAAGGTCGTATGGACATTCCCATTGGAGTTCCGGATTTGGATGACAAATTTTCCAGAGGATTGGCTAACTACATCGGCATACCGGCCCTCCCGGGTGCCAGCACCGGACAGTACGGCGATCCTATTTCGCTAACCGGAAGGAGTAATGTGGGTGCCGACTCTTCCAATAGTCTGACGTACAATGATTTTCCTTCGCTACCGGGACTGCGAAACACCAACAGAGCAGGAATGACAAAATGGTATGGTCCCGACTTTGCACCGCCTGTACCAAACAGTGGCTCCATGATGATGCCTAATATGCAACCACCGCCACCACCCATGCAAACGCCCCAAAACCAAGTCAACGGGCCGGTAAATGACGGATGTAAGTGGCAAAAAAACTACAGGAATCTTGCTTACATTAGTCAGAAAACTAAATAAATATTTCGAACTTTATACTGTATATTATTTACTTACAATTAGGGATATATCGACAGCGGTAATCGATCAACAAGATGTTAACAGCGTAATTAAAATACCTCGTATTTTCAGTTATTGTTACATATGGTTCGTTTTGTTGCGATACGACCATTCCAGTTATTAAAAGCGCTCGATAAGTTACTTAGCCTAGCGGTACAAGGAAACTTGATTAGAATTCAATTTTCAAATTTGCAACCGCAATAGCATCTAACATAATTCTTATAAAAGTATCATTCTGTGTTAAACGTGATTACAGAAAAAAAAAATTTGTATTCTGATAACAAAACCTTTTTTGACCTTTGTAGCTGTGCAAGTGACGGATCTCAGTTGCCAGAAGCCAAGGGCAGTTATCGGCATGTCCAACGATCGTAACCACTGGTTATCCACGGTTGAATGCGAATGCCGACCGATCAGTGATTCCACCGCCATGCCGCAGTTTTCGTGCTATTCGCTGTGTGATGGACCACCTCGGGATCAACGTTGTGAAGCCAGTTTTTCGATTTTGAGCTCGTGTCCTTTATATAAAAACTGTCGTAAGCTCCGATGGTCGCTTCGTAGCATGCTGGGTGTACATTGCACTAAAACTGACGCAGACAATGTAGAATGCTAGCAAAGTATAAGTGATGCATAATAATAATTTTTCTAATTGTAGAAAACTGGACTCAGTCTAATGACACAGACAGCGGTGCTATTTCGTGCCGTGTGGGCAATCCGGTGCCGGAAGCCGTGTGCTGGATATTGGCCAGCAGTATGTTGCGCGATGATGATCGCCCTTTACGACCGGCATTCTATGCTAACGCGGCAACAGGTTGTTACATGGCCTGTTTGTGTGGAAACGATGGAACTGTGGCTGGAGAAATCCAGTGTCTAGATCGTCCTACCAGTCACTGGAGGTAAAGCCATTAAATTATACATATTGTACATACTGTCGAAATCGGTATTGTACAGCATAAATAAAGAGTACCTAATAATAGTAAAGATAGTAATAATGATGCAAGTTGGAGTTTTCCGTATTCGATCCGACTAAATTTTAATGTTTGTCGTTGTAGGTTTCCCGTATATCCTCGCAACAGAAAATTTAATTTCCCTGCCCAATTCTAAGGCTTTTGTCATGTATCGCCATGCAAGTACACTTTTGAATTTGTTTTCTGTTATATTAAGCAAATGATGTTGAGATCTCTCAGTTCAGTTCTTGATGGTACGCTATACATCAGCAATTCGGTGCTGACGGAAATTGACAGGAGATTGTTTGCTGTCAGTCGTTAAGCTGCAATGAGTAAGTCTTGCTTGGTTTTGCATACGGACTTAGAAACCATAGTGCACTTTAATTCCTAGTTAAAGCGAAATTTTTAATGCCGGTTTGACACGTGTTTACCCACACAAAGTGCTCACGAAGCGTCGAAGCCTCACAATGATGGAACAAGATAGAAGATTATATAACCCAAAACGATTAATACGTAAGTTGCAAGTGGTGCAAAAAACTTTTTTTTTGGTTGGATAACGTACTCTAACCTTTATGAATATCATCCTTTGTAATTTTTGGTACCCCAAAAGTTTTTACGTATGTAATCAGCACGGATGTTATTTGCCCTTTTCTGCTAAAAGACGTGTGATTCAGGCAGCCATATTCTACTGATCTACGTTTCCAACTTTCCGAAACTAAACAGAAACTTCGCCTTGTTATGCGGATCTGTATTCACTATGCAGCAGTGCCGGCTTATTAATAAGTGTTTACATCACACCAAATGATAAAGCAGATAAGAAATACTGATTTACAATGCATATTCCATTTTATCATCATCCAGCTTCAATAGTTTCAGAGACTGCTCCCGCATTTTAAATTTTTGGACTTTCCCGGTCACCGTCAGTGGAAAGCTCTGCTTGGAGTCCACATAAACAAAATACTTCGGCACCTTGAACCGAGCCAGCTGAAAATAATTAATGGTTGTTACTATCAATACGCACAAATTAAATTGATACACAGAAATGAATTATTAATGTATGTACAGAAATGAGTCATTAACTGCTTAAAATTGATTGCGGATTAATTAAAATTGAGTCCAGATTCACTTATGGATACAGGATACAGATTCCAGTCCAGATTCGGATTATAGTCCAGATTCACTTATATATTTACATATACTGTAAATGAATATTTCCCACACTTGTTTAGTACATACTACATACTGCAGTGTGGTTCATTTGGTCGCATTTAAAAGTAATATTAATTTGGTGATCAGACTTAAAACTGGCTTACGTTATCTCTACAAAATTTCTTCAGCTCTTCTTCGGAAACTTCTTTCTTCAGTCTGATCCAACAACAGATCTCTTCGCCCAACCTCCGATCCGGCACGCCCACAATGTACACCTCCGCTACGGCCGGATGCTCGTGGAGACAATTCTCAATCTCTGCCGGGAAAACATTCTCTCCACCTCGGATTATTGTATCCTTCATGCGTCCAACAATTTTCCCATAGCCATTCTCTTGCATTATTCCAATATCTCTAAATAAAGTCAGTCTATCGGCCTAATGGTAAAAATACATTGTGCTGTTTGCTCATGGCAAACGGCAATATCTTGATTCACTGGCTTAATTTAAAACAAACACCCACTGTCACGCAGACCATGTACAGAATAATGCGTTTTCATACCCGGTGCGAGCCCAACCGGTAGGCGTAAAAAACTCGTTGGTTTTTGATTCGTCCTGCCAGTATCCCAACATTACGGGAAAGCCTTTAACTTGCACTTCGCCTCTTGTTCCAACCGGCACCACTTGATCCGTTTCGTTGGCTATTCGCACCTGAAGAAACACTTACCACATTTTCTGCATGCAATGGTGAAATCCCTATTAACGGTAAAAGAGTTAGAAAACGAAGACGATACACTGTAGAGCCAATATGTCTGCTATATCGATATATCAGCAGTAGATATGAGGTTGTAATTGTCCTCGAAGTTCTTTGGCGAGTGCGAGCGCTCATCCTTTTCGCTGCAGTAATATAGGTAAACGATTTGCTGGATAGTTAAAACTGCAGCATAGGATAAAAAAACATGCGGAATATCTTTGTCAGAAGTGTAGTGAATACAAAAAATATCGTTACTTAATTTGCTATCGTTGCGCCTGTTCTCGATCAAAAATTGCTTACTTCGGTGTGGTGTAGCGCGGTACCAACTGTTTGAGTGCAGCATTCCTCAGGATCGCCAAGTTTGGATAACAGCACTAATGGGCTTGTTTCAGTCATTCCATAACCAACCTAGAGCACACAAAGGTTAACAAAATTAATTATAAGTAAGAATTCTTATCACTGCTGTAAGTCTGCAAAAATAATCTTTTAATGTTTGTTCGTGGTGCGTTAATGCATGACAAAGGTCACAATTAAAGCTTACGATGATATCCCTCATTCCCAACTTTTGCTTGACTGTTCTAACCAGCTCCACAGGACATGGCGCTCCAGACATAAAACCTCCGCGTAAAGTTTTCGTGTTATACTTTGCGAAATTTGGATGGTAAATCTGATCTGTGTACATTGTTGGCACGCCTGTATCGATCCAAAGTTTGTGAACACCGGTTTCTTAACTTTGCTTTTAAACAAGTGCAAAATATTATACAATGTCCGTTACGCTTTTGATTTACATTTACACTTACATTAACACATTTCTTTTTCACTCATACGTACATCACATTTGTACTGTAGTATCGTACTCCATGGTCTGCTATAGTAATATTCCAAAAAATACTTAAATTACCGTAAAGGAATGTGCACTTTTCCCCGTCGATGGCTTTCAAGGTGGCTTCGGCGTCAAATCTCGGGGCAGGTATGACCAACGTAGATCCATGCACGACTGTCATTAAGCTTCCGAGAACGCAACCAAAACAGTGATATAGCGGGACTGGCGAACAAAGGATGGTTTTCTATAATCATAAAATTTTGCGTTTTTAAAAATGTGTACAAGTACTATTTGTACACTTGCAGTCCAGCAACTGTAACAATATCTATTTTATGCTCACCTCTTTGTCGAATCCTAACGTTATCCCTCCGAAATAACCGTTGTTTAGTATGTTCTGGTGCTAAAATAGCATCCTAATTAGAATTAGTCAGACTGCTTCGATAATCGCTGTGAAATAATGCTCGTATATATGAACTGGTGACTCACCGAAAGTGTAGCGCCCTTCGGATTACCGGTTGTACCGGAAGTGAACTGGATGTTAACCGGGTCATTGGGCGTTACTTGCTTGGCATTGCGCTCCAACTTAGACAAATCTTCCCGTCCATAGTCCTGGAGGATTTCATGGAAAAACCGACTGTCTCCAGCTGGTGTCTGGTTTTTGTTATCAGAGATAAGGACAACAGTTTCCAGATCCGGTATTCTGCAGATGAACCAGTATTATTAATAGCCATCAATACAATTTTTCCTAAATTGAGCGATCAAAATTTTGTGAGAATAGATCAAATCTACTCGTAATTAGATCTAATCTACTCGTTCCCTTTGATATATGGTACTGACATATTGCGTGTAATTATACTCACATCAACTTAATTGTCGGTACATTCGGCTGTCCGGTAAAACAATTACAATGTGCAAAGATCACATATACATATTGATATTATGCCATTTTAATAGCAATACATGTTCCTTGCTAATCGTAAATTAAATTTATAACATTAGTGTCGTGCTTGCCGCTGTGCGGCTGTGGTCATTGTCATTAAAAATAACTGACAAAAATACCATTCATTGAATTAGCGCTGTTTATTTCGATTTATGTATGCCATTAATTAGCCTATGGTTACACTGCAATTTCTTACGTAGGTTCTATACATCTGCTGAATACCGATAGAAGCTGAAGCTATTGTTATCTGACAACGATTCTGGTCGCTGAAGATTTGACCCACTTTGAGGATTTTTTCGGGATCACAAGATTAGGCACGACCTTGTCAAGCACATCCAGACATTCCTTTGTAGTAGCACCGATAAGAACTTTAATCTGAACCTTCTTCAGGCAATACTCCAGTTCATGGGCTTTGTACTGCGGATTAACATTGACCATGATCAGACCGGCTTTCGCTGTAGCGTACTGTGTCAGCAGCCATTCGTACGAGTTCGGTCCCCAGATGCCTACACGGTCACCTTTCTGCAGGCCCAGATGCAGCAGTCCAGCGGCAGTGGCATCCACATCCGCTTTAAACTGGGCGTACGTCTTACGGGTATTCTGGAAGGGTACAACGAACACGATGTCATCCGGACGCCGTTCAGCCTGCTCGTCAACGATCTGGCCAATTGTTTTGGTCAATAATGGCGGAGTGGAAGGCCCGCGGACATGACTTAAGGTACATGTAAGTGTTTCTGGTTTCTTTGTGCTCTGCTGCAGTAGAGTAGATGTGCTGGTGAAGAACCTAAAGACCTTTCTGGTAGCTAGGTAAACAACTGTACCAATACGATTTTATGCATGTCAGTAATATCTATATGTCACAAGTTTACAATACGACAGCTGGACTTACAAAATTATCTTCACATACTTCTGAATGTAAATGACAAGGTGCTGGTGGTTAGAGTAGCGTCACCATGTAGTGAGTATTGTTAAAAATTAATTAAATAAAGGACTTTTGCCTGTCAATCAGTGCCTACTGAGTAGCCCTCGGGTTGATTAAAGTAATGAATTAAATCAGCTGCTATCATTTTATAATATCAAAATAAAATTTTTCAGATCCTGAAACTGACAGTTTTTATTAGGATTTTATTATTTGCGCATCAACCTGGGGGAAATCATAATTAGAGTGCTTACGCGATATTTCTTTAATGTTGCCAGTAAAACATTGTAAGTACTTCTATAAAAAGGATGGCTAAGAAGAACATTAGCAAATGCTGAAATAATATACCGGTTGTAGAAAACATTGCAAAAAAAAAACTGTTGCAGTAAATTTGGATCTGTGATGAGTCAGTAATAGTACTTATGGTTAGGTTTAGACAAAATGGTGGTTCATTTTTTGATTACGTACTTTGTTACTTCAAAACCAAAAATTACAAGAGAAATAATGGACGCGTATGGCAGCACCAACAACACTATTACGGTATCAAATAAGTCGATTGACCACCAACACCGGTTGCTTTTAATTCGTTCTTTCCTGCTCGCATATAAATATTAAGAAATAAATTCCAGTGGCCCTTTAATTCAAATCAATAATAATTAATAAAGGTTGTTGTATTATTACATTTATTTAACTAGTACCGGTATCTATGAAATACCTTTTTCTAAAGCCGGAAAAAATCCTTGATGATGGTGGTAGCGATTTCGCGTAGGTGTACATTTTCGCACAAACCGAATGCAAATTATTAGTATTGGTATCTGGATTAAAGTTTCCACGTTTCTCTTAATCATCCGGCATCAGCGCGTGCATATGCTCATTCTTTTAGTGGCTGACGGGAAATATCATTACGCTCCAGGGATTGAATTTAATTAATCAAATATCAGTCAAATTATGAGCGACCATAAGTGCCACGCTTGAGAAATGCTGCAATGAGGTTCAAATGCATAATATTATGATGTTATTGTTTTTGGAGAAAATTAGGAATTCTATACCAGGCTTTGTTTCCTCATTCTGATAGCTGTGAGAATCACACAACGACGCCACTGCATGGCAGTGAAATTGCCCAGGGCTGTTTTGATAACGCGTTGTGGTTACTTTGATGATTGATCTTATTTGCTGATTATTAAATTTGCAGCTGATAGCATTTTGCGATACGATACGCGTAGCGTACACGCGTAAACACGCACTACGAAGGTGGCACGAACACGTATGTAGAGGTAGCTGGGTAATAGTGCGTATGGTTTTATGGTTAAAGATAGATCTAGAGATTTTACTTATACTGGTCAAAATCTAACGGTGTAATATAATTCCACTTCCGGTGAACATTTTGCGGCTGTATGCACACTCAGTTGCACAGTATACCCGTCAGTAAATTTGTTTGCACGGTGGAAGAAGGAAAAAGTTAAAAGAGCATGTCTTCACCTGTCAGCGATACCTTTGGGATATCTGTGAGTGGCAAGCACTGTCCTATAGTCCTTTTAATATAGACTCTGGCTTTAATTATTTTATAACGAAGATCGAAGAAATACATACGAAGGCATTGTCAATGGACGATGGTCAGTTGTGTTCTGCTATAAGTATGGGCATATAGTAACGCGCGAGTTCAACTGTTTAAGGGACTGGCTATGTTATCGCCATAACATTTCGTATCAGGATTACGATGCGACGGGTGATAGAAAAAACTTCCGTGTACACGCTTGGGTTTGGATTTAGGTATGCGGTATTATCCTAACTACACAAGCCTATCTCCTTGCCGTAGCAAGGAGATCTAAACCGCACCTTAAGACCGGGCTGAAGACCGGCTTGCAAAAATTGCAGAAACCGGTACAATATTTCCTTCTCAACTAACGAATATTTATATACATGATTAAAGAGAAAATCTCAATTCCCGCCAATTAAGACCTGTTGCAACAAGGTAGTAACAAGTAACGGGCGAACGGCAGCATAAGCCGATCTTTTTATGCCAGCCGATATGATAAGGCTACTATAGTAGCGACGTCCATGGTGTGCCATAAAGTTGCTAGTTAAGGTACTGCGACCACAGCAAGAAGCTGTCAACAACTTTCGCTGAAAACGATGTAAATTCAAAAAAATAAATGATCTGGTAATTTGACTTCTTGTTTCCCGTAAAGTCTTCGGAAGCCGGCTCATGTGCAGCATGTGCAACATGACCTTTAAATGTAAATTAAAAGTTGATATTTTGCTGAATAGCCAGAAAAAACTTGAGTGGTTGTACATATGGCCGCCCGCTGTGCACCCTACCAAACAAACAATAATTATTGTAAATCGAATACAGACTTTTAGCAACCATAATTTTAGGTTTCACAGAATCAGAAAATAATTACGATTAGGCAATAACTTTGGAGCTTGAATCAAACAAGAATAACCGCTAATCCGAAGCTGTGATTCATCATGCAATTAGTCAGGACCATGACACAATATTGAATTTACCCTCTCGCCTACACGCATGCTTAATGAACAACTCCTTTAGCAAAACTCGTTTATTTTGGCTGTACACACTGTTAAAAATCGCTTTGAACTGCAGTAATGCGACGGTCATGAATGTTCTCGTATTTCGGCATTTACATCCCGACAGTGACTGCGACGGAAAGACAAAATTTAGAGGCGTCGCGTCGTCGACATAACCAACCAGGAGCATCTGTACGCGTGACCAACAGTTTTGCCTGTTGAAAAAGTAAACATATAATAGCTGTGACGGGATGGAATACCACTGTAGTCTCATGTTCTTATAATTTTAGGAGCGTAGAGCTTTTGATAGTTTCAGTGGCTTAAAGTTTCACACTCCAATGTCCCATTTTACACCAAAAGTATTTTAAATCTGAGCAAACTTCTTCATATCGCACTTTATTGCCATGGCCGACAATAAAGGATTTGTGGTTCAATACTTTTCCGATGGTACATACGACGCTTACAGGTACTTGTATCTAAAATAAATGCCATTAATTTGATAATTATTATTCCGCTAATTTATTTGCCGGGTGCCGATTTCGATACGCTTGTACGCCATCGTAGTCTATTTCCTGATGGCGAACAAAATACATTGTAAATATGATGGTGATATGTGCACGAGTACACTCTGTAAATCTGGATAAAAGATTAAATCCTGCTTAATAGTCTCATGTATTGTAGAAACAACTACTTAACTACGCAATACGCATACTGCATACTGACTAAGTGAATACGAAACACACACTATATACCAAAAATACTCCGCTCCCTAAGACTACATAAAACAAGTACTAAAATTTTACAGAAAGTTTCATTCCCGTGGACCAAACGAAGAAGATGCCGGCAAGAATGATCCATGCTTTTCTATAGTATTTGACGACGAACCGATAAAGGGAAAATGGGATTCCACTGACGGTATCCTGATTGTTGAAATGTAGATCACGTATTTGGTCAGTTACAGTGAGCTGGATTGGTGTGCAGGATTTTTCCAGTTGGTGCCCGATGGAAAGCGGACATTTGTCGGCACAGTGTGTTTTGAGCCTCCTGTGCCGGGCGATGTGGCTCCCAGTGGGTTTGAGGGCGCTGCTCGGGCGCCTGACCCCGTCCAACACCAGGATGGCAGCTGGTCGCAAGTGGGCCCGCCTCTGTTCCGTGGGCTGGCGTATTCCGGAAAACCAGGAGGTAAATTATTGATATTACGGATATTTGTTTATGTTACTACGGATCTCTAATTATTTACATTACGGATATGTGTGTATTCATATGCGACATAGAGTAAACATACCAGCAGCAACAAATGTCTGGACTCGTTTACATAATAAAAGGAAGACTACCACTAGTTTACAGGATTCTACGTAATTAATGGCGGAATTACCAAATGCTTATGCGTGTTAATGTGAGTTATAACAATTATCTGACGTTCTCATTACGGATGATAACACTGGATTGACCAAGGAATACTTATTTGCTATTTCTGTTGCTGTTGTAGAGCGGATCAAAGCGGTTTAAGGAGCAAACTCATCCATGATACTTCTATCGATCAGTGCTTACATTGTCTTTCCATATTTGGACCGGCATGGAATCGATACGCAAGCAAAAAGCAATTGTTTGTACTCGTACTTCTGCATGTATACGGTTGAAGTGCTTCTATAAGGTGAATAAAGCGGATAGCAAACCGGTTACCGTAATTTAATGCCTCTGATCTTTGGTCAAAGTTTTGTGTAATACATTCTCAATACGAGAGGGCACAGAAATGCTTGGAATTACAAAATTATTGACTTAAAAGTTCAAAACGGTTTTGGGTGCTTGTAAGGCATTCACAGCCCGCTCTCGGAGCCCCAGAGTTTCGTTCGCAAAAGAGTTCGTAATCTAATACTTTCGTAAACTGGAAGATCAGTATAAAAGCGCATCATCGTGGCACTTTCAATATCCGTCACCGTTGCACTGTTTGTCAGGATATACGATCTATCATCCTACAACGCAAAAAGGAAGATTGCAGTTTGACCTTTGGAAAATTTTCCACAAAAGATAAAAAATCATGATATAATATGTATCGTGCAAAAATGATGTAGCGCTATATGATATATACATATAGTATACCTGACAATGTTGCACATCGTTGGAATGTGGGAGCATGAATGCTAGTATATCTGTTAAACACTCCTTTCCAACACATTGCGTTTTTCTATTATCCCGTGTCACAATTACGTAGAAATGTGATGGATAATGGATTTCCGATTTTTTTGTACTGAAAAAGATATATGACGTTACAATGGATAGCATAGAATTGGCAATGTCTTGCTTCGGTATATAAGTAAGTTGAGATAGCCTTACTTTTCTGTATCGGCAACGCCATACGGATATTGATGATCAAACAACGGTCCCAGTTGGACATTTAATTTCCAACCATGGTCAATCCACCCGTTCACAACGTTCCAAAAGCTCTTCCACACACCGTTACGAAAATTATCAAACATGGGAATCATATTAGAGATTAACTGGATATTGTTAATTCCTGACAAACGTGTGCCTGTTAAGAAGCACAACATTTTAATTATCCCAGAATAAGCAAAGTTCACAAAACGAACTGTGATTTTTTTATAGTATTTCACCTGATGGCACCAAGTTTGCTGGTTTAGTCCCGAACGAAGCATTTCTGAGAGCTTGACAAGTCGGTTTATCTGAACTTACTAACCGGACATCAGTTCGTATGCAGTCCAGACTTGGAGGATTTGTAAGCTGTAAGATTAAGACGAAAGGTCACTCATAAATTTATTTCAACTGACTCCTGTCTCAGAAAACACGGCTGCGCAACTCTTTTACTTACTGTGCGAGTGCTGTTCGGCTGAATGCGGAAGCTGCTCCAGATCGGCCTTTGTCTGGCAACATCGTAAGCAACAATGTAGTCTGGATTAACCAACAATCGAATCGCTGATTCTTCACTCGACTCAAACTGGGGGACCCCAAAAGGCGCATGATAGGCAAGAAGCGCAACACTTTCCGCATTTGAAATATTCAGTGACATATCAGCTTCTGCCATACTTCCCTGATGAAGGCAACATGAAGAAGTAAAACGATTTTTTCACAAGAAAAAGTACCGATATTTCTAATTAATATAATTATGCTATTAGTACGCAAGTTAACGTAATTATACATGGGGAAGAATTACTATTATTACATATTATTACTATTAAGGAATTACTATTAAGGAATGCGAATTCCCTTATATAATTTTAACAAAAAGTGCGTTATTTTTAACATACCGTAAAACAGGCTTGAGCTGGCGAGCAGGTATCATCTCCTCTTGAAGCGAATTCCGCTTCTGATTGTGGGAAAATTGGCACATCCACTTTCGACTTGCTTACGGTGGGAGCGGATTTTCGCTCTTTGAGTAATCCATGCAAACTACCGTATGTTCCATTGTTTGACGCTGGCGAAATGTTCAGCAGATCACACATAAAGTTATACAGCTCCACATTCCGAAATGGCTCAATTTCAACGGCCGATTTAATAGATGGTCCCATTGCCATAAAAATTGACTGTTGACTTTCATATAAATTGTCGTACCCATGTATACCACTGACGCCGGTACAGGTGTACATCGGGTTCTGAGATGCATACACCGATGAGCGCGCTTTCAGATTCATTACCAACGGTTCCACGCGTGGTGTATTCGTATAGTGGAGTCTACGCGGGAGCTGTTCTTTTTTGTATATTTGATAGGGAGGAAAAGAACTGGACGGTGTCTTAGCTGGGCATTGTAAAGCGGCATAAAGGTCATCAGCGGCAAACGGCGAGGTTTCCTTCAGTGATATACGCGCGTGCACGCCCTGTCAATACAAAATGATAATGAAACATTTGTCTGCTATGCCAGCTGCCGCAAGTCCATTATTACACCGTAAACAAAAATATCGTTGCTGGTAAGGGAAGACGTTGCAGAGTTGTTTTGCAGCATCGGGACAAGATAAAAAGCTTTATCGCAGTCAGCATCTTCCATCCCGTGGTCGGAGACCAGGATAATATTGACGCAAGGCAAAATGTCTCGGTCGTGCAGGCCTTGCATAAGTCGATCGAAGACAGAGTTCATCCTGTCTAAGGAGGCATTCACCTGCGGGCTCTGAGTTCCATAGCGATGCCCTAAACAAATTGAGGACAGGGACGAATCTGTAATTTACTTTCCTCTATTTGTCATTACCTAAAATACTCCTGCTATAATCATTTGTGTTCTACAATTGCTGGATGTGAGGTTTGTGTTACCCGAACTTGTGTACCATGTGTAAATGTGCAATGGAGGCGATTTATTGATATACTAATAAGTCTAATTTGTACCGTGGTTCGTTACTCGGATGACTGGACCACGCTGATCGTAAATATGCTTGCTAGTTGTTTGAACCTTAGAATTAAGCTACTGTAGAATACCCATTCACCTCCGGAATCTGGCTCTTCGAAGTACAGCATCGTGACATCTGGACGGAGGTCATCCGGAGAAGATAACCAGGACAATACCGCGTCGACACGGTCTTCGAAGGGAGTGGAACCGTTGAACGGTAGATACACGTTCGGCCGGTATCCTTGAATTTCAGCCTGCATAATTTACTTTTAATTAGTTTATAGCTCTCAGTATGCAACAATACATACATGTTAGCGCTACAAGTCATTTAAATTCAAAGGAGACAGGACGTATATATAGATAAAGGGATCAAAGGGTGCTGTATCGATAAGCTAGAAAATACAAACATATATAAGAGCGTAGTTGGCATACCTCCGTTCCCACCCAGAAATAAGCATTAGCGCGTTTGCCCTGCTTTCTCGCAGTGACCCATATCGGTTCTCCGTTCCACCAGCGTGACTGTCCGACACTCTCCGAACTCTTGTAGTTAAACTGCGCCTTCAAGATGGGATCATAGAATGTATTGTCCACAATACCGTGAGATTCGGCGAAGAGACCTGTGGCGATGCTGTAGTGATTGGGGAAGGTGATGGCCGGATGGGTGGGCCGCATCGATGGAGCCGACACTCCGCAGGAGCGAATGCGCTCCAGGGCGGGCGTCAGCTGTCGCGACAAATATTCCGCGCGAAATCCATCGGTTGATACGACCAACAACGGAGGCCGCTCCCGATAGCTGAAGAGATAAAAAATTTTTGCCATGCAGCATTTAAATCCACATTAACCATTTATAACAGACAATAGCCATTCAAATAAAAAAATTCCAATGAGGACTTAACTCAAAAATTAAACTTAAAACTGTAAATGCAGACGTAGGCGCTGAAAATTTTAGGCGATAAGCGTAACTGCAGTATGCAGATGATATAACAAAGTTTTGGGATCATTGTTTCACCTAGCAAAATAGAAATGCTGCATAAAGTGAAGGGATTTAAGCAAAACTTGTAAAAATGTCATAAGCGTTTTTCTAGCGATAACATTAATACGTAGACTGTTTTTTACCCTTTAGGGCATTGGCTATTATCCGGTGCCGTGCATGGTGTTTTTCTCCACGAAGTGGCATTTCCAGCGGATGTCACGGTGGTGGAAGGCGCCGTTGACGTTTCATTGCTCTCCGATATGGAAGTTGCAGGATCACGAGGAATGAATAACCCGATTATTAGTCCAATTAAAAGGAAAACGACACAGGCAATAATAACTAATAAAATTCGTATCCATTTTCGTTTTTGCTAAAAAGAAAACAATATCCGTTCGTACAAAGCGTACGCCAGATCTGCAAACCGCTGCGTCTGGATTGAAAAAAATCGAGTATAAGTAGTCTTCATTGTAAACAGGTAGTAATATTTTATTGTGTTATCATCGTCTTAAATTTAACGGGGAAGCGTTACGGCCATTACCTTTCCTCGTGTCCAGTCGGGATGGGTGTGCAGATGATTCCCACTTAGCGCAATCGCTGTCGGGTCATTTTCCAGATCATGAGGCATTTTACGTAAAACTGGAGTGCAATGTTGCCTAAACTGCTCTTTCAGGGTTTCTGACAGACACCACAAGACAGGAAATTAGATGCATAACTCGCTGATTTGACACTTCCAGATTACACACCGTTTGGCACGAACTTGTTGATAATAACACTGGCGTGGTAAGAAAATTGCTGCCTGCGACAAAGTAAAGTATCAATCGATAGGAGGTCTATCACACTGATAATAGTTACGTGCTTTATCATAGTGCTGTATAGTTGACCCTGCCTAATTAGTCGTAGTAATTATGATTTTTGATATTCCATCAGTACCAAATCCGATTGGGAGTTTAAGAAATTATCGTATGCCGCGCACGTTTTTGAAAACAAAGCATAGCGCATTATTTATTGTAATACTTCAAGCACTTTTGCAATTGAGGTTAGTCAGGTTACATAGATCAAGTACTCGTACTTGTAGTTCTAATTTATATTTTTTAATTGATTGGTCGTACCGATAAAATTACTATCATAGTACTAAACTATTCAGAGAACGAAACAACCGGTGCATCAGCAGTGGAGCACTTCCTTTTCCTACCGGAATCAGATGAAGTGTCTGTACATGCATACTTATCGCACAATACTATATGTATCTCCATTATCCATAAAGTACATATATCTATATAACCGATATAATAGTACCGTACAGGATCTTTAATTTACGCCGCTATGTCCAGGATTTCCGGCTGGCCGTTAATAGCTCATCCGTTTTATCAGGAAAGGGTGCGTAAATCTGTTAGGTGCGTAAAATTTCCAGTGACAACATGTAAACATAAATACTTGAATTTCCTCATTTGTCAGGAATTTTTTTTGTGCAAACCAGGCGCCTTTTTGGGCTACGTAAATGCAGTTTTAAAATAGTTGAACCACTAAAGTCCACAGGCTATGAAGAGTAGTTACAGAAGCCGAACTGGGGCACCCAATTTTATAAATAAGCAACCAAAAAGGCAAAGATTGTACAATGTACACTACTCTGAAATCTAATTATTAGCATACCTAATTATACGATCTTCTGTTCTTCGCTACTTCGACAATTAATGGCATACTTTATGTTCGGTACGAACTGTCTACTCGTAGTGTGACAATAAAGTTAGAATAAACGAGCGCATTTGTCGATAGGCTGATGTCCAGTAAAGTCAACTCTCGCTAATCAGGTGTACGGCACCGGAAAATAATGACGTGCATACGTGCGTATGTAAGATAAGACCGTCTGCAATCTGCTTCTTGGTGCGCATATATTATTTCCGTAATATGTAAACATGCTTAAGTGTTAGTCATCCAAAGCCATTAAGCAATCGCTTAAAACCATTAAGCACAGGCAGTCATACACCGCGAGTGGGCTACAAATGATATATTGCCGCTATGTGGATAACCGTAAACATAATTCCTCCTCAATCTCAAGACAACGAAATACCAGATCAAAATCAAAGACACAATTTTAAGACAGCTACAACCGAAGAGAAGCAAAGTCTAATTTTCGATTGACCACTGCGATCAAACATTTTATGCTAAACTTGTACATCGCTGTGCAAGCGGATATGACTAGTACATCCGAGCATCACATGGAGGAACCGTACTAACCATGATTTTTATTTTGAATACTTCTATTTGTAATGAAATCATCTGCATTGAAACATAATATTATTATGTGCTAACTTGTAAGTTCTAAAAAAGCATATTCAGAAACAACAACTGCTAGTAGTTAACCGCCTCACAACATTTTCTGCCTGGATTTCGAAAATTTGCATTACAAAAAAAAACATAAAAATAACTTTTCCGGATGTAGCAGTAAACTCGCAATCTCTCTGCAAAAAGGTATTGAAAAATAAACATATCTTCACCACCAGCGCAAACTAGCTTCTAGTAATTTATCAATTTCCTCTACGTCTGTTCAGACGATTCCGCAGATCGTTTGAGCCGATGCGATTTGGGTTTGAAAGACGATTTCTGAGGTCATTCATCTGCAGCACCGGTGAGCTGCGCACTTGAAGCAGACTGCGCAAATCAAAACCACCCTGCTCGCTGTTTTCACGGAAAATCTTCGGTTCTTGCTCAACTTGCAAATCCGATCTAAAAAATAATTTTATAACTACATAATTACATAAAACAAAAAGACAATAAGGTAAAACAACTAAAAGAATAACAAAGTCCGAACCAATCGACGCTCTACCGCATTATTCGAAAAAATTAATTCGATAGACATTAATCACCTCGCTCTTCGGTATGGAAAATAGCCCTCACGGCGTTCGGAGGCTCCCCCCAAAAAACGGTGATAACCGCGTGATTCACTGGGACGTTGATCCACCTCCAACACTTCTACATTGGCTTCTTCACGTGAATATGGATTGCACAGACCAAATGGTTCATGATCTTCAGATGAGCTGGTAGATATTCTTCGGCCGGAATCTCCGAAAACACTAAAACACAAATTATTTACATCACACTAACTCTACATACTCTAAGCCACAGACATCACAAAAAGATGAATAAAAAAGAAATACTATCGGCACTCGAATGTACCTGCGATGTGAATAACTTGTGGTTGGTTGAGCAGATTTTCCATTGGCATTTCCATACTTTGCATAGTACTGGCTGTATTTTTGTGCATTGGGAGGTTTTTTATCGATTGTGCGGGCGAAGCGCAGTATCAGCTGCTTGGCATGGGCCGGGAGATTCTTGACTACTCGCCATGTGCCTTGTGGCACCGGAATGGGAAACGAAACAACATCCGACAGCAAAACTTCCTCTCCAGTTTGAGCATCACAAAATGTCCCGGTATCGCTCTCCGTCAACGGCTTTTTGGACAGTCTTAACGGCTGAGAAAGATCCTTCAGTGCGCTAGCGGCGGAAATCTCATCGGGAAACGCAACATTGCCTGCAGCAGTGAATAAGTGCAAAATTACAAAATCTGACTGCACAGCAAATTACGAAATCCTGAACGTGTAGCGTGCTGTCTGATAAACTTACAAGATGTATCGTTAACCCACTCCACCCGCTCCGGTTTATATGAAGCAAAATAATTCAGAACATCTTGAGTGCTCATTTCATCCACGCCTCGCACGTGCAGTGTATCCAAACGATATTTTGGAATCATAACTGCAATACAAATAGCACAGCTTCCAGTCAATGAATAACAAAATGCAGAAACTGTTTTAAAAAGAAATCTTCTTCAGTCAAGAACGAGAATTTGTTCAATTTATTCAAGTAACTGTAGAGTGCTGTTAGACCAGAACGAACCAGAACAAGTTTCCAGATCCATTGCTAAACTGCCATATAACGCAGGCAACTTTGAAGCCTCGATCAAAGTTGCAGGTTTGCATGGCGGAGTTTCCACGATCAGCTTTCCTTCAGCCGAAGCATCCTCCATCTCAACATCTCCAGACATCACAACGTTCCTTCCATCCGCATTGACAATCTGACTCTGCAGCGGAGTTGGAGGAAGTGGTCGAGGCTTCGGAGCCGCGCGCTTCACAATGCTGACAGGAGCGGTGATGCGAGTGGGAACCACGACCTGCGATGGCATTTCCAACCCGAATTCAGCAGCCTCCTCTTCGGATACGGACAGGCGCATAAAGTCATCATCATTATTCCGTGGAATGCTATCGGTCCGAGTAACGATCAGCGGATCTTGGCTGGACATTTTCCAAATTCAAAGAGCTTAAAGTCTTAACAGTCCAAATATACACCGAGACACTGGTTGCAGGAATGGAATTTCGTTACACTTGGAGCCCAACTCTATCAACTCTATCTGTTTCTAAATTTTCCGTTCAACCACAGACTGGAAGTTCTTGTCCAATACGGTATCAAGAGAAATCCAGTAAACAGTATTTCTAAACATTTCGTTTCCACTTTCCAAATCACTGAAATCACTTCAAATCAGTGAAAAAAATTAAAATCGGTAAATTATAAATCCAGGCATTTTTCGCCAGTCGCACGATATGATGAGTGCAAATTTCTGAATCTTTAGGCTTTACTCCGGAGTCCAACATTCCAATACATTCCAATGCTCTGGTCAGTCTTGTCCCTCTTGTGTATTTTTCTAACTGGTAAGGGCTGCAAAAAAAATAAATCATAAATTTAATTTTTAAAACAGTGAAGCTATCGATTAATAGCATTTAATAAAAAATGAATTACGAATGCCAAAGCGGCTTACATTTTTGCTGTTTACTGCAAGACTGAGTGCAATCACAGTAATAAATAAAGTTCAGATTTTTATGCAGCGCTTCGCTCGCAGCCTCACTCAAGGTGAAATTTGACGTTGATGATTTGGGTAACAAATTTTTTAATAACTGAGTTATGTACAGTCGTTTTTTTGCAGTTCCAAGGGATTGCGATCATCTGAAGTTTCTGAAGATTTTAACCAGGTGACAGCTACAAATCACGTTGATTGAAATTTGAAATTTGAACTTGATACGCATCTGCCGTATTTGGTTCAATTTCGAGCCAGTTCGAGGCTGAGTTTCGCTTCGATGCAGGCGTGCATATGAATCTGAGTTGTTCCGGTCACCGAAGTCTGAAGTTCTGAACCTTCCCGTTGTGACAACTAGATTCAGGCGCTAGGCGGCAGGCGCACGCCGCTTAAATTTAAAACCTTTCGGATCTTCCGATTTCCGCAGTGACTCACTTGTCAGACGAATCAGTGGAGCACGCCTGTGGCCCTGTATGACTTTTCTTATCTCTGTTTCTATGCAAATGGACTGGGGCACGTGGGATCACTTTTGTCATTAATGTTGATGAAAGGATTCCATTTTCATTTGATGTAATTGATAGAGCTTTTTCGCCAAAAATGTGTAATATTGTTACTTTTGTTATCCGATTTTAATTCACTCGGCTATCTGCAATCTTGGTCGAATTTTTGACCGGAAATCAGCTGTCAGACAGGCTGAAGCAGATCAGGACAAAGCGCTTGTGTTGCAGTTTACTCAAGATCGACGGTTGCAACTTCAGGTACTCGTGGGAGCTCGCACAAAGTGTTCCCCATGAATTTAAAGAACTCAAACCCTGCTCGAATTTATATAGACTGTGCTTGTGTCTTTTGCAGAACGAAGTATATTGCATGCATAACTTTTCTTATTTTGGAAAACCAGAACGGAAAGGTTTGATTATTATTGCTGCTGAGCCAGCTGATAATTAATCCGCCAAACTGATAACGACTGACTAAACCTGAACTCACTGTCCTGAAGTCACTAAACTACGGAGGTACGTGCAACATGTAAGGAATTAGCACTGCTGGCTATTAACAGCAGTAATGAGAAGTACAATTGCCTTATATAAATATCAGCCGAAAGTTGAAACTAAACCTGCGCAGTGGTCAGGTACAGTAACTAAAGCTAACAAGGAGTTACTGTTACAGTTCTAGAAGCTACCAGAGTAACCTGAGAAAATAAACGTACAGTATGTATAGATATTATGTACCGCCGTAGCTGCACTTTGAAGTCTAATGCAGAAATTAAAATTAAGGTAATTTAAAAACTTAAATAATTTTGACGATCTTTAGAGGTGCACCCTACAATATACAGTATCTATATACAGTAGATGTAATCTACAATTGTATATAATATACACATTAATTACACCGTGCTGTAGATGTGCATTTGTTAAGTACCTGCCGTCAGTGCCGTGCATATATAGGCTGCAGTTAAATTAGTTTGATCCGTCATCGATTTGAATTAATTTTATGGTGCTTTTCTGAGTTATTTCCAAGCAGTTACGAGTTACGTTTTAGGAAGTCTTACGAAATGTCCGGTTTTTGCTTCTTGCACACTTTTTTGCTGGAGTAAAATGTCAAACTATTTGAGATGGTATAGTATGTTTTTACTACTAGTATATGGATAATTTTTACTATTCATATAGTATATTTTTACTATATGAATTTACGCAGATATATGAATATTTGCGTAAATTCTGAACGGAATTTGTGAGCTCTGAATCGCTTAGTATGTGTAAATTACGATTAGTTTTTTTGTTAACGCCAAGTTGTTGAAAAGTGAAGATGCTCGTTGATGCAAGATGTCGGATTCGCCGGTGCCGGCGACTCGGTGCCGGAACATTGCGCAACATCGTGCATGGCTGTAGCATGGTCATCCATTACGCTGGCTGTAGATAGAGTACTCGTACTGTAAGTAGTCTGTAGAATGTAGACCTGTATTTTGTGGGACGTCTGCGCGCTGGTGCTCAAAAGTCAAATGTTTGTACTGTATTGATCCTGATGGTAGTATTCGCGCTTTGTGTTGAATTAAAGTACTTGTTTGGTTTTACTAATATTCCATACGTACAGACCTTAAAGTACGTACTCTACGCTGTATCTATGTAAACTCATGGAACTATAAGTATGGGGTACGCGAGAAGCAGGATGAGAATCAGGAAGCGCGATAAGTAGAAAGGAGCATAATCGCTCAGCAGCGCATTTTTCAGTAGAGCGTGAAATTGGTCCAGGGGGACCGGGTTGACCACAACGACTTAGCAACGCTTTCTTATAGGGAAAACGGTGCTCTACCACCCTGTGAAGCCGGTGGTCAGTTTGGTCATCATACGGTTACCCACGGGTCAAAAAACGCAATCACCCAGTATATTTACCATTTAACGATTTAAATGTTTTTATTTATTTTAACCACTCATCAGCTCCGTGGACGAAATGTTGAACTGAGATAGTGGACCCTGCAATTACATTAATTGATCCGCTATTAGATGCTAATTATTTAACAGCCACAATTTTATAATTAATTAAAACCATTACAGTTGCTGTGTTTCGTTTTTCTCGTTTTTCTCAAAAAGCATTTTTAAGGACAAGGCTACTTTAACCGCGTGTCCTGTGGCTGTTTATGGTCCGATGTTTTTTATTTTTTTTTGTTTGAAAGATTTCAAGGAGATCTACACGGAAACGTTGCTAAGTCAAATCGACCGATTTTTGCGATTATGCTCCTTTCTACTTATCGCGCTCATTTATTTTAATTTAATTTATTATTGATGATCTGCGCCCTACGGGAAGAGAAGCTATGCAGGAATACGTGTATCATTATATTATGTGTGTCGTGTATACGTATTTGACCAGCAGGGTCAAGTTGTTTGCGTTCTTACCTGAATTCGTAGTACGGTGATAGTTGGAAATCGGAAAGGGCAGTTAGTAATACGTTGCATTTGTTAGCATTTTGAGGTATCGATTAAAAATAAACGAATGTGACCATCAGATGATCAGGGTTTATGTATTATGTGTTATTAGTTTGTGTATTATGTGTATTTTGTGTATTACAGTGACTGTTAATGTTTTCATCGCGTTCTTGTACGGTTGTACCACACTACACTAATATTAATGGTTTATAATGCGATGTTGGTCACGGATTCACGGTGCGTGTCGTTTGGGTAGTCATAAGCGTCTGACAAGCATTAATCAAACGCTAGAAATTGTAAGTCTAATTGCAAGAATCTGGGGGTAGGAGTTGCATAATAAAATGCGTGAAACAATGTCCGCGGTACGTCGGCAGTCAAAAAGTATTTCGTAGCATAACGGCTGGCCATTTCTACCCGTAACACGCCTCACGAACAGGATCGTTTTCAGATAGTCCGCGCCTACTGTTTCGTAGTGTTTATGGTGCGTTATGCAAATTACAAAATGCGAAATTTATACAGTGATATAGCGGGAAGTCGGTTTGCGCAAGAATAGGCCAGATTCAGCATTTAAGACTATAAGGCTTAAAATGTTATGTTGATCCATGTTATGTTTAAAATGTTATGTTGATATATAAGGCTTAAAATGTTATGTTGCCTGCAGTGTTCCTAGATTCGTTTCCGAAACATTGGTCTTCTGTTTCTCTCGTAGGTGCGATTCTTTGAAGGAGATTTTCCTGTCGTAAACAATTGTGTTCGCTATGTCTGTCAACTTGGATAACAGCTCTGTTTTGGAAGCTTTGGGCCGATACTGCAGAGAAGGAGAATTTGATTCTGGTGTACTGAACAGGATCATCTTTGACAACCGGATTGATACCGAGGCCCTTGTCGGAATGGCAGTTTCATCGATCAATCCGGCAACATGTGTGTGGATGCCGGCAGTAATGCACGAATTGTGCAGGCTCTCCGAAGCGGACTACTATCCAGACGAAGGTACATGGGACCGGGCTGTTGCTGGCGCTTTGCCAGCTGATGCAACGCCACCTTATCCCATATGGCCGACCATTCACGAAAGTGTCTGTAATTATCTTGCTGGACAGTTACGACGCCGCCGCTATTTGGTAGCGATCGCGAATATTAGCAACAGTGCAGCGCACGACTGTATCGCGGTGTTTTTCGTTGACCTGATGGACCCATCAGTGGGATGTTTTATGCCGAATGACTATATTCGTAATGGACTTGGACTACATAAAGATCGTCTGTTGAGTGCTCAAAAGTATTTCATCAGTGCATTTGGAACTTTGTCCCGTTATTGTAACGAAATTGTAGAAGGGTAAGCCGTCAAAATTACCGAATGCAAAACGTGTACTTAATTGTAATTAAGTACCCTTTCACTACTGGTAGGATGACCAGGATCATGGCAGTGCTAACGATAAATAAAACTGTCTTTATAGTTCCACCATGCTATGATAAACTGTATTATTTTAATATTATTAAGTACCTTAAAGTCGACACCTTTGCAGTTGAGATACGTTATTGACAATTTTTCTCTAGGTCGGACTATTTTCGAAGCGGGGACATCGACTTTACCAGCGATAAGTTGAAGGTAGAGAGCATTTTGTACAGTGTACAATCGATTATCGAGTATATTTAGGAATTTTCGATGAAAAGAAAATACTTATAATTAATTAACGTTATCGACTAGACACGGTTGGTTTCATACTGTTCGTAGTTTGCTGAAAATTTCGATCTGTGTTCGACCTTTTGATTTTGTTGTGGTAGGTCGTGAGAGTTGGCGTTGTGTTTTGTATCTATAATCTCTCTGTGCAATTTTACAGGGTTCCGCAAATTTTTATACCTTGCATGATTTGAACAAGATTCTGGACTTCGATCGCACTGATATACCCACTTTGTTGGCTGTCGCTGTGTTCAGACTGACCTGTGCACCTGGTAGCGGCGACAATGATCTCCGGAAGTGCTTTTTTGATGCGGTTCAGCAGCTGTACAAAATCGTTAGCTGGGCGACTGCTTCTTTTCGCACGAGTGCAACAACTGCTCGTACCCGACCTAGAAATATTCCTTGTGCACCCATTTTTGACGCAGTTTTCAATACCACTTTCCGCCGACGAAAAAAGTCACCTTTGTTGTCCACTCCATTGGAGCCTTTCAGGATTCTTGGTGACCGAAACAGTTCGCCTCCACTGAATGCTGGCTGTAGGTTCTTTTCTTGAAGCTATCGACACGTTCATTAAGTACAGTACATAGTCTAAATACCTGAGTGTATTGTACTGTTCGTGTGCGCGCATCTGCGATATAAGTAGCGTGTTTAGAATTTTTTGAATACGTGGTAATTACCCGTAAAAACGAAATAATTTTGTTTTTGTTGCTTCTGAACAGCAACTTATTCCGAGCCAATAAATATTATGCTATTGGGGTATGCGAAAATATCTAACGAAAATAAAATCCTTGTGCTGAGGCAATTCCAATCGGAAAACCTGTTTTGATTTGCTTAGAAAACAGCCGTTACAGAGATTCATTTTGATATGCGATACTGTCGTAAAGTATTGCGTTTTATTTGCAGATGCACCTGAATTTAATTATCAGCGAGGACCCAAAAGGCATCCCGATCGTCGCCAGTCTTCCCGCCCGACAAAAAAGTTAGTCTTATCTTGGTTTTATTTAGTTGTCTGGCGTTCTTTACTAACGGAATACTATATGATTTAGGCCCACAACTACGTACTGTCACTACTGCCCATCGTCCCGCCCTAAACCAGATCAAAAAGGTCGCACATCAATGTCTTCGAATATTAAGCGCGTTACTGCAGCGAAAGTTGTTGTAGGGCCTTCTTCCAAGGACAATGATGCCGGCAGATTCCGCAGTGGCAAAGGCATTTCGTCCGTTGACAGTCAGCGCATTCCTTCCCGACCGCGTGTGGAATATACGACCGAAGAAGGCAGGTTTATAAAAGTTTTCATTGATTGTCGTTTTTATCAAGGGTGATTGGTACAAATCTTTACCATTCTCATGAAACTAATAAACCCCATGGTATCACTACCTTGTTTGTATAAATATGAAAATCAGGTGGTGAAGGTGGTGTAATGTGTATCACTCGAGTCGCTCAGGGGCATCGTAACGCAGCCGCAGCGGCTTGCACAGAACTGACAAAAGTAAACAATGCCCTGGTAGTTCGTTAATAGGTTCCCGAAGGTGAAAACTGGATTAAAGGGTCCGTGTTATGGGTAGGGGATTCCTATACAGTTTGCAGCTTACAGTTAGGCTTAGCTTGAATTAGCTTTTTCATTCTCAAAATTTATCTTGCAGATCACGTTATGTATCTGGTCTGCAGTTAGGCCGATGGCGTCGGGATTCGCAGAGTCATGTAATTCGAAGTTGGATTTCGAACACATTTGTTTTATATTATGTTACTCTAGAAAGAAATGTGGTCTTTTACTTATAATATTTTGGGTGATTCACTAAAGATTTCCTTATAATTATGTGCATAGGTCTGAGGTCGTTTTATGGTTATTTTTTTTACACCTTCCGGGTTGCGAGCACGAAGGCCCGAACTGAAGCAGTTGCATGGATGTCGATTTGGTCGTGATTGAAGCACGGGCTAAGGTCACGTAGAGGTGGCATATTTTCTGCAAGTGCATTTTGTTGGCAAGTTGTGCGAGTGTGTTACTACGTGGTTTTGCTAGAATTGCTACTGTAGTTTGCAGTGATTGTTATCATTATAGTAGATGCTAAAAATAATATTTATTGTGTTCAGGAATGAGAAATGCCGCGGGCATGTCTGCCAATGCGGATAAAAACTTTGATCGACCACGCATTTGTATGCAGCAAACACTATTCAGCTCACGATCATTGTGCCGTTTCATCGTTTATTAGCCGCTTAGTCGAGAAATAGCAAAACGCTTTTATGACCTTGTTAGATGGCACCATAAAAGCCTTGAAACAGACGTGAACCTCTTTTTAATATTACCATTAGCTTCTTTATGTTAGTTTTCGTGGTTGAATTTCATAGCCCATTTGTTCATCGACTGCCATAAATTTTACAGCTTTTTCACTTAGGATAAAAGGGTGTGCATTTTATTGAGTTATTGTTATACTTCTGTTCTCAGTTCCATCTGTGGACTTCCAAACTGCTGTGGAAAGTGAAGGAGAATCTACCATTTCGTTTGGCCACCAATCCCCTGATTCGATAATACACCCGGAAATGTTGAAGGCTGATACATATGTATGTGCTGTTCAGAGGAGTGTGTCAATCCATACTCCAAACGTACGGCGTGCCCATGTGCGCCCAGCCGTGCTTAGTTCTCAATCGCCTTCACCCGAGAAACGCCGCACCACTCCTTCTGAGCCACTGCCAGCGATGGCGATAAAGTCTCCACCCATTAAAACTGCTGATGCGCATAACGATAAGTTCAGTACTGGAATTTCGACCAGCGAGCAGAGTGCTGTGCCTCGTGCTCAGATGCAGTTTACAGGCAAGCAGCAAAATCCTCGAGTGGTGGATACAGAGCAAAGTCTTATTTATTCCCTTAAATCTGCTGGTGGTGGACTTGCTTCTAGTGCTCCTGAAGCGCTCCCAACAATGCCAAAGCATACCTCAAGCCACTCCGTGCACGTGCCTACTGTTGTGGATAAACTGTTATCTAAACCAGCGCAGGTAAATAATAATCAAATCTGTGATTTTCCGGAAGTTGGAAAATCTGGCGACGGTAAGAAGAATGGAACATCGTCAAACACCGAGAGGGCTTCAGCGGAAACCAGCAGATCTCCACGCACAGGGTCATCTCATTCTGTGAAAGCAACCACACCGCTGGAAAGTGGAACTTCTAAGAATACCAGTGAGACGGTGGCCAGCTGTCATTTGGACTCTAGTCAACCAGTGCCGGTGGCACCACTTGTCAATAAACCGGTTGGTGGTGTGCGATCTAAAGATGGGCGGCCAGTTGCCACTCAGTCAGCTGTGCCGACTACAGGCACGAAGACATCTGGTTCACATCAGCCACCTGTGCCCGTTAATAATCGCGTGAACAAGATTATCCCACCCGTTAGTGCTTTACAATCGAAAAGTGCTTCTAAAGACGGTGATAAATCAAGCGCGCCCGTTGCGGTGTCCGGAGCGGCCACTAAACGTCATCCCGAACGGAATATTTCCAGCGAAGCGAATTCGCCTACTAAGCCGGTAACTAGTTCGAGGGCTGCACTGCCTTCCAACAGTCAGACGGTATCGTCCAGTCCGAAACAAAGCATCTCCATCCGCAGTCCCACTGACAGCACGACGCTGAAAGCAAAGGAAAGTCACAAAATCGATATTGTGCCGCAGAAGCGTACGGAAGTATGTCGGACAACTTCTGCATCGCGTCCTGCTACTGGTGGTATTAGCTCTGTACCGGAGAGAACAAGCAAAACGAGACTTGTTGACAAGGAAGCTGCTCTGCCCATTATCGACGTGCAGTCAACGGGGAAACCGGACAGCAAGGAGAAAACTTCGACAGTCGGAAGAAGCGGGATTGCGCTAAAGGCTGCTGCACCGATATCGTCCGGAAAATCCTCCAGTGGTCTTCTTCAGAATAAAACGGCTAAGCAGAGTGAGACACCTGGTCACGGTGCGGGAAAGGTCAGCCTAGTCGCTACATTATCCGATAAAGAGAATACAGTCGTCGGTTATGCTGATGTAACCGGCACGGAAACGCATATAGCATCGCAACAGAACAGCAACATATCCTGTGATACTGCTGCGGGCCAGTCCATACCGGTGATTATCACGAAGAATCCCGGAATGGTGACAAATCGGTCAGAGAAGCAGGCCACCGACATGTCAGACTCCACTGGGTCAGACTCTGCTGGGTCAAACGGACCTTTAGCTTCCCCGGGAAACAGCGTGAAGCAGCCTGCAACAGCGCATGCTGATAATGGAATTGATGTATCTAAGGATTCCTCCCTCCTACTGGCCGGCACACATAGCCCAAAGGTTGATGCAGCAGCGGCCACGACGAGCACCGGAGAATCAAATGTAAGCAATACCCCTGCGCAATTAAAGAAACCCGAAGTGACCGGCACTGTGACTGCCGTTTCTCTCGATGGACACGGTGCTCAGTCAGCCTCCGTCATGCCTTCACCGCTAAAGAATATGGCCAAGAAACGTGTGAACAATCCTTTGCTAGTAAAAAAGAGGCTTGACACCCTCTTGGAGGGTCCTGTGACATCCTCCGAAGTGGTCCACTCTCCCAAAAGAAAAGCGGAGTCATCTGGGACTATTACGAAGAAACAAGCATCCGGAAGTCGTGTGCTACCTGATCTGGAAGGCGGGTTGGCTTCATCGGTCACTTCACAAAGTTCTGGAGTAGCGGCGCGTCTAAGTTCTCAACAAGAGAGTAATCAGTCTATTGTTCCCACCTTCGACAACACGGGAAATGCTGCTGCACCCAGGACTCCGAGTCGAGACGCCGTGGGTACTGAAGATTGCAGTCACCATTGTGAGCAGCAAGTTGCTTTGACATTGGAGGACAGGAATGATGGCACTGCAGCCTTGACTGATAATGCTGGAGTACAGCCTGTCCAAACGGTTGGAGTTGCGACTAAATCAAGTGAAGGATCCCAGAGCTACACTTCGGTTGCGGTGCCGAACACTGATGCCCTCTTGCGGAAAAGTAAGTGTCACTGACATTAAAATGCATTGCACAATGTGTGGTCTGATGCTCTAGGAGGAGGAACCCTTCCCGGCACTGCTCCGGAAGCTGCGGATATGGAGAAGAAAACGGCTGCGAAGTCGGTTGTGCATAATACCGGCCCAGCCTGTGGATCGTCGACTGTAGCTGTGAAGTTGTCCACAACGGCCAAGCCGGTTCGAAATGCTTTATCGAACATTACTGCTGGCCAGAGTGTTGACCAGAAAGCGTCTGGAAGGAATTCGGTATTGGCTTCGACCACTTCGAAACGGGGGCGGTCGACCTCACTGACTAAGAAAAGCGTAACTACAAAGAATTTGGACGAGGAGAAAGGTCAGCCCCTCCCCAAGAAAAAACTGGAGCAGACGGGATTGGAGAACGACAGATCGAAATCTGGAAGGAATTCTTCTCGAGAACGACGTCGAGACGATATCTCATCGTCGTCGAGAAACCGTCAGGATCGACAGGTGTTGTCTTCGAATGCACCCCGGTCGGCTCGACCGGATGCTCGACATGGTCGACATTCGCCGCCACGTGATCGAAAAGCCCGACGCCGGTCGTCATCGTCATCGCACGAGCGACAGGTTTCGGGAAAAGAACGAACTAGCCCACGTCATGACAACCACATTCGAAAGGACGGGGTCTGCTCGGTCGATGTCCGACGTCAGCGTTCGCGCTCGAGGTCTTGTAGTCGAAAGCGTAGTGGAGATGGGAGTAAGAGTATTATCGCTAAAAACCCTTCACCCGAGCCTGCTTCTCTAAATGACTCAGCCACCGGATCACAAAGTAAACGGCTGGATCGATGTGTTTCTATTGCTTATTCGGATATTTCCGAGGATGATCAGTGTTTTCCATCTTTATCTGCAGATATTATAGGTCACGTTGTTGAGCCGACACAAGCGGCAGGAGGACATTTCGATGCTAACAGCAGTTTTGTGGAAAGTGAGCCCGATATCTTTGACGAACCTGGCGTGGTTTTGGAGCATGAGGAGTATCCATTGCCGAACAATCCCGAAGATGGTGCGAAACTTAACCGGTGCGACCCGAGTCCGGTTGTTCCAGCTACGGGAATGGACGAACAGGTGCACGAATTCAGTATAACTGACGGCGACACTCATAGTTCGGGGAATGTTAAGACCGTTTATAATTTTGTTTGGCATAAGGATCTTCCGGAAATGATCAGCACTTTTGAGTTGTTTAATGGAAATGTTGTTAGGGATACTGATGGGCATGACTCTGGTTGTGAATGTCCTAAGGATGGTTTGATTAATATTTCCGATGTGGTTTCAGCGATGGGAGAGGAATGTGGGTTATATGTGCCTTTTGTTTTAAATCACCAGGTTGACGAGCAGATGCATGAAGCTACAACTGCTGAGAATATCCCGAAGACCATGACTGAGAAAAAGTATCGGTGTAAATACTGCAAAGAGAACGATTGCGTTGCCATACTTGCTGAGCGGCATGTTATCATGGACCATATCCGGCACGAGGCTATGACGCGGACCGGATCGCCTGTGTTCCCTTATAAATGTGCTGGATGTGGGGAGTGGTATCCGACGTTGGGTATTGTAGGGTTCCATGTAATAGAAATTACTGCGGGGAATCCGGAACATTATCGCTTTAAGTGCTTTGATGTGGCTTGCTGTGGATCAGCAGAGTTCCGCACCAATGATATTGAAGAATTTCGTAGACATTGCGTCCAGTTCCATGGTAGCGATTTTCAGATGTCGAACGATGCGCTGCTGGCCCAGCACGATTTGTACATTCCGGAGAAAGACGTTGCCGCTACGGAAGAGGCATGGATGGAGCTGATGCTGGAAGAAGTTGTAGAGGTCGATTTCACGCCCTTTTTGGATGCAAAACACGACATGGAGAAGCGGTTGGGACAGAAAATAGAAGAGTAGTTTTTCCGGTTAAGTGCCCTTGGCTTGCCTTGTTAAAAATGTCGGTTTTAGTTTTGACATTTAACAGCGCATTGATTCCCAGTGTGCGTGTAATGAACCCGTGGTTTAATCATTTAATGTGACCGTAATGGAGTGTTTTTGGGAATGGTACAATGCTTTATTGCTCATGTTATTCAATTGTTAACACTTTTTATTGGTTGGATTGTTTGCATAGTGCCCTTTTATGCTTTTTTTAACAGCTTTGTGTTTTGCCGTTCCCGCTTGTTTTGTGGATCAGTTTGCGGCTTTGCGCTATAATAATCATTCCATTGTGTTGAGTGCAATAATTGTGGACGTTACTGGGCGATGGCTGTTTTTGTGTATATTCACTATTCACACTAAATGTCACTCATTACCTGTGTTGCTGGTTAGTGGCTACCACTTATCATTAATATTGTTGTCACTGTGTTGTTAACATTTCATATAATCTCGGAAAATTCGAACTTCGAAGCATTTTCTGTATAAAAAAAATTAAACCCGCATTTTAACTGCAAGAAGATGATCTAAATAATAATGAGAACAATAAAGCCATTAGAATGGCCAAAAATAAAGCCATGAGAACCTTGCCATTAGAATGTGGTATCCACGTATGTAGGTTACTAGGTAGGCTAAGGTAGCCCAGTCTGTTTATATTTTCGCACCAGTTATTCGAATTCGCCAGCTATAGATTATGGTACAGTACTGTACAAGTGGAAAGTATTAAATAACAAATCAACAACTAAAAAAATATCTCGGTTTCAACTGCCCCAAGTGCGAAATCGCATGCATACTTCTATAATTATCCTCATAACGTCTTCATCACAAAAGTAATTAATATTCTGAACACAAGCTTAAACGAGGAACTGAATCATAATACTGCAACTATGGCACACCAGTACAATAAAACAAGGATCAGGAAGCACGCAAATTGCCCCGGAACTTAACAAATTAGCCAACACCACCATATCTACTCCACACAATATTATAGGCTCAAGGCAAGCACCAGATAAATACACATTTAATCACTTCTTTTTCTTCTTAGCTTTAGCCGCTATTTTCTCAAGAAAGGTATTGCCTTCCGGACTAAAGATTTTTGGATTTGTCTTGTTGGGCTTCCTGTGGAATAATTTAGAACGATATTTATCGTCTCGAATTTTAGTCTGAAGTTCGAAACTAAGCAGTTCTAAAACTCTTTTAAATAGTCAACACAAAAATTTTTATAACCATGCCATTCAAAAGGACCAAAATGACCTACCCAAAACTGGAGATAAACTGGTCGACAGCGTCACGCGACATCTGCACAGCAGACTGTGGCTCCCATGTGCTTTCTTCCAGTGGATAGCCTATCCATTTGATTAAGTAAGAGATCTTGCCCATTTCTAATTCAGCTGCAATCACTCTCTCCACCTCGTAGAATTCCTCGGTGGCGGTTTCCAAAACCGCCTTCGGACGGGATGTCTCGGGGACTTTTTGGGCGCGAGGTAGTGTCACCGTTCCTCGTCCATTGCGAGTGATGACTTCCCATTCGGCCGTATCGGTGCAGTTGGTCAGGCCTTCCTGGCAGCGTATTTGTTCCTTAGTTAGAGACGGGTATAGTCTTTCTCTCAGCGCCAAATCATCTTGCACTGTCCTAAAAATTAAAATAAAAGCTCAGTATAATTAAATAAGCCAAAAACGTCTAAGCAAATTCCAGGATTAATTACAACAAAGACAAATATACGCTCTTCTTCTTTCCTATATACCTCACCATTAGGAGTGTAATGTTTTGCTAATATTCTCGGCAACCTACATTCGTTAATCTTTAACATAATTACTTATTCTCAAATAAATGCATCCTAATTGCAGTGCTTACTGGTTACTGCTACAATACCAGTCTGAACACTGAACAGTGTAAAAAAAATGTACATTTCGCGCTGCCTTTCTTTTGAGGAAAACTGAATATCAGTTCGATATTGCTTTATTCAGAAATACTTATTCCGAGCTATGGTATCTTACCACTTCTTTCCAGGTTTAGGGAGTTTACCAATTTTTTGGCAGTTCTCCAGGTAAACACTATATTCACGTCGAATATTCGCAGGAATTTGGCAGACTTTCAGATATTCCAAGCAAGTGCGCTCCGAATCTAATTTACAATGCAGAAATAAGTGACCCTAAAATAAAACCAAAAAGCAATATCACTGGTAAAATTACATGAATGATTTTCTTAACGTGAGCAGTGAGAATAAAAATACAATTTTAAATAAACTGATGTGCTGTGCTCAGTGCTTACTCCGTGCCATTTGTGATTCACGATTTCCAAAGGACGGGCACGTTCTCGGCGATGATGATTGATGCTTTCCTGAGCGCGACGAGATACTTTGCACATGCAATTGGAATCACAGACAAATATCTCCTGTTAAAGTAATATCGAAAACTGTAGCAGAATCAGCCAATCCGAACTAAATAAACTGCGAAGAAAGCGAATGCAACTGTTTAACAATAACTGTTTCTTACTTCGTTCAGAGTTTCAATGGCTGCTGCAACCGTCCTGAGCGGCCCATGCGTGCACACTTTGGAAATGAGATCGGCTGGTTCACTGGATAATGCATGAGCATCACCTGAATCACGAAATACGTTCGCTGAGGTAGCAAGCGGTTTTGCTGTTGCTGCAGCTGTTGTAACTGGGGTGGTTTCTTCGAGCAGCTGTATATCATCGTCGGGCGTTCCACCTCCTGTTTCCATTTCATCTTCGGATATCAGAATAACATCATCATCCTCTTCGACATTTTTAGGAAAATGTAGTTTCTCCACAGGATCCATTTCTAAACAGGCGGCGCTTCCCTGTTTTAATGCATATCGCCAATCCAGTTGATTACGAAGTGCGCCAAGCACCGAAGAACTCATCGTCGCTCGATTTCACACGGAGTAGGAGCACATATCGGATGTTTATCACTGGACCCTTCCAACTTCAAAAATCGAATGCAGTTTATTTCACCAACAAACCTGCATCTCATTGGTCCAGCTTCAGAATCTTGAGCTTTGCGCACGCGGAAAGTTCGGATTAGTATGTGACAGTTGGAATTAGAAGTAAGCCTTAAAATACATACGATAAAGTTAAAATCACATTAGGTAAACTATTAATATTGCCAATTGCCCATAAAACGATCACTGCAAACGGCGAACCAGTACTTTGTTAATTCGGAAAACTAGAAAGCTGCCAAACCTCCAAAAATTCTAGCGCGCCTTTTGACTTTGTTACTAGCATAATGCTTTTACTAGGTACTAGACCTAAACATCATCTGTCAAAGGCTCTTGCCGTGGTCGACGTCATCACCGAGTCGTTAGGATGCGTACGGAACGATGCGTACATATTTCGTACACCGGCACACGTAGTGGAACTTAGCGATTTTCTGAAACTTGAGTAATTCCAATCTAACTCACTACCACTTACAGCTGATTTGGAGATGGTCCGGCATAAAATCACTATTTCCCTGGGAAATAAATAATAATAAATAAATAAATAATAAAGTATTGGGTTCATGTACAGATAATAAGATACTGATGCAAGTGACAGCTTTTTCCGATTTTTAAAAAAACAAAACGTATTGAGTGTCCCTTTTTTCATTGCAAATATTTCTTGCATGGGTTGTCACAGCTAGTTATAAATAAAAAATTTGTCATTATGGAGTGTCTTATATGCACTGAACGAAATGGTGCCCCGAAAGTATTAGCAAGAAAAGCAATCTTTCAAGGCATATGAAATCATTTCATTCCGAAAAACCTGCAGCCTGTAGTAAGTAACGTAATAAATTTTAGCCAGCCAAAAATACATAAGCATCTTTTCTGTCAAGAAGATCACTATTAATAAATGTAATAAAGTGACCATATGCATCCTTATCCTTCAGCATGTTCCTGTCAAGAAGCCGAATGCGACACAAAATTTAATCGTCGGTCGGAGCTAATCGCCCATCTGAACGAAATGCATAATTTAAAGGAGTACACAATATCGCTTATTGAACTGAATAGTGATGCCGAATTCGACCTTTGGAAATCCCGTGTCGAAACCGAAACCTACGCGCAGTTCCGTAAATGGGGTGGCTTGTATGTGACAAGCGCTGGGATAAAGCAGGAGCAGTATGTCTGCCACAGAACATCCCGAGTTCCGGAATCAAAGTTGCAAAACAGCGCCGGCGCAGATTCCTTGCATTGTACTGCTTTCATTAAGGTTAGATATCGTTCTGATTTGGTACTATCATTTTGTGTTCTCGATCAGTGATTCATACCATAATTTAAGCATTTGCAGTCCAGCTTGCCAAAATGCGTGACCTCATAGGTCACCTCGTTGTAGTTCTTCGTACAGACGGCAGTACAGCTACTAGTGCTGTGTTTCGTACCACTTCCCTGCACCGCCAAATTCGGGCAGCTGTGTAAATGAATTATAAAAGTACTGCAATGCATCTTTACGCTTTCTTTGTTTTTTTATCGTATTGCAGGTATACGTGGATGCTTCCTAAGCGCCAATATAGCGCTTAATAAGTGCATAGTTGTACAGCTTTACGGAAGAATGAAGCACCCGGCTGATACCGGATGGCTGAACAAAATGTCGGTCTGACTTAATAGAGTGCACTGCGGCCTTCCGGTGCTTGATTGATGCTTTTTTAGTTTTGTTCGAAAGAACACTGTTTATTCCATGGAAAAGCATTATTCAAAACTTTGCCTTTTTATGTAATCTTTGGAAAAAATGGGTGGATTTGAAAGATGTCCTAGAATAAAAAAATCGAACCTTTTCATTTTTAATTACAAATTGTCGTTTAATTCAGCAAAGTACACCCCGCTCACGCCAAGTTGGCGGCGTCCATTTAAAAAATTCCCATGAACCACTAGACAATATATTTAACTTTTTTTAACTTCTATATGATTACTGAATCTATTTAACAGCATCTACAACTGGGGTTTCTATGATTTGAGTTTGTAACAAATTACAGGAATATTAAAACTAGAGCCGACCACTTCCAAAATGCGCTGCAGTCCAGCTATTGCGGTTTCGTCCCTCCCACGTAAAATGTCGTTTGAATTCCCGTTTATCACGATCTAAGTTATTGCGCTTATAGAAACAGGTTTGAGCCACATTATAATGTGGCTCAAACCTGTTTCTATAAGCGCATTAACTTAGATCGTAGCGATCGTAAATATTAAATTTAATATGCTGGCAACTGGTGCCGGACAATCTGAAAAACGTGCCCAAAAATGGCGCAGCGAAGCATGACGTAGCAATGTAACGTCCTAAATACTCTGGGATGATTTTAGGTAATGACCAGTAGTGATAGTGCGAAATTCAAGGTGGAGTACTGCATAGCGCATTATGACCATGATCCGCTGGACGACATTCACCTTCAGAGCATCTCCGGAGAGGTAAAAGCGGATATCGTTGATCGTTTGGAAAAAGGCGTTCCACACCGCAGAATCCGGCTCGACATTAGACAGGAAGCATACGGAAACTTCCGTTTAAGTAAGTTGAGATCGGGAAGAATAACCGCTGCTAGTTACCTAGCGGGCGCTCTCACAGTATATACCGTAGTCCGTAGTCGAAATCGGTGAGCCTCGTAGAGCACAATAAATTTCATTACATTATTGTTATTCATATGTATACTAAATTATTTGCGCCCATCCCCACCGTGCCAAGTGATCTTCAATAACGTTTGCTTCTAAACATGCAGTAGTTTAAATATTTTAATTTAAATTCAAATGCATAATTCAATTATGAATTTTTATATCATAATTACTACTTATGGAATCTTACTCAATTAACCTATTGTATTTCAACGAAAATACAGTTAAGTACCTAGAGCAAGTACCTACTGCGAAATATGCTGTACATACTAGAGTACATTGCAAGTACTATGTTACCAGCTAATGCTTCTTAGTGCAGTACGATGAACTTTTTTATATAACGCACAGTCTACTGCAAAAATAGAAACTGTATGACTGTATTTTGTATGTGACTGTGTATACGGAATGTACAGATGCCGAACTGCACAGTTGCCTATGGGATACACTGCGTAGCGCACTGTGTCGTGACCTATGAACTAAACTGCTGACTGAACTATGCGGCGGCATATGCCATCTGCATATAAAATTATAATAGTGCGTAGTTATAGTCATTTTTTTAACTGAGGTACTTATAGCCGCGTCTTAGCAATGAAAAATCTCGACACGAATTGCAAGAGTTTTGTGCGCGCTTAATGACTCCATTACCATGGCAAACCATTCCTGAGGCACGTCTTTGTAGCCATTAACGTAATCATGTGTTTGGGGGTTCACTCCTAACAACGTGTTATCTAAACCATCATCTTCGCATTCGCCCCCAGTGTTATCCGTAAAAGAACGATCTTCTTCGTTTCCTGTGGTCAGGTGGTCTACAATAAAAAACGGTGACCGCATAATTAGAGCTACCAGTTTACTTGCTGAAGTGCATGCACGATGCATGTGTATTACCAGAGTCCGGGGTCGTGACGTTAGCGCCTTCATTTGAGCGCCCGCTTTCAGTTTGCGAATGCATTGACAGAGCTGAGCTGCTGCGACTAACAGGATCACCTTCATATAATTGAACACAGTTTTGGTTTATGATAAGTAACATAATAGTCATTATTTCTATTCATTTTTTGTACAGCATCTTACCGCCAGAGAAACCAGCAGTTGGTACTTGGAGCGTCTCGCTGCTACCAGTACCGGTACCCTTGATGTTTCCGGTGTTTTCTGAAATTGTATATATACAGTACTATCAGAAGTTTGGTCCTAACAACGGCGTACTTGATTGATCTTTGAGAACTACCTGTTGCATTACCTTCTTGCAGAAGTAGATTCATGCGATGGTCCTCATTCACCTGCAGCTTCCCACGGCTTTGCGTCATGCGCATAGGTATCTGACAAGAGATTGTTTGCGGATTTTTTGGCATCGTGTAATAAGAAGAGACTTTCCAAAACGAAACTTCTAAAATAGACCGCGAGTTTCCAGTAGTAACCTAATGACTAATTGAAAAACAGTTTGTTGTAATTTTTTGAAGATCTTATCAGATAAATTACAGGTTATGTTGACTGGCATCGTCCTGGGTAAGCTCTGCTAGGTGGCAGTTTTCTGGATCAGCTACAACTGCTCTTGACATTTTGTAGACTTTGCACGCTATTTATGCTAATAATTATGTTTTTTTCTATTGTTTTCATAAAGGAAACCGCTATAGGCAACCCCTAAAGCCCCCGTCTATTACACGCACTTTTTTTCGCACCATCTATTATAGCCTTATGGTCGTTTTGAGCACCCATTTTGAATTTATAAGCTATCTTATGCGAACGTAACATTGTTACATAATTCATTGTTGCTTAATACAGCGGTTAAACTTATTATGGACAAAAAGTCAATGTACCTGTAAAAGTGTTACACACCCATATTAGAAATTTAGAACCGCACCGGTAATTTTGTGTTCCGTACCGACAAATATCGTATTTTTTCGGGTTCAAGCAGCCCTCCGGCGCTGGAGTCAGCGGAAGCCATATGATTTAGCATTTCCATTACTCGAGAATTTGGATGAAGGATGAGCACCACTTTTCCGAAGGATTCGAGAAAGCAATTTATGACATAGCAGGTCCCGACTTTCAAAACATTCATAATGCGACGGTCCGAGAATATCAAGAAGAGAGAAGCTCTTCAGCCTTTCCATAAATAAAGATTTTTAACGAATGTGTGCATCATAGAGAATACGAAAAGAAGGGCGTTATTCACAGGATATTTCACTCTATGGCCGACGAAATTTTGCCCAACACCGCTCTTGCTCTTGGAAGCCCCGCTGTTGTCGCGTGCCGACGGATGACCTCCTGGTCACAGTAGAAGGCGCGGTAATAATTCGCTCTAGGTTGCAAAGCGTGGTTATAACGACCTTCCTATTACTGTAAATTTGCAAAAACCAGAAATCTCAAATTTCAGATCAAATTTAGTGAAATCTTCAGGTGAAACCGAGGTACATCAAATTTCAGTGAAATCTTTTCATTACATGGTTTCAGTAAAACCCTGTAAGAAACTGCGGACTACGATATAAGCCTAAGTGCAAACTGTAAAGCGTACTGTGGGATAAACTTTGATGTCAACTGTGGGTTGGCTTAAGGGATAAACTGTGGGAAGTGTGGGTCATGCTGCATGTTAGGACTATTCTAAATTTACGAAACGAAACTTAACCGAAATCCGACTGTCTTCCACGTACTAATCTGCAAATTCTCAGAACGTTTGCACTACACAACATTTGTACGTAACGGTCACTCATTGACTTAGCGGGAGCTTTTTACTGGGACCTCTTTTTTGTGATAATTCGGTCACTCGTTTACCTAACGGGCCGTGTTAACTGGACAGTTGCGGTAATGATTTATTTGGTGCGCTGAACAATGGTTCGGTCCATCACTGACCTAACGGGTTTGTGCACTGGACAGTGGTGGTAGTTCGGTCACTCACTCATCTAACGGACTCTGGGGACTGGACAGTGATGCATTGATGGTATTGTAGTTCGGTCTAATCAATGGTAGAACAAACAATCACTGATCTACTAGACAGTCATTTACAGTACCTGTTACTCGCCCACTTGATTGGTAGTGGGTAGTAGTGGTAGTATATAGCAAGTACTCGACCGGCATTCAGGTATTGAGAAGCATATTATTTAATATTATAACCGAATATTTAACCGTCGACTGTCGTGTAGTCGTACCTACTTTCTTTATTAATTTTTATATTTATTGCATCTACTTAATACTTTGCCCTTGTGCCTTGCATGGCAATTAAAATTAAGAGCGCTTTCACTAACCAGGGTCCGGTCAGAGGTTAGTCTCTCAGAAAAATTTGATTTTTTGTCTGAAGGGAGAGTAGGCCTAGGGTATACTTTAAAAATATTTTCACCTGCAATTGTCCAGTGGGCGTGGTCAAGCGCGAATTTAACGATAAAAGGTACTGTATGTTAATATACGTAGGCAACGTAATGTAATTAACAATTCCCATAGTGAGATATTAGGTAGTACTAGTACTCTTCAAGTGTACTACGCAATTTCCAGCTGCTTATCACGGAAGCCCTACGGATTGGCCTTTCCGTCAACATTGCGAACTGTGAACTTTTTCTCTGTGGTGGTACTGAAGTACAGCGATTATGGGTCATCGAAAACTTCACTACTTTGTTTCCTGGAATTACAGTGCTAACAGCAGATAAGCTTTGTCTGCTCGGATCCCCTTTGTTACCACCAGCAGTCGTACCGATTGTTAACGAGAAAATCAGTCAGCTCGGGGTAATGTGCAGCCGTTTGCAGTTGATTCCTAAACATCAAGCGTTGTTTCTGCTGAAAAATTGCTTAGGAGTGCCAAAAATCGTGCATATCTTGCGCACCTTTCTCGCCTAGATGTTTCCGCAGGAACTGTACAGGCTCGACCAGGTGTTCCGCGATGCAGTGGAAATGATCACCAACGTGCGGATGGATCATCCTACGTGGCTCCAGGCATCTCTCCCCGTTCGCTTCGGCGGCTTGGGAGTCAGACGCACCGAGAAGCTAGCTCCCTCTGCCTACTTGGCATCGGCTTCCTCGTTGTTTCCGCTGACTTCAAGGCTGCGCCCGACGCTAACGGCTACCGATTTGTCTGCCGCCACGCGCGCCTGGAAACTATTGACCGACACTGGTGAACTTCCGTCCGAAGCGTTATGACATGTTCAAAAAGCCTGGGACACACCCACAACGCTGAGCACTTATGCAAGGCTAACCGAATTGCGGGCCACAAAGGAGAAAATCGCTCATCTAAAGGCGGTATCTGTCCCCGAATCTGGTGTATGGATTCATGCGTTACCCGCAGCATGTCTCGGAAATTTGCTGGAAAACAACACTTTTCGCATAAGCGTAGCGCTACGCTTGGGAGCTCCAATCGTCACCCCTCACGTGTGTGTTTGTGGTGGACTAGTGGATGATCTGGGGCGGCACGGGCTCCGTTGTAAACGGTCAGCCGGCAGATTGCCAAGACATGATGGCCTCAGCGGAGAGTTCACCCGCGGCCTGAAAACCGCAGGTTTCCCAGCCAGAATGGAACCAAAAGGTCTCTCTGTGAAAGATCGCAAAGGCCGGACGTGATCACGCTCGTACCCTGGGAGCGCGGAAAGCCACTGGCTATCGATGTGACTTGCGTAGACACACTAGCGGTTTCGTATATTGATCGGACCCTGGTGAACTTCGGGGCTGCGGCCGAGCACGCGGAGCGAGGAAAGCTGACAAAACACGGCTGGCTGCAACCAAGGTACAATTTCATGGCAGCAGCATTTGAAATCTACGGACCCTGGGGAAATGGAACTAAAACGCTCGTCCAGAAGATAGGAAACGGAATTGCAACTGCTACCGGCCAAAAACGCGCAAAAGAGTTTTTTAGGCAGCGGCTATCTATTCAAATGCAACGGGGAAACGCGATATGCGTGATGGGTACAATCCCCGAACAGGATAGCATCGAAGAAGTGTTTTTATTATAGATTATATTCTGCTTTGGTACTCAGTTTTGTACTAGCATTGTGATACTTATTAAAGGTCCTAACCCCAGTACTGTTCACACTTTATACTGTAAATTTTGTTCTTCGAGCAATGAGTTGCAGGTTATCACTGTAGTCTGATGTCTTGTTCCTTCATTTGATTTCATTTTCTGCATTCCTGCTGTGACAATCTGAAATTTTTAAAGAATGCATCGCGTATTGTGTATTTTTAGCGCGGGCGTGGTTCAGCACACCCGATAAGTGGTGAGAATCTTTGAGAATATTTTATATTGTCAGAGCAGTGATTCAGAAAATAAAATAATACTGAAGGAACAAGAGTGTACTTGAAGAAATAACCTGTAACACAATGCTAAAAAAAAACGTTTATCACTGTATCGTGTAAACAGTAAGAATAAGGCATTGCCGTACCATTACGATGCATACAATACTTTAGACCATAAAATACATGCTTATCCACCCCCATTGGACCACTGCCGCTGCAAATATTTTAAGTGTAATATAGACCTACAATTCCTTCAGACAAAACACCAAATTTTTCTGAGAGGCGAACCCCTGGTAAGTTAAAATTATTTAATTCGATTTCACAGCATAGTACTAATTTACAGTTTTCCCATAAATAGTAAAAGTTAGCCAATTAGGGATTGTAGTTATCACTATTCTGTATTCACACTCAGTTTCACAGTCACATGTATTATGGATATTCTACTGTGGAATCTACAGTACTGTGTGGTTTACTATAGAAATAACTGTGGAGTAAACTATGCAGTTAACTGCGGGGTCAACTGTGTCGTTCACTATGGCATAAGATGTGCGGAAGTAGCGGAACGCTCATGTAAAATGCAACAATTGTCCTCTGTTAAAGATGTAGCATTTGGAATATACCCTAATGATTGCAATAAAACGCAATATGAGAACTGCGTCTTCAACGTTCCCAAATTAATAAGAAATAGGCTGGTTTTATATTACAAAGTAGTTAAAAGTACTGTACTTTGAGCTTTCTAAATCTATGATGAGCTGACAGAATGGGTTGTGCTTTTGCTCGGTTTAATAGCCTGACTATATTATTTTGCTTGCTAAGAGTGAAGAAAATGATGCGGTTTTTTACTGATTTACAATGACGGTTTAGTGAAAATGTAAGCAAATACCATCTTTGAAATTAAACCAATTATTAATATCAAAAGCTGTATATAAATGTGCAAGAAAGTATATCATTGCGAGTTCAGGTCTGTTGCCAATAATATGATATTGGCAACATCAGTTCCATTTACAAAAGGTTTGCGAAAGAAATGGACTGGAATTACTCAGCTTTCAGAAAATTGACAAGTCAACAGTACGTGTACGAAACAGTCGTGAGTCGATTTGTAAATTTCCGTGCGCGCAGCCTCGACTTGCTGCTGACGTCAGCTACAAGCAGGAGCCTTTTACATATGATGTTTAGGTGTAAATTTACTAGCATGCTTTTGCTAAGTAAAAGCATTATGTTACTACGTACTAGTATTCGCCTGCCTGGATTCCCTTACATTTACATATCTGTCGACTGTCGAGCCGAGCAGTGTTGCACAGTTTTTACCCTCCTTTACCCGCCTTTTAATTTTCCAAGCACTTTTCTGTCTTTGTCCTTTTCATTAATTTTATGTTCTGTGTTGCTATTACTGTATTGCACTACTATGTACGTTATTAATGGTAAATTGTTAATGAAAAACTGTTGATTACAGACTTACAGTAAATTAATCGCTACTCCGTTTCCGCCGTCTGTTTCGTATGTTGGATATTACTAACTTGGATGTCTGGGATGCTGCAGTGAGCAGTCTGCAGATTGCAGGACATTTTGCAGTAGTCCCCTTGTCGACACTTGATTTGAGCTTCGTGACGCCAGTTACCCAGTACTTGTACATGTATGTAGATTGTAGAGTTGTATTACCGTACGTTTTACTTTTTCCCTTCTGTTTACATGTTGCTTCTAATATCGCTAATTTTGCATAAAATTGTTAGCTATTTTCTGGAAGGGTTGGTTCTGACTTGCCTGGCGCTGCCTGCTATTCATTTGACCGATTTCGGATGTTGAGTGTTGACTGTGAAGGAGTTTTGCATTAAGACAGTCAAGCATATTCTGTAGTCACCATGTCTGTTGGCGGTCAAGATGCAGTTTCGCTGTCTGTGGAGTCCAGCGAAGAGTGCGCACAGCACAAGGGGAAACATTCCGGATCACGTTTGCAGACCAAATTATATGAATGCGCAGTGGGGCAGTTGACCATCTACATCCAATTGGTGAAGTTAAAGCAGTCCTGCTTTCTCTGGATCGGCGACCAGCGAAAATGCTTGGACAATCTGACGGTAGCGTTGCCGAACCCTTTCGAAGCACCGCCACTAGCCAGCAGCATTCTCGACCGACGTCCCGCGGATTCCATTGGAATGAACGATGAGAGCCGGAGGCTGGCCATGAAATTGTCAAAGAAACTGGGAGCCCAAGTGTTTGTGTCATACACCGTGGATAGTCCGCCGGAGGTGGATGTGATCAGTGTAGTGGAAAAGTTCCTCTTCGATGCTCTGCGCTCGGGCGACACTTTCACTCTGTGATGGATATGCTGGAGAAAAAGATTTGTTTAATGGAAAGCGGTCCTGAAGCGTGTTGTTTCGGACGATGGTGCGCCGTTTTCTGAAGTAAGATTTCTCCGCGTCGGCTTGACCGTATTTCGTTATACTGGTTTACACTTTTCTTAATTTCTTCATTGTTTGTTCTTGCTGATATATCCATCAAATAGCAATTATGTAAATATACACGATAAAACTGAAAAACAGTGTGCCTCGATTTGTTGCGGTTCAATTTTCTACTGAAGAGTGTCATTAATATTTGTTACTAGTACATATTGCGCCACTTCGGCTCGCATTTTTTGGTAATTTTTCGATCGGTACGAGGTACCAATTTTTGACTTATGTTTTAAGGTGATACATAGCTTTATCATCTTCCCGTTCCATGTATGCAAAGAAAACACTATATCCAGAATCAGTTCACGAGGGGAAAAAACTTAGTATTAAAACTGCAGTTTTTATGCTGGTACAGAAAGCTTTCGAGGTTTTTTATGAATTTTTATTTAGCCTAAATTTTCCCTGGACAAAAATCCTAGGTACGCAGATGTCTTCTTTCTTATTTGAGGTCTCGCGGAATACGTAATCGCATGATATGGCTTCAAATCCAGCTTCTTCAAATAACCTTCGCGTTTCTTCTGCAACAACAACAGCATCAGTTCAAAGTGTTATGACACAGCATAATTTTATTTAAAATTAATTAATTTCTCGGTTACTCTCACCGAGGGAAAAGAAATAGCTGTATGTTCCGTCGTGACGAAAATAAAACCGGTCGTTCAGTTTCTGGCCAGGAGCAAAACGAATCATAGCGTGATCATAAATCCCGTAATCACGGAATAAAATGACACCGCCGGATCGTAGGACCTATAATCCGTCGCATGAATATTCTTTTAGGTAGCTCAGGAAGCACAACCAACAAGCTACTGAACTTATCGACAACAAATCTGATAATGATATGGGCTACACAGATCGATACGAATGAAAAAACTGGGGAAAATTTAATTACTGACAAGTGACAACTTCAGTCCATCTTGAGTTTTTTACGATAGCGTAAATTTGTTTGGAACGGCGCTGGCCGCTATTTCGTACCCTTCGAACTATACTGAGAGCTTGCGCCATCTTCTGTGGATTTATGGCCGACAGAACAAAAACCATTGTAACAATATCAACCGGTTCGGGGATTTCCGCCCTGAGATCATCTTGAACAATGTCCGCTACGAACGCATGGATGCGTCCTAGCTGATAATTGTCATTTTTCTACAAATACACAAACCAAACAAAAACCGAAATAATCTTCGCCAGCTTTAATCGGTAGATATTCTCTGTACTTACACGTAATACATCAATAGCATTCGCAGAGAAATCACACGCATACGCAAACACCGAAGGATTCGCTTCAATCAGCGGCAACACGAGATCCCCGACACCGCAGCCCACCTCCAAGACACGAACACCAGTCTGGCTCAGATTGGCCAACTCTTCGAACTCACGCGTGGTCCAATGACGGTTCTTGAAAAATTTATCACCATTCCGTTTGTAGAATTTATCCCAGTTTTTCCGTGAATCATTCTCCAACTGGGTGCGCTTGAAGGCGGTTACGGGTCGGGAATCGTGTTTGGCCAACTGAAGGAAATCTTCGGGCGACAAATCACGCGGTAGAGCTAAGATACAAACATTGGACTTCAACTAGGAGACAGTTTCACGGTATAGAACATCAAACGTTCAGGATTTCCACTTCAGACTTTGAAACCCTGCGAGCGCATACATTCTTTGTGGGCTTCAATCAGGTGCTGACAGTTCTCCTCGCCGTTCTCCACGATGCACGCATCGCGAACCTTCTTGGTTTCGGGGCACGCACAGCATGCTTTACATGCTGGCTTCTTCTCTTCGGTGGTGGTGCTGGTCTGGGCGGTATCACCACTCGGGCCTGCTGATATCGCTTTGGTCTCCGAACTAGGCATTCTGCAATCAGGCATAATGTATACAGAACTTTGTTCTGTGGCATCTCGGATCAAATATCAAATTCACACACGAAACAGACGCTAATTGCTCACAGCGACATACTGTTGTACCTTGTTTGTAGCAGACTAGCACCCGATCTGCGAAATGAATCCAGATAAACAACCGTAAAAATAAATTATTTACTGTAATATACGGCGCGAATCTTTCTACTTCGTATTTCGTGAAATTCGAAACTTTTAAATGTCTTTGAGTAAAATCAGTTAAAAAAATTAGAGCTGGTTTACTTTGGGTTGATTTTAATTTTATGAATGGGAAAATTTTCAGCTTTTCAGTGACTGTCGAGTGTCGGGCTGATGAAATGAATTTTGATCTGCTGATGCAGTATGGATGGCCGCCATGGCGAGGCGAACGGAACATGAACGTCCGCCTTCCTCAAACCCGTATGTTATTGTTGTCCTATGTGAACAAAGCGGCAGAAAAATTACTTATTTGTGGTGTATACGCATGTTTTATGTTGTAATAATAATTTAGCAATGCGAATATCACCAATGCCCGAAAGTTTTAGGAAGAGCGAATTATTCATGTTTTTCGCTTGAAGGTAGTCCCAAGTTAGGCCTGGTGCCACATACAAAGTATTTACTAGTACTGTACTTAAATTTAAATCTGCTTTAAAGTAAATGGCCGTTCGAACTTTTCGGCCCGGACGTTTAAAGGGGCACTTTTAGTTGAGGTGTATCATCCGTGCGTGTATGCAGTCATTGCCCCGAAATTTTTCTGATTTTTTAATACTGACAATCAGTTGGAAATGCAGTTTTAGCTAGTACTTATTGCATTTTATCTAAGAAAACGTCGACGACTCAACAGCGTAAACTGGAACTGCAGTACCGACATCATGCATGCGACCGCAGTCGTAATACCTCGTATTATCATGGTTGATCGTTAAATTCGCTGTGCAGGATTGCCGCATTGTTATTTTATTTCTAATGTCTCAAAATTCTTGATGGGTTTTTTACGATAAAATTTTTGTGTCAAAGTACGTAGTTTGTTTTCATCAGATTCGCTTGCGCTTTGAGTTCAAATTTTTCTAATGAGAAACTGCTTTGGAAGTGCTTGTGCCTTTACCGCTTTACGAAAATGAGTATTCAGTCCATTGAAGAGTGTAGGTCGCTTTAACAATTGTGAATGTCGGCATACATTTATCTACACATATCTATATGTTTTCTTTATTATTAAGTTCGAGTTTACGTCATTCTGCCATAGGTCGAATACATAAAATTGCCTGTGTTAATTACTAGATTATGGTCCCATACATATTCACACGATCTTTGTGTTTTGCTTAATGAAATAATAAAGAAGACAACAGTTTTTAATTTCGTAGATCACCGGAGAAATGCGATCTTCTCATCTTTCACGGTCTTAGCGACATTCGTGCGCAGCGGACGGATGAGCTGATTATATGTCATCGATCGGACTGTAACTTTCCACAAAAATTCCGGTTTTGATGTAAGGTATTACGTATAACTTTATGCATCTACCGTACATACACACTGGCTTCAAAGTAATTTTCCAAACGCACGGCATTCACAGAACTCTGCGCATTTACGGTATCGGATGGTTTGGCCAGCTGCTCAGGTGTTAAACACGAAAAATGATGCTGCTCCACAGGAGCGGATCACGTAAACGTGAGTACTACGCTGGGTGTATCGATTAATTAGAAACCTACACATTTCCGCTTTTAGGGAGCAATGCGCGGCTGAGTTTATTAGGTGTGTGTGGTGTGTGAGTGTGTATGCGTGTGTGTGAAAAACGATCGGCACAGCTGAGATGCACACACAGAATGCTATCACGTAATCAATAAACTACGAAAATCGGTACTTCATTCAGATCTCTTTCTCTAAACACGTAATATACCATACGGTATGTGAATTGTATGGCCATAGTAACAGTATACAAGAGCTACCCATGAATGACCTTTCGTTCAGGTCTTCCGGGCATCTCTACCTGTGACTTGTTGAGGAGGGTAATCTGATCAGAGGGATAACGAGCTCAAAATATTGAACCCAACACAATATGTCGTAAAGCTGTTCCACAAGATATATGTCACGAAAACGCCCGACTGCGACGATGTTGCATCTTCGTATTCTGGTTTGTGGTAATAAACCATAATATATACTAATTATTAATTGTTGAAATCATGGAAACATGGAAAATTTCGAGAAATTTTGACCGATAGGCTGCGGTTATCTAAAGCGCGACCGGTAAAGTGTTAAGTGCCGGCTGAAATCATTTAGGCAGAAAGTTTTTTATGAGGAAATGAGCGTACGAGCCGTCGAAGAAGTTATAAGTTGTCTGCGTATTCCTTGATTGGTTAATGACGGCGATGGATAAATTTGCGTGATGTCGTCTTAATTGCAGGCAAGTCACTGTTAAGAAATTGCTCATCAGTTAGCTGCTACATGGTTTTGTTGTGTTAACAATACCGCGAAACCGGTTACTCTGTAGTAATTAATAAAATATAATAATTGTAAACTTGACGTTATTGAAAGTCCCGCGGGTATTTGTAAAGCGAAATCGGTGGACCTGGGCAGTGGAAGAGGCTTTGTGTTACGGTGATCAGCATAATAATTAAGTGCTTTTGGCTTATAAATTCAATAACGCCAACTGCGCGCAGGTTGGCGATGCGTGCGCAATTCCGCGTCAGCTTAAATCATTAATCAATTTTTTATCCCCGCATTGTACTGCTTATTATAAAATAATTCCTACATTTGGTAAACATGAGGTTTCTTATAAAATATTGCTCATTTATTTTCTAGGGAAAATTAGCCGCACATCCGCGGCCGGTAGTTCTTTGTGAGGAATTTGCCGGTAATGTCACGAGAAGGGATCGGTCACACACAGAGCACAGCGAGAGAGAGAGAAGGCCATGCGCGTAATATTGGAGAAATCGGGTTGAATATCCGAATAGAATTTGCGCCCATATGTTCTACAAACACATCCCGCTTCCTTGAATCCCTGATCAGGCAGCGGGCAACCCGGCACCAATGTATGTACAAGTAGCATCCTACATAAGCATACACACATAAACGTACACACACACATTATACGGTACGGAGGAAATTGCGCAAGCCGTAATACTACTGGCGAATTGTGGGAAGACCAATCAGCAGGGCTTTGGCGCTATCGTAGCTTGATGCGCGAAAGAATGGGATAAATAGGAGTCTAATATATATATCGGCATGGAGTGGTGCCAGTACATACCCGGTATACATTCACTGTACATTCCTGCATTTGCCGCCCATTTTCTATTGGGAATCGCAAGGGAACCTGGCTGCAATATATGCTAACGGGATTCCTGCGCTTGCATATATTGTGCTTAGTAGTTTGGGCTGTACCCCCTGTTTATTTATGTGTGTGGCACACTCGCACACATATACACACGCAGCGCTCGTCATGTGAGAAAACCAAGCGGGAAAAATCACTGACTGGGCTCTGTGTGTGCGCGCGCAGCGTGGACGGAAAGAGGAACGACGACGGGAAACAACACGGGAGAGAGAGACGAGTGACAGAGAAGAAGTGTGTGACGGTGTATATGTATGTGTGAAGGAGAGAATATCGGGAAACCTGGCCTATTACGTGGAGTCCTCGCTGATCAACGGTAAGCTGACGATTGTGCCGGGAAGTAGCACTTACTTTTGGGGGCGCTTGCGCAATACCCGTTCGGGTCACGTCGAGATATTTTGATATTGTGTCGGATTTACGTCTACCCATACATTATCATAATTTTATTATTGTTTCGGTAGTTTTTAAAAATGTTGAGTGTGGCATGAATAAGGTTGTGGAGTTGAGAAATTGTTCTCGTATATGTTTGCTGTTACGGTTAACTTTAGGATGAAGTGCCTGCTGCTGGTTAGCTCGATCTGTTACTCCGGCAGACCTTCCCGATTACAGGGTTTGCTAAAAATACTCGGGGAGTTTTTTGCTGGCTTAATCCTCTCTGTTTATGCAAATAATTAATTATATGTAAATCAAAATAATGTAATGAAAATGTTCATGATTTAGCATTGATTTTGTACCAGGTGTACTCGTGTACAAAGTTTTCAGGCTTTTTACGCTGGAACGAGAAAATCAAATTAAATTTACAATGCAGTATAAAATTAACAAATCATCGTTGGCAATAATGGATGCTGTTTTTAACAGTTGGTACGATTGTTTAAACATATTATTTTATCTGAATGGTCACACAAAAGGCATGAAATCCAGTCCGCAAATTTTTGGGTGCCTTTGTTTTTTAATGTTGTCCTGAAGCACTTGAACAAGAAATTAGGTTGAAAGATTGTGAGAAAGGATTTGCCAATTACACAGTACGTATAAGGAAAATCTTCCCATTAGCATGTGTGCCCTGCCGCAGTACAGCGTAGGCTGGGCACATGCGACTGAAATGGCTCGTATAGGCCTTTAATTTTATGCTATTTTCTTTTATTCACGGGACCATACATTTCCCAACAGCAAGGAGTGACCTCATTTTGCTGCGATGGGAAACGATGGTGCCGAGAATATGTAAGGCATGTGGTTGTAGAAGTGCTCCTGTTTCGGCAGCGATTTGCTCGTATGTGTTTTTACATAAACTGTTTCATCCTATCGATCCGGCGTTTACACTACGCGGCGCGGCTGCCCCGTACACACTGTCAAGACAATATTCTGCATACTAGTTAAATATGTAATATCCGAAACTTTATGCTCATGCACAAGTAAGAAATGTAAATTGATGGTTGGGATACTCTCTGGTGGACCCGGTTTTACTACACATGACACTATACAGTTTACCAACGGCGATCGAAAGTTGTGTGTGTAGTGTAATATTGTATATGCCATCGATTATCCCGGTATATGCGCATGAGTTAATCCGGGGCCCGTTTTACCCGTTTAGTCTTTTGTGTATGCGTAGTGCGCACGCCGGTGTCACGTACTCTGTGGCAGTTTAGGGAAAGAGGAAAAAAATTGAACAGTTTCTGGACACAAGAGGCTGCCCGACAACAGGTATAATAAAAACTGCCTAATCCATTTTAACCCGAGCAAAAAATAAACATGTAATAAAATGTTGCTCTCGATTAAATGATGCATTGCCCGGTGAATACTCATCATCGCAGGCCCGTGTATTACTATATGTATCATGCAACATTCCATCACATGTCTTGAATTCTAATCAATATTCATAGGATATTTGACGGCATGTGCAGTGTCCCCTAACTTTCATACATGGGGGATAGTCATTGGAATATTCGTCCAGATAATTATGGATGCAATGTTTGCTGTTTATATATATGCATGCAACGTGTAATAAGCTCGTGGCCTATGTAGACCAGCTAACTAACTGAACTGATTGGGTTATTAAAGCGGGATTATTGGCTGAGCATGAGATGATATTAAATTGTGCTAATTGCTTTTTTCATGTAATTACATGGTTAAGGATAAAATGTTCCGATCTTGTGGCGTTTTGTAGCGAATCGACTTTCTGCTTAATGCATTTCTTCAGTTTTCTTCGCCATCGTTTCGGTGGCTCTTTTAGGCGGTGATATATTAATTACTGCGGGGCTCAAGGGCACCTTTCTCTATAAATATCACTGATTTAGGATATGATCACGAGGTCATACTTAATATCGAAGGTCATGTGTACAACATCACAACAGCAAATAAAGTGGTCGGCATATATAGTTTTTAAGTATTTGGCACCCCAATTCAAAATTTTAATTGTTTAGATTTTTATGTTTTAAAAGAATCTAGTCCGTCTTATGATGAAGTTGGTTTACAGCAGAAATAGTAACCTTTCGTTTCTATAGATTTATGGCTAGAGTCTTTGCGTTAGTTAGCCGTAAGGACAGTGGCGGCTTTGAAAGTTTTTCGAAATGGTTTTTATCCTGTACGGTCGTGTGTACTAGGCGATGATTTTTGGGGCAAGCTGCTGCACCGCGATATGTATGAGCGGTTATTTGGTTTTTGTGATTATGTGGTGGTTGGGTGAGATCAACGCAAGGTTTGCGGGCTGCACGGATTGAGGACAAGACTTTGCTTTTAAAGTAATGCACATCAGCCATCATTTGAATCTGATCTTTTCCCATTTTCCTGCCCAATTTTAACATTATCGATCCGAGCGTGTACGTCGTCGTTGCGGGACCAGCACTGGGCGCATATACGGGCGCTGTATCCTTCTTAAGGATTTGGCTCGTAATGTCATTGCTGCCATAATCATAGTAAATCAAAGTCCCAACGACTGCTTAAAATGCATCATTATTCAAACTACTGGTCCATGATCATGAATGCTCATGCCGTTGCCTTCTTTGACAATCTGCTCTGCGTTGCGCCACTAGATATATAAAAGGGGAACGACGTTGTTGAGACTGCTGCTGATTCAAGGAGAGAAAAGAAAATGCTGGGAAATGAGATCACAACATGCTCCTAAAGGCACACATATACACATACTGCTTATACGAGTACACTGCCGTCTCCCGGTTGTGGTGGTGGTGCGCAGCAGTGTTTTTGTTCAGCTCCATAGCATCGTCCTCTATTTCCTGATTACGTCTCCAGCGTCATCATATATATGCCATTTCCAGATCTCATTTTATGCGCGCCCCCAGTTAATACTGGTTCGCGTCATAAATTTGTATAATGCTCCAGCGGATCCCCGGCGTCTGCAGAACGCACACTTGGGCAGTTTTTCGTGACAGTGGATAATGCTTTTGCCTTTGCTTGCCGCATTCAGGGAATGCATTATTTTCCTAACAGCCTGAAAGAAAACCTACAGAATCACAGTGAAAGCACGTCTTTTGTATTGAAACGCCTAAATACAGACTGAAACGAAGAATGTCACTGCGGTTATAAAAAATGTATGGCATCAGAATTTTTTCTTAAACCGTTCTCTATAATTATTATGGTGACCTTATTTACGTCGGGTTCGAAGGTTATGAAACGTGGGCGACCAAAAAATCTGATTTACATTGGTCAGTGGTATTCCGAGAATGTTATGGGATTAAATTAAGTACTTCGCGAAATTTGTGCGAAGAAAATAGTTTGGGTTATAAAGTAACACAGAATGTACAAGTACATCGGTATCAGTGTACGACTGTACGGTAGAGTCGAGATACTCTTTAATCTTTATTATTGCGGATTGATCTAGTGGGGAAACGGTATCTGGCAGTTTACCTTACTTTCTTATGTTTGATCCAGTTCACGTCATTCTTATTTAATTCTTTTACAGAAAGCTATGTAAAGATAAAGTAATCTGGGCGCATTAATCTCCTGTAGATGCCAGCAGCTGGCACCGGCATGCCTCCTTGGGACTATGCAAAGGGGGTAGCGATTTTATAGGGGATAAATTATGAATTCGGTATCAGCTGCAGAATGGATGGCCTGGTTTATATCGTAATTCCTTTACTCATTTCGCCCTGCTTGTGTCCACAATCACGGATTTTATCGATTTTTATCGCACATCTATCATGCGGTTCTTTTTCTGGACATGAATTACCCGAGCTGTTGTTTTGTACAGTAGCGGTACTTTCTGGCGCAGTTCAAAGATATCATACTGTGACCTTTCATGTTTAGCTGCCGTTGGTGATACTGCGTCGGTAAAGGTTTTGCGAATTTAAGTTTCGGCAAATATTGACGTGGCTTTACTTATCATGCATGGCCGCGAAATAATTAGCACAATGCGTTGGAAATGAGATAGTAAAGCAAACATATATGCATTTATAATCGTTGATATTTTAACGGTGATAATTTTTCTATCCTTGTACGTCAACCCAAAAACTATGAGTGACAGTTACAGTTTGACCTGGAATATGATCTGTCATTCGCACCGAGTATCCCTACCACGAACGCGTGAAACTGGATGCATGTAGATAAATTACTATTTCCGAATAAAAAAACTCTTAACACTGTTTGTTCAAATGTTGCATAAAAGCATTGACACTTTTCTTCTAACGTGTACAATCCTCGGAATGTGTTTAAGCCAGCCCGTGTGCCGGAACAAGAATTTTTGTTAAATATTGATCCGTTAAAGCAATCGGACTTTAAATGGATCACATAGGGCGAACAAAAGTTTCAATCTTTGACTCTGAGGTTTGGACGAAAGATTTCTTAATTGTAATCGATCCGTTGTTGGGTCGGCTTTCCGCCGGCGTGTGCGCTTCCCATCGTGATTTATATATGTTCCATTCTCCGGCCAAAGTATTTAGTGTAATGGGTCTGATTGAAACGGCGTCGCCAGTCGTGTGTTGATGAGGCGTAATAACATGATCGGTTTTTTGTGTTGATCGGCAGGTGCATGTGGATGGAGAAAGAAGCAGAAGAGTCGCTGAAGGAAGTCAAACACGTGAAGTATTCTGACCATCGCTCCCATGCGCAAACGATGGAAGCCCAACAATCCGGCAGTCCCGGTAAGGCTTACATTAGATTGTTATCGTAATTGCAATTAGGCACAAGATTTTCGAATGGAAAATCAATAACGCTATACTATGGCTGCGTCTTCGCACAGGCCAGGTGAGTATATAACGGCGATCACTTTTCGTGGAATCAAAAACACTTGCAACATTATACTGTACATTACAACCGCCAGTGCGGTTTCCGCGTGTATCTATTGTGTATCCTATGCTGGATTTTTAATGCGCGTACATTCGGGCATATACAGCAGACGAATCGGCATAATGGCTAAAATTTAATTAATTCAACACTTATGGACTCCATGCTTGAAAACTATAAATAATTATGAGTGAATAATTTAGTAATGCGCAGGCAGGCACCAAAATTGTAAACAGTACCTGGAAATTAACGTTATTATGAACAATATTTTTTTTCTTGGCCGAACTGCAAGAATATTTAGGTGTGAAAGCATATATATATATATATATATATACATGCGGGTTTTTTAATTTAGAAAGTGGTTCGCCCTCGCCAGTCTCCAGCACATCGACGGATACCGGCAAATTGCCCAGTGTACAGCAAATACTACCCAGCTTGCTGAATCTGCATAACTGGTCCCTGACGTCCGCCCTGGGTAATGCTGCACAGAACGCCAACCAAGCGCATGTAAGGTGGTCGGAATACCTAAGCGGTAATACATAAGGTTAAATAATCCGGTTTGTTGTATTGCAGTCAAATGTACTACCGCGCACCTCGGCAGCGGCTAATTTCCTGCTGGCTAATCAAGCCTTAGGACTCCAGCAGGCGCAGCAGTTTCTGCAGGCGTCGGCCAACACATCCCAGCCCATGTTGTCCATGCCGGGCTCCGGTATGGCCAACAACAACCAGCTGCTGACCTCGGCCTTAGCGGGACTACAGGCCGGCAACAATCCCCAAAATACACCGGCTGGGGTATGCTTTCTGATAATTTTTCTTTATTGCTTCCTAAATAATTAAAAGACATTAGTTACATATATCATTGGGACTTTGGGGGTAAAAAGTAATAAGTTTTCACCTTCATTTTTATACACTTCATGTACTTGTACTGCAAAACAGGCATAGAAAGTAAATGTAAAAAAATTTAAAATAGAGCACTTAAATAGAAGTTTGTTAATGATATGTTTCAAATTTGTCATTGTAGGTGTCATTAATGAATCAACTGCAAATTCATCAGCTCCTTAACAGCGGCCTATCCGGGAACCAGGTTTTGGCTGCCGCGTTAAATAATCAGCTGTTCGCCGCCGCCCAAAATCAGCTAGCACAGAGTGGAATGATGAATCAGTCGTCGGTTATTCGACGCGCTGGGAAATCTTCGGTGGGCAGTACCGGTGATGTAGGACAAAAAAGTATTGTTATGCCCCATATAATGAAGACGGAGGATACGGATGAGGAGGATGATGAGTCGGCCAATTCCGAAAACGGACTGGACGACAAGGAGGAGAGGGATCGTTTGGATCGTGGGCCTACTATTGCACAGTTGACCAATACGCCCGGTGTCATCCGGAGCACCAAAAGTATGCTCGCATTTGAAATAACGGAAGAAATGAAATGTCGCTTTAATTTCCGAAAGTATTTTACGCGTATATTTTGGGGATCAAGCACAATTCGTGAGAAATAAAGGAGGAATTGTACGAATATTTCGTTTCACTGATTTCGTGTACATATAAGTATGCAGATCTGTACATGATCGAATTTTTGTTGGACTATAATGGCAGACTTACCTTGTTTTCGCAAAAACGTTTTTCTCATATTATAAAATTGATTTGATGTTGGAAATTCTTTTTTTATGAATTATGTCAAGGTTTGAGCTTTTAGCAGACATTTTCTGATGTGGTTTGTTTTCCGTGGCAAAGAGAGAGTATTTTGTTTGGAGAGTATGAGCCGTTTATGGATCGTTTTTTTGTTGCAGGCTCTGGTTACGCACACTCTAATAAATCTTCCTTTAATCTGAATCCAAAAAAGTCGGTCTCGCCTCCGACATCCGCGTCTTCCCCCTCGAGCGCACCCACCTCAACCTCACCCGCTGCCAACAGTGCCCGCCATCATCGGCTGGAGAAGTCAGTTATTTGTACAGCTCGCTCGGCTACCAGCAATATTGTCGATGGGATAGATCTGGAGGAGATTCGTGAATTCGCTAAGCGTTTCAAAATGCGCCGGTTATCGTTGGGCTTGACGCAGACGCAAGTCGGCCAAGCTCTCAGCGCCACGGAGGGGCCTTCGTACAGTCAGAGCGCCATTTGCCGGTAAGGCTACTGAAATGGCGATGTCTTAAGAATACTTATGCTTTATAGAAAATCATTCGTAAAATGACATCTAATAAAAAATAAAAATGGGAACGAAATTTTACTCTGTATATTTAATTGCGTTTAAGAACAAAACCCAGTTCTGTTAGCGAGTTCCTGAAAGTTTCGGACATTCGTTATCCATTACCTGGGTAGAGTACTGTCAATGAAAAAGGGCTGAGGGATATATATTGCACTGATGCAATTCGGTATCCGCGATACCTTTTTAACAATTTCTGCATCCTGTTTGCTGAATGTTAATGCAAATAATATTCACCAGAAAATCTTTTTGTATTTCAGGTTTGAGAAACTGGATATTACACCACGTAGTGCGCAGAAAATCAAGCCGGTACTGGAACGATGGATGAAGGAAGCCGAGGAGCGATATGAGAATGGTGGGCAGAATCTGGCCGAATTTGTTGGATGTGAACCTAACAAAAAACGGAAAAGAAGAACGAGTTTTACTCCACAAGCGCTGGAAGTCCTTAATGCACATTTTGAAAAGAATACTCATCCTTCAGGTACATTACATTATATATATATGTCAAATATTGTACATTGTGGTATTTGTAATCGTAGAATAACAGAAAAAAACTGAAAAGAGCATGAAAATTATCAGCGACAAAGCGTGCTGCACAAGCATAATGCATAGTACGATTCTCGAATGCCATAAAAATAGTAAAATTAACAAGAGTAAAATAATCCACAAGCGTTTTGCCGAGAGTTGGGAAGAATGAATTTTCAGTTATAATTTTGCATTTATTATTGATTTTACGATGTGTTTATATGACTCCTTAATAGTGTTGATCATTTTGCGGTGGTTTAGGCGTATGTATGTACCATTTTGACCTTTTCATGTTTGCTAATTGCAGGTGCAGAAGTGACGTCATTAGCCGATGAGCTCAATTACGACCGCGAGGTGGTGCGCGTCTGGTTTTGCAACAAACGTCAGGCCTTGAAAAATACCATTAAGAAAATCAAAAACTCCACAAATTAATTCCGTACAACCGTTTCTTTTTTGTACACAAAAAACTATATTCCCTATTTGTTACTGCAGTTTAGAGGAAACAGATTTTTTGTTGGCTTTTATTTTTTGTGGTTGTTGTGGTTGACAAAACACAGAAATCTCTCCCAAATATAATCTTGTTCAGTGCTCTATCAGTATTGACTGACATACAAAGCGCAGTTCCGGTTATTTGTATTTTGGAGACATTATAAAAGACATTCCGCGGGAAACACACCGCGTAAGCCCATTCCCTGGCACATCCTCATTTCCGTTTTCAAGAAGACACACGGTGCGGCTGTTGTTGGATGGATGGCACACGCTGTACACACACTCATTTTGACCAAAGATTTTTGATTGTAGTCTTTATGATCTCACTGTTAATTAGATAAAATACACAAAAGCGTGGCGGTGGTGTGTTTATGTGTGTTTGACATTTTTTTGCATGTTGTTGTCTTTGATGATGTCAATTTGTGCTTTTTTCGTTCGATAATTGGAGAGGTGGTAATAAAGCCGGTTGGTTAAGTTTAAATTGATATCATTATCGTGTTAATCAATGTAGAAGAATAACTTTACAGGCAGCCAAGTATCATGTTTTGACTATGAGTATGGTTTATCTGAAAACTTTGCCGGTAATCTTATCGGCTAACCAATTAAGCCTATTAGCGGCACGGCTGTCAATTCTGCCATGGAGTTTTCCAAAAGTAAGCCAGCATGCTGTGTGAAAAACTCCTGTACCTGCTGTGAAGAGCAAAATCCTGAATAAACTGCTGGTGCTCTGTGCTACTAATGCAAATGAAGTAAATCAAAATCGTCGGTAGAATTTTTGCGGAAAAAATTCTGTATTTGCCCAAATTTCTATGAAGCGCATGATGAGCGTACTGCGCAAATACCAGAAGGAAGTTGGATTGTTTTTATTTATGCTTGTACATTAGCTGTTGATTTTGTCGGTTATAAAGTACGATACCTGGGTAATCGGTCAGCGAAACATATAATGGATTTCGACGATATTTTAGAAAAAGTTGGATCCTTTGGGAAATACCAGAAACTCATCCTGTATTTGGTTCTTTTTCCAGCAACCTTACCATGTGGGTTTTTTGCTTTTAATCAGGTAACTGCATCAAAAATGGCTGTCATAAACGCAGGCATGTCTAATACCATTGTTGCAGCACCTTTGCCAGGCTATTATATCTTTTTATGCCATTTACTACAGTAGGGTACATATCAAATGCATTTACATTGTTCCTAAAATGCATAAGGCATGCCATAATACTACAATACTACTAAACCTTAAGGTAAGGTTTGCTAATATTATGGGCATGCATATGGATGAAAGGGAGACGCTATCAGGCCGTAAATTAATTTAATAAAATTAATTATACCAACTTTTTCATATATTATTTGACGTGTAGTTACTTATGTCCGGAATGCCTCGGAATTACTGGTGCCGATTACCCGTCGAGAATCTGACCCAAGAAGAGATCTTCCGCCTGTTACCCAACAGCACCGATCCGGACTCTCGTACACCCAATGACAAATGTCAAATGTATAATGTTAATTATACGGACCCGACCCTGCTGCTGCAGTTACCCGGCATATTGTCCAATGCCACGACCATCCCGTGCACCAACGGCTGGGAATACGATCGCACCGATTGGGAGTCGACCATTGTGACGGAGTGGGATTTGGTGTGCGATAAGGAACTGTATGTGACCTACGCCTACACGATCAATGGAGCGGGAGGCTTATTGGCTATGTTCTTGCTGGGTTATGTGGCGGATCATTATGGAAGGAAGATATCCTACTTCTTGACCTTTGGCATGATGATGTTGGCATCCATCGCCACACCGTTTTCGCCTAATTATGCGTGGTTCTGTGTGTTCCGGTTTATTGTTGGAGGCGGCATTGGGTAAAAAAAGATTTGTTAGGCAGATGTTAGCGAAAGGGCCGTTAAACAATTTGCGCAGTTGCTTTGAGTATAACTGAACGCTATTAAATGTCCTAGCTTATACATTACTAGCTCTTCAACGCAAGCCATTGTTATTTTAGCTTGGTCAATATAGAGCATCTAAATAAATAAGCTCCGATGCATAACTATTTTAAAAATCGTTTTTATATTTCTGACCACGAACATGGCGTTTTAAAACCCGATGAGGCAATCATGCCTATGTACCGGGATACGTTATATCGTTATATTACATTATATTAAATGTTCGAACTCCCAAATCTACAATCTTTAGACTTGGGAGCTCGAACTATCGTATGTAATGCGCTTTCTCGATCAGTTTATTATAGTGGAATGTCTTATTGTTTCCAGATGGTCCTTCACGATTCCAATGATGATCGCCATGGAATTAATTGGACCGGCCCCACGTGCTTTGATGTCGGTGATCGTCTCCGTATACTACACCCTCAGTATTCTGCTCATTGGTGGTGTTTCATATTTCTTACCATCCTGGAAACCCTTTGCACTGGTGTCCTCGCTTCCTCTAATTATTTTCATCGGTTTCTACTGGGTTATGCCGGAATCTCCACGCTGGCTGCTCAGCCAGCGCCGCTACGATGAAGTAGCACAGTTCTTCCGGAAGATCGCCCGGGTCAATAAGCGGCCACTGGAACCCGGCTTCGATAAACGGCTACCGGAGATTCTACGTCGTATTGATGAAGATGCCCGCGCGGCGGATGAGCGTGGTGATCGGCGATACACCACCTGGGATCTCTTTCGCACACCGAATATGTGTAAAAAGACCCTGATTCTGATCTTTGCCAATACGACCAACCTGGGTGTGTACATCGGGTTGACCTTGTATGGACCGTCTATTAATGAGAATCCCCATTGGAATTACTTTCTATCGGGTTTGGCGGAAATGCCTGGATATTTATTCACTACCATTATGGCCGATCGGTTAGGCCGGAGGTTCACTTTGGTGGTCTGTATGGTGTTTTCCGGAGCGGTGGGCATCGCCGCCGCTGGAGTGCCGGTTACGTCCACTGGTATTTTGATGGGGCTGGTATTTGCCTGCAAATTTTCCATCAGCATAGCTTTTGTCCTGTCCGAGCTGCTGGAAGACGGTAAGTTTTACACAATAACAAAATCGGGATTTCTTATTTTGTGTACGTATAAGGTATTTATAAAATACATAACAGTATTTAAAAACTGCGTGTGCGAAATTAATGTTTTTCATGTGTCATATCTGTTACCCTGAATGCTGCATATATACTTCCATGCGCGCTTCTTCAACCAAACGTTATATTTTAAACTTTTTTCATCATATAAACAATTTTTATGTCAGTACAAATGCAAAAATTTTCAATAAAAGTGTTGTGATTTCAGAACTTTTCCCTACGGTTGTGCGAGGAGAAGGCCACTCGGTGACCGCATTTACTTCCAATTTTTTCACGCTCGGAGTGCCCTTTATGGTCTTTCTGGGCTACCAGTACATGGTGTTGCCTCTGATTTTGTTCGGAGCTATTTGTCTGATAGCGGCATTTTTCTGTTTGTTTCTACCGGAAACCGTCAACATGGATCTCCCGCAGACGTTGGAAGACGGTGAATTAATGGGCAAGAACATGCGATGGGCGGAAGTATTTTCCTTCAAGATACCGTCCAAACGGCGCAACATGGCAGCTCTTGAAGCAGAGGAAACAAACCCGCTGCAAATTCCCAAAACCGGTCTCAATGTGCGGACCAGTATGGTTCTCGATGTAGATTTAGCAGAAGGCAAAGTTATGGTGCATGGGCGCCGGCTCGACAGCGATGATATTCCGGATGTGATTGCAGACATTAAAGTTTAGTTCCCTATAATTCAGCCGTAATTTTTTCCGAGTACTTTTATGCATGGTCTCTATAACACTGCATTTTTAAACAAGTAAACGTATTCCGCAAACGATAACTGCATTATGCTTGTTCTCTTTACGCGCAACAGCTGATTAATAATAAATAATCGTACTCCTGACCTTTGAACGATACTACAAGATGTAGTTTTCTTGTATTAATGAATTTCTTAGCCCCAGTCACTTTGCAGAACTGATAGCGTAAGCGATACATAGTACTAATTATATTATCTTCTGCCAGTGCCTATTAGGCTACGAAATACTAATCATTCCTACACATTATATTCCGTCCGCTATGCAAAAGTTAGCCTGTTTGCTACCCATTTTACATGTTTGCCACTGGGTACAAATTGCTGTACTATGCAACTGCATACAAAAACGAAAAGATAAGTCACCTGTAGATTACTTACAATTAGTTGTTGCTCTTATGCCGTTGATTCTGCCCTTACTCTTACCCTGATGCACGGTTAGTGGGCGAATAGATACAGTATATCGTATGCATTACAGTACAAGTATTTCGCTCCACTATTTGTTTGTAGTCTTATTAATTAATTTGGCAAACGAAACACTGCAGCTAAAGTATCCTAAATTAAAAATAATCTACGACTGATACCTTTTCACCGGAAGTCAATTTGTACCTAATGCACAAGAAAATGCACAGCAGCGAGCACTGTTGCATGATTGTGAATTAGCTAGGAAGATATGCGTTTGGTTTTGAATTTGTGGTTGGAAATTAGTTTTCTGTTGGTTTTCGCCGGTACGGTAATTGAAATCTCATTACGCATGCCCGTGAATTCGCTTGGAAAATGACAGCTTTTGGCAAAAAATCGAACTATGGCATTGTGGATTTTGATGACATACTGGAGGAAGTTGGATCCTTTGGAAAATATCAGAAACTACTCATATTTCTGGTATTTTTACCAGCATTACTGCCAGATGGAGTTTTGGTTCTAAATGCTGTAAGAACTTCTGCAAATTTGCTTTTTAAATTGCTGAATCAGTAGCAGCATCAGAGATTCAGATGGTAACAAAAATTATATTATTGTCTGCGATAAATGTTTTAAAAAATTACTTACAGGTGTTTATGGCAGCAACACCAGCCGACCACTGGTGCCAGCTCCCCATGGAAAACGTTACTGACAAAGAGTCTGTCACAAATCTCCTGCCTCGAGATTTACGCGGAGGAGTGCTGACGTACAGCAAATGCACAATGTTTAACGCGAATTATTCTTCAACTGATTATCAAAGTATCATGGAATCTGCCAACAATAAAAGCAGTACAAAAAATGCACAGGCTTCCTGCCGCTACGGATACGAGTATGACCATTCGGTATACGAAAATACCATTGTCACCGAATTCGATTTGGTGTGCGACAAAAGCCTGTACGCTGCCGCATCGTTTACATATTTCACACTGGGCGGTTTATTTGGACCGTTATTTTGGGGACTGTTGGCTGATCGTTTCGGGAGACGCTTTGGGTTTTTTGCCTGTGTCAGTTTCCAGTCGGTGTTCTCCATTGCCACCCCGTTTGCTCCTAATTATGTGTGGTACTGTGTATTCCGATTCTGTGTAGGTAAGAATTCTGCGCCGGGAATTCCAGTGGGCAAAGGTCAATGTTGTACGCGTGTGCGCTTGCATTGTGGCTTTTGTGTGGGTGCCGGTTGTTGGCGTTGTTTATGCTGTGCAACGAACTGATAGCGCGAATTTTCGCTGAATGTCGTTGTAAGGTCACGTCTGTTCTGAGTGACTACGGCTACCGGCAACGGCAACGGCAACGACAACGACTGATAAGGTTATCGGGAGTCTTTCCGATAATATGTAGCAGCGCACGTGGAATTTTTGGATCACAAACAGTTTTCGTGGATAATTGCAGAAGATTTACTAGTGCTGTTAATTAATTAAACACGTGCACCATGAAACTCGCCTTATTAATACTAAATAAATGCTGGTTCCAACTTTCCAGAAAACCTTTACTGCAAGAGTAAACTGTCACGAAAGGTCAGGAAGCAAAATTTAATGATTTTTTCCCCAATCAATGTTGTGTAGGGACCCGTTAACCATGCAGTAAATGTACCTAACAATCTAGCCTATTGTCACTGACAAAAAGAAAATTATTCAAAACTTTTCAATCAGAAAAGTGCGTATAATATGGTATAGCTGCAACAAACATGAAGATTTGTAACTGTTCAAAATTAAACGCAACTTAGTACCGTACGTATCGGTACGTACTGGTAGAGCACTGGCTGATTTGATTTTTTTTAAAGTTACGTTATAAAATTAACTGTGCTGGAAGAATGTGTGGAATTTTTTAAAATTTTTTTCAATTTTAGGCATGACCACTTCTGCCAGCTACTCGCTTCCGATGTTGATGTGTGTGGAGATTAGTGGACCGCGCGCTCGTGCATTGATAGCGGTCTTGTGTTCCACGGCTTACACTTGCGGTGTATTGCTACTCGGTTTACTGGCATATTTTGTACGATCCTGGAGAGAACTGGGAATGTATTCTTCCATCCCCCTTGCCGTGATATTTGTAATACTGTATTTCTTTTTTCCTGAATCTCCACGATGGCTACTGGCCCACGGCCGTTATGATCAGTTGGAAGTGTATCTGCGTGAAGTGGCCAAAGTCAATGGAAAGAAGTTGGATGCGGAACTGGATACTAACCTGTCCGTCGTCCTGCAAAAAATAACACCAGAAGAATCCACAAAAAACCACACTATTCTGGATCTGTTCAAATTTCCTAATATGAGGAAAAAGACGGCCATTCTGGTCTTCGTCAATTTTTGTAATAAGGGCGTATTCATGGGATTGAATTATTACGCACCGGGATTCGGCATGAATCCACATTTGAATTTTTTCCTGGCCAGTGTTATTGAGCTGCCACCATATCTGTTTGCGGAATTCATCTGCGATCGTATCGGACGAAGAATGTCGTTGTTTTTGGGGATGCTGCTGGGGTCACTCGTTGGTTTAATAACGGCGGCAGTTCCCGGCGGGTCGTTTACCTTGATTCTGTCTCTTTCCTTAGTAGCCAAATTCTGCATAACGTTCACGTATTTAGTGGGAGAATTAATGGAAGATGAGGTACGGATTCGGGAATTGCAATGTCTAGCTATAATTTACCTAAAATTTTGTACGCACGCTGGTTTGGAAGAAAAAAAGAAATAAATGCATAACATTAATAAATTTTTGTAAGGTTTATATTAAGAAGGCGAAGCTTGTATCAAAATTATAAACCATTTATGGCATGTTGACCATTAGCAATATAAATTAACTTGGTAATTAATTTGGTTATTTGCAGATCTTCCCAACTGTTATCCGTGGTGAAGGTCATTCCATAACTAGCGCAGTATCATCATTAGCCGGTTGCGTCACTCCGTTTGTTGTCCAGCTCGGGCACAGTTATCTGATCTTGCCGCTCGTGGTATATGGATGCTGTTGTTTCTCAGCGGCATTTATTGCATTGTTCCTACCAGAGACAGCCAATGAAGATCTACCACAGACACTGGAAGACGGTGAGCGGTTTGGAAAAGATATGGGGTGTAAGGATATTTTCCGGTTCTATGTGCCGAAGCCCAAACGAACGTCCGAGCGGCATCAGGCTGTCGTTGCCAGCGAACATGTTGAGCTGACAAATGGCTTTTCCTAAATAAAGTTAATGCTCCCTAACGATAGCTGACAATTCAATAGTTTCAATTTAAAACTATGCACTATGCATGCATGTAAATATATTATAAGTCGTCTTTTGTTTTGCTGATTCCGTTTTGTTTTTGCAATAAGATAATAATAAAATGAATTATTAAAAAATTTGGTTCTGGTGTCTCGATCATAAACTAACCATAAGGATCCTAATTTTGTTTTTACACTTTTATGGTAAGTCTGCATTCAACAGGTTTCCAGTCAACACCGTAAGAACGCCATGGGCTGCATGAGAAATTGTACCCCGTACGTCCATGTGGTTACTTATTGTGGACCGATGTACATGTGGTGCTAAAGCAGCGATTACATCAACATTAATAAGAAAAAAACAACTTCATGATTATGTTTTGATAATTTTTACCTGTCCAGGAAATGTGTAGCTGCAAGGATATCTATATGACTAATGTTCTGATAACAAACGTTTAGATGTAAAAATGCGGGTTATAGGTGTTTCGATATGTATAGCGGAAAAGTCCGTTTGGCAAAAACTATTGTCAGTGCTTGTACGTTGTACTTTATTTCGATCAAGACTTAGTAACTATTGTACAGACAGTACTCGTACAATACCAGATGAAAAATTACACCTATCTGGATAGCAAACAGAAAACAAACAACGAAAATACATTAATACAGACACACCGCGAGCGATACAACGATTGATACCGCATGTTGTAAACAAGTTTGCCAACAAATCGGCTAATCCAGTTTCCTCTTTTATCATATCAAGCAATTTGCAATTAGGTAATTATTTTATCATGCTTTCGTGCATTACAAATTTGTAGACTGTAGAGCATTGGTGCAGTTGAACATGGCACTGTATCACGCACTAGACTTGTGAAACACCGGGTTAACTTTTCAATGCTTTAATTTGTAGCGACCGGCAACTGAAATTCTACAGTAGATCGAGCAGTTTAATAAACTTCTTTTGATGAAACCTGGGTTCGGGCTATTCTTCTTGAAAGATGTAATCAGAACTGTATTGGAAATATCACAGGATTCTGCACTGTTCCACTTTCTTTGCCGGTGTAAGGAAATCCGAAACATTTCTAACACCGGATGTGACAAGGAGACCCATTTTCAGCAGTGGACGTAGCTGCAGCGGTTACGCACGCGCACGGTAATTGCTTAATTACTGCAGAAATACGTATTTTTTGGTTTTGCTCTAGCAGTTTATATTTGTTATTTTAGCAGTGCATGACATAAAGCGTATGCTGAGATAACACTAAAGTAATATGAAACATCTATGTACATACTACATGTTTTTGCGTAAATTAGAAACATTAGAGCAGTCAGTACTCTCAAGTTAACAGGTAAATTATCGTAAATGCATTGCTGACGTAATGAATCTGCGATTTTAATTAGGGCAGGATGGTAATTCTGTAAAACGCAATCTTTACACAGAGTAATAAGCTGTAAGAAACATACCTGTACAACAATTTCTATGACATATGAAGGACGACCGGAGGAGAAATATCAAAAATATTTTTTATGTTTGGTCAACATTATTATGTGTCAGCCGTTCAATCTTTTTTGGGTCAGCTGTCAAGCGCAGTGAACATATCATTCTAGTATACCGTTTGTAGCTTCGGTAAATTCGGTTCACTAGATTTCGAAGTTTCTATGATTTAAAGTCGTTAGATAAAGCCAATGCTCTACGTACGCGGTTACAAACTTACAGGTAGGAATTTATTGCCATTTATTGCTATCGTACGTCACAGAGTCCGCGTACGCGTAGTATGTTTTGTACGATCCATTCAACACAACTGCGGTTGCTTTGAATTCTTAAATTGTTGTGCAGCGCTCACCGGCAAAATCCATTACGAGCTTTTCCCTGTTTGCTGTTAGTTTTTTTTTGCTTTGCTTTGCACCGGCAGCGAATGGCATTTTTAAATTTGCAGTTTTACGGCAGCTTTGAAGTATATTCTCGTTTCCCACGTATGGAGCCAATTTTTGGCCAAATTTGGTGGTACAAGTGTTCATGCACAAAACATACTGCACGACATCAGCATGGATTCCAGTGCGCTAACGCCGAACGATGTCCCATCTTTGGACCCGGGAATACGTGACAAATTCCACAACTACGATGCTATTCTCGACGAAATTGGAGGATTTGGGATCTACCAGAAACTGATCCTCTTTTTAGTCCTGATTCCCGCCATCATACCGAATGGATTCTACAATTACAATATTGTAAGCAGTAAGAATTAAGTAACTTAAAGAAGCAATGCCAATGGATTGTGATTTATTTTTTTATTTATCAGCTGTAGATAGACTTATTATGAAACTTGGTTTATTCTTACAAATTACTCTAGTGGACATGGAAATATCCCACGCAAATTATTGAAAGTTGATTTATTGATATCTGTTACTTCAGTTATGTGCTGAATTTAAAAGTACGAGTAAAAATGTCGGTTGAGTGATTGCAAAAACTTTAAGTTCGTAATTCCGAAATATTATGTAAAATTTTAGGTTCAACACCGACAAAAAGCTGTTATTTATTTGTATAATGTGCCTTTTTTGTTTAAAATATTTTTTGAACAGGTTTTCATGTCGGCAACTCCAGCGGAATACTGGTGCCGGCTTCCAGTCGACAACATTAGCATCAGCGACTTGCCGCACCTGTTGCCGCTAGAACAGCGTAATGGCGAAATCGTCCACAGTCGCTGTATGATGTTCGATTTAAATTACGCCAACTTAACCAAACAGGAAATCGCGAACACCGTGCGCATTTACAACGGCACTTTGTCTGTCGTTCCTTGTCGTTCTGGTTGGGATTTTGACCATTCCGTGTATGAAAGCACGACAGTGACCGAATGGGGTCTGGTGTGCGACAAAGAAGTGTTGTCCACTATATCCTTTGCATCGTCCACTTTTGGGGGACTTTTTGGGGCGTTTATATGGGCGTTTATTGCCGATCGATTTGGTCGTAAGAAAGGATATTTTTCCATGATTGCTTTTCAGCTGGTAAGCGCAAAAAATTATTTTATTCTTTTGAGGAATTTAATTAATAGATATTGCGGTGTTTTTTAGACGTTTGCTATAGCAAGTGCGTTTTCACCAAATCTATTAGCCTACTGCATGTTTCGGATGTGCATTGGAATGTGTACGTCGTTTGTTTACACTCTGGGCCTTTTAATGTCCATCGAAATTACCGGGACGAAAACACGGGCATTAATGTCGGTTATTTGTTCCATCGGCTATACCAGCTCCGTCCTGCTTTTATTGCTCATTGCATATTTTGTGCGCGACTGGCATCACTTTGCACTGGCCTCATCCGTACCGTTGTTAAGCTTATTTTTCTTGATCCCTTTTTTTCCGGAATCTCCGCGTTGGCTGTTGGCACAAGGCCGCTTAAAAGAACTGGAAGTATACGTGCGCAAAGTCGCCCGCGTTAATCGCGTCCAGTTGGATCCGAAATTTGACCAGAATCTGCCGCTGATCCTGGCTAATCTCGATCGACACGAAGATGAAGAAACCGCCAATTTAGTGGATTTATTCCGCACGCCCAATCTGCGGAAGAAAACACTGATCTTAGCTTTTATTAACTTTTGCAACAGCGGTATTTTTACCGGTCTGAATCTGTATGCGCCCGCTTTCGGTGGCAATCCGCACTGGAGCGCATTCTTGACCAATATGGTGGAATTTCCGCCGTATCTTTTTGCTCAACAAATCTGTGATCGCCTGGGAAGGAGATTATCCTTGTTTTATTTTATGCTGTTTTGTTCTATATTTTGTTTGGTTACGGCGGGAATAACTGGTGGCACGGCGTTGACGGTGCTGTCGTTGGCAGCCAAGTTCTGCATTACTATTACCTTTCTGGTTGCAGAACTGTATGAAGAGGTTGGTATGCATTGCATCGTAATTACTGTGATTATAGGATCATGCATCAGTTGGTTAGATATATACATATATATAAGGTTAGCTCTTATCCGGTAGTTAAATGATAAATTTGATAAGAGCTCAAAATACGTTTTTATGCACCATGAACTACGGAATAGATGGAATTAGGTAATCACGAACTTTGTAATCCTTCTTAAGGAGTACATTAATTCACCTTGATCTTGCCGGCAGCTTTTTCAGTGATTAAGAAATGCACCACTTTTGATACATTTTGAATTCCTGTACCTTTGAAATAAAAAACAAATGTTTTGCTTTTACCTTTACAATTTGCCGGCATCTGTTTAGACAGTTCCGATTCAAACTGACGTGGTCCTAAATACCAAGTTCCTTGCGATAGCCGTAAATTAATTTTGTTGCTTTCGCAGCTTTTACTCTTGTTAAAACAGCAATACGTTTTGCAGTAATACGTCATACATGTGATTTAACTTTTTACAGGAATCGTTTCCGACGGTTGTTCGTGGCGCCGGTCATTCGTTTACCAGTGTCGTGTCGCAGTTTGCCGGCGTAGGAGCCCCGTTCGTCGTCAATCTGGGGAATGCCTTTTTAGTTTTACCTCTGGTTGTGTTTGGCTGCTTGAGCGTTGTTGGGGCTGGAACAACTCTGTTCATGCCAGAAACGGTATTTATTCCACTTTTAATTCTATATGGTTTAATTGTCCAAGAGATTTTATGTTGGAATCTCTAAGCCGTTTAATATTTAATTGCCCAAAATCAGGTCTTAAGGCACTGAATGCATATTTGGCCCGCGCAGTATACGTAGATTCGTGAGAGTTTGCGTATTTCATCTGACTTTATTTATCGAACAGGTTTACAAGCAACTTCCCCAAACCTTGGACGACGGGGAAAATTTCGGGAAGCATATGCGCTGGAGCACAATAGTGTCTCTTGTTCCGCCTAAAAGACCGAAGAAGACTCGTGTTCAGTTGGTTGGCTTTAAAGCAAATTTGAAGGAAGAGGGGCCTTACACAATTACTGGATAAAATTTTAAAAGCGTTACGACGAAACTACAAAATTGTATAGGTCTGTATTAGCAGTGTAAAAATTCTGAGCACGGAAAATTGTGTGGTAAAAAATTGTGTTTGGTAAAAAATAAATTGTGTGTGGTAAAAAGTAAATTGTGTGTGGTAAAAAATTGTGTTGTAAAAAATTGTGTGGTAAGAAATGATGTTGATGTATTGACTTTAGTGCAATCAAGGCTGGTTGTTGGTTATGGTTGGCGGAATGTTACCTCTTTTGTTAGCAAATAGCAACTTACCACTTGTACTGTATTGAAGTTCGTAAACTCGTTAGCACTGCGAGATATCACTTTTTTGTTGAAGCAGATTAAAAGGATGTGGTTCCGAACTTCATTGTCAACAGTTCACTTGAGGTACACACTACACACCACATGCAAGCGTACGAACATTCGCACCATGTTAACAGCATAAATATTAAATAGTAAAAAAGAGATTCCTCATACAATTAGTACGACAGACAAAATCTTCGTACTGGAAAAACTACGACACAACTATCGGCGAAAGCCATGAGGAAGAACAATAATAACTGACGACCAACCGTAATTTCGCAAATTGAAACATCGAAAAAATTACACACATCTACGGAGATGTCGAAGTCAACCAGTTGACTATTCCTACAAATCAGGAAACTTGACGTGAAAGATGAATAGCATGACGAATGTTTTCAAATAGCGATGGGATGGCGATTAATATTCCTCCTCTTCGTCATCCGCAGGAAGCGCGGGGGCTCCATGATCCGGTAATCCCAAATGGTCACCTTGGGCATGATTATCAGGGTGAAGCGTTTCGCTGACATTCTCTCCGTTTTCCCCATCATCCGGCACACCAGCCTGCACGTTTGTAAAACAAAACATTCCCATATTACTGAACAATTAAAACCATCTTCGGTGCATCACTCACCTCCGGGGCATACATAATCTGAAGAATTTTATCTCCCTCCACAGCCGCACTCTCCTTTTGTGCCTCCACGCAAAGAATCTCGATATCGCGCAGTTTCGAATAATAAAAGTCCCGCTCCTGTGTGGTGTTCTCCAAAGCCACTTTCGTGTCTGCGAGCTATAACCAAACACATTTTTGCCACTGGCGCACATAGAAATCAAAAATAGTAGCAAATACTCAGCACAGTTAAAATGAAATGAAAGCCGTGAAACTTCAGCTGGAGAAAGTTGTTTCCCTTAAAGCATATAACGTAAACCATCTACGCATGACACACAGTAGCCAAACAAAACGCAACCCTTCGTTCCTACTGTTGTACTGTACTTCGTTTCAGTTTTCCGTCATGCAGTTACACAAGCAAATTATCGCCTTACTTCAGCTTGCATCGTTTCCAGTTGATGGACCAACACATCATGCATCGCCTCTACTGATATGGTATTACTGGACGTTTCGTGGGCATTACGAGATCCATTGGTGGCCGGTGCAGTTGCAGCGGGAGCAGCTGAGGCTACGTCTGTCTTAGAACTTGTTTTGACCGGGGCACTACCACGCGCCGTCTTAGGAGCTGCTGTGGTGGTCGCCGGCAATGAGGCCTTGCCGCTGCGAGATGAGTTCAGCGTAGACGACGCAGTGTTAGGCCGTGCTGCAGGTTCTAAAAAATCAAATCCGGTCTTAATGCTAGTAATCCCACACCGCGCCAATATAATTTTAAAAAAATAGTTAACTTGGAAAATTTCGTACACATTAAATTTAAAAACTAAATGCAACTATATATCTCCTTACGTCATCATAGAGAGAGATGAGACGCCTCTTTGTATATCTTACTTTCTGTAATAATGGAAACAGAAAAATGTGCACTTACCAGCTCGTTTTAGCAAAGGAACCGGCATTACTTTGGGAGGCTGGGTCGCTTTACCCAGACCAGAAGGTTTACTGACCGATGGCGACGTGTTCGGTCCACCCAACGGCTCTCCGCTGCGTGCCTCCATCGGGTCGTATTCCTGAACGTTACAGTCGGCCGAGTTAGCATCGAAAAACTTCTTAAACCATTGCACAAACTCAAAGTTGTCTTGGAAGCGCCCTTTAACCAGTTTGTCCACTGGTACAGTCTACAATAACAATGAAACTGATTGTTCCATTCCTGGGAAATTTAATTTATGCATTTAAAAACAACTTACCTTATCAATATTAACACTTTTGAATGCCGCTTGCAAAATCTTGAAGTTACCAACATATTCATGCTCGAGACGGGTGTTGAACTTGACTTTCTTCAGTTGCACACAACTTGGAAACAGCATATGCATGAGTTGGCAGTACGCTGCGCCGTTACACAAATCCTCGATTTTCTGATAGTTGCTCTGCAAACAGTCGTTAACCCAGTTCAGCATATCATGACGGCTGATGTTGTCCGTAGTCGCGCTGGTCGAAAAAACATTGACGGCTTGGATTTTGGACATTCTGCAAAATATCGTCAGTCTTGTAATATTGTCTGCACAATGCTGCCTGGTATTTATTGTGCAATGACGCTACTCACGTTAAATTTACGGTCATAAAAGCACACGTAAAAATTCTTGACCATGAAAGTGAGAAAATGACGAACAGCAAAGCAACAAATATCAACGATATTTGGTAACCGCAGCAATTAAGATTAAGTCATAAAGCGTTGTAAAGAATCCTGGTTTACATAAAACAAGGAATGCAAATGCAATAGTGATTAACTAAGACCGAACCGTTCTATAAGAGCAATTAAAGAAGGAAACTTTCAAATCAAACAACTGCTTCTAATAATAAGCACTGACCCAGTGAAACCCATTTGCACATGCAAAGATCACAAGTGCCACAGACCTGAATTCGAAGGGCTACGAAAAGTAAATAACTTTAAATTTAAGGTGGTATTTTTGTGGGCAGTTTCGGATCGTCCCATAATTGCATAAAAAATGTTTAAAAAATCATAAACGAAAAATCGACCAATAAACAAAAATTACACCTAATAATGTAAAAAGTTGCAACTATAGAGTATGATAAAAATCTTCGGCACGTTATATTACAGTATGTACTATTTTATCAGTTTTATGCAACGAGCGCAATTAAACATATAACAAACAAAGCGCAATTAAACATAAAATAATTAATGTGCAATTAAACTAAATGTGCAATAATAACAATTAATGCACAATTGAACATATAACAAACCACTGCAAATACCCATAAAATAAATATTCAAATTAAACGTTTTCGTTACAAACCTACGAGGTCGGAATTCGTTAGTACTTCGTATTCATCACCATTTCATGTGAAATGGCCCCTCGACCTACACCTGTGTATACCGTAACGTCTGGAATACGGTATACGGTATACCAATAAAGATTTGAACCGAATACTAACAGATACGAGTCGAAAACTTAGACCATACCTTCCTCACTGTTGTTCAGCTTCTGCTCTGACTAGTTCTAGAGGATCTCTGAGATTCGTACTCTCGTTAAAAGGACAACAAACCAAAAATGACACTCCAAAATCAAAGTGAGAAGATCAGTTGTGAACAGCAAACAGTAGTGAACAAGATACTGTCAGGATAAGAAATTTACTAGACAAACTACGATCTCGAACGAGCGCTTCCTATCTAAACTTTCCGCTGATGAAATAATGTTCAAATACACCATACCTTTTACGCTTTCTAGATGTTCAATTAAAACAATCCACAAATTAAAACTGTAAAATTGCAAAATGCCAAAAGTTGGAAAAGTGACAAGCCAAAAAGTCTGTCTCTGATAAGGCTTGTCTAGTATATGCATATGTCTAGTACGTAGTTGTTCTCAACAACAGCACATTATTCACTACAGACTGCCATGGCATGTCGTACGGCACAACCTTACCGAATCGCGGTCTGAGCCGGTCTAGAGGGAGGCGGGAGTCTGAGGGGCCAACTTGTCGCAATTGCGTACACCATAAGGTTGCGTTTACTCGGCCACATTTATTTACGACTCGCAGTGCGGTTCTTGTTGCTTCTTGCTCGATCCCAAAGCAGAACGCCAAAAAATTTCAGAGTTTCCTGTTTCACGTAAAATTTTACACGACTTTTGTGTGTTAGAGTGTTTGTTTTGTCTTGACCTTCTTCTTCCTGGGTTCTATACAAGACATTCCAGGGAAATTTCAAAAATGTTCGGCGGGGGTTTCGGAAACCAAAACCCTCCGTCTCAGCCAGCGGGAACGGGTTTGTTTGGATTTTCTAACCCTACAACGACGACACAGACGTCCGCACCAGCGTTGTCTTCGCTTTTTGGTACTACGGCACCGTCGGCAGGACAGCAACCGTCTACTTTCAGTATGTGAATCTCTAAAACAGTTACAAGCCTTAGAATTTTGTCGAGCTGCAGTTACTTAACTAAACATCGTTAACTAGGTTTCGGGCAGCCAGCAGCAGCGCCTTCCACAACTGCTGGCTTCGGTTTATTCGGATCTCAGCTTCCTGCCGTTTCTGCGTCCGCTCCATCTGCCTTCACTTTTAACAGCGCACCGACTGTGACGACAACGGCGGCGTTGCCGAGTTTCAGTACATTTGGTAAGTGCTGAAAATCTGACTGATTGTTAAATGTAAATGTGTTCGCAGGACCTAGTAACTAGCAGGGGTTTTTTTTTCCGCGTACGGAATTTCTGTGTACCTCTTATCTTGCTGTGTAGGGTCTCAGTCCGGAGGCTCCCTGTTTGGAGCGGGTGCTGCGCCGACTACAACTTCTCAGCCCTTTTCCTTTGGTACGGAAGACGTCGCTTTATGTCTTCAGCTGGAATCTCATATTTTTTCCCTCAACCAACTGCGGAATATTTTGTTTAGACTGCTTTTATTTTATCGAAGGTATTGGACAGACAACGGTACCCACTTCGGCACCATCGTTGTTCGGGAATTTCGGCGGTGCAGCGCAGAATGCTCCGGCCGTTGCCGCTTCCACATCTGCGTTCACGTTTGGCGCAGCGCCTGCAGCGACAACCGCGGCGGCTGCTTCCCAACCTGGGACTTTCGGTAACCAGTACTAACCACTTCGATTTTTAACTGTTGTGGATGATATATGCAACGTACATGATTCGATCAGGATTTTCCTTTGGTCAATCGACTCCTGCTGGGACGGGTTTTGCGGCTGCTCTTCCGCCAGCCGCCGCGCCAACAACAGGCTCGCTCTTCGGTGGTTTACAACCCACTCAGCCGGGCGTCGCCGCAGCGCCAACGGGAACGCTGTTCCAACCTGCGGCAACCCGGGCTCAAGCAACTCCTGCTGGAACGGGTAAGTCAGCTCTGATTCAGTTGAAGCGCTTGAGTGTTTCACTTCGTCACACTTTCTTACTCATTATTGTATATTATTCTCTATTCAAATTTGCAAACGTGATTCTCATGAGCTGGTACTTAGGAAGCTCTAGGTCAAGGCAATAAGTAAAAAAGCTTGTAATTTTTGTAAATACAAATGTCCTCTTACAATGTTTGCGGTGTTACGGCAGGGTTTTCCTTTGGACAAACTCCCGCTGCACCGGCCGTGACACCGACGGTAGGACTGGGAGCAGCGCCGACAAGTACGTCGACATTTAACTTTGGATTTGCTCCGGCAACCACCGCGACTTCGTCCATGTTTGGTAATTTGATGAGCGGAACTACCCAGCCGGCACCTGCAACGACCAGCGTACTGCAGCCTGCCTCCACTGCAGCAGCAACAGCGCCTTCTTTCGGAGGTGAGTTCGTGCTATTAGGTCTTGTAAAATGCCAGGGCCCAGTACTCAACGAAAACATGATTTTCAGCATTTTCGTTTGGTCAATCTTCGGTGCCGGCTCCGGCTATCGGGAACACCACAGGTTTCTTATCTGCGCCGATTGCATCAGTATCCGCGGCTGCACCGGTCACCACAGCGCAGTCCATGTTTGGAAATTTAACCGCACCACAATCCGCTGCGGGTACGTGAGAAAGGGAGACAATTTGGTCTGTAGATTGTGTGAGAAAGTTTATTGTTCTACATCGTGTGTATTGTTTTCAGCTCCGGCAGCTTCCATTTTTCCCGCCTTGGGTGCGACATCTCTGGGTTCTGCCGCTCCTACTCTGGGAACAACAGGGTTTTCGTTTAGTTCGCCCGCGGTGCCTCCGACCGTGACACCTAAATTCACTGGTTTTGCATCGGCGGCACCGACTACAACTGTCCCAACTGTCGTAACGAGTGTTGCACCAGTATTCACAGCTTCGTCAGTACCGCAGTCCACCACAACTGCAGGTACACGAATATCTCTCGTTAATTTACAAATGTACATTTTGCTGAATGAGGAAGTTTGACTCTGTTTGGCTTGCTATTCCGGCATGTTTTGCGCGACTCTGTGCTCGTGTAAATGGTGCGTTTGGCTTTTCAGCTCCGACTTCTTCGATTTTCACGGCTATGGGAACGACTCCTGTGGTTTCCGCACCACAAGCCACACAGCCGGCGACACAGGGGTTTTCAGGATTTTCGTTTGGCGCAGCGACGGTGTCGGCGCCAGCAACCACTAACATTCCCAGTTTTGCCGCGACACCGCAGACGACAGCAGTGTCTAGTGCTGTACCAGCACAGCCAGCTTTTACAGCGTCGTCTGCGCCGCAGTCCAATGCTGGTGCGTTTTATTTCCAATCAAAAGTTCTGAAGAAATGCATTGATTTCCAGTTTCCATACTGCGGGGTTTTGCTCCATAGAATTACAGTAAACATTTCATTTGTTTACAGCTCCAACGACTTTGGTTTTTACCACCATTGGTACGACTCCGATCGTTACCGCCACCACTCAGGGTGTGTATCGAAAATGAATCTGCTGTACTTTAATATTTATGCAGATTAAATTTTTATTTTAGGAGCTTCGGCTGTCCCCACTAGCAGTAGGTTCCGCTTCCGCAAACTTGCAAATTCTTATAAATATTTATGCAGTTTATTTTCCAGCGACGCCTGCCACTGCCACTAGTGGTCAGGTTTTAAGCAGCACGATTCAGCCCACATCCAGGTACGGTATATTTGTTTGACTGTGGCGAGCTTCCTTAATTGTTATACGAACTGCCAAATTTAATGAAATAATATGCCGTAGACCTGATACCGTTATGTTTTTCGAAAAAATGGGCTGATTTAAATTATTCTGTTGTTGTAGTGATATCAGCGAAGAGGATAAAAAGTTTTTAGATCGGCTGAGCAAGATGACTTATGATGAATTTGATTCCTATCTGGAGGATACGAAGCGCCTCGTGGATCAGTTGGAGGAGAACTGGATTCAGAGCACATTGAAACTTAACGGCTTTTTGTCGATGCGCAAAGACAATACGAAAGCGGCAAGTGCAGAACAAGATACGTCACTTCTGATCTAAATTGTAGTTGCCTGCATACCTAAAGACTGCAGTTGCACTGTTTCTTTTATTGCTCTAAACTTTCAGTTTTGCTGGACTTACCTAACCTTTTGCCCTAAACTTATTTGTTTGGTTTTGATTTTAATCTTACTTGTTTCTCAACTTTCAGATGTGGTTACTGCGGGAAAAGGTTCAGACTCTGTGGGATTTTGAAACTCGCGTCGAGCGCACACTGGCAGCTGTGAGTTTAAGCATGGCCCAGATTGATGAAACATTGACATATTTGGAGAAGCACGCCACGGATCCTGACGATTTCTTCAAGAAAAATGCCAAACGAATATCTGCCGAAGATCGATATCGCGCTAACTGGTTGAGTGACACCCAAAATTTTGTTGGAATAATATTGCAAAACTGTTTCTGTCTGTAGCTACAAAACGTTGGATCTTCTCTATCGAGAAGTGAGGATTGCTTTGAGTGATATCGATATTTCTCGTAAACGTCTGATGAAAAGCCTTATCAAGGAGGATGAAGTTCGGGATCTGCTTGGAAGCGAAAAAATGGTAAATTTGACTTTCATGCACTTCGCTCGACTTGTATGTCTTCAGTGTGCTGTTTCTCATGCACTGAAATTTCATGATTTGGATCGAAATTATCTCTAGTTTCTAAAAGGCAAGCATAGGAATAGCAGATTTTATGGAAATCGTTTACGAAATTGCATAAGTTGCATGAAGTTGTGATTTATGAGTGAGTTAAGACTTCTATAATATTGTTATTAATTTTATTCCATTTGTAGTTAACCGGTCAACTCGCCCCACAGTTGCTGATGGAAAACCCGTATGTTTTGGGAACTATTGCATCCATGATGATGAAGGATATCAGTACGTCTCGTAACCATTCCATTTTAGTGCGGTTGTTAAGAAACGATATAAATGCTTGCAGAAGAAGTTAAACATGGACAACGGCAAGCTTTGACGAAACTGCGATTCCAGAACAAATCCGAAGCTGGCACCCAATCTCGCTGAAGTTAAATGTTTTGTAGTATTTTTGCGCTTGCTCGTTCCGTCTGTCAAGATGCGATCTTTTGTAGATTTTTTTGTAATGAAGGCAAACGTTTTTCAAGTGCAGTGCACACAGGTTTGACCTGTTCCTGGTTGTTTTAGCCTGTTCATGAAACGATTTTATAAGGTTTGCTATATGAACCAAAAGACATTGTTGGATCTTGAATAACGAGTGACCTCATGTAATATGTTCACTATTGCGGCTGACTGATGTTAGGTCGAATCGGGGATGTCAGGTCGATTTGCGCAATGTTGAAGGATCATGTTTCTCATACAACCTAAATTGCTTTAATTTATTTCTAGCCTCCAGAATAACTTACTGTATATTCAACTTTTTACCGAATAGCTACAGTGTTGTTCAAACATAAAAGATGAATACGGAAAGCATTTTTTAACAAAAAAGATAACGGTTGAAATACGAGTGCGTTGTATACGATTCCTAATACGATCGTTGTATATGTGCGTTGTATACGATCCTAATTGTACGTAGAATAACGATTGTACGTATTAATTTTAAATCACAGCTGTGAATATGCTCATAATAAACTAGTACCAACCGAGCAAGCGGCAATGCACGCATCGCTGTAATCGAAATCTTTTTCTGATCACAAAATTATTCTTACTATGCCCCGTTGCCAATAGGATTTAAAGTTACACGCGCAGATTTATTAAAGAACAATACTATACTAAGTACATGGTTAGGTAATGTGCACTGTTTGTGATCCGAAGAAATTCATATGCTGACCAGGAGACAGGAAGTGGCACTGCAGCTGCACTGCGCGGCAAACTATGCATTTTAAATTCGATCTACGCACATGTACTGTGCGCTACTGTACAGCCATGTTCATGTGTAAGATGCGTAAAGATTGTCACTTGGGAAATTCGGCATGATACAACGCAGTAACATCCTCATCCCAACACGCTATTCCAATTGGCGCTATTAAGGACAATCTATCGGAAATCAGATGCAGACAGCTGGGAAGAGCAGCAGCAGCGAGCACATAATTGCCCCTGTTGATACAAGTTCCCGCTCCCTCGCATAGTGTACGCCGCCAACACAGCCAACACAGGGTGTTATGTCATAATTCCAGTCCATAAAATCAATGCCCAACCGACATATCTGTACTGCGCAAGTGATGGCCGTGAAAAATGGCTTTGTATCGATTCAACGCATTCGGTGTCGTCTCGCGGGGAAGAACAAAATAAACGGAGTCTCTAACACATAGCGTGTTAATAAAGCATAATAAATCGGGTTGATAGTGGAGATGATTGCGGAGTAAAAATTTGTTGTGATACCGCACAGGCTGCGCTGTTATCGTGTGTACCGTGATGAAAAATGGGTCTCTGTATTCAACTGAAATGGATTTCGCTGAGCTTTACCGTGCTGTACGTTATGCTGGCCGTTGCCGATCTGGCCGTCAGTGTATCGTGGTGTCTGCATTCGGACGGTGTGGATACGGGACCAGCCGAGAATTGGTTGCATTTTAATCGTGTCTTAATTGTGTTAATTTTGCTGGGAATTTTTCTGGGCATTGCCGGTCTGTTGGGATGCGTGGCGGCGCTGAGGGATGCGCTGGGATGGCTGGTCTTCTCCACCGTGTGCGTCCTGATGTTGGCGTGCGGGTTCATTGTGGTGGCGGTCTTTCTGGATACGCGGATGGCGGATGCGGAGCATGCGGTGAAGAACACGATGATCAGCCAGATGCAGGCCTATAACAACACCGATTTCAACGAGTGCGTGTTTGTCGTATGCATTATTCATAAATGCGTTATGGGTATGACCCGGGAATTTTAATTGCCCTGCAGTGTGCATCATAAACGTTTTCCGTACATTGCTCGACCATCCTTCAGTCGTTGTAATTTATTAACGGGCTGTGTTGTACGGGTAGCAGTAGTGCTAAAAATAACTACAATATTTATGCAAGCAGCAAGCTAAATGTTTTGTAATTGTACTAATTGACGTTTGCCTGTTGACGTCGTGAATTATATAGCTATAACGCGGTTTAAAACATCGATATCTGCATACGATTGCTTACTGAAATATGTATTCCAGCTACTATGTACCACGTATCTGTATGTTAGCCTTAAGTCTACAAAAATTAATCACCTTACAGAATTCCTGTGCACTTGTTTCGTGTTTCCTATTTATACAAGATGTCTTTTTGAGCAGAACCATTTCCTATTGGGACAACATGCAGAGGAAGTATAACTGCTGCGGGATTGAATCAGCAGACGACTGGAGCAGTCTGAGTCAGGTAAGACTGTGATAGAATGCGGATGCGGCATATTTCTAGGCATTGAAGGTACGTAATTAAGTACATCTTGACCTTGTAGATATAGATATGTTCTGCAGTACCTGTATGCTGAAATTAAAGTACTTTGTATATCTATATATATATATAACTACAGAGTGCGACAGTGGCCACTTCAGTTACGATTTACGAATATTTACTGTTTTGGGAATCTTTGTTCCTGGTTTCAGTTGGTTCCGCAGTCGTGTTATCCCAATGGCGGCTCTGTATTTCATTCGCCTGGATGCCTCTTTCACTCTTTAATACCGGCCAGGAAAGCAGTCGAAGGGACTCTTATTTCGACAGGTACGGAAGAAATATGCCCGCAAATCGGAGTACCGCATAGTATTTTATTTTTGTAAAGCGACGTAGCTTAAATACTCGTACTTAATTGCGCCAGTGTTGCTACAATAACGCTAGATATAACGATCGGTCAGCGAGATGCGCAACAAGCATAGTACTGGTACTTGGCTTATCGCTTAATTCAGTATGTGCTATTTTATTTTGCGTTATTTGATTTCTTATTTATATATATTTAATTTATTTAGATAGTAAAACGTTGGTAAGAGATACAAGTATTATTACGCGGAAATGATAAACGTCATCACTATTCCATGACATGTTTAACAAGTTGACAAATCTAGAGCGCAGATCGACAAATTAGCATCTCAACCTCTGCAAAATTCTAATGTGCATGCTCAAGTGCTACATTTATTATCGAATGGGAAATCTTTGTCTAATGTGACGAAAGAAAACTGCTAAGAATCAGATTAAAAGCCGGTAAGGCTTATCGACAGGACATTCCTTAGTTTTTCATATCTTTCTGTACGATAGAATCGTTTTAATTTTTGGAGAACTAGTTCATCACTAGCGAATCGAACGCTTTATGGATTCTTTAACGTTTTCTTGCAGGAGTAATGGCCGGTATCCTTTTCCTTGGATTCATCTGTAATGTCATGCATTGTTGCCTGCTTCGAAAAACACGGGATAAAGAAATTTGAAAATTTTCGCATATACCTTCGTTTTAAATCGACCGATCTCTAGCACACCCGTACAGAAAATGTAAATCAGTAAATTTGTACTGGTGCAAACTTGAAGGACGGCCATTTTTAGACCTGTGTTACGTTAAATAAATATGTTTTATTTTTGAAGTATGCTGTTAATGTGGAGTCGATGATTGTCGCCACGTGTGTTTGAGACGTCGAGTGCAGTGCCTGCGTAACTGCGCTGTATTTCACCATACCATCCAAAATAAGTACGAGTATGGCTTTTTGTTGCGGACAAAATTATAATTATTGTCTTAATGACGCACAAACGTGGAAGAGCTGACTCTGCGGGCAAGCTAAGACCATTGGACAGTATCGTTATTCACGGAATGATGTTTTGAGGCGATATCTAATCATCTCAGTAATCCGATTACAGTAAATGTTAAAAGCAATTGCTGCAAATTTAAGTGTTGTCAACTAGCAGTGCAAACGACACAATTACCTATTTTTCATGGCCCGCATATGGCATGGCTGCAACTGTTTTGCCATTAATTTATGACCAAATATGTTTGCTCATAGTTAATTACGACAATTTAAAGGCGTATGTAAATAAGTGCAGTCATCTCACAATTTGTTGATGGCCGTTTTGCCGGCTTGCATTGGTTTGCTAGTGTGGTGCAGGTTCTCTGGCTTGTAATTAAGTATACGTGCATACTTCTTTTCACAGTTGATTTCTGCAGCTTGGAAAGTCACGTTTCTACCTCCGGCGCACTGTTATTGAACATGCAATACATGATTGGCTTTAGTTTACGCTATTTTTTGTTTTTCTAGCTCACATTTGTTGATTGTTTGTAACAGGGGCCAACGGGACTGGTGCAGAGGCTTTTCGGTTTCTGCAACACTTCTCGTGTATTTTTCTCGAAATATTTGCTCCGCATCATCATTTCTTCGACTGCAGGCGCTAATACAATACTTAATAGTTAAAAATGCCAGTTAGCTATTTATTTCCTCAGTTAGTTATTTATTTGCTCATATTTGCCAAGTTTATATGTAGCTGGTACTGTAAATCTAGAGAAGTGAGCACATATTTTTTGAAATTGCAATAAAAGTGGCAAAGACCAAAGATTTGCACGGAATTCATAGGTGGCGCGTGGCGATATGAGAAAGTTTTGGTATCGAATTTCTGTGCGGAACTTTATTCAACGTAAAGAAATTTATCTGCAGCATTTTCAATGCTTTATTGTGTAAGGATGTCCTTCCACCTTATAACCAGAACGTAAATGGCCACATAAGCCACTAATACGCAAACTTTTTCAAATAAAACTTTTCTGTATGCATTAATTCTTTGCTTTACAAACACATGCGTTATCCTGTGCAGTGCTCTTAATGGGAAAGACGCCCTTTACGTACGTCCAGAAATCCATAACGCGTCGATGCAAATTAGGTATAATATTGCGAAAACCTTCCGGCTTTTGTGGTCTTAACTTGTTGATTCAATACATCACAGAAAAGTAAGCAAAGGTTAATATTCCATTATGGATTTTTGCGGAGTGCGATCTCCTCGGACACGCGCTATAGATTGCTAACGAGATTGCAAACTCGGTTAGTGCGGCATTAGCGCCTATTTGTCTTCCGAGGATTTTTTACTAAATAAACCGCTAATTTGCCATGACTTTTTATATTATCCCACATATGATGATCATGCGCTTGAGTGCATCCACATTATCTATCTGGTGCATTAATTGCCATATATTGTATTTCTGGGCGCGGTCACCTGGAGATCTGTTCAAAATTAATTAAGACCTGGATGCAGTTTGTTTGAACGAATGTTTAACACAATATCTGGCGTGCATATACAGAGCTGCAATTTGTAGTCAATAATATGTTAACGAATTTGCACAACATGGAATTCCCACATGTTCATGCGTTCTCCATGGCAAGGAATTAGAAAATATCACGGTAGCATCTGATTAGACAACGTCGTAAGCAATCAGAGAAAACATTAGACGACGTGGTTAATTATTATCGATCGGAAATGGATGCGGGGTCATACTTTCCCTAACCGCACGGGCACTATAAGTGGCATAACCATGAGGTTTCACCATTGTCTGTCGTGTTATATTCTCTCTTTCAAATCACACCGGTTTTTCTCTCCTGTAATACGGACAGGTATTTAGACACATCCCACCTTATTAAGCTGTCTTCACTGAGCGCTGTACCACGCACCATTCTTTGCATTAAAGTTTCCGTTCCCACAGCATATTCCCCGTGGTGGGAATTGCAAAGGTCATTTGTTGGTAGTGGGTGCCTATTTCTTTGATCCCATCGCCCGTACAAAAGATCAAGTGTCTCGCTGGTTAAATGAATTTCAGTGCCGCTGCTACCTGAACGGATTGATCTCGGCACGATTCCTTCCGCACCGGTGTTCCAGTAAGGTAAATACTCGTACATCCATCCGCGCCCGGAGCGTGATATTGTCAATTGAAATTTTTCTCTGGCTCAAATCGCGATCTCTAGCCTCTAATCTCTGCACTTTAATTATTGACATTCCCCCTGACAATTTAGACCTAATTAAAACCAGCTGAACAATTTTCCATAACGCTTGCACGAACGGTGAGTTTATCGTCAGCAATTAGTTTATCGTCGAGCTATCGACTGAATTTTATTGCTGATTTTTTTGCTTCATTTCAACATAAATCCTGGAAACCATGTATAGTATTTTTCCTTATCCCTCTCAAGGTTAATATTGAATCCCAGTAAAATTTCCTTAACGGACATTTTTTCCAACTATTCATCATAATTCTTGCGTGTTATACAGAGTTATACATCTGTAACTGCCCGTATCAGAATGGGACACTCAAATATCAACCGGGGGTTAAAATATTGCGTGGCAATATTCTTCGCCACATCGATGATCATTGGCGTAGGACTGGGTGGCGGTGCGATCTATGTTAAGCATCGGTTTGCCGGCGGCACGGAAGTGGGATGGACGGTGTGGGTGGCAATTTTGTGTGGCGGGACACTAGTATTAGTCGGCATAATCGGAATAGCCGCGGTCAAACTGGACAGTCTGCTGATCCTGGTGGTAGCCACAACATGCTTGGCGGTAGTATGTGCCGCTTTCGTCGGTTTTACGATTTATGCACAAGTGGAATTAAACAATGCCGGTCGGGAAGTCGGACAAGTGCTCAAGTTGGCCATGCAGCATTATGATCCCAGCGATAAACAAACAACGTAAGCCCAAAACTCACAGAGAAGACAATTGCAAGTAACTTTTTATTTCATTGCATGAACCTGGAAGGTTTTAGCGCGTTGTTGTTTATAAACACCGCATTAACATTAAAAAAATAGCATACGGTAATTAAAACATATAGGCTTGCTCATCTTGTTTGTCTACTTTAGCTAATATTTCACATTACATCGCTACCATCGAATAATGCATTCGCGGTGTCCTTAGTGTGGGCCTCTATGAATATGATTATTAACAATACAGAAATCACAGAAATGTCAAAGAGTACAACGTCCAAGCCAGAAAACCACTCTACTGCTACAAAAATTTTATTTTATTCCTCGGCTTCTTCCATCATCCCATATACAGAAGCAGCTTTGCCTCGTTAGATCTTGTGTTGACAGTTGCTGCGTATCAGCTCATATGATCGAGAGAGCGAAATCCATGGAGTCTTTTTCCAATTTCATTGACTACCGTTGTTTTTTTACATTATGTGTCGTATTGATAATGTCCGTATATGTGCATTTAGTTTTTTATTTCTTTACCCTTTCATATAAAATTGTAAAAGCGCATTATGCAGCGAGTTATAATTAGGGGCAAGCACGTTTTAATTTCATCTGCATGCGTTCCTGGCCGATGTAAAGCGAGGTCGAAGCATTTTAAAGAACTGCTATTATCAGTAACATGCTCCCGGCGTCATATGACGTAAAAGTAGCAATACATACATAAATATCAGACCTTTTCCAAACCTTTCATCCATAGACAGGAAATTCTAGCTGTGAATTCATCCTTTTTGTAGTCTTGTTAACGCGTACGTACAAACTCAGTACTTGGCTAAACAGATTCAGTACCTAATTATTATTATTACCACGGCTTTGTTGATTCACAGATTAGATTTGGACATTTATCAAAAGCAGCTTTACTGTTGCGGTGCGGATGGTCCGGAAGATTGGTTAACCACACCTTACAGAGTGAGTTGTATACCTTTGTGATTCCGTGATCCCAAATCTTACCAGTACCTATGCATTTTTCTAATCCATGATTATTACCCTACGTAATCATGGATAACCTTTTTATTAATTTTGTTCTCGTATACGTATAATTATCAGAATGACGAACGAATATACGTCGTTATGTAGTTGGGCATTCATATTAGTTCTCTTCCGGTTTCTTTGAGTAAACTATAAAAATTTAATAGAATTCGCTATGCATGCTACATACGCGGTAATAATTAATTCCCTACGCCTTTTTCACTAGAAACTGCCCAACTCTTGCAAAGGTCCCCCGCCGCGAACACTGGGCTGTACTCAGGTAAGGTCCCCTACAGTAAAAGGTCTACCGCATGTGTCATTACTGATATACTTTCTATGCCCCGTCTTCATATTCAGGTGATATCCAGCTATGTAAAAAATACCGCTTCCTACGCACTGCGCGCATTAGGTAATTACAAAGGTTAATGCCATATATACGTGTTAACGCATATGTACTCTGTATGTACGTACCGCACAGTACGGCGCATTAATATTGATCGAAATTATACAGTATGTATGGATTTTGTTTATTTAAATATGCCCACCATCTCCATTTCAGCTGCCCTAACAGGATACCATTGTGTCGGACTGGTGTTATGCTCGGCGCTGACCTATGTGTGTTACCGAAAGGGACTATGAAATCACAAAGTACAGGATAGCCATCCAGCCAAACAAACTGCAATAATGTGATAGCATATTGATTTAGAATTTGTAAAGCTGTTATGATGTTATCCAACCGGCATCGGCCATGCGCATAAAAATTTTTGGAGTTGAAGTAAATGAACCCACTTAGGACAAACGCGATGCTAAAATGCACGTAGCGATGCCGACATAATGTGATCTGTTTACTTACATCTTGGTGCTTGCATGCGAGAGTAACAAAGCAAATTAAGGTGACTCCTTTCTTGTCATGTTCTGAACTAGAAGTCTCAGTTCATTGTACTATTGGGGTGGTGTTTCCCGTTAATTTGACATGATTTTAAAGATTAATATGTACAGATTAATATGATTTTGAAGATTAATATGTTTTTCGCTACGGATGTTAAGATTTTGTGCACGAGTTAAACTTTTACAATCCTGAGAATTTATACGATTTACCATAGCTTTAAATCTTCGTTTAAATTCTTGCGCAGCTGTCGCGCTGCTATAAGGTTTCAGTTTATCAACAGTTAATAAGTAGCTGATAAGTGAGACACTGGGAATATACAGCAACATTCTGATACGTTGAGGCGTGAAATATTACGAGTAATTCTGGGTGCGCTCGGTCGCCCATTGTGTTTTATCTTTTCGTCAAAGGGCGACAGGAATTATTACGGTAACAAACCACACCACAATATACATATCTGCTGGTACTAACGTAAATACTCCGAATATATACCGCTTTACGGCCAGCTTTATTAACAATACGAATCACAACCAATTAGTAGTAGAATTTTGGATGAATACAAATCAAAGAGAAGCATTAAAATTAATTTATTACTGTATTTTCTCAAAATCACAGTACTGGCTAACAGGAGTGCTTATTTTCTGTCAGGGAGCAGTTGAAGCAGTACTATGATGGTGATTGTGAATTTGTGAACACCCATTACACCATGAAAGCTTATCCTGAAAATTCAGTAAAAAGGATAAAAAGTCGTATATTACAAGGTTCTTAAGATGCGACATAAAGAATGCTAGACATAATTAAAGAGACAAATATAGACATAATTGAAGCATTTTTCAGCTGGCCGTTAACATTTGGCTGTTACAGACGAATTAGCCGTGTCAATGTGAAATACCGCCGTGTGTACTCGTAGCTTGTGAGCAACAGATCTAGAGCGATCCAGCAGTCTTTGTGAAGCCTAATTAAAGCAGTCCGGACACTGGGACATATGGCCATTATTATTGATTACCACTTCCAGGATTCTGCGAGGAGGCCAGTTGAAGCTTCCATGGTGATTTCCGTTCCAGAGGGAAAGGCATTTCTGATATTTCAGTTTTATTGTTCGGTTTTTACAAGAAAAAGGTTTTTAAAGTCATGAACCAGTTGTGATTGGAATATCTGGATGCAGTCCTAGACGCTTCTCTTACTATTCTAGCTCAAAAGCAGTGGAGAAACCTGGAGGCGTGAGCTCCATTACTTGTTGCACTTTGGTAATAAGCCTGGTCGGTCCATTGGAGAATCTCAAACCTACAAGTAAAATAATTCACCCGGAACAACGCAGCGCTTTTTTGCTATTGCATTGCACCACCGGGCAGCAGATGATGGACTGAGCCATATATACTCTGCCTTAAATTATTCGAGCATTTTCGCATCAAAATATGTCAATGATAATCAGCTGTTTTTCGTGTAGTTTCTAGTTAATTTTACCCAAGAAATCCATGAGGATGCGTACTGTTATCCCCACGTTATCTGGCGCGAACCGTTTTTAACAAGCACAGTCAATCGTTATATGAGTAATAGTTGACTACAAAGTGAAAACGCGCTTAGTCGGATAAGGAAATCTCTCTTTTGATGAACAGTGAGTGTAAGAAAGAGGTTCTAATAAATTTGATTCCACCGTTTACAGGGTGACAACGGTGGGAGATGGCGAGATGCACGATCATCCCATTACGGTTAAGCAACACAACACAAGGTCATCGCAGGTGTTTATTAGCAAGTACAACGTAGCAAGATTCAGCGAGCAAAGCATGCTGAGGAGGAAGAACGCATAAGCGTGGGGCAAGAAGCGCGGAAGGCGCGGAGCAAGATCGGGAGCAAGCTGCAGCAAGACTAATTTCAAGATGTTTCTGACCGTGAGATGCGGTCGGTAAAATGTTGGAAAATAAGGATTCTGATACTCATAACACAACAAGCAGTAAACAATGGAGAAAGGCAATTAACACTCCTACATGTATATAGTATATACATACTACATGTATCTACATGTATCTACATGTATATACATTCTCCTACATGTATATACATATGTCTATCGCTATCGCTGCATCCCTCACGGTGGCGATGACATATACGTGTCTCACTCAACAAGATAAAATTAGGGAGTGTTAACGAAAAAATAGCCGAAAATTAATTAATTTTAGACAATAGTAAGGAGTCTAGGGATAGTCCTGATGTAAACGTGGCGGATCCATTGTTGTTGGGTTAATCTTCCACGAAAAGGTTAATGTTGAGCGATCGGATTCTGCGATCGGTGTGAATGGTGGTGGGCTGGTGCGGTACTGCAGATGGAATGTGTCCCTCACGGTATCCGAAAGTGACAATGCATGAACAGTAGTGCAGCACTAACAGAAGGAAGTAGAAAACGTTAATGCAAATCCAGACACATGCAGCAAATTAATTTTTTTACGAGCTCTTTTGTATGATAGATCTTTACAAAAGATTATCACCATCAGGCAGAAATACCACCACCAACTTACTGCTAGAATTAATTTTGGTATTACGTAGCATTCGCACGATACGAATACAGAAACGCAATATAACAATCTTTTATTGCGAACAGCCGCTAGAATATTCCATACAATTCATGTGTTTTATAAGTTATAAATAACTGACAATGCTTTGAAAATAGTTGCTTCTCTGTCTTTATCTTACTACCGTACCATAGAGATTCTTTAAAATTGAAAATGTAACAACATCAACTTTAAAAAATTTATTACGGTTGGTAACATGATGTATGTTCGCTGCACTGCTGCAGTTGAACAGAACTTTCGCTAAATACTAAATCTGCTCGGCATAGCCGCATGCTGTTCTATATTAGCACCGGAAATGCAACGCTTGAATAAGAAGTATTTTATGCGACTGTCGAAGTACCGTATAACTTCGCGCGCTTTGCAGTACATGGTAAAATCGACAACGCAAAACAACGGTGTTTATACCGGTAAGTTTAACCTCTCGAAGTACTATGACTAATGTAAGGACGAATATTATATAGATATACTATTAAACGTACCTGCATCCATGAAGATGCAAGATGCAGCACGTCAACGTTATGGAACCGGTGTACAGCATAGTGCATACTGCATAGTAGTACAGTCAGGTGTTCTTGTAAGTTTTTGTACGGCATTGCACGTTCCGCTTAGTGCATTTATGCTCGTGCACTGAAAATCAATGGTTTCACGCTGTTGGAAAGAGGTCACGGAAAAATTTTAACATAGCGGAATGTGAAATTTACATTGTGTCGGTCGATCAATAGTCTGGACTTGTATATCTATACAAGTTCACATAAAATTTAACACTCTATCTTTATTACACAATAAACCGTATAATTAAAAGAACTGCGATAGATTTCCAGCATGCCTGTTATCAAGCCGGTAAAAAGAACGTTTACGTGATAGGAAATTACGTTTACGTTTATGTTAGGAAATTTATGGTAGCAATGCTCAGTGCAGCGAGTGATTTATAGGTGATTCGTAAATGAATCATTTGAACGCTATGGCAGATACCTAATTACGGAAGAGCCAAATTTTCACAATCAGGCCGTATACACTCTGCAGTCAACGCAGTATTAAATTCATAAGCTTTTCCGCAGTCAACTAATTCTGGTACGTCATACACCAGCGGATATCTATATTATATATACGTATATGTATCTACTATCCACTCTATACTCGAAGACTAGCACATTCTGCGATTTATTGTGCGCTCAGGTGGTCGAAATGATTCGTCGGCTTTCACTTCCATCGAATATAGATCACACCGATGCATCAAAATTGCTAAATGACCTAACTGAATGACTCATGGCAAGCACACGATTTTCGATTATTTACTCACAGGTCGTTGTGACCAGCACTTGCAATGCCCCAGCACTACTAACGCACTTTTCAGTCTTGCACTAAGTGCTGCGACTAGCATCCGTCTGTGTTCAAGAGAAAGTTAAATTTTTCGCGCGCACCTATTTGCAAAAAACTACTGTAGCCAATGTTGCCGATTAACATCATCATGGCAACTTCGGAGTGACGGCGAGAAGTAGGAATTTGCAGTGTAGCGAATTCTTGCATTCGTGCAATTGCCACTACTACCATGCCATCCAAAGACCGGTTGAGCGAATTTCTGGTAAGGCGTGCAACCGTTAAGGCGTGTTACCGTTAATATCGATGGTATAGATTATACCTGAACATGTACTCGGTACCTACTTAGCATGCACATATATTATGTATCTTGATCGCCAGAAAGCACGTTAACATCCTTAACAAAACAAGATTTCTGCGGTGAACTGAATTTTTTGTGAAAACCATTTGATACGTAGTTTACAAAATAGATTGATTAAAGTTTATTTAGGCACGGAACGATGGGGTTCGGGGGTCAAAACGGAGCTTCCCGTGGCACGCCCACTCTCGACTGCGGAGCGAAAGCGAAGGCCAGCTGCCAGATTTGCCGGTAATAAAGGGGCAGAAAGAAATTCGTGTACCCGTGGGAGCTGGTCAAACCGAGACTTTTCTTCACAAGGTAAGTCAAATGGTTTAAGGACGAAATAATACGGTAACGTTTAAGCTCATAGATTATCATTACATTTTTTAATGCTTAGATTTTTAAAATTATGCCAATCAAGTTTACTTTTTCAAGTTCAGTTTTTTTATCAAGTTTTTTAAGCATATGCAAATCAATTTTATTTTTTCTCGCTCTGTTGGCGGTTGCCTATTACACGGATATTGTCGATGACTATGCGTAAAACTGGTCAGGCCGATGAAGTCTCTGTGATATAGACGCCCACGGTCCACGAAGCATACAGAGACTCGATCCCAAATTTTGCTGTCAAACTTTTGCGTAACTGCTTTAGTTACAAATCGTTCGGTAGAAATGTTTTGCATGCGTCATCTATTCGATGTTTTTTTCATATAAAATAAAAATACTGCATGCCTAGTAATTGTACCCTTACCTGAATTTTGTAAGCATGTTGAAGTTTAACGCACAGTTTAACAGCGAAAGTACCGTCTCTGACGTTAGAACTGAATCTACTTCGATTCGGCAGGAAGCCAGAATGTGTCTTTGGTACACTTTACTAATGCAGTGATTACTTACAGGTAAAAAATCCATGGACCAGTACTAATCGTAACAAAAACTTTTTGTAAATATATGCCGAATCTCCTAAATTAATCCTGTCTGAAGGCTGTTTACACTTGCTACAAGTATTGTACAACCGCATTGCCCATAAAGTCAGCTTGCTTGCAACTTGCAAGGACTTTACTGTTTATTTTACAGCTTGAGTTATCAGTACGTATATTTATACTGATAATCAGAAATCAATATTGATCGTAGCCCTTAATTTTAGTACTTTATGAATGAAGGAGGTTACCACATGAGCTTTTTAGAACCCGGCAGTCCATTCCTGTAACTGCTAGTGCGTAGCAGTGCAAAGCACCCATGAGCCGCCCTTAAGAAAAATTAAAAAATATATGCTCTTAAAGAAAGCATAATTTTCTAGAGAGTGCTTGTTTAATTTTTGTGAAAATAGTATAAGGTCTGATGAGTTGCTTTATTTGCAGGTTGAGCGGGTGTCCAGTTGCATAAATCGACTGGAAAAGGAACTGAACGTATTAAAAAAGTTGCAGTCGGATACTTTAGCATCGCCACTTTCTGCGGGTATTTACTTAAAATGTACTTTAGATTTGAATGCCATTCTGCAAAGTACACAAGAAAATTTATCACGGGACTGGGTTTCTACGATAAAAAAATTTAACTTCCAGGACAAAATGACGGAATTCATCGTATGCTCAACACATTCCGCACAACCGCTCTGGACATACGGAGACAGTTGAAAGGTTAGTTTACTTGTAATATCTTGGCTATAATGTTGACATTTGACTAAACTAATAATTTGGTTGTAGAACTGGATAATGATATTGCTATCACGAAGGAATGTGGTGCCACGGAAGCAAGAATCTGCTTGGCGCAGGTATAACGTGTTAGAAGTATTGGAAAATATTTTTGTAACATGTTTAACGCCTTACATATCGTATATCTATATTTATTCTTCAACGTACAGTATTACAACCATTACACACAACATAATTTATTCGTGCACAGAACATCGTGACAAAATTTTGACATCCAAGTCTCTTTGATCTAGAGAGACGCGTTGAACAAAAACGTTAGCCGGGTTCTGGCGGAATTCGCCCAAGCGGAAACTGATTATCGGCAACGCTGTGTGCACCGGGTGCAGCGTCAGCTTTTTATAGGTAAAGTAGTGTTTTTGAATTGCACATAATCTATCTGCACTGAATAGTGAGATAAGCCGACTTATTGACCACAAAAAAATACCTACCTGTCAACTGAATTCGGTAGCAAAGTTTTACACTAACGTCCCATCATCATTTATATAAGCTGATGTACGAGTATTATTGAGTTTTGATCTATGTAGAACACAGAGGCCAGTTGTTAGAAGTCTATTGTCACGACACTTCTAGGTTACGGCAAAATTAAATCCATTAAAAATCGCCACGCGTTTGTACTTAATATTTATTGCTCTGAAATATATCTGTAGTTGGTCAGCCAGCTGTCAGCCAAGAACACATCGAAGAACTCCTATCACGCAGTGAGCCGACCATGTTATTCACACAAGGGGTAGGTGTACCAGTATATAAGGGGCGAAACTAAACGTGTTCCACGGTTTCCGGCTACTGCTGCCGTCACCCGGCTGGAGTTTTACGTTGTGGCTGAACATGGCGCTTATGTACCGCGCCAGATTTAACCATATGTATTGCCGTAACGTCACACTCCAGGCGGGTGACGGCAGCAGTACTGGGGAACCGTGGAACACGCTTAGTTTTGCCCCCTATACATATGTATATTCCACAACCTGCACGAACCAAGTGGTCAGACTGGAATGATCAGATGAATACACCAGTAAAATAATAATGCATATGCATTGTGTGTAATTTCAAAATGCTTCTTCGCCATCAATGCGTATACGTCTCATGGTGTCTGCACTTTTAAGCGCATAATGTATGATTTGTTTGTGATGTCTGGTCGCCGATCCCAGGTAATTGCCGATTCCCAGCGCGCCAAAGAAACTTTAGCGGATATTGAGACGCGACACGGCGAACTATTGGCACTGGAAAAAGCATTGTCGAATTGCGTGACGTTTTCAAAGATTTAGCCATTCTCGTGGAAAGCCAAGTAATGCTGACTTATTTGGAAATTTTGAACGAATTTTACGAAATAAAATGAAGCGGGCCTACGAAGAGATTCAATGCAAAATAAATTACACATACATATTCTCATTCTGAATGTACAAAAAAACATATATCGATATTATCGTTAACTAAATCTGAATCTATTTTTAAAAGTAAAAAACTCCTGAAATGCTACGATATCGATGAAGATTTTGTGTTTGCTGTATCTGTGATATTTATATACGTAATCGAAGTACGTAATAGCTAACGAATTTCGAAAAACATGTGGAAATATCTATATGTACAAGTACAGAGTACTCACCGGCGCTGCGGACTATTACTAACAAATAATACTTCGGTAACACCCCCTATATGTATAAATTGACCTTTGTGCGTTTATAGGGAGAAACAGTTACTGCTATCGAAACCAACATTCAACTAGCAAAAGCTGGAGCCAACGATGCTGGGAGCTTGCTAAAAGAAGCCAGAGCTATGCGAAAAAGTGCCAGATCTAAAAAGGTTAGTGTCTAGGAGTTGTAGGTAATTCTTCCAGGAATTGTGCATGTACTTGAATTTTTCGATAACTTCATTCTTTAGAGAAAACTCATCTTACTTTGCTTTTACAGAGAAAACTGCTTTGCTTTGGAGGGATATTCTTGGGGATAGTTACAACCATTATTGTTCTTGCTGTATATTTCTCTGCGTGACTGAAATTTATGCGATATTTTGTATGTATCTGTGTAAGTTTTGTCGATATTACGCACTATGTTTATGCATTCTCTTTTAAACGGCTCCTTGCGGAATTTTTTTGTAGAAGTAATAACTTTTCGGCTTTGTGCAGAAGCCACTGTTTGCTTGTTATGACCAAATGTTCTAGCTTCCTTTTGTGGTAATCGCGTTGAATCTTTTGCGTTTCATTGCCGACTTTGTTTTGGAAGCGTACAAAGGGTCGCGACATAGATCTGAATTGAGAAATAGTTATACGGCGGAGATAATGGTCGTGTTTCTTAGTTAATAAAATTAAAGGTTACGAGCAAAGTAGCTACTGTTATTATCCGTCAAGCAGAAGCAAAAGCATGTATTAAGAACCAAGTTTTCGGGCTGATGTTTTCATTGCCAGCTTGTTGCACGTGCCAGTGTCCATTGCAGATTAAGTATAAAATATTTTACGCTTATGCTGCTCCAATGGCGCACAAACGTAAAGCTACAAGATAGCAAGCTCGAACTAAAACTGCATTATGAAATCTGGATATTATAGCACAAAATATTGAAGTGAACAATATAAAGCTGAAAATTAAATTTGGGTAAAAATTGGGTCATCTGTCGCTGTGACCACCATAATACTGGATTTGTTGGGTGTTATGTTGGGTCATCATGGACATCATCTGCAAAACCAGTAGCCAATAATTAAGTGCTGGAACAAAGATTTCAAAATACGCAATAGTTTGCTGCACGTTATCGTTATTTTACGTTATTTTGGTGCACAAATGCGGTTATATTCCATAGTGCATACCATGGAAATTAGTGCTGCGTTGTTGTTGCCTCCGTTGCCATCCTGTCTTCCGTTTCCGCCGCCGTTGTTCATCAACAGTAGCGGTAACAATGCCGCCATGTTATTATTGTTCCCGCTCTGAATTATCTGCATATGATTGCCCCCTTTAATTATAAGAAAAGAGCACTCGTAAGTACTGGGATATGCCGCAGCTTTAAACGATCGAGCGGTAGCAAGGCGACGTGTTGGCAAAATAAGTGGGCGAAGCGCACTGATTTTCAACAACCATATCCATACCTGCGTGCATGCTGTATTCATAACGTATACTGTATGCAATAATTTGCATTTTCCTGTGGTTACATATAATCCAATTACCTACCGGAACCATCTCTATGATGTGCCGTCAGCACCGGCCGATGTATTTCTGGAAACAAGAGCTTTAATTTTATTATACGCCGCACCAAGCGAAGTTCTTCCGTTACATGGGCAAACTGAATTGTACCTATCGAGCGGGAGGTATTCCGATTTTGCGGTTCGTTTTGTTCTGTTAAACACAAAATTTTTGATAGCATCACGTAAGCAACATCCGGCGCAGAAGGTGAACAGCAAACACTGATACCGTGTGCCACGTCAATATATATACAGCCTCGATATGCGGTTATTATAAAAATATTGGTAGACCGTAATATAGTTAATATATCTTTGCAAAGCATTAACAGTAGTATTTTGACTATCTATTTAATGCAAAAATTTATTTGCGCAGTTAAAGAATTTACGTACCTACTAGGGTAGAATGCAAGATTGAACTTGGAGGCGGCGGAACAGGAGGACCGCGATCCGTAGCATTCCGCATTGCTGATAATCGCTGATAAAAATAATCATACGCCCTTCTGGCATGATGAGCATCGGTTGATGTGTCCATTTTATCCTGTATAATATAATTGTGGTAATAAACCCAAATACGTTAGCATGCAGAGATTGACACAGATAACGTTTATTGACCTTTCCACTTTGTTTGGGATTAAAAAGTTGTAATTTAATTACTCGTAGATGCTTCTTATAAACAGGTGAAAGTACCTTCTTTACTACTGTAGCTATGGCAGTCGAGGCAAAAAAAGCACAAAATATGACGGTAACCGATGATTTTATCAGCATGATGGTAATCCTGTTGAGAAATGATTCGCCCATTTAATCCCACTGTATTGGGAGTACAGAGTGAGATCTCAGCAGGATCTTTAGCCCATCAATATCGTATTAAGCACATTACTTTCTGGATTAAGTTGCTGAGGTCATCCCATTTATGCTGTCATATGTATACGTGCAAAATGTTGTTTTTTGTGCATTACACGCATATTTACTGCATAAATGCAAAATTTTAACGGGTGTCCGGAAAGTTACACCAAAACGTAAAATAGCTGACGTAAGTGTAAATTATGTGTCACTATAACAGTTATATCCATTCCAAGGAGTTCTATCTTCAATGTTTAAGAATGGCCAGCAGAGTGCAAAATCATTGTACAAGTCGTCCCAAGAACAATTCAATGTACAGGCGGCGCAAAAATTTGGCTTCTTGTACTTACTGTATCGTTTCTTACGTTTATTGTTGATCAATATGCGCGTGCTTACGCTATCAGTCTTTATAATTAACAAACAAAAAAGCAGCAATAATATAACATTACTATCATACTGCGCACATGTTACAGTACAATGCTTCACATAACGCACGCACCTGCAGTTACAGGCTAACCGTGCCCGTAAAGTTTAATACATTTGTAGTACGTATGCGTTCAAAATGTTCGTTACACCTCGTTTCGTTACACCGGGAATCGGTAAATTCTTAAAGAGCTGCGCTAGTATCATTAATCTTGCTACGTTATGACGTAGTCCTAACCTCGCCTATAACTGCATCAGATCGTCACTTTTTTGTGAAAAGTTTTGTTACCTTTTTCACTAATTCCCGCTTTAAGAAGGCTGTAGTAAACTTCAAAAAGGCGTATCAAATGCAAGCTAGTTTTTCATAACGTACAAAATACATACTAAGAGATTTTATCGGCCACTCTGAGTACAGCACTTTCAACACCACGCTATATTCCGTTTAAAAGTATAACTACTTGTGCAGCGATTATTATTCTTTGTATTATAAAATTCATCACAATTTATAGTAATTCATGTAAAGCGTTTATAAATCATCTGTGAAACTTTTATAATATAGATATACCACCATTCTTCAATATTTTACATACACACCGTTTCGAATACCTCGTTTCGTTTTTCGTATACCTCTGCTGACCATTTTGAAAATCCGCAACTAACCATAATTATGCAGACGTTTAAGCATCTCGTATCACAGTAAATCGCAGCGCTACCACCACTTTAAGTTGTAAACTTTTAGCTCTTTTTGCTCCTAGTTTTATCTTTTCTGTTCGCCTATTGTATGGGTGTGTTTGTGTTTTGGTTTTGATCATGATATGCTCAACAGATGTCATGATCAGTTAGGCGCCAATACTCCTCGGAAAATTATGCAATGAAACCGTATTTTAACGAGATCCCTCATAAAGTTAGCTAATACTAATGCCATATGCTATCAATCATTTTATTTCTGTGCTCAAAAAAATAATTAGCGCATCTGTTGAGCGGGCTGTGGCAGTCGTTAATGGCTCGATAAAACGGCCATGAAAATCTCGTCGAACACGAAAACATGCTTTCCAACACCGGAAAACTATCATACAAATAGATTTACTACCAGAAAGCCGGCCGGCATAATGTGTAAAAACGGAACGGTTAGTGAAAGATTATAGTTCTTCTCCGTATGTGTCGCCTTCCGATTGCAGATAGAAGCGCGCCGTACAATGATTCTGTTCTGGTGAAGAATTTCGCGGGGATCGTAATGGATGGGTGACAGCCATGCCAAACTGTGTCTCATAACTCTCCGTCCGCATAATCTTCCGTAATGACCGGCACCGGCATTTCAGCAGCTCCGAAAACGGTCGCCGGAAATCCTTATTAAATATCGAATACAACACCGGATTGATGGTAGAATTACAGTAACCCAACCACAATGTCAGTCCAAACACCCATTTGGGAATGTGACCCGTATAAAAAGGTCGTATTAATGCCAGAATGAAAAAAGGTGACCACGATACGAGAAAGGCCACAATAATCGCCGTCAGAGTTTTGAAGGCTTTCAGTTCGCGTGAACGGAAGGACGATGTTGTGCGGTGGAAGCCGGTTGCATTACTGGGATGACGGTGAGGATCGTGATGGTTGACGGAAGGATTACTGGCGGTAACCGGTATTAGGATACGGACGAGACGCTGCGGAAAGGATTGGGATTTCTTTGGTGGTCGAGTGCCGGTTGAATGTCGATGCTGTTGTGTAATATTCTGGCCAGCCGGCATCGACGTCTGGATAGGATGTATTACAGTGTAACTTTTTTCCTCCTTGGAGATTTTCATTGCCGCTTGATAGATTTTCGCGTAGGCGATACCCATCAGTAATACTGGAGCCTGTGCGGAAGAAATTTGTTAACAAATATGAATGGGATTATTGGGGGATTTAATCGGCATTTAATCAGGCATCTTATGGAGGGTTTTTGCGAAGTCCCAATGCGGACTAAAGGGATTAGCTTTTATCCGCACCTTGCTCTTTACTCTATAATGCGCTAGGATTATCTTCGACATAGCGCAGTATCAGTAGTAATTATCAATATATATTAAGAAAACATCTGAGAAAAACGTCAATTTTAGATTCGAGTACATATGCAACTGCACTTAAACAAATGTCGCATTACCCTGGAGAAATTACCAAGAACATGATTTTCTTATTGAAAGTTTACAATTACACGTTGTACCGTAGCACTTAGTTAATTAATGTGCCTGCCACTGCGGAGTGTCTTGGGCCATACACGTGCGAGTTAATTAATGTGCCTGCCACTGCGGAGTGTCTTGGGCCATACACGTGCGATGTTTATATGTTATATCAATAATTTAATAAATTAAACGTTCATAATAATCAATAAATCTGCATGGTGTTGATCATTTGTCGGTAATAACCGGTCATTAGTGAAGAAATTTCCCGATGCTACTATATAATGCAGCTTACATAAAAGGCAGTAATCGTTGCATAAATTTGGTAAATGGGATCCTGGCTAACCAGGCACACTTCATCCGTCTGATTCCCGAAATAAAACAAAGGCGGTATACTGATTATGCAGGATAATATCCATATTAGCACCGCTGCCGATATCATCCGCCATAGTGTTCGCTTTGGTCCGTATTGAAAGGGTCGTGTTATGACCAGATAGCGATCTAAACTGATCATACACAAGCTGAGGATGGAGGCTGAACAGGCTGTTTGATCAAGACTTATCCACAAATTGCATACGATGCTCCCAAATGGCCAGTACTCCGCAACTTCATAAATCATCGCTATCGGCATTACCGCCATTCCCACAAGTAAATCCGCGATGGCTGAAAAAGGCTTAAAATGAAATCTAACTTTCATACCTACTAAAAATGCCAACGCAGACGCGCCCTTTAGGTTTAGCTTTTTAAGTTTGTTTCTACATATTTTCAGTTTATTAACTCGCTATAAAAAAGGCTGCGCTGATTTACAGTTGCCTTTACCTGGCACAGTTTACCATCAGAATAGTTACTTAATCCAACAAAATACAAAACCGTGATTGCGCAATCATTTTTGTTTTACTTGTATGTATGCCTTACCAGTTTTACAGTTTTTGGTGCAATATTATTTTACGGTTGTGGATTATACAAAGTTATCATTTAAGTCTGCCTATAATAATTTATTTAAATAAGGACTCTTTTTCTATTTTTCTCGAAGATTTCTGCATTATGGCCAACTGCATTTTTGGATCAATTCAGAAATTTGATTACTGTATCTTCATCATCTATAACCTCATCAATGCCGAAGGGGGCATATTCCCAACATACCTAACGAAATTATCAGTAAATTTTCCGGCCGCTGCAGTTTCGGGACAAGGAGTACGGCTAAAACCACCAAAAGATTTCCCACAATGGTAGCAATGCTGAGAATGGTAAGGATAAAACTGATAATTCCAATCCGTAAAATCTGGAGATGTGGACTATTGTCGTAGTTAGCAGTAATGTTGGGTGGAGCAGTGTGAGGCGCAGTGGAAGTTTGCATTATGTTCATGATAACAATACAGGCGACATGCGTATAATCCCCGGAGCGCACCTAACAGGCAATTAGATTATGGAGTGCAGGGTATGTCTTTAATATTCCTCTCACGGTCGACGCGTGTGCGCTGCCCGGATCAGTTGGATAATTTCACGAAAGTCCTTAAGATGCTGGCGTGCAATGCCAGATTGCAGGACAGTAGCCGGAACCGGTATGTACACTCCATTCCCGGGGTGCACTTGCATCACGGGCTGACATTATGAACTCTCGCACTCGCTACTACGATCGATCAAACAGAGGCTGTTAATTGAAATCAAAGTAGCTGACATATATAAATTCATAGGGACACAAAAATGTCTATGCACGCTTAGTAACCATTATTTACGCGTACTGGTAATGCTGCGTTTTTGACTGTAAAACGGCCTCATAACGGCACACAGTGCCGTTTTTTTTGTAATGTGATTTAATTTGCATAGGAAATAACATTAAGAAAATCCAATACATAAGCATTAGAAGGAGGGCAGAAGAGAAACAGGAAAAGAATAAAGTATCGCTCAACAAGCAGATCCATCAGTGACGGTTTGACGGTTCTGAGAGAGTTTGTTTCATGTAAATTATCCTGGCACTGTGTTGCGCATTTGAAACCCAATAATATATTACTGCGCATTCCTAAAATCGGTGGTAAATCATTATAACGTAACCAATATAAAAAGGTAACCGTAAAATAAGCTAGTTCTCTTGAATTGTTCAGCTAATTGGGAAAATCTAATTCATGGCATTATTAATTCTGTATCCCACGGCAAGAGGTATGCAATTTACACCATTCCAATGCAAAATTTCCTGATATTCAAGAATTTACCATTGTGAGTTAACATCCATAATTATTCTTCAGCGCACTGACCTTTCCCGTATTTATGATATTGTCTGACCTATACGTACGCCAAAATGTGTGCAGCAAGAATTTTAGATTGGTAAAGGCATTGCAAAATTTACTAATCAATATTACGAAGTTTACCGCTAAAAGTGGTGTTCTTAACAAATAGTAAACATATTTGATTTATGAAGTTCATTCAGTTCATACTATGCATTTCAAAAGTGCTATAATCTGAATGCGTCTTTAAATTTTAGTACGAGCACAACAACATCATAAATCTTGCAAGAGCACAATGTGGCATAATTCACAAAAGCTGCTATGAGTACTGTATAATTATGGCGCAAACAGATTTCAGGTAATAGTCAACCGGTTACCGAAAGTCAATAAAATTTGATTCACCGCATAAAAACTCCTAATGCTGAAGCACGTGTTTCTTCTGTATGTATTCTAACATTAGAAGGTAACAAAAACCTGCACTACGCAAAATTACAGTACTATTTTTATACAAGTTAAGCGAAGCAAAGTGTACTAGAATGTTCGATGCTCATACGAGTGAAACACATAATGCTCATACCAAAATATCAAAATCTAATAGCATTATTACCCCAACGTAGTGCCTTTTGTACGCTTTTTCACCAACCTTAAAAAACGCAGTGTGCGTGAGCGACGCTGCATGTGTCTGTAAACTCGTACATATGTAACAGGGCAGTCAATAACCGAAAGTGAGTATTAGGCGATTAGTTCAATTAGGAAATTTCTGCACAGCGAGGATCCTACAATTCAACGACAAATTGTACTTCTTCCGAATATTATCTGTAAATCGATACATATTCAAAACTGCTACAGTATTATGCATACAGCTCCATCCAGTAATCACACTTCTCTGGTTAAAAATCTAATGAATGAAAAATCGACAGTTTATGAAAAATGCCAGGGCACTACAGCATATCCGGGTATATGCTGAATGTGCAGCCGGTGATGCTGATCGATGTTTGTACAGCTTAATGACCGAATGTCGCAAGAAGGCCGGCTTTAAACCATCATTTGTTCCTTTTCCTAAAATGATCCCCAGGACCGGCTTCTACGCGATATATACGTAAGCGTTGTGTCGGCTGGCCTTGGCGCATTTCCTTCTACATTGCGGCATCGACATCCGCCGACCGGCAACGCTTCGCAAAACGTGCATGTCTTGGAAACATCCCCGACATACTCCTGCATGTGCGTGTTACCCGTGTTTAACAGGACGATAACCTTTGACTGACCAGAATTTAGGGAATTGTAGAATATAGGCATCCAAGCATCGTTACGGTTAGATAATGGAACCGCATTGAAGAAAATCATGTGTTCCGCTGTTTATCGCTGATAAATACGTTACGGGATCGTGTACAGTATACAGTACAACTTCAGACACCATCAACTCGCCATATCATTTGGTGGGAGCTGCTCGCCTGGGACAATTTAGTTGGTCCCCCTCATCTAAACCATCAAGGCGTGCTCATCTGTTAAGATTCTTTAGCTAAGCAATTTTTTTCTATCTCATGATCGGTGTCATAAAATGCCATGTCTATTTGTACATATCTATGCACTTGATATATTACACTTGAGCACGAAACCGATCGTTGAATGCACACTGTACTTGCTTATGCGAGTATACTCCTAAACATAGTTAAAAGCTCCGCGCCGTATCCACTTCAAACGATGTGCAATACACAACAGTTTCCCTACACGTGTTTTTTATGTATTCCACCTGTGTCTGTCAATGGTGAAGGGGGCTTGTGGTAAAAATAACTGTATAAATAAACAACTGCTTAATATGGGATATTGTTTCCGCACAGTTTGATATATTCGCCATGAAAGCGGACATTTGCAAAGTTTGCAAAAGAAAATCACAAGAAAGAGCAACCGACCACTAACTGCTTAGACAAGCAATCAAACAACTTTTGAAATGAGATACAGAATCAACCATGTTTGTTGGAGTTCACGATTGAGTCACGAAAAAAATTGTTTGATTACAAATGAGGAATGTGGATGGCATTTGCAGTACTTATTGTGATTAAAACTCGAACGAAATAAAGCAAATATCTATATACTGCGCCCGCGTACATAGGTCATAAAGTAAAACTAAAGTATTATGAAATGCACATAAAAATGACAGTGTACGTTTCAGTTTTTAATTACGGTACAGAAGGGTCCGTTATTTTCCGTAAAGAAATTATTCCTATAGTTAATCGTTTCAGATTTATCACAAGAAATGAAAATCGGCTTTAAGAAAACAAAACTTCATATTTTTATCAGCAACTACCTAGGTAGCAACAGATTACATACCCGATAATCCAAGGATGCTGCAATAATGAAGTTTGCGGGTTAACTGTCGGCCAATAAATCCAAGATAGAGCGGTTAATATCGAATTAAGCCGGCAGTGGTAAATCCGATGCAGCACATAAGTTACCTCAGAATAATAAAATCAAACCGACCGGAAGCAGTCATTAACGCGAGTTTTTATGGCCCATGTACACGCACACAAGTATAATCCTTCCGGCTCCGAAAGCAGCTGATCACGCTTCCATTACTAATAAATTATATATATTGTCTGGTACGAACGCAAAGATATTCCCAACCGACCAAGTCCGGATATAAATATGAATATGTATCTGCCGTTCCCCTTCGCATATTCAAAAACGCTCTCGTGATCCGCAAGTGCATCGTAAAAATTGTCTATCAACATCTGTTAGCCATGGTATCTTGCCCAGGCGGAATATCCATGCATGTAGACGGTGTAGATATGCGACATTCGTCCATTTGGATTACAGAAAGTTAACCCTGCGGCACACGCGTCGCGTTTATCTGTACTCCTGGCCTCGACCATATCAGCACTAATAGCCGGCTGAATAGTTCACTTCCGCGGTTCACGAGCGGAATCCTTTTCCAAAAGAGAGAAGCTTGAATAGAGAATCCCCGTAGCGTTACGTTGGCAGGCAGGCAGTCCCGGCCCGCCGCGATCTCTCAACATAATCGCCCAATGTGGACGAGCGCGTCGGCATTCTGTATGCGCCATAGATGCACACACAGGCACCGGATACATCTGGCGCTCCTCGACGGCGGATACAATAGAACTTTCTGTTATCCAGCGGATATTGTCGCGCTTTCCTCCAGCCATATATCCGTAGCAATTATCGGGCTTTTTTAACATCAATTAAGGTCAACCTAAAGTTTTGATTACTCGCACATCACCGATGCGATCAGTCGTTCGCGACCTTTTTCTCAAGAATATCGGCACAGTGAGAATTTATTATTTCCTCACGCCTGCAGTAAATTTAGCTACTTCACCGATGTAACCTTATCTGTTTGGGAAAACTATTGTCATCCAAATCTGTATTAAAAATTTTATAAACTAGAGCTCCCTTTGCTAACTAAAAATAAGTAATGTCCCAGATTGAAAGAGAGTGCTTCATAAGAAGCAAAAATTAAGTACCATCCGTCATAGCAAACATATTTGTCATTTTTACAGCAAATTTACGGCTAGAGGTAACCAGACGTAAGGGAACTGGGCAAATTTTACTTTTACCAACTTTTGGGCACAGACTTATTAACTGTACTGCAGTGCGTTATAGATTCATGAATACCTGAAAAAAGTGAATGGCAAGGAGCACTTAATTGTATCAAATACTTTGAAGGTGTAAACGAAAGTACATATACGGCATGACAGATGCTTATCGTGAAACATATATGCACATGAAACGAGATCACAATGACAAAACTAGCAAAAACAAACGAAACCTTGATAAGAGAATTATTTACACACGAAGAGAAAATCTCTAACGACGGTTTGCAAGAATCCGTTTTAATGAACGAATTTCGGGAATCGTTTGAGTGTTAACATATATACCGTGCATTAATTGGTCCAAAAAGTGCCCTTTGGCTTATGCTTATACTGTGACTTTGAAGCTTTCTTTCGCCGAATCCTTTCCGACATTCGGCCTCTACCATCTCTCAGAGGCCTTCAGTCCACCCTTACTCCAAAATTATCAATCGCGGGCATTGTTTTCGTATTTCCAAAGACAACAGCGGAAAACCAAAGCGCCGGCTAATAGCGATATATGTATTTTTGCATCGTTATTAGCCAAAAATATCTGAAGGTGGCAGATATTCTACGGTTTCTATCGTAGCAAATAGTGCACATCAGTACTCTGTAGTATTCAGGTAAAAGTTTTTAAAATTTGGTACATTTTTGGCAATTCTTTTATCTCATATTTGAAGTGTATGCTCAATGGTTTTTAATGCTTTCGTCACTTTATCGAAGGCCCCGTGACAAGCTGTAATCGGCCCACCCTTCCTTCATCTGAAAGTACGCAAAGTGGATTTAATGGTTAGAAAACTAGTAATTGAGAAAATGAATAAAATGCTCTATACGAGAAGTAATTTTTAAAAAAAGTATTTACGTGTATATGCTCTACAATAAGTATTCAGTGTTCTGTAAAGTTTCTTTGATGCCGTCTTGCCATCTCTGTAGTTGACAACACTTCCTGTGGAAATATTGAATACACGACAGTCGATTTGCTACAGATGTATATTCACCGGTTCTGTTTCAGACTGTGGCAAGCTGATTAGTTTTTCGTTTTCCATCTTTGGAGAATTTCTTTTCGGTTTAAGAAAAGGATCACAGTAAGTGCTTGCGACTCTGTACTGACAATCAAATTATACGTATTACAAGTACGTGAATACAAAGCCCTTTCAAAGCCCTTTCAAAGCCCTTTAGTATCTCTTAAGCGTATCATTTTATTGTTAAAAAATTATTGCGTGCAGTACGCTGGGGAACGCAACGTTGTAGAAAAGCAAAAATAATTAAACTGAAACATATTATCGTGTTCGCCAGCAACCCCTTAGCGAGAACACAAGCGCACAATCAACATTAAAAGACTCTTTCATTTTCGCTTACAGTCTGAGCAGACTGCGTTTGCGGCGCAACTGAGGGATGAAGCTATGGGTCTTCAAACGGGGGTCGTTCTGCACGTTGAGATTTTGTCCCTGACCCGGTATCCGGATATCGCTGTGTGTACGGAGTCGCGGATCTTTCATAAGCTGCGCCATTGTCATGCCCGCAAAAACCAATGTAACGAGGAAAAAGATTGCCAAAAATGCCTAAAAGAAAACCACATGCCGAACACTGTGAAATGCATATACTCTGTATAGCAGGATTACTGCAGCAACTTGAATATCGGCACAGGTTGGCGAAACGTAAAATATGTATATACATACTGAAAAAGTAGTTATTGCCTAACTATATTTTAGGCATATGTCGTCACATTCTCGTGCATCAAATGTACAAAAAATAAAGGTTGTACAACTTGTAACCGAGTTGAGGCACGTCCCGTGCTTATACGGCGAGACTTAACAAAAAATCTTTAATCCTACTGCAGAAATTTCGTTTGAAAAGAGTAAGTGCACCTTAATTTAAATAAATCAAAAAATATGGTTAATATTTATGTTGTCAAACGTACCTTGAACGGATTCATCATTGATTCTTGCGGACAATGAATGGAAATAATTCCGAAAGCGAGTTTTGCAACGGAGTACTAATACTTAGTAAGTTAGGGGAGTAGTGACCGATGCGGATGCATTTGATAAATTTTCAGAGCGTTTATATAGGTACTGCCCAGATGATTTTTGCAGAACTTTTTGCTCTTCGGCGTGTATATGTAATGCATTATGTGGATCAGGTTCATGACCAAAACAACAGTGAACATGTAACATCTTCAAAAGGTAACCGTTTACGCTTTGTTTTACTGGACATGTCGCGTATGTAACTGAACAATGACGTGATCGTCGAATTCGGCTAATATTATACTGCAAGCCAACGAACAGGCCACGATACAGTTCACCTTCCTGCCGGAAGCTGGTTTGATCTAATTGTAAATTTGATGGTGAAAAATTCACCGCTATGGTTTGCTTGTTCTGATTGCCATTTTAATGAGTACAAAAGGTTAACAATGCCGGTTATGAGAAAACTTATACCACCGCAGCAGCAAATGCATTATGCACATAACATACCGTAGTTAGACTCCTACGTATGTGAAGTTGTGAACTAACAGAAAAAACGTGTACGCTTCAGTAATAACGTTAACGCTAACAATTAATTTTAAGCAAAAACAGCAATCCACAGCTGCCAGCAGATAAAAGACTAAAACTTTTGCTCAGCCGGAGAGAAATCTTTTAACAAAAGATGATCTGTTATTAGCAACTAACCATAAAGACTCAGGAAATGTTAAAGGATTCTCGGGGTAAACTGATGGGTATTCCGGGATTTCACCGGGATTTCACCATTAGGCAGAAGCGCTTATTGCAGGCACTGCCAGGCAGTCTCAGAAGCCAGTGAAGAAATGTGCAGAGTGTCGGTTTATATTATGAGTGATTTGAATTTTGTATATTTTGCACTTTACGATTTTTTAAATTTTCAGTATCGTACTCTGCAGTTGCTGGAATAAAATTGTTTTAATGAATGGAATAAAAAAATGTTTATGATGCACAAAATGGCAGGATCACGCTAAAGTCGAGTGGTAAAGTCACGGAGACAGTCATCATAGGTTGTGATCAAAAAAGTTACAATAGAATTAGCGGAGCTAATTCCAGTTAAGGCAGCAGAGGAAGAAGAGGCGGTACGATGTCTCCCGTTGGACAGTGGTCAACAGGACAAGCGCCCCGCAAGCGCGGGCTTAGTTGCCGCGGCATATATAAAGCCAAACTGTTCGCATGGATACACATGCCACTTCAATATTTAGTGATTTCTGTGGTTTCCTAAGCGTAATGCCAAATCGTATCTCCCGCCCGCCCTCCCCTTTTGTTTTAGGGAGGGGGTTGTTGTTGTTGTAGAAAGGGCTCATGGGATCCGCTGCGCCGGTCACCTATGCCTTAGCTACGCATTCTGCCCAAAGTACCAATAAAAGTTCATTTCCGGTCCGCGCCCGGCGCTGCCTTAAACAAATTTATGGTGCACTGGTGATGACTTCGCTTGTTTTTGTGTCAACTCCATCGTTTTGCCGTGGTGCCGCTGCGTTAGATACTACTCTGTTGTACGCCTGTGTAAACTGGAGAAAACGGCAGGCGACAAAACTGCGTCATCGTGAACTGTGGCGGATCGTTTTGTTGTGTTTATGAACCAAGGCAGCCAGCTGCAGCGCATGCTGTTGCATGCACATCAAAACTGCTGCTATATGTGGTTCATTTCAAACAGTCAACAGATAAGCTGGACAACTCCACAAATTTCACAAGGAAGCCACCAGGGCATGCAATACGAACAGTAACGTCCACATAAATTTCACTTTCAAAATTTAAAAATTTTTGGAAAGGTTGCCAAAGGCACAGGAAAATTTTGTTCGCGAACAATCACATATTATTTACGCTATAGGGAGAAATCTGTCGCAGTCCTGTGTTCTATCCCATAAGTCCCATGTTGCCCATATTCATCCCGTTGAATCCCATCGGACGGAAGCCGCGGTTCATTCCGAAATTCATTGGCCGTCGCTGACCCATGCCCATCATGCCGCCGTTAAATCGGTTACCCATAAAGTTGCCCATTCCGAAGTTCATGCCCATGCCCATTTGTGCATCGGCAACCTGGATGACCAAGAGGAGCATACCGGCAGCGAACAATACCTGCAGCGAAAGTATTCATTTGATTACAAGTCGGTGTAACGAATCAGTGATTGGATATGTTGTATGTATGAACATGGCTAGTTAGAGCAAATTGTAAACATCCTTGTATAGTTGTCTGAATTATTAAGTACTTCAGATGCCTATCTGACCCATAATTTTAATTGCAAATATTCAAAAAAAGTAAGTTTAGTTCTAAAAGGTATGTTATTGCATTATATGCCCAACTCAAGCCTAACATACTTCTACAGTATATAGACTGCATGCGCATCAAAAACATATGCAAATGAAGTACATAAAATTAATAGGAGCATAATTCATACCTATACGTTAAAGCTGCTCCAGTAGAATACGGCTAGCCTGTTTGTCAGTTTGCACGGTTAAATAGGAGAAACGTTTTGTCAAATTTTGGCGTTTACGATTATTATCCGATTGATAATAGTGGACAAGATCATTTTGAAAGGGATTCTACCAGTGCACAGACTATATAGTAAGACTGTAAGCGGACTAATCAGATGTTTTTTTTACTTACAAGTAAGGGCAATGAAAAATGGCTGTTAACAACTCAATAATAAGCACCGGTACAGTAAGCACATTCAAGCTTATTACGCATTCGATTAAGAAATGTTGATGTAATTTTATTTTTAAATAGCTTCTATCGTAAATACAAATACGATTTATCTGAATCCTTACCAAAAGTAAACGAGACATGGTTGATTAATAAGAAATCGTCGTCCGGGAAATTAAAGCTGTATTATCCACGGGTAATTGCAATACTTCGTACAGACGCTAGATGCAATATAAAAAACCGTTCGTCTACCCTTATATACTTTTTACACCTAACGGATGCAGAGTGTTGCGAGAAATCTTTGCTGTAGGAGCCAAAACTATGGCTGTGATTACGTTAACGTAATCGTTTGTTGCATCGAGAAAACCGTAGATCACTTGTCTTATACCGCTCGCACCATCATGTTTCTCATGCCAATTTCCCTTCATATTACACATAATACTTGTTTGCATACGGATCAGACGACAAAGACGCGTAACAAAAAAATGGTACAAACGAAAGAACACTATTTTATACCGAAACCTTCCTGGTTCAAGAAAACGAACTAGACGGTATGAAAGAATGCCGCAAATACTTGGGATTCCGAAATGCTGAATTGAATTTAGATGCCGGTACAGTTGACCGAATTTTTGGTCATAAGCGTTTTGCTAAACCTTTTACCTAACGGATCGGAGTGCAACCGGTAAATAAAGAAGTCAGCTAACAAATTACATAAATGTAGGTACAGTAATACAATACGGTCGTTGGCTACCTGTTTTGCTGCGTGCAGAGTTTGAACGATTGATTATAGCCAGCAAGGGAAAAGGATAAAACTAAGAAGCACGAACGACCAAAAACATTATATAGTCGCCGTGCTTACGGCGCGCGAATGCATTGGTCATGTCGGTTCCTGGTGGACTTTCCGACACATGAACTTTCGGCTTGATGCCTCTCTCATCCCATACCTGCAAAAAGGCCATGGTGACTCTGCTTCACTGGAAAAGGAATAAAGTATAACCATTCAGAAAAGAAGTAACAAAAAATGTTAGTAAAATTGTAAGAGTAACTATCCACTGGATCAGTACATACATAAATGCCTATACATGCACCAAGCTGTTTTCAATTCTTCTGAAGCGGTAAACCACACAATACAATAATACACAATCGAGGCCAGTTCAACGTACCTAATTATTATACTTTACTGTTCAGTTCAGTAGGATGCAGCACTAGCTAATTTCATAACTGAAACTACAAATATTTGGGATCTTTTCACAATGAAAACGAATTTATCAAAAAGTTTAGCCAGAAATAAGAAGTATGACTTTGCTTTCGGTGCCCACATAATGTTATACTTAGGTAAGACATGAAAGGAGAAGAGTTAAAATAAGAACCTGAAAAACGGCCGGTAGATTAGACTCAACAGGCAGCATGCTGGGGTTTATAGCATCATGGTGGAAATCGATAACAATGGGAATTTTCAGCTTCTGACTTATCGGTAAGAGATCCTTCAGTTTGTAAGACATTTCATAATTTTCCAAGACTAACCGCTCCCTCACGTTGTGTTTCAAGGCAAGAAAATTAGCTTCCAGCCTCTAGATCTTCAGAGCTTCCGGTTTGTCCTCGTACACACCGCCGCCGTGGATGATCGCCACTGACTGCTTATCCAGTCCCATCCGGTCAAGAACTCCGCACTGTTGCTCCAATCCAAAAATGGTCGAATTGGGGACAACCTGCAAAACAGGGACAACGTTACGTCAGTCAACAGTGCTCACAGGAAACCTGGAAACAACACGGTGATTCAGTAGACTATCAAGCCGAAACAGCGATTTACAGCTTTTTACCGAAGAAAAGGCATTTACCGGTAATTACCTAAACACTCGAACGATAACAAAATAAAAATCTGAAGAAAAGATGATCAAATCTGTGCCGAAAGACGAAAGTGCTCACAACGCAGACAATGAAAACTGACGTTTTATTACTTACTGCTACTTGATGGTTTGTGACAAACAGTTTACAAGATGCAATTGCACTTTCAACGATTAATTACTGCAGTAATTAAATTGTCACCACATTTAACTTTTAAGTACAACATAAACGCGCTTGCTTTGCTTACTTTGGACGTTTTTCCAATCTGCGAGAGCAACGGTTGTGCAAAGTCCATTGAATACAGACAGCTTGTGGACGCGATGCAATTGGGGATACTATATAATATTATCAGAGAATAACCCGAATACTTGGATGTCATTTCCACGGTTTCATTCCAGAATGAAAGTAACGTAACATTCGTATTATTGTTTCAAACATATAAATAATATAACATTATTTGCAATATGTACGGAGACGAGCATCGCTCACCAAAATACATTCAAATGAAACATTTGTCCCAGTTGGCACGAGAAGGGACCGTACATAACACACTCATGGCATTCCCACGCATTATTTCCAAACTTAAACGCTGAAACAAAAATATAACAAATAATATAACTATACTGTACCAAGTGTGCGGTCTGTACGTAAATCACCTACAACACTAGGATAGTACGTCCAATACGGTATTCACCATCAGGATTGATGTTTATGGTAAGTACAGTAACTGATAGTACTAGTTAAAGTACTAACCCAAGTAGTGATATATTGGCAGCGGTATTTGCTTATCTCGTGAATTTATCGGAATCTCATTTCGCTCTCCAGCGACATCCGGACGATCGGCAACAGTACTGGTCGTCCAAATTTACGAATTGTTTTGTCTGCTGTTTTGACACCAGCTAACTCACGTGTTGTCCGTTTTGTTCCCGTATACAACGCCGCCGTGGATGATCACCACTGACTGTTTATCCAGTCCCATCCGATCAAGAACTTCACGCTGTTGCTTTAATCCTCCATTCTTGTCCATCACATTAGCGCAAATTGTTTGATTAAAATTTTTGTGAGATGGATTCACGGGCTACTGACAGCGCATGCAGCCGTTCTAGTTGTAAGTGCTACTTAGCAGACTTGGTAACGTATGTTTCAAGTTGTTGACCCCATACGAAAGTGATGCGGTCAGAATGCAAACGCGTTCATTTTGGCTTCGTCTATTCTGAACGATTTCTGAATCTAACGAATTTTTAAAAATCTCTGCAATTATATTTTTCTCCTTCAATAAAAGCCCAGCTGGTCAGAAATCCGGTGGTGGATGTCGATCGGATTTCGTGCTAGCTCAATCGAAAAAGTAGTCGTTCTGCAAAGTGCTGCTAAAATGTGCGCAAGCGTCTAAATTTCCGTATGAGAGCGCATACCTGGCATGCGATTTAGAGACAACCTGAACCTACTAACTACGTAATTTCAACAGTCGGATTTGCGCTGAGTTAATTGGAAATATACAGAAACATGACCAAATCAGCATAGTTTTTCCGCATCACTTTCGTACGGGTCGACCGCTCGGGTTTCGTAAATCTGCTGCGCACACGAAAATGATGTGGCCACAATGCGAAGGCGTGCATTTTGATTTCGCTTGTCCTGCACGACTTCCGAACGTAACGAATTTTAAAAAATGTCAGCTATTATATTTTTCTCTTTCAATCGAAAGCCCAGTAGGCTAGAAATCCGACGGTCGTTGTCCATCGGATGTCGTACTAGCTCCATCGAAAAGGCGGACATTCTGCAAAGTGCTGCTAAAATGGCGCAAGCCGCAAGGGACAAAAGTCACAAAACCTCCAAATTGAAAGCGCATACGTGGGATGCGATTTAGGGATGAGTGAATGACCAACTAACTACTACGTACTTACAAATACATCGTTAGGTTAACTGGAAACATCCATGAACACGACTTTTTCTGCAATGCTTTCTTGAAGGCTGCATATACAGTACAATGGCTAACAATTACATAGGCTAAAATAGTGTGTAGTGATACACATTTCGTGTAGTGATAAACGTGTAGTGTGTAGTTTTAGCTGTCCAAGTGTGTAAGATTAAAGAAGTTCAAAACCGTTAAAAAAATTACAGGGGGGTATCTTGAAAATGAAAAAATATTAATTCTACTATTTTTCATAGAATTTCTAGCAATTCTCACTAGCAATTCTCACAAGAAAAACGTGCGTCGGCTTCGCGCTTCGCGCGAAACCTGCCTCATCTCTCAACTTTATTTCGATCTTAGCGTTGTATTTCGACCTTAAGCTTTCGTAAGCTCAAATAATTTAGTCTCAAGCGCACTAATTTGCTGTTTTTAATCAAAGCTCCCGCAATTTCCGCAGTAAAAATGGTCTCTGGTTTCGCGCTTTGCGCGGAGGTGGACATTCACCTTAATTTTTAACACTTAATTGGTATCGTGCGTGCGCTGGTTTTGCCTTCTCTTAAAAAACAATGAGAAGATTTTTACTGCTTTTGGTAAAATTTAATGCAGTCACTCCCCCTAGGGACGCCCCCCAGGGGCGCCCCGGGGGAGTGTGTAGTGATAGAATTTAGATATTTTAGCTCATTTGTTAGTAACAAATGAGCTTTAGTCTTGTGCAGACGGGCCTAGCAAATTCCCTGTACGAAGTTACGCTATGAACGATTGCCACTACACTACGTCTACAACACAGACAAATTTCACTCCTCTTAAGGTTTCAGATAATTATACAGGATAAAAATTATTATTTTTAATTGATCAACATTTGGCATGTATCCGCCATGTAAAATGTATGTGCAGCGTAAATAGTGTGGCGTAGCGCGCCGTGGTATGCAGTTGGCGTCACCCGTGAATTTATATATTTCGCTGTTCTGATGCGATGGAAATTACGGGGCAAGCTAAACCGGTCTGTCTGTCTTTTTGTTAAGGAAACTTCTGCTCGTATGACACTGGTATTGTTGCTGGGTAACTCTGAACTTTACTTCTGTTGTTTAGCGAACACCGAAAGTGATCACCAGGCGGCACTAGTGTTCGCTTCTCCTCCACCGGCACCTCCCCCATCGACCGACGTGCCTGCCATCCCGCCAACGTCGGCTGCTGATCCGAACTTTGCCGATAAACTCAGCTTGCAGTTGCAGGTGGTGATAAAGAAACGTCGGCGAAAGGATGAGGCTTATATTAGGGTGTCTTCAGACGAGTCCGTCAGCTTGGGATGTATGTCAGCATCACCAAACCCATCGCCCTCGCCAACAGGCATCAGTGAAATGGACAAGGTAGGACGCTTGATACAATTACAACCACCCGGTGTGGCAGCGTAATTCGGTTTTCGTCTTGCAAACTTTTTAAGATTTCTATGTTTTTAGTTTTCGTAACCGTAACCGCCCATGTAACGGGTTACAGTACTTGGCTCTAGCAAGCCGATATTAGGCTTGTTATGGCTGTTTTCCTGAAATTATTTTCCGGAGCGGACTGACACCAGTTGGCAGTCCGTTAAACTAGAATAATTACAAAGACTAGTCTTTGTACACTATTTAGTTTACGGCTTGTTTTCGAACAGTCTATGAAAGTCTGTAACCAAAATGTTACACAATTCTGATTCGCACACGCACAGCACAGGCATTAAGTTACACAAAGGAAGATACTGTAAGGAAATATCCATAAATTACGTTCCCGAAAAATTATTTCTTTACGTAATTTATATATGGTCCCTAATCATACCGTTAAATGTTAGTTACAGCTCAACTTACAGTAGAGTAAGTATACGAATCTTTTATAATAAAAGAATAAGAAGGTGCACAAAAATCGTGTCTGTCTCCCTTTTCTGAGCGACACAGTGAGCGAAACTTAGGTTTCTGTATATCATTCGATAACGCAAGGTATGTGGATGAGCCCAAAAGAGTTAGTTTTGTGAAAACCAAAACCAGGTTTGAGAAAAAATTCCAAAACCTAACATGCAAAACCTACGGGAACGTCAAAAACCTGTAAACTCTATAACTGCCACCTCGAGTGCGAGAGGCTGTGGTAATGCGAATAATGCATTAGCTTACTTATTTCGCTATCAGGTTCGTTAGCACACCACAGTTCACAACAGCCGTTACAGTTATGGCTTTGTAGCCCTCAATCATAAATTTTTCTAAAAAGTCTTTTCAAAAAGCAAGTGAAGTTTAAAAGTGGCTATTTTGAAAGACTTCACAGTCAACGTGCTATCCCGTTACGAATGGCTCAAAATTCCATAGATAAAGTAGTCGCCTCCCAAAGTGGTTTGGTTCTTCACTCACAGAATTACGGTGCCGTATTAATTTTACCAATTAGGGTATACCGATTAGTGTCCAATTAATTCAAAACTAGCAGACCCCGCGCAAATTGCGCGGAATAAGTATTTGCGCGGAATAAGTCCGCGAAGGATTATTATTACCTTTTCATACTAAACGCAAAAATATAAAATAACGATTACAAATGTAACTTTAATAAGCGAAACCTCGTGCAATTTAATTTATTTGCATAGGCAAATGTTTGAATGGCTTAACGTCTCGTCGATTGTTGGTTCAGATTACGGAATAACGTTAAGCGTAGAAATTTGAAAGTTTCCCCTCAAAAATTGCCGCTTCCATGTGCACCTTATTAGTTCTACAAACAGTAAATAAATTTTAAATAAATAAATTCAAAGACACCCCGTCTGCCACTTCCGATTTCCGGCCGCATTTCCCTGATCGGCGCGGGTGTCCCGTTACAGTACTATTATACCACAAAGCTGGCATTGTCAAACTTCCCGTGTTTTATTTTGTTTTTGTTAGGGCATTATATATAAAAAAACATTCGAAAAATAAAATCAAAATTGGCGTGTTTCTGACGTCAAACCTTTTGGATGTACATGTTGGACCAAAGCGTTGGAATTTGTAACAAAATTAATTCATTTAATTTTCGCAAAGGTTACTGGTATAAAATTCTTAATGGAATTTTAAACTTCATAGATAATTCTCATAAAAATCGTCAAAAGCCACAACAATTTTCATGACAAATGACAACTGTAATAACATAATAATTAGGTCAACCCTTTCCTTTTCAAATTTTCTGAAAAGCAGGAGGCCCATTTGACCAAGCACTCGCGCTTGGAGCGAAATTTCCCGCTACCACTGTGACTTTCCCGTGTTTTACTGAGCCGGTACATCACGCGTCCGGCTCACTGTTACTACAGACTGTATTTTCCGCCATTTCGAACTCCAAATCTGTCCGTAATTACAATCTGATTCCAGAATCCAGTATTCGACCACCATTGTTGCCCACGCTTAATAATAAAAAAAACCAAAATGTGAAAAATTTGCAAGATGGCTGACCGACTAATTCCTACTGACCACTGACCAGTCACCTAACTATTACCGTGTTTTGCAAATATGTGTCCCCCCATTGACAGAATCCCCGCGATACCGTTCCCTCCCGCCTCCCTTACCTTGTGTAGCTGTCTCGCCATGACTTTGAAGCTCTAAAGGAGCAAACAAATTTAGGTATTCTATCCCCGACCACGTCTCCCCCCCACCCCCCGCCAAATAGCGTCCCCTTCCGAAGGCAATCCACAAATTTTGAATTAATTGGACACTAATCGGTATACCCTAATTGGTAAAATTAATACGGCACCGTAATTCTGTGAGTGAAGAACCAAACCACTTTGGGAGGCGACTACTTTATCTATGGAATTTTGAGCCATTCGTAACGGGATAGCACGTTGACTGTGAAGTCTTTCAAAATAGCCACTTTTAAACTTCACTTGCTTTTTGAAAAGACTTTTTAGAAAAATTTATGATTGAGGGCTACAAAGCCATAACTGTAACGGCTGTTGTGAACTGTGGTGTGCTAACGAACCTGATAGCGAAATAAGTAAGCTAATGCATTATTCGCATTACCACAGCCTCTCGCACTCGAGGTGGCAGTTATAGAGTTTACAGGTTTTTGACGTTCCCGTAGGTTTTGCATGTTAGGTTTTGGAATTTTTTCTCAAACCTGGTTTTGGTTTTCACAAAACTAACTCTTTTGGGCTCATCCACATACCTTGCGTTATCGAATGATATACAGAAACCTAAGTTTCGCTCACTGTGTCGCTCAGAAAAGGGAGACAGACACGATTTTTGTGCACCTTCTTATTCTTTTATTATAAAAGATTTGTGGATTGCCTTCGGAAGGGGACGCTATTTGGCGGGGGGGGGGGAGACGTGGTCGGGGATAGAATACCTAAATTTGTTTGCTCCTTTAGAGCTTCAAAGTCATGGCGAGACAGCTACACAAGGTAAGGGAGGCGGGAGAACGGTATCGCGGGATTCTGTCAATGGGGACACATATTTGCAAAACACGGTAATAGTTAGTGACTGGTCAGTGGTCAGTAGGAATTAGTCGGTCAGCCATCTTGCAAATTTTTCACATTTTGGTTTTTTTTATTATTAAGCGTGGGCAACAATGGTGGTCGAATACTGGATTCTGGAATCAGATTGTAATTACGGACAGATTTGGAGTTCGAAATGGCGGAAAATACAGTCTGTAGTAACAGTGAGCCGGACGCGTGATGTACCGGCTCAGTAAAACACGGAAAGTCACAGTGGTAGCGGAAATTTCAAGCCGAGTGGGCCTCCTGCTTTTCAGAAAATTTGAAAAGGAAAGGGTTGACCTAATTATTATGTTATTACAGTTGTCATTTGTCATGAAAATTGTTGTGGCTTTTGACGATTTTATGAGAATTATCTATGAAGTTTAAAATTCCATTAAGAATTTTATACCAGTAACCTTGCGAAAATTAAATGAATTAATTTTGTTACAAATTCCAACGCTTTGGTCCAACATGTACATCCAAAAGGTTTGACGTCAGAAACACGCCAATTTTGATTTTATTTTTCGAATGTTTTTTTTATATATAATGCCCTAACAAAAACAAAATAAAACACGGGAAGTTTGACAATGCCAGCTTTGTGGTATAATAGTACTGTAACGGGACACCCGCGCCGATCAGGGAAATGCGGCCGGAAATCGGAAGTGGCAGACGGGGTGTCTTTGAATTTATTTATTTAAAATTTATTTACTGTTTGTAGAACTAATAAGGTGCACATGGAAGCGGCAATTTTTGAGGGGAAACTTTCAAATTTCTACGCTTAACGTTATTCCGTAATCTGAACCAACAATCGACGAGACGTTAAGCCATTCAAACATTTGCCTATGCAAATAAATTAAATTGCACGAGGTTTCGCTTATTAAAGTTACATTTGTAATCGTTATTTTATATTTTTGCGTTTAGTATGAAAAGGTAATAATAATCCTTCGCGGACTTATTCCGCGCAAATACTTATTCCGCGCAATTTGCGCGGGGTCTGCTAGTTACGAATAATACGTAATTTGTACAGCGAGTCCGGGACGGAATGTTTTCGCTGACTGCGAAGCAACAAGACAAAAAACAACAGACAAGAAAACGCCACCTTGGTGTATTTTATCCGCTTGTAATTGGTAATTTATGAATTAGGATTTCAGTTTAGAAATTTAGTTTAAAATTGTAAAAAATGCTAAATCAGTCCTAAATCAAAAACTTTTTTTCAGTTCAGTTTTATGAAAATTTTGGTTCTGATTTTAAGTTTAAAGTCAAAAAAATTGTAGTAACTTAGGTTTGCATTACAAACGCAAAAAACGGCACGCGGCGAACCAAGGGCTCAGGGCTCTTCAGTTTCCTCTGCTACGATCTGCACTGCAGTCCAAATCGCCTTTTCAACCGATAGGTTTCAATCGTAGTCTAGCTGAATTGAGGCTAGATACATAGAGAATACAGAGCAAGCAGGTTCAGCTAGACTACGTTTCAACCACATGCCGTTTCTTCCCCCTATCAAAATATGTAGGAAAGGGCAGAGTCATGGTTTGCATAACTGTCCTATAATTGGCTTGTGAGTGGGACAATAGCCACTGACCATTACAGATGTACATACTGCATACCACGTACGTATATTGTAATATTGTCCCACTTTTGACTGTTTTATTATGTGCCATGATGCATTTTGTTGCGCGCTCTCGCTCTCTTCTTTATGATGGGATAATTGAGTCAAGCACCGACCAATCGCTCCAATTTTTCTTGTTTTATTTTCCTATAGAAAGACATGTGCTGAGTAATATTGATTACTAGTACCAGATTACTTTCATTTTTGAACTGGTTGCTGACTGCTTTAACGGATGGGGGTGAGAAGTCAGAGAAAGCTGCCCGTAAGTTTGCACTAATAGCTCATAAAAACAACTTTACAAAATATGAGTTAAGGCGATATCGTTCTGTTCACTATAAATTTCATTATAAAGTTCATTATAATAATTATTAGGCTTTCTGCGTTTTGCATTATTGCTGGTCTGCCGTTCCGAAGCGTATATGATTGTGTGTGTTAGCAACTGGCATTTGGCAACTTGACGTTTTAACTTCAAGGTTAAAATCATTCACAAAAGGCACACGTTTAACGTGCTGACTGCCAAGCTGTCATTTGTCGATCTTTGTGAAAAAAGTACTATCTATATGCAGATACTAATCTAAAAGTTTCCGTTAAAGGTTAGTGCACGCAGTAACTGCAATAGTTTGTTTTGTAATTAATCTGTGGGAATTGTCACAACTTTACAAGCAAAAACGAAAACACCCGAAAATCTTGTTCTTGTTGAGGGAAATGGCCCGATGAATGGTGTCAGAATGGGATACATACACTGAAACTTTCGCTTTCCCGCACTCCGAATCACTTTTTTGCCAAAAGTCTGGTTACAATACCCAATCTTCTTGAAACTTTGCTATAAAAGACAGAAGGTTATAAAGTCGAATGTGAACCAATATCAGATCCATGGCATTTTTTTCCGATTTAAAATGAATTTTAAAAAAATCTGAAACATGCCAACTTGAAGGAAATCGCTCAAGTTTGACACAATGAAAACACCGGTAGTAATTAAAAGTGGTGAGCAAAGGGAAAGGTAGTACCGGAAGGTTGTAGGAGTTGGAATAATAAATGATGAAATGAATCTCACAATCAACTCAGATCAAGTACCACGGTGCTAGCATACGAGCATAGCTAGTGCTAGCATTTGGTTACCCCGCTTGCTGTTCATCAACACTGATTCTAATTGGTACGTGTTTAGTACGAACGTGGAATAAGTTTTAACGAAAATAAGTACTCTGCGCTGGTATGAACACAAACGGACTGAACGTACATCGCACGGACGTCACGAGTGCCAACTGCCAGGAAGCGCAGCGGAAGCACGCGAAAACCATAAGCTGGGAAAGTATGGGACTTGCAGTCTGCAGACCGATATGTCGTACAACCATAGCAGATAGATTCTATCTGCTATGGTACAACTAGAGCCGTCGCGAGGGGGGGGCGCGCTGCCCTCCCGGATGGAGAAAACGGGAAAATGGTGCGCCGGGAGCTGGCGTAACTGGCGCTGGCGCGAAAAATGGAGCTGGCGCTCGCGCACCGAAAATTACAATAGAAAAGCGTAGAAAAGTGGCTTAAAAAAGCCACTTTTCTACGATTTTTTTCAGTTTTTGAGCCATTTTCGAACTGGCGCGCGACCGCGCCCCCCCCCTACCCTCGGACCTCGCGACGGCCCTGGGTACAACCGATCGCGTTTGAAACTACGGGCACATTTGGACCGCTCACAAAGAAATTTTTTAAAGAGCTATCGCGAAAGTTTAGCGATTGTACTGGTAATCCACGTTTTTGCGCCAGAAAATCAGTATAGAGTTGCAACTGAAGAGTGAAGGCGGCAGATGTCACCAATACCATCAGTGCAGGCTGAAAGCGCTGAAGCTGAAAAGCATTTTAATTCAACTGCATTGTAAAGGCGGCCTCAAAGTTCACCGAAAACTGCAGTTTCGACTAAATGGTGTTCAGATTTCGAGTGACTATGAGGACACCGTTCCCCGACTCTCCGTCCCATTTTTACGGATGACTATGAGGGAACATGATCGTGTTGAAACCGGATCGTCGAAATTCCTGGTTTCGACGACTTCGGTGTAAGAGAGGGTGGCTGATTGCCGATTCTACTGTTTGCAGGAACGGGCCTTGATCCTTTGTCATCAGCTGTCGACCAGGGCTGGCAGCGATCTTGAAAATCAAGGTAACTTTTGAATTTTCTCTCGGTTCCTGTGCCAGCAGCTTATGGTCACGGAGAATATTTGTTAAATCTTCCTAAATTTTTTAGTGCCTTTCTCTCCGGTAATTGGGATTGATTTGGGAAACTGTTACAGTCGTGTGGCGATTTTTGAGGTAATATTTAATTGTCTCATTTTTATTGCTGATACAACATCTCATTTAGATATGTATATTTTCATTTAGCGTGGAAAAGTTATATTATGTGGAAAAGCGTGGCAAAATTAAATTATGTTGATTACATGATTTTGACGATCATTTTAAATTTAGCATGGAAAAGTGGAAATTATCGCTAACGATCAGGGTAACACGACAACACCCAGTTATGTTGCCTTCACCGACACCGAACGATTGATTGGAGATGCCGCTAAGGTAGGAGACTACTCGAAGGAGTTCAAAGTGCTTTTGAAAACCGTTAAAATGGTAGTGCAGAATTATCGGTAGTGGCATTTTATCTGGTTTAGTAATAATTGTATTGTTAACAATTTGCAGAATCAAGTGGCCATGAACCCTATTAACACCGTATTCGACGCGAAACGTTTGATCGGACGTCGTTTTGATGACTCCAGTGTTCAGAGTGATATGAAGCACTGGCCTTTCAAAGTCATCAACGAAGCCACCAAGCCGAAGATTCAGGTTGAATACAAGGGAGAAACCAAAACGTTCTTTCCCGAAGAGATCTCGTCCATGGTTCTTACCAAGATGAAGGAGACCGCTGAAGCGTACTTGGGCAAGACCGTCACGAATGCAGTCGTCACGGTGCCGGCCTATTTTAACGACTCTCAGCGCCAGGCGACCAAAGATGCCGGGGTGATCGCGGGATTAAATGTTCTCCGTATCATCAACGAGCCCACAGCCGCAGCTATCGCTTATGGATTACACCAAAAGGTAATATGTTGTAAGTCAAAAGTATCTGTTCCTAAGAAGGTACATATAATAGGACGCCGGAGTGAATTGATCGTTTAAACTGCAGGCCAAGCTGAACTGCCACATGATGATTTTTGATCTGAGTGGGGATAGCTGTAATGTTACCATTCTGGCGTTGGACAACGGTGTTTGCGAGATTAAAAAAACGGCCCAAAAGATTGACTTGGGAGGCAAAACCTTCGACGACCGGATGGCAAATCACTTCGTTCAAGAATTCAAACGCAAGCACAAGAAGGACATCTCCGACAACGCCCGTGCTTTACGTCGTCTGCGAACTGCTTGTGAACGCGCGAAGCGCACGCTTTCGTCCAGCACTCAGGCCAGGTAAATTTTCCGTTTTCTGAATTTGTGTGAATGAATTCATTAGTTTGGTTTCTTGCAGTGTGGAAATCGACTCGTTGTATGACGGTATCGACTTCTACACGAGTATCACCCGTGCCCGCTTTGAAGAGTTGAATGCTGATTTATTCCGAAGCACTCTGGACCCTGTGGAGAAGGCTCTGAAAGATGCTAAGATGGATAAGAATCAGATCCACGATATCGTCTTGGTTGGTGGCTCTACTCGAATCCCCAAAGTCCAGAAGCTTCTGCAGGTATGCTTCGTTTGTTTAGTTTTACAATTTGTTACTATAGTTAACTCCTTTTACGTTTTTATATTGCGTAATAGTTCACTTGGTTTACTAAACATCGCCATTAAGATTTGTAATTTGAAATTGTACTTTCACAGTATTTCTATAAACACAAGAAATTTGCTTATTTAGGACTGCTTCAACGGAAAAGACTTAAACAAGTCCATCAATCCCGATGAGGCCGTTGCCTACGGTGCAGCTGTTCAGGCCGCCATTCTTTCTGGCGACAAATCTAAAGCCGTACAGGATCTGCTGTTGCTGGATGTGGCCCCTCTGTCTTTGGGCATTGAAACTGCTGGCGGTGTGATGACATCGCTTATTAAGCGCAATACTGCCATTCCTACCAAGCAGACCCAGACATTCACAACGTATTCTGACAACCAGCCGGGTGTACTCATTCAGGTCTACGAGGGCGAACGCGCTATGACAAAGGATAACGTAAGTTGCTTTAATATAATGCAGTTTTGATTGAAATGTGTTCGAGTTTGGTCAAAGTGGGTGTGCTAACCTGATATTTTTATTGCAGAATCTGTTGGGTGAATTTGAACTGACCGACATCCCTCCAGCGCCCCGTGGTGTTCCTCAAATCGAAGTCACTTTCGATGTAGACGCCTGTGGCGTTCTGAAAGTATCGGCAGCCGACAAAGGCACGGGCAAAAAAGCAGAGATTACAACTGTTGGTCGTTCGCCCAGGGATGCGGCGGCGATTGCTCGTGAATTGTACCAAGACGATATTAAGAAGCTGAATGAAGAGTACAATAAAAAGCGGCATGAACTGGAGCAGCTTTATGCTCCTTTATTTGACAAATTAAATCAAGCACCGAGAGGCGCTGACGGCCGTCCCCCCGCCGGCGAAAAGTACCGTGATGAGGATGAGAAGCAGCGGGACCGTATCTCTGCTCGCAACGCTCTGGAAAGCTACTGCTTCAGTATAAATCAGAGCTTGGAGGATGAAAAGCTGAAGAATGAGATTGATGCAGGCGATCGCACTACGATCATCGGCAAAATCGAAGAAGCGCAAAAATGGATGGACGCCAACACGGTAAGCAAACACCGTAGATGTTATCATAATATCGTAATATTTTCATTATTTCGTAATATTATTATGCTATTTACTGTAATTATAGTATAGATTGTGCTTTTATGAATGTTATGATCTAGAAGTACTGGTTGGTTCATTGATCCGGAAATGTCTACAACATTTGTTAATTTTTGTTTAGCTGGCGGAAAAAGAAGATTTCGAGCATAAACAAAAGGAACTCGAAAAGGTGTTTAACCCCATCATTTTCAAAGTGTACCAAGCAGCGGGAGGTGCTGGTGGCGCTCCCCCCAGCGGTCCTGGGGGATTCCCGGGCGGCGGTTTCCCTGGAGGTTTCCCCGGAGCTGGCGGCGCGGCTCCTGGTGGTGGTCATGGAGGCAGTGGCGGTGGGCCAACCATTGAAGAGGTTGATTAAGATCGGGTTTGTTATCTGTTTCTTTATAATTAATCTGTTGTCGTCTATATATTTGTGAAATGTTGCAGTAGTTTGTGAAATACCGTACGTGACTTTTCGTGTGTTTGTTTGTTGAAAGTACCATGATCGGCAAACTTCATTCGTAAGTAATACGTAAATTTTCTCGGGTTTTTTCTGTTGTAGCAAGTTCGGATATGGTATCTTGTTTGATTTTGGTATGTTCCTTCGACAAGAGGTCGGTTGCGTTTGTCAATGTTAATTCCGCAGCTGCATGTGTTTATGAGGAATAAAGGATGTCGGTTTGTGTTCAAAAGTATACTGTGTGATATTAGTTTGATTACATAATATTATTACTAATTATTGTTAACTCTTCACAGTCAGTGAATGCACAGACAGACGTACAGTGTAATCATACAAGCTCTATAATAAAAACGAAATCACCACTAACAGCGCAACATTATGCAGCAGAGTTTTGCTCAGTAAGACGCTAACCAAAATACACATTCTCAAAATCGTAAAAACATCTGTCTTTGTAGCTGCTCCGCGTCGATAGTCCCCTCAATACGCTCACAGTTACGATTGAAAACAGAGTATGCACTCAACGTTCCCCGCTTCCGTTTCCGCGAGTCACTCAACCCTTTCCAAATTAACACAAGTACCGATAAGGCAAAATACACGGCTCCCCATCCGAATCGCACCGCCAAAAGAAATCCACATAACCAGGCCAAAATCCACCAGAAGCGATAAGACTGACAAAATAATTTTATTCTTGTCGACCATGAAGCAGCTTCCACTGGACTTGACGACGGGGCATCCGATTCTTCGTCGTCACTGTCACTGAGAGACGCTACATCATCTCTTTCACGTACTACTGGTGCTGCAGTCAGGTTTTCGGGCATTATCTACAAATTTTTACAAGAAAAAACGGAAAGCTAAAATACGACAAAAGCCACATAATATAAAGAGCAAAAAGTACAGTCCAAAACTAGAAAAAAGCTTCACAAACCGTAAAAAACACATAAAGTACTCTAGACTGAGTGTACTCCATACATCTATATGACCCCAAAACCAATAACAGACTAACAGTAAACTTCCACACTGATCCAACATACTAGATTTCATTAGTTTATCATGATTGTGCGAAGGGTAACGATAAACCATCCCATCAAAGTAATAAAACAGCAGAACATTACTTTTGAAACTTACGACACTGTACAGCCACGAAGAAATCCTGTCAAAAACCGAGGAATGTTCTTTCCGGACAGACGATGGCGGGGCTCCTCCATCCGAAGACCCAGGAGAAATCGTTTCAGAGCTCGGCCTTTCACTATCATATGTATGGTGAGCGTAGTTCTCAGTTCGCGATCCACGAGTATCAGTCTGGTGGGGGGCACTATCCGATTTAATCATGGTCCGTGCGACTGCTTCTCTTTCCGCCAACTTTCGTTTTCGAAATTCCTCCAATTCCTTAAGGGTGTTTCTTGATCCGCTTGACTGATCCATGAAACCTAAGGTTGCCACAAATAGAGTATCTAGAGAAAAATAATGTCCTTTCCAGTGTTCTTCCCATGAAATGAAAAGGAAGCGATCAAACACGTCGCGCCACGTACGCAGAGTCGTCGAAGCAAACAGGAGAACCACAATTTTGTGTTTCTCACAATGTGGATTTCTGGAGAAAGCGATAAATTCAAACTCAGATGCGTATCTGGTACTAACAGCAAGTGCTGAAACCAAATGTTCTAGCTAAAACAGGAAAAATACCAGCTAAAATTAGTAAAAGTAAAATAGAAAAAAAAAACAAAACCTGAAAAGAAAACAAGCTTAAAGTACTTTTCAGCAATTTCGACTGTTTAAACAAAACATTTCATGTAGGATGCACCTGTGGGTGGTCAAGAGCCCCGATCGTCTAACCACCGCCCACCGGATGAGAGCTTGCGTGATACAGTACCGGGTGCTTTTGTCACATTCTAGCTAGGCAAGAACCTCATTGTACTTACTGGTGACTGTTTACATTTTTCCGATCTCCGCGTTAAATTTTATTGCTACTACGTTTTTTAGCGCATTTGTAGCTTATTGTTGAGGTAGTATTTTATGGAATCTATTACGCCAATTTGACTTCGATCCAGCGGTCGAGAACCAAGGGTATATCAAAGATTTGTATCCGATCGCTGCTGCGCACGCACTTGTCCGATTGTCTACGACTTTGCTGTGTGCTCTCCTCAAGCTAAAATTGCAGTTGGACTGCAGTGCCACTGAATCGACGTCAAGCCATCGAAGATCGATGACCATTTTTGACACGGTGCTCCGGGAAGCTTCGTTATCCAACATGGAAACATGGAGATGGGACAAGGTCCCGCTGCACGCGAACAAAACCGTGGGTACAAGAATTCTAAAAATATGTGTATTTTCTTGGTTTGGCTTCCTTATTGTAATTTGAATGGCACATTTTCCATCGCCTTTTTTTGGATTCTTTATTTTTTTGGCATGCAGTGAATGGTTAGCAACAGCTACTAGCCAGTAACCAGCCAGAAAATTAATTTGAAGATGTTTATGTTTTCCGCTTTTCGGGTCGTGTGTTTTAAATGGGGATAGCACGCGTCAAAACCATACCGTATTAATTATTATGACAGTTGATGTTCGAAATTCATAGCTATTAGTGATAAGAAGTAAAATTTTGCTTTTCGCGAAATCTACTGTCTTAACTGATTTTGTGGATACTTCTGTCTTTATGCGGCACATACTGTAGTATCATACTGTAGGCCTTATATATTAGGGGGATGAACTTATTTCAGATTATATTTCATCACTGCGGGATGCTCTGTTTTACTTGCAATTCAGCATCAGTATTCCGTTTCAGAACGATCTGAGAGCCGGTGCAGAAACAAACTGCTGTGAGGACAAAAAATCATCTTGGACAAGAACAGCGGTGCATTTGACCTAAGCGGTACGTGAAGGGCAACGAACATATTTTCCCGACGCTCAAACGTTGACCGTTTGCTTGTCTGTTCACAAGTCAGTTCCGGGGCGGGCACAGCCTCGTTCGTCAGCGGCTCTTGATCAATAATGCCGAATAGAGCCGTATCAATTGAAAAAGTGTTCCCTCTTATCGCACTGTGACAGCGTTCGGGAAGAGCGAAGAGACTAGCCGCGACAGCCTGTCGTCAGGGCCTGCACTGTTTATGCCCGGATGTATTGATGGAAATGTTCTTGGATGAAATTTGGCAAGGCTACAACCGGAAGAAGCCATATCACAATAATCCGCGATTAGATGGAAATTGTGCAGCGTAGACAATATTGTTCTGAGGGGTACTGTACTGTTGATCCATTGGCATCATCCAAAAACTGCAGACATTTGGCAAGGCTTTTAGTTTGGTTAAGCGCTGATTTGGCTCGATTGACTTGTACGATGCGTGTGTATGTTGGCTTGCCGCTGCACTATTCTTAGACCTTGAAATTTTGTAGTGCGGCAATATTCCCTCGGTTCACAACTTCGAGATCGATGTAGTATGACGCTCGGCTGCTGTTCGTCGTGCCCAATCACGAAGGCCTGCCGTTGGCTGCTCAGCTGTGTGTGTGGTGTGTGAGCTGCTCTGCCCAGGAAATACACGGTACCGACTATTCATCGTGCCAGTTTGTGGTGCTGGGTTCATCGGAAGAAAGTTCATTGCCTCCAGTCGATCGTTACAACACTCAGCGGTACAGACGAACTCTGTGAGCGTGTGTGCACGACGTGTATTTGTTCCCGACGTTTTCCCTGAAAACAGCTGCAGCATAGCCTGTATAGGACTCCAGAAACGACGTGCTTCCCCCTGTCTCTCTGTCTCCTCGCTCTCCAGACGCGAATTACCAGCCAGGCATTCTGGGTTAAGGTTACTGTAAGTACCGCATTATGATCTACTTAATTTGATAATACTTGTGTAATTTTCGATATGTGCACCTCATAAAAGTGTGTCGTTCACGTCGGTTTTTTATGGTATTAAACGAACGAATGGCATTTTTCGAATGGCAACGCAAACAATTCATTTCAGTAAACAAACTTTGTGTAGTATACTAGAAATATAACATAAATCGAGAGTGTTATTAGAATCTCATAATTTCTCTGCACGCAAGTAATGAAGTTGACGTAATCAATAATTAATTATAATGCAGTCTATAAGGTGTGGTAACGTTTTAACACGCTCTTACCTGGGTACATCGTAATTTTTGGCTATAATAGTCTGTCGATTTGCAATATCTAACCTAAAATCAACTGTCGGCAACACCTGGTGTGATTTTACAAATTGTTCTCTGTCATGCAATAATCGCTGATCTGCTATATAGCGCCTGTGCTATTATTAATATGCGAATTATCTATCGCTTGTGACGTTAAAAAAAGCACATTTGCCGTCGAGTATATCAGCTGTGATTTACAGTAATAAGTAATTATTGAAATATCATAATTAGACCAATTATAGTAAATATAAATACCATTGTATGATTTTTTCTATGTAAATATTGGTTGGTTTTTTGTCTAAAAACATGGAACTTATGCCTTAAATAGAACTCAGATCCTGTAGGCATCTTACTTTTCCAATTGAAAAATAAAGCCTACTGTAGTTGAACACAGCATTTAATGCACAAGACGACTTTGTGGTTTAACCGTAATACATTTTAGGGTGTTTTGTAATTTTATGGTGCTTTAAATTAATTGTGACATTTATCATATGACTGATTCTAACTAGACAGTTTCATCACAATATTATGTCATTTTCGATCCCGTTTGTTGCATTACGTGATTAATTTTCCAGTTTACTCTTTTGAGTCATTATATTTCTTTACAAACTTATCCTGTACTTCTGTGATAGTTATTTTGCATCACATTTGTTTCATTACTTACGTAAGGTGAACTTGACAACCCAAAACGTTCAGACAGTTAGACGCTAGACATTTTTTTCGTGCCGACGAGGAATGGTTTCGACATCGTTGGCCTGTGTGACAAATTCTGATGCGAGTGTGAGAGTCGGAGTGGGCTCCGTTAAATATTTTCCCTTGCGTGAGAGGACGATGTTGCTCTAAATTTAACAGACCTTCGTAATCGATAAAACGATAACCCGCGCCAAAACAAAAGACCTGTTACGTGAATAACCGATGTCGATCATGTGTGAAGGTCAGGTTATGTAAGGACAGAAGGCGTATTTGCGACTGCCTTCCTTTTTGCTTTACTCTTAGTGGCATTTTGCAGTTTTTGGCATTTTCTGTTGGATGCCTTCGGTAGGTTTTTTATCTTCATGTACGAGTACAGTGCCCGTATACAAAGCTCGTTCACTTGGTTCAGTGGTGTGATATTATAATTATTATTCAATCGTTACTGATAAGTTTAGTACTGATAAGTTTATTTTGGTGATTTTTGAAGATTTTTGTAGTCTTTCGGTTTGACTGTAAAAGTGCAACACGAAAGTAAGGGCGAAAGCATTTCGAAAAACGTAGTGCTTACCGTGTACAATATGTTGCCAATTGCCGCCAAACATGCCGCCACACTGTACCGCTGGATCATTTTGAATGTGATACTGTACTGAGTAAGCGTATACGAAGCTACTCCTGTGATTACGCTGCTATTCATGTAGGCAAATAAATGTTTTGTCTATGTTAAAGCATTATACAAATGGTAACTTAAATTGGATTTGAAGATTCTTCAACTTCTTGTAACCGGAGACAGGAATTTATTTGGCTTTTCCCGCCCAAAATAGATCCGTCAACATTGTTTTTGACGTCAATAAGTATTGCCGTTTATTGGTAATAGGTTGCACTTATAACTTGCGAAAACGAGAAGGGAAAACGGTTTTGCGCGAATGGAGATTTTTTCATATGTAAATGGATAAGTTGTAGATGACAGGGCACATGTTGTCTGCATTTGAGATTTACTGCTGCATAAGTGAATGGTTCCAGTTTTGGCTCATATATTTTTTCCATTTTCCAACGCTAGCATTGTTTGTCAGGTAAATGTTGTCATACAAGCATATTCTTCTTGTCTTTGACAGTTCACCTTCGTGAGATATTTGAGGAAATTTTGGCAAGCATCAGCATTATTTTAGCACAAGCATAATACTAATCACATTATGTTTGAAAAGTAGTCATTTCTTTCAAGGTGATTGAACCTGTTTGTTAACATTTACCGGCCGGTGCGCAGTGCTTGGGGCGATATTATTCAGAAGTTTTTCTGGAGTCTTCAGCAATCTGCTGGCTAAGTCAACAGTGAGCCAAGGATAAACGTTTACCTTATACTGTGTGCTATGGCAGTTCCGTTCGTACGTGCTGACTCCTAACTTTCACAACGCGAGCCAACGACATTTTGATGAATATGGTTTGATCGCGAACATAGGGTGAAAAGTTTCAACTGTACCTGCTGACTGTCAGGGTTGAGCTCCATCTCAACAAACATTAGTAATATGGAGAGCATTACAAGTGTTCTTGGAACTGCAGTTTTTCTGAATCAGCCCAATAGAATGCTAGGGCATGAACTTTAAAAAAGTGCACTCGTACTGCAAGTGTGTTCACACTAATGCAAAACCATAAAACCATTGTTGCAACCAAGTCTGCTCGTTATTATATATACTACAGCATAGAGATGGCAACGGCTGGCTTAATGGCTTATCGGCTGGCTGCGGCTGGCTAAAATAGCGAGCCGGCTCGAAAGTATCGGCTCACCTACCTGAGCCGGCTCTAACGGCTCGGCTCTGAGCGCGAGCTGGCTAAGCCGGCTCCGAGCCGGCTTAGCCGATAGTTTTTTAGCGCCGGAAAACACAAGTTCTTTTTCACTGAAAAGCACTTTTTCCTGTTCTCTTTTAAGCAAAAACTGTTTTTAATCAGTTTTTATTGGAAAAAAAGGTCTCCGAAACAAAAATTCAGAACTTTTTTGTAAGATCATCGACTTTTCAAGTCTCCAAATCGGCTTTGAACGGGCCAAAAGAGCTAAAATTGAACTTCCCAACACATTTTCGCGCACAATGCGCAAGCCGTTAGCCGACATCGGCTTACGGCTGGCTCGCGGCTGGCTGAGACTCCGAGCCGGCTCAATCGGCTCGGCTAGCATCGGCTACGGCTTCAATTTTGGGTCGAGCCGGCTCAGCCGAAGCCGGCTTAGCCGCGGCTCAAACGGCTTCGGCTGAGCCGTTGCCATCTCTACTACAGCATATCAAAGCAGCGATCAACCCGACATTAAATCGTTATCAGTCATTATAACCGCAACTTCATACGTTTTATAAGGTATCTGTAAACTGATCATCATGGATCTGGTGATCAGCCCTAAATATAACCAGGGCTTCCATATCCGATTCAGAAAATGCGCTCAGCCCGTTTTCGACCACTATCATACTTTCTCGCATTGTGCAACAGTAGCAAATCGCTATTAGCGCGTGGCTCGCCCATTTCTTAAATTGGGAACTATGCTCCAGTAGATACTAGTTACTATATAAGTACGTAATTTTGTAGGAAATATTATTAAACACCCGTGGTTTCTAGAATAATATTGATTATTGAGCATATTAGGGCACACAGTGTGCCTACTTATACAAGCACTGTACCCATTATGTTAAGTTTAATTTTTGTTGTAAGGTGTTTTTATTTTTATCTGTGTTTTAATCATGATAATATGCACATGATTATAACTTGTATTTATACACAGGGCACCCATTTATTCATTTTGCCTTATACAGATGCAGACTCGCGAATTCACAAGTCAGTTGCAGTCGAATATGATAGGGGTTTTTCATTTTTTTAATTCTGAGTGGTGTATGTGCTGCATGCATTGCCGGGATAATGCGCAGTCTGTGCGGTAGTACGCAGTTCCGGTCTGGTCGCATGCACAGATGCGTAGAAAGGAAAAGTTGTCAGGGCACCCACCTCTCAATAATATTAAATGCCTCCAGTACTATAGTGTGCTTAAAACAGAATTTCGATGAAAACAGGTTCAGAAAACTGCTTTTTGGACGCATGTTTCCGTGCGTCGATTGTGCCTTTCACCTTGGTTTTTTGGCACTGTCTTGGGTGTTTTAGTGCAGCTACTGCTGCATTCAGAACGGTAATGATCGGTCAACCGATACGAATAACATTATGGTTGGTTACGTAAAGATTTGGGTGCAAAGTCGACGAAAGGTCGATCGAAGCTTTTTAAAGGAAGCAGATAGTGAAGCTTTGAAGCATGCATTCGTATGTAGTTTGTACATACATAAGAACTGTATACGCCACACGGAAATGAATATCGCCGCAACTGAATTATCATGGCAGAACTTTATGGCGAAGAGCTTTTCGATGAAACAAAAGTGCTAATGCAAAACAGGAAGATCAGCAAACTTATCTGAAGAAAAACCCCGATAACGTGTACTGTACGGGTTGGTATGAGAAATAGTGAAAATTTATCGCGGAATATGTACGATTGTTTCTGTGTATCTCTCTTCCTTGTTATTCGTTAACAATCATATTATCGAGATATTAAAATGCAAATATGAAACTTACGGTCATATGGTTACGATTGCGAATACTCTGTGCCTTAAAGTATGTTCAGTGCTTTTGGGGTGCGTGCTGTATGTGCATTACCCTAGGTTTTAATGAGAAAATTCCTACGTGTCGTTACTTCTCGCACGTAAAAATTAAATCACACACCGTAACGAGCTGTATGGTAGTGAGTGCTGCAAGCGTAGTAGTGAGATTTAGGTTCGATAAATATTACGCTCTGACCATGTGGCTTGTTGCTTTGAAAGTTTTTTGGCAAGCTCTGCAAAAAATTCATTGTCTTTGGTGCGGCGTCGACGTTGACCTTGAAAACTAATTCTCTAAACGTAGGGTAGGCTGGTTACTTTTTATCTTACCGGCACATTACGTGGCGGCGTGCTCTGTCACC